CCCCCCCCCCCGGGCCACCCTGCAGGTCGGTCGTTCGTATTGCTCTCCGGCACTTGTGTCTTTCCTGCATGCTATGTAGATGTACGACATTGTAGATCGCAGCTTGTGCAAGGTACATACGAGATCGACCCCGCATTCCTCACATGAGGGCCAATAACAAGTACTCTGTAGTTGATCAGTTGTGGTACTAAGTTGAGTCCGTACCGGCCAATTCTGCTGGTGTCCGCTTTTGGTTGCATAAAGCGGCGATACCAACGTAACGTGTGGGAGAACCACATTTTGTTGTAATGGAAAAATCGCCGTGGGGATTGCTCGGAATTGCTAAAAATTCCCGGCCACCTGCCGGCGGGGGTAGCTGCCCAAGGTAGGTAGGTACACAGTGAGGTAAGTCATGTAGAGTTCGTATAAAAAAGTCCAGTGTCAAGAGTCACTTTGATCTACGTGGCTGAAGATGTACCTTCGTATCTTACTATATCGTTACAGAAGCCACAGGAAGGCGCCGAACAAACAAACCGCATATACCCGCATATCCAACGCCCCTCGCCCTCCTGCATTCTTCGTTCCATACATCGTCTTCGAGTATCCAAGAGTGCTCTCCCATATAGGTGTGCCATTTTTGTTTGGCAGCAGGTTGTCGGATCTATTTCCATCGAGGGTACCCAAGAAGGTGATGGTGACCGGTCCCGCCAGGTAAGAGGGGTTACCTTTTACATTTCTAGATGACGCTGCCCTGATGGTGCCCTTGATCTCGAGCGAGGCCGAGTTGTTGTCAAACCGACCGCTGACTGTCGTAAAGTCTGTAACTTGTAGGTTGGACGTAACCGACTTAAATGGTGGGTCTATAACTGACGCCGCATATTCACCCAGGATTGAGGTAGAGCATTGGCTGTAGTTAAAACGCAAACTGAAAGAAGGGTCAAGTGAGTCGTTTCTGTAGCCCGAGAAGGAGTAAGAGGAACCGGATACGTAGGTCGAGTTCAAATTCCATGAGGGGCGACCGGCCGGCTGATCATAGCGGTTGAGGCTGTAAGCTATTAGTTACATGTTTTTTTCTAGTACTTCGTACACCCTGTATAAGAACGGTGGCCGTAGAAGGCCGAGTTTATATATTGATACCATAAGGACATGGCAACTCTAAGGATAGGTGAAATAGAAAAGGAGGGGCTGCATTTAGCTAGATTGAGCACTTACTCGACTGATTCTATGTCCGTTATGTCATTGATTGGGCCATCCCAGTTGTTGTGAGAAGGGGTGAGGTTAAGGCTCTTATCCCAATAGCGAAGCGCAAAATTTACTTGATTTGGGCTGCGGGAGCCACGGCTGGACTTGAAGATGGAAAAGAGAGAATCATAGGACACCTCGACGGGGCCATCTGTAAATGTGTCGCACTCCTCATCGTCCATGAAGTCCTGTGGGTCAATCCGGATAACTGTGGTTCCATTGTAGTACCTGATAAGACGCGAGTTGGGACTTGACTACCACAAGGGGGGTTGGAGTTGGATGTGCAACACTTACGAGCCAGTCCACCGGTACAGGTAGTAAATAAGCCCAGTTATATTATCGGGTCGGAGGTTCGAGAACGGGTCTGGGTTGGCCGCGGAACCAAGCGCCACTGCTGCTGAGCACCAGATGGCGAACCACAGACGGACGAACATGTTTGTTGCTCGATGTGCAGTACTACGGTTACTGCTGTAGAGTAATCAATCAAACCTTGAAGACGCCTCGGGAGGGATGCGCCCTGATTTTAAGTAATTATGAATGGACAACCATGCTGGTGCCAAGTTACTACCTAATATTAGTTGCTAGGAACCCATGGAAACACGTTCCCACCGAAAAGGACGCCTATCGTAGATCGCGCCAGTGTTAGAGCTTTAGTTTTCCTTGGTACTGTACGGAGTACCTTATTAGATTTGTACTTGTATCCTTGCTAGAATAATACCAAGACTAGCACCCATTGTAGTATTGTGCGCAGCGCTTCGCTCGGGGTAATCACACCGACTATAGACTCTTGGCTCCAACAATGCTGCGACAGATGAATATGAGCCGCTTAATCCCACTCTTATTGACTTGGTAAATCTTGTATAAGAGATCTAACTTCTCAGGTATTCGGAGTATAGAGTTCTTATTGACTTGTACTAAACATTCATTTAGAGTACGCAATGCTTCAACACCATTCTAATCATTTGTCAACTCCATAGTGGTACAATAACTCCATATCATACATTTCTTCGAGAGGTCAAAGTCATAAGTATCCCTTCGCTGTGATATATACCACAGCCTACTGTAACTCCTATCTGGAATGAAAGCAAGAGCGCCAACCCAAATACCAAGTGCAAGATATTCCCCACCAACCATTGAAGCACCAAACACCAATGCTAATATATGCGTTGTTCCGATCCCTTACGCGGCAATACCCTCCCCTCTCGTCCCTGTCCCAGGAACTCTCGCACCAACCAACCCTCTCCTATTCCTCCCCATCCTCCCCCTCCCAAGCCAGTTCAACTTCAACCCCCTAGTCAGCTCCTCCATCTTCTTCTGAGCACTCTCATCACCACCACCGCCAACACCCACACTTGCAAGAACACTCATACACTGCAGCATCCTCCCAACGGTCTCAGTCAGCTGTTTACCAGAGTCCTCAACAGTTTTCTCTCGCTGACCGCGGGCATTTAGAGGGTAGCCCGAGGAGGGTGTGAATGGCCGTGGGAGGTTCGCGATTCCTAGGCCAGCTGCAGTGCTGGCATTAGAGAGGGATGATGGGTCCGAGCCGTACGATACGTTCGAGATCGCACGTGAGCGGTTGCCGCTGCCATCTCCGGAGGAGCCACCACCTAGAGTAGTGGACTGCGAGCTATAAGAGGCTAATGAAGGGTCAAGTGACATTGCTGTTGAGGGGCGACCAAATGAGTCGGGAGATGTGGAAAAAATATCAGTTGGGGGAAGAGCGAGAGATATTGACTCCAAGGAGAGCCGGGAAAATATTGTTTTGAGCGTTTCGAACCGGGGAAGAATCACGGTGTCTCGGTATGAAAGGAGGACTATTCGGCGAACTTCTAGGGCTTGGGAGGCGGGGATGTCGCCATTTGAAGAGGAGGGCAGCGCACCCCAGAAATCTCGCGCCGTTTCTGAGGACATCAAGGGGCCATGGCCGCTAAATTCGAGATCTAGGGGGAGGAAAACTGCCTGCATGTATGGCAGGATTGAGGTGAAGGTAAAGAGCCACATCTCCACCAGATGGGGGATAAGACGGTCATCTGGTGTTCGCCGTAGGGTGTTGTCTAGGGAACCAAATCCTGCGACAAGTAGCTCGCGGAGGTCCTCGACGATGATGTTCGGGGCTCGCTTGTGAATACAGCGTTGGATGTGAATACTAAATTGTCAGCAGGCCCTTGCAACTAAGATTGGGTACATACGTGACAAGACGGTTGAAATCCTCTACCGGTAACCGCAAATCCTCTCCCTCGAAGATAATAAGCAGCTTTGTCTTCAAAAAAGGCCAGGCATCATCCGCTGCCATATTATTGAGCCCGTACTTCCCAAGCTCCTGCGCTGTCTCGTTGCCATAAATACTACCTGGGTAAGCATACCCTGAACTCGTGGAGCTTAGATATGAGTTGGTTCCAGAGCCCAGACTAGATGGAGCGGGCCATTCATTGTTATTCTGATACGATAACTCACTCTCCCTTAATGCATCTGACTTCTCTTCCTTCTTCTTCTCTCTCAAAGCCCTCCCACCATGTCTCAGATCCAATCCACTCATGCTCTTTGCAAAACTCGTCGACGTAGGTGCTGGACTCGGAGGTAGGTTAAAGTTGTACAAACTACTCGGGGCGCTTGGATCCATTGGCCTGGAATTGCTGGCCGCCGAAGATAAAGGTAAATTATGGTCATCCTTGCTACTCAACTTGTGTTTTTGCCTGGACAAAAAGTTGTGTCGTTTTTCTTTCTCCTTTGAGGCTTCCTTTTCCGTAGGGGGGTTCTCAATAGCCCGGATGGTCGCCGACGAGGAATTGGCCATGCTATACATGCTGGATGTGGACGACATGTTATCTAATAAACTGTTGGTACTAAAATTCGCTCGTTGGAGGGAACCCAAGGTATAGGAGGCCATCTTACTGGGACTTGGCAATGCTCCGGCTCTGGCATCCTTGTCTTTACTTATACCTATCTTTCCTGGCCTAGAAAATAACTTGACCTTGCTCTTCTCTGTCTTGGGGGGCTTATCTTGATGCATCCGGTGCTCGTATTCCGCGGGAGGCAGTCCAGGAGAGGAGACCGGAGACCTAGGAAACACGATGTTGGCCGCTGTCTGCGCCGCGCTTTGGTTGCCACCAGCAAGCAGCCCATTATGATATACTTGCCCCCCAAAACCGCTCTCTCTCGGCGCGGATGCTTCTGTCAGACTTAGCACAGGCGGGCTCACCGGACCTCGACTAGGTCTCCGGCTGCCAGAACCATTCGAGCTCGAATCGTTATGAGGCGCCGGAACGGTCTGTGATCTCTGTCGATTATGCGTTTGGTGCTGCATAGCAGCTTGTGCTGCAATTTGGCTGGCAGTCAACCCCGTATTTATATTCGCCATGTTGCTTAAGTTCGAAGTCGCCGCCGTAGGCAGAAACGGCTCGAACAAGCCTTGGGTCTGCGAATGTTTCCTGCCGTGTCCGCGATGGGAATGGGAATCGCTATTACCAGTCGCAGATTTGCCCGCACTGATTAACGGCGATGCATTTCTCAGCGGCAGGTCCGTACGAGGACTATGTGTTGATTGCGCTGGCGGCGTCGGACGAGAGAAGTTCTGGAGACTGGCTGTGCCAGTGTTCGTGAGTGTGTTTGGGCGAGGGACACCGACGGGCACATGCGCATTCTGGTGTTGCTGTGACTGCGCTCGCGGCTTCGAGACCGGGAGAGTGAGGCGCGTGGAGTCGTCGGAATCGGAGGAAAGATCTGTAGACGTTCGTGTTCCTGCTGCCAACGAGGTCGCTGTCGCTGTCGCTGAAGCTGAAGCTGAAGCCGAAGCTGCTGCTGCTTGGGACTGCGATGGGGGAACCACGGGCGAGAAGCTCCCTGCGGTTCTTCCTTTTAGCCCTGTCGATTGCGACATGACCGTGGTTGCAGCGCTGTGACTTGTCACTTGTAACTTATGAATGCATAAAATGGCACCGCCAGCAGCAAGTGGAGGGGATGTTTCACATAACTCGCATAGAGCTGCCAAGTTCCAACTCGTGAGTCGCCTGGTGACGATTTGTCCCAGAACGAGAAATAGAGAAGGTCGAGATATGTAAGAACTGTAACTTATGGGTCAGGTATGTGTAGAGTACCAAGTATTATGGAATGGAAGGATTGGGACTGCGGCTATTGGCACTGGAACTGGACCTGGGAACTAATGGTTGGTCTCACCGTGGCGCCGAGCAAATATATGTAACGACGTCAATGACAAAATGTCTTGCCTCTATCTTTGACGCCCTCCATCCTTCATCCTTCACCCTCCCTCCCTCTCTTCACCGCACCACATCCCCTGAAAGAGTGTCCCCAAAGCCAATCTCAACCTCGTAACCATGGCAGCCCCAGAATCACTATCTTCTACTTCAAATGGATCGGCCCAAGTCGTAGCTTTAACAGCAACCTACAAATCCCCCACCAATGAAGCCTTCACTCTTGCACACGAAGTCCCCGCCCTAGCATCTGACAAGGTCAGCGAGAAGACAGCATACCTCAGCGCGTTGCGCAAAGCAACCGCCGTGCTACAGGAGCAGGTTAATAAGGAGCTCACGGCGCGCATGGAGGAGGATAAGGCGCGTGTAGGCGGGCCAACAAATGGAGTGTCAAATACGGTTTTAAATATAGACGAGGCTGAGGAGGAGGATAATTATGGAGAGGAGGTAGCTGAGGAGGAGGGTTGAATCAGAATCAGTTATGACCAGGAATCTATGGATGTGAATTTGGATTTGGATTTGGATTTGGATTCGATATACTATGGGATGGTGTGATGCTGTGGTATATACACCTATCCTCTAAGGCAAAACTCCAGCGCTATGTGAAGCCAAACCAAAACGCGGTAAACTACATCCTACAATATCGACATGAAATGGTATTCATCGCCTCCACGATCCCGATCGCAGGGAATCCATCCCACGGCTCCCTGTGGAACGTCCGCCTCTATTCAAGCACCCATAATGCACAACCTCATTATCTGGCAGTACGGAAAGAACGCTCCCACCTAGTCGTTTATGACAGACACCACACACTCGCTCTTCCGGAACAAATACTCCTCTGTTCCTGCCGCCCTTCCCACCTGGCATGCCATCACCTAATAGTAAGCCAGATTGTGCGCTTACAACTTCGGTCTTGCGCAACCCGGCAACGATACGGGATTCGTTAACGGTGGAATTTGCTGCGCGGATACGTCCACGGAAATAAGACTCCAGCTCCGCCACAGGCAATGTAGCAGGGATAAGACTAAGGGTCGAGGACGCTGAAAGCCTCGATCCATGTTTGGAAAGCAAGTCCAATGCAGGTGGCCAGTTTGGAGAATGTGGCGGCGGCGGTTTTAAGTAGAGGGAGAGAAGGGTATGATAAATCGAGGGTTGAGTATCATCGGAGCCCGAGGTAGAATCCTGGCCGTGTTGCTGCGGCGGGGCATCAGATGAGGACTGGAGATGGACATGGTTGCAATATCTAGAACAGCTATGTTAATATGTGTGTGGGAAAGGGGAAAAGAATACATACTCCTCTGCCTTTTCGAAATCTTGCAGCTTGAAAACGTAAATTTCCAGTGCCTGTTTGTGTTGGCCCATGTTGCTGAAAACAACAACCAGAGCTTCATAAAAATCAGGATCTAGATATAGGTTAGTTACCAGAATACTAATAAGATTACAGGGTGACCTACCATCCTTAGGGATATTGCTAAAGACCCGATAAAGAGCATACTGCTTGCTGGAACGCATGAACAAGATCAATTTCTCCATTCCTTCCTTCCAGTCCTCCGATTCTCTATCTTGCCTGGCCTTCAGCTGATTCAGATATTCAGAAACAAGTAAGTTATGGAACTCTGGAGTAAGGTCGTTGAGCTCGTGGATTATGTGTTCTAGATACTTGACGGCGAGTTTCATATCGATGCCCTGGAGGAAATTCACAACTTTGTCCCTTGGCAGCGTCTCAGCATTCTCGGTATCCGCGAGGAACACTTCCATCCCAAGGTCCGGGTTAGCTCTTAGTGGCCACTCCGCGAACTCAAGAATAAGATCGATCATCTCCGGTGGTAAATTTTGTAAATATCCAACTGTTCGCTGCGGACCATGCAAGGTAGGCGACTTTTCATCCTCTTCCTCGGCCATGCCAAACTTTTTCAACAGCTCCAATGCTGGTCGATGCAATTTCTTGCCGTGGAAGAAGTCAACAAGATCATTATATCTTCTGTTCTCCAGCAGCTTGTCATTGACGACATCAGGATCGCAAAAATTGGGGATACGGAATAGTGCTCCTACTAGCTGGGGACGAACTAGCATATTCGACCTAAACAGGGTCGTATCAATAAGCTTCGCTGTGTCTCGTAGCTTTTGCTCTCTGTCTTTGTCTGCATCTGATACCGGCGAGACAAGAAAAGATTCAAAGGAGGGCTCAGATGATACCTCTCCGTTCTGGTCAATCTTATTTTTCTCTTGGGGTATTAGTTTGCCTGTTTCGGCGTCTATCCACCTTTTCATTCGATTCCGAGCATCGACGAGGAACGCGTTGAGCTCAACAGCCGCTTTTTCAAGGTCCTTGCCCTCAAGTGGCCTATCTTCGGCAGGTTTTGTTTTGATGCTTGTCGTATCACTTCCATCACCACCATCCAGACCCATAAATGACCGTACGGAGGACGTGTCAGAGTGGGCCTTGTGGTGATCTTTGAGTAGTTTGTGTACCCCAGCCGGTTTTGGGGAACCCACAGTATCCTGCCCGCCCTTTCCAATGGAAGCGGCATCGCCATTTACACCTTCGCTCCCCTCTTCATTGTTGGTGTCCGATTCGGATTGTTTATCTTCGATAATCGAAAGATCGCCTGCGATTGCTCTGGGATATAACCGGATGACCCTTTCAGGCGGCGCTTGCACATCCTCTGCGAGAAATATATCAATGGCATCTCGGTATTTCCTTTGGTCAAAGAGTACCTGCGCCTTTTGAATCTTGGTCTCTCGAAGTCTCTCTGCCTTGTTATGCAGTAATGCGTCTTCTAGCATGTTGAGGATGCTAATCGCTTCGTCGTAGAGTTTCTTTTCCACAAGTTCATCTACTTGTGAATCATAGTCTGTGGACATCATACGCCAAATACATCGATCGCTGGCAACATGAAACCCCTTTCCAGCGTGTGCGAGGCTGACATTTGGGGGAGGCAAATGTAGCTGACTAGCATTTGGTAACGCAATAGTCTGTAGAAGGGACAGCGTTTCCGGATTTCTAATCTCCAGGGCCCCTTTAGAAGGTGCCTGGAGAGCCAAAATATACGGATATGAGTAACCTATTGAATCTGGTGCTATTTGCCACGGGACTTGTCGTTTATTCATTGGTTTACCCTCCGACGTGATGAATAGGGAGTTGATGTCCTTCGTTAGGAGCATTTCACCATCAGCCAGTTTCGTAGCCAGAGGTTTTGGCATATATCCTCCCAAGCCCATATAGCCCATACTCGCTGAACTGACGCCACCGAAACGACCTCCCTGAGCACTCGACGCGCCACCAATCGGCCCTGGCCCAACAATATCTTCCACCTCTTCGCTCAAGACATCAACAATCACGTAGCCGGAGTTCATACCACAAATTATTTTGGTCGCGGACGCCCAGGTGAGCGTTCGAATTGATTCAGCCAGGGTGATCTCCACAACGTCCGGCTCTAACTCGGATTCATGCCATGACCATAGTAATAATCTCCTCTTAACAGCCACTCCTAACCTCGATATGATTTCCGGTATCCCTGTAGCAGAGTCCTTTACAATATTCGACGTGACCGCAAAAGTCGTGGCATTTTTAGTCTTCGGCAGCTGCTCTTGTAGTTCATACGAGTGTAGGTCATGTATCGAGATGTGGTAATTCGATAAAGATATGAGGACATTGGCAACCTTTATAATCGCAAGCTGCTCAATAGCGCGGGGAGAGAACTTTTCGACCTCGCGCAGAAGATCGACTGGCTTAGGAGCGGAAGAGGAGCTGGGTCGCGAAGCTGGTTTGTCGGGCTTAGTAGTTCCATTCTGGCTCTCGCGCGCCTCAGGGACCTGGTTGATGCGATATATGCGCAAGCTGCCGCTATTCAATCCGACAATGAGTCGGTCATCTATGTTGCATCAGCATCAGCCTCATCCTCCTTTGTCTTTGATTTCAACAGACCGTATGCCAGTATTGATTCGATTTTGGATTTATCCCGCTGGCGGAGCTCAACAATAGGTCGAGCCGTGAAGACGGAGAGCATGGCGGCGATGTGCCAGCCTCAATAAGCTGGGTGCCCGGGGTCTGCGAATATCTCATCGAACCCGAGATCTCATGAGGTTGATATTTCGTTGCCTCTGTGGCATTCTTCGTTCATGCGCGCATGATGATGGCATGCAGTCGGCGTACAGTATACAAAGCGCAATGTCCATCCCCTGCGACAGGCACTGCAGTGCATCAAGGCCACTGGCTTGCCGAGGCCTTCTAGCCTTGCTCGCCTTGTCCGCCTGACATCAGTCTTCCGGCGACTCATACAAAGTACACAACAACAACACCATTACAATTCTACACCCGCTGCACGGATCAAGTCAAGTTACAGCTATTAGATGCTAGGAAAGAGATGAATGCCATGCTATCCATTTATGCTTGCGTGCAAAGGTTGCTGTTACGAGTATGCTTTTAATTCGCTAGCATGATATTATGGACATTGGTCGCGTGAATTCGAACTCATTCGGTGTATGAAGGGCTCTAGCAAGTGTTTAAGCGGGTTCTATGGCGAGCGCCCTTCTTATATTATTAGTCTATCAAGTGCTTATATCTCCTATATTTCCATTTGATAGAGAACTACATCGTGTCATTGTCCCTTCTCCCAGTTCAAACCCTACATGCCTACGTACCTTATATGGTACCAGTTTGCACGCTTGTCGCAGATGAGGGCCCGTTCACCATTACAATACTTCCGATCGCGAATCATTTGTACCGCTTCAAGACCAGAGCAGACTCAGTAGCCGGCAGCTTGGAAAGGGTTGAGACGTGGCTGAAAGGAACCCCTTCGACTTTTCGAGCTATTGGTGTTTCGCAAATTCTCGATATTAGCAACATTGCAGTCGATACTTTGTGGTGCTGCTACATGTATTATTTTGATCAATCCAGCAGAACAATGGTCTAAAACCCTGCATCTCGCAACTCTTCGGATCCTTAGCTAGTTGACGGGTGGCTTTGGAGGCGTTCAAACCTCTGAAGAGGCCAAGAAACACGTGTTGTTCAATGCAGACATCCCGCTTACATGGAAGTAGTCAAAAGTTACAAGTCCAAGGCGAAGAGAGCGGCATACGAAGCCGTATTTCCCACGCTCTAGTGAAGAAGGCGGTGTAACACATTAACTATCGAAGAGCATGGTTGAACAGATTGTACTACCTACGTACGCAAGGCACAAGAAGCTCCTATCACAACATCCCTCCTAGCTTATCATCTATAAGTACCAAGACTATTTAAGGTTTATCCTGGCCGGTTACACGAATCAATGCAGGGGATATTGACCGCTGGACCTCCAGGACCTGAAGGTATTTTTCATGAGGCAAGCTAAAAATCTCAAGCCAGTCCCGTACGCCACCAAACAATTCATATCAACTCCTCTCCTCTCGAGCTTCGAGAAGTGCCCAAGCTCCAACTGTGACGCGTAACCCAGCCATCTTTAGCTCCAATAGATTTAGAAACGCATTGAACAAACTCTCGTCCATCCCGATAGTCTCTCAATTTTCAAGTGCTTCAAATACTAGAAGAACCAAGTGATGCTAGATACTAGATACAGCCATTTCGAGTTTTACTCTCTTTCTGATTGATTTACTACGTACCAGCGCTGAATACGGTATGCCTGACGCGAATTTAAAGTTCCGAAACACCAGTGTGGCGCGGTGCGGCACAGTTTCGTAATTTCGGCCCCTGTTCTATTCAGCTATAATACTATACGAAAGTACCGAAACCATTGGAGAACTTATTAGCCCCATCGTCTTTCAGCACCCAACCTGACCCAAGACATGGAAAATGGGGACCACAGAGTTGCACAAACACAGCCCTCAGTGGGGTCCAGACTCCAGACCCCAGAGGGCGGTCTGGTCGAACACTACCAAGTACCCAAGGAAGGAATGCAGAGAGCAGGTCCAAAGCGAAGCCACCTACAATTAGATTTTACTGGTACAAGGATATTTCCACGTATGTTGCCAACACATCCATACCATATAGCACATAGCACATCCATTCAAAAAGGGTTCCATGGATATTGGTCGCGAGCTGACGCTGTCCGAGTCTGTCTGAGTCGCAGCGCACGGCGTCGTACCGGCTGACTGCACAGCAAGCCATAAAGGTATGCAGCACGCCTCCTTCACACGTTGCTTGGTAGAATGTCCCTGGACCCCACGTTTCGTTGATTTATTCCTTTTGCACTAATCACGCTCGTTCTTATATATCTTATATATATACATCCTCCAGTACAACCTTCCTTTTAGCCAAGAAGCGAAAGTGGCATCAGAAGTCCATTTTCAAATATCATTCTTGAAAACTCGAGCCACTGCTCTGTCTCCATCAACATGACGAAATGCCTTCGTAAGTCTTGTTGTTTCCAATCGCGACAACATCTCTCCTATTGGGATAACTGACTGAAAAATCCAACAGCCCTCACTGATCCGGACAACCTATGGTCCTTCTGCCCTTCGACCCCAGCAGCTGTTCTCTTCACTGCCTTGTTTGGAATTACCACCGTGGTACACACGTTCCAAGCCAGCAAGTTTCGTGCCACCTTCTGCTGGACTATTATCATGGGCGGGGCCTGGGAAACAATTTCGTTCGCTATCCGCATCATTTCCATTCGAAATCCCACTTCCCAAGGACCCTATACACCATGGTTTCTCCTTTTCCTGCTAGCGCCCCTGTGGATCAATGCATTTGATTATATGCTACTCGGCCGCATGGTATTCCAATACCTGCCAAACCAGAAGCTGCTGGGAATCCGAGCAAAGAGAATGGCTCTATTATTTGTGGTCCTGGATGTTGCGTACGTGCTGTCCCTTCCGTCATCCTTTTTTTAATCTACCATCGTCTAACTTCATCTAAGTTCCTTCATAATCCAAATCGGAGGCGGTATTATGGTAACCAGCAAGAACGAAAATACCAAGAAAATGGGCCTACATATCTACACCGGCGGCCTCGTGCTCCAGGAGGCTTTCATCCTCTTCTTCCTATACCTCGTAGTCACTTTCCAACGCCGCCTCAAAAAGGAAGCAACACTTGAGGAAAGACGCGATGCCAAAAGGCTACTTCTCTTCCTGTACATTACTCTAACATTGATCTCCGTAAGTCCCCTATCTCCTTGGCTTGGCCAAAAATTAGCTAATATTTCAATCCAAAAGTTGCGTGTCATCTACCGCATCCTCGAATTCGCAGACTATAATAGCGCCCTCACGAAGGAATTGTGGTTCAAAGAAGCGTATCAGTACGGGCTCGATGCCGCTCCTATGTTCCTTGCTCTGATCGCTGGGAATATCCTTCATGTTGGAACGGTTATCCCTGGTAATAAGAACAAGTTTATCCCCATCCCTGGACGTCCGGTTGAGTTGAATAATAAAGTGGGCAATGGCTACAATGGTAGCAGCGAGGGAGTTGTTTATAATCATGCATGAAAGCGGGGTTTTGCGATAGGCGATTGTTGAATTTGTAGCCTGTGCTAGAATAGATGGGGAACTGGAGTATATCGATCTGTCAGGCTGGAATTGCTTCTTTGTTGAGTTGGAGTTAATAATGACCGGATGCAACATATTACTTGTGTCAAGCGTATATACCATTTTAGTTCCATCAAATGCTATCACACTTTGCAGTGGAGTTTGCAACAGAAATAAAGGCCGTGGGTTTGCTAGGGTCTACTAACTAGTTTCCTAAACCTAGGACCACATAATTACAGATAATTGAGGGTGAACCCTTTGCATATTTTTGGGCCGTAAACTAATATTCTGTACTATATATATTTATTACTTATTCTTATCCACAGGCATTTTTATGTGCAAAGAAACATAGATTTTTGTTCGAGGAAAACACAACAGGTCAATAGGTAGGTATAGAAGATTGAGGGGTTCAATATAAATCACTCAAGTTAAAGGGTCCAGGGCAGTGGCTAAAGCAGAGCTGATCTCATACGTGTCTAATGGTATAGAGGCTACCAAAAGAGGGGAGCCAAACACATAACCGTGACAATTCTTAATTCTTACGAAATAAGGTAAGAAACTACAAACAATTGTTAATAATGCAGGAAACTCTAAGGGGTAACAAGAATTGTCTTAACTTATTATACGTAGGTACTATTTGAATATTATATAATTAGAATGAAACTAAAGATGGAACTTAGAAAGATTAAGAATACTCTGTCATATAATTTGTCGGAAACAAGAACCATAGTCTCCAATGATTCTTGCAGCTGAGGTATTCTTATGTAGAGCATTGCTAAATCGAGGCTGTGCTGTATTTTGAATTCATGCGGACAAGTATGTTACTGAGATCTAGCTGTTCGTGTAAAGTGGATCTCAAATGTGCGATACATCTCCGTGTCTTGTTTTTTTCTAACCAATAAAACATACATAAAATTCTAAGTAGTTCAATCATCATGAAAATGTCTTTTATCATCTATCCCAACCCGGTGTAACCTTAAACTAACGCTCCCCTCCCTCCAACGCTCAGCAGCGCAGCCTTCTGTTCAGGACTAATCCTCACATCCGGCAAAGCCCTCTCCCCCTTTCCGTTTGGTGCTTGCAAGAATCCAATTCCAGACAGATACGCAAGATATTTGCCCAAGATTTCCGCATCAACGAAGCCTCCGGAGGATAAGTCTTCATCAGTGAACTTCGCGTCGGATTTAAGAGCCTTGGCGGCGTTGATATCGCACATTTCTGGTGCGATTGTATCCGCAGGAAGATCGGTTGTAGCGAAGTGGTAGAGTGGCATTCTGAGGAGGTTCTGTTAGCTGACAACTTACTCTTAGAGGGCGGAGTTGGTGTTAGAGGGTGACGTACAAGGCATGCTGCTCCCTCCCGTCATCAGCGGTGGCATAATCCTCCAGCTTCTTCTTCCACACGGAATAGTCTACCTCCGGAACATCATATCCGTATGTCTGTAAAGTCGACAAATATTGGCTAAAGGTCAATCGAGGGTGGCTCGTGACTTGCGATACTCCAAGAGGTGTCTTTGGTGGGCTCAAAGCGGATGCAACAACCACTCTCGCAACGTGGTTGACAGGAGTTGCGTTGACTGTGTTTTCGATTTTGGGTCGGCATCCAAGCTGTACGCAGCCCTTTGCCATACGGATCAGAAAGTCGTCGGTGTTGGTAATCCCAGTAGCCTTGTCCCCGGTAACATAGCCAGGTCGAACAATTGTGCCACGGAGACCTCGGGCACCCGCTGCTCGGACGAGATATTCGGCTACCCATTTGGACTGGCCATATCCCGTCCCAAGCCCAGTGGCGCTTCCGGATAGATCATCGTCCTCTGACACACCGCAGCCACCTTTGGCTACAGACTCTTGTGAAAGTTTAACAAAGTATGGAGTGTCAAGCACTGAGGTGGATGATACAAATGACAACTGTTTTGGCATTCCCGTTGCACATAGAGCGAGAATATCAAGTGTTCCTTGGACGTTAGCAGGTTTAAGATTGGAGTATGGATAAACCCAGTGAACAAGAGCACCATTGTGGATTACGACGTTGACTTCTTGAGCGAGTTTATTCCAAGTGGTTTCCGAGAGTCCCATCCGGGGTTCACCCAGGTTACCAGTCACGCAGGTAATTCGAGAGGCCCAGGCGGGATCCCAGACCCCGTACGCCTGACATGTTTGTACAACCCGATTGAGTGCTGTGGAAGGGTCTACTGCCCTGACGTGGGCAATGACTTTAATCGGTGGTGAACTTCGGGTTAGGAGGTCTCGAAGAAGGTACGATCCTAGGAATCCTGTAGCCCCTGTGAGGAAGACTGTGATTTGTGTAGTGGGTTCAATCGCGGAATCCACAGATGGGAAGCTTGCTGGTAGGTTTGCCAGGAGCGCTTTAGCATCTGCAGCATAGTCCTCGACGGTATCTATTTGGCCATTTGCTGCCGCATCGGTAGACGAGCTTCGCCTGTCAACTTGAGCAGCAAAGCTCTTGAGGGTTGGGTTTTGGAAAATGACGCTCATATTTATATGGATCTTGGGCCATTTTCGGTTCGCCTTGAAAAGCATTTGCTGTGCCAGGATACTGTGGCCTCCAATATCAAAGAATGAGTCGTCCGGACCAATGGCTCTCTCATCAATTGTTGATATCAAAGAGCCCCAGATACTTGCAACTTCCTTCTCGGTGGCGGATAATTCAGAGAAGTCGGAAGCAGGACGTGCTGCTGCAAGCTGTGCTGCATCTGGGAAAGGGAGTGCAGGTTTGTCTTTCTTGCCGTTGGGATTCAGTGGGAATTTCTCGAGTGGGATTATGACTTCGGGAATGGCGTATGATGGAAGCTTTGTCTTCAAATATCGCTTGACATCTTCTCCAAGAGGCCAGAACCGACGCAGTCGACCTTGGATGCCATCACCGTCCGAGGTGTCATCTTTCAAACCATTCAACTCTAACCAAGTCGCCCACTTCTGCATATCGGGGACAATGTAGCTGACCAATGTCTGTTCTTCGTCTTTGTTCCTCCGTACGAGAGTAACATTATCCAATACCATCTCATGGTCGGAAAGGTATTTGTCAATCTCACCAAGTTCGATTCTGAACCCGCGGATTTTCACTTGGTCATCTGCGCGACCAACACATTCAACGTCCCCGGTTGGGGTATATCGTCCCAGGTCTCCGGATCTATACATGCGATCTCTTGGGCCCTTGTAAAACTCTCTCCATGGCTCTTCGGCTATCGACTTGGCAATTTTCTTGTCTTCCTCGACCCATTTAGAATTATCCACGAACCAGCTATCAACGAATTTGGTCTTTGTGAGCTCATCATTTCCAAGGTACCCTTCGGCCAGGCCAGCGGCTCTGATGTAGATCTCCCCAATCTCACCAACATCGCATATGTGATTCCGGTTTTCTCGGTTAACAATCAACAGTTGTACATCCTTCATTCCTTTACCAGCAGGAATAATGTTGCCCATCTTTTCCAGGCACTCTGGATCTGAAGCGCGGCTAGGGATCTCATAATAACTAACTGCCCTCTGGCTCTCCGTGGTACCATACATATTGTTTATGTAGACATTGGGTGCCAATCTTTGCAACGATTTGCAGTCTCTTTTGATGAGGATGTCTCCCACAAAGAATGCATGATGTAGCTTTGGGAATTCGGCACTGGCACCACCTACCAGGATCTGGCCCATAGCAGGTGTCAAGTGAGTTACGGTGGCGCCATGCTCTCGCATCCATTCAGCCAATCTCTCATGCTGGATATCGTCCTTGGCGGGGACTAGAAGCTGTGCACCTAAGAAAAGAGGTGTAAAGATGTCTCGTTGAATAGGATCATGTGCGATTCCACTCAGCATTGTAAATTTGTCATCCTTCGTTAGGTGGAATCTCTCAGCCATCCAGTCGAAGTAATAAGCAAGTGAAAAATGTCGACCGCGAACGCCTTTTGGGCGTCCTTCGGATCCTGATGTAAAAGAGAGAGTTGGCACTGAATCAGGCCCAACAACGATGCCGGGGCCTTTGCTCTTCAACGATGCCTGCTCTTCGAAGACATCTTTCCCATTGATGCAACCACCCACAAGGGTGCCGTCGTCTTTGAGTTCCAGCCCAGGAACCTCAGTCCGCAAGTCAAGATTCTCCTTGATGAAAGTTCGGACTTTCTCCGTAAGTTCGCCAGCTTCTGTTGTTGCTTTGTCAATAATAACCAGAGCTCGTGGTCGTGCAACATCTAGATAGATATTTTGGCGGTCAGGTGGATAAGAGGGATCGATGACGGAAAATGTAGCTCCAGCCTTCAGGATCCCCATGACTGTAACCACTAGGTCTACCCCTCGATAACTATAAGACATGACAACTTCTCCCCGTTGAATACCGGACTGCACCAAGTGGTGAGCCAAGATATTCGAAGCCTCATTGATTTGGCGGTAAGTGAACTCTCGTCTTGGTGATGATGCAGACGCTGGCTCGACCACACATAGTCTATCGGGATGGGCTTCAGCATTTGCTGCAAATATATCTTGGATAGCTCCACGGAATGCAGACCAGTGAAGATCAGCAGTGGGATCAGGAAGGTCAGGCTTTGTCGAAGCCATGGTGACAGTTTGGTGGAGGTTGAGGCCAAGGAAAGGATGGAGCAATATTGAGTACGAGTAAGGTTGCTCTTCTCTGGACCACCGGATTGATATGATATTAGAAAATTGAGGATATTGAAGACGTTGAAACTATGATCGTAGGGATTGAAAGTGGAGGATTGTGTATGACTCGACGAACGAGGTTCACTGCACTATAAACGAATGCGAAAATCCTTGTCCAATTGGGCTATACCTCGTACGAGTATTGGTATTGTGCCAATACTGTGATAGTATGAAATATAGAATATATATGATGCTGGAAAACTATAAAGTATATCCTAAGACAGCTGCCGTTGTGTTTCGCAGGATTAGTACCTGCTGGTTCAATGACCTTCGAGTATGGACAATATATTTTCTATTAGTTCAGCCTTGGACGTTGGAAAATTGTTGTGCCGTCATCGGACAATCACATGATCCATCAGGGGTAATCCACGTGACTTTGCGGTACTTGATCGACCTCAATAGGATAGGTATCCTTGTAATCGCGAACATCGTCAGAACTGGCGTGTCGAGTTTATACTGAACGACGTTGTCCTCGCCTTGTACTAGGTACCTCGTTGTGTTTTTCATTCTATGGTCGACGGTTCTGGGACCCCTCTTCGTTATTTCTTTCCCTCTTCTTCCTCGGCGTCGCCCACATTCGTTACTCTGATGGGAAAGACATTTTGGGCCACAAGTACAATACAAGAACGATAATATCTACTTCGAGCTTTCTCCAAGCCCTGCACGCGGCCCCCTTCGAGTAGAGTTGTGCACTCGCCAAAATATTGATGCCATCAAATTGACGCCCTGCTCAAGGCCGTCGCTGACTTGCCACCGATCTAATCGTCGTCGAACCTATCCAAAATGCCAGTCCAGCGAATTTTCTTCGGCTGGCCGGTGCCTGCAATGCCACCACGAAGGATAGCAGTCCTCCTAGGCTCCATCGCTCTGTTCGCAGTCATCACGCTCGTATTCACGCTGCCGAATTCGATACCCTCAGGCCCATCACTGGGCAGGTTCACAGACCACAAAATCTCCCTTCCGAAGCTTCCCAAGACCTTCTCATCACCGAGCATCCTCTCCCCCTTCCGAGTAGCGGCACACCCACCCCCAGTGCTAAAGAATACCACGAGTGGCGACTCAAAGTGGTATAGCAATTGGAACTGGCTGAGTCCTTTTTCGTCTTCCGTTACCCTGGATGAAAATCGCTCACTCCTCCCACCTCTCAACGAACGGCCTCCGATTTATACCTACTACGACCACACACAGAAAAAGGCCGCGGACCTAAAGGCTGCTGATAACGCTCTTCTCCTTACCTGGAGGCGGGCTTGGTGGGCACAAGGGTTTCAACCTATCATCCTCAGCCCCGCCGAAGCCCTGAACAATCCATTGTATGCAGAGCTGCAGACGTTAGAGCTGGATAGCACCCTGAAGGTCGAGCTATCGAGATGGCTTGCGTGGGAGAATATGGGAACTGGAATACTTTGTAACTACCTTGTATTTCCGATGGGTGCCCAGGAGGATCATCTGCTATCCTTCCTGCGCCGAGGGAAATACCCCAAATTGACAAGGTTCGAAAATCTGGGTCACGGTATATTTGTTGGATCCAAGGCCGAGATTACCGCGGCCGTGAAGACCGCCCTGGACAACCCAGAGCTGAAGACTGCGAAAGACTTCATTAGCACTGTCCCTAAAGAAACCTTTCAGGTCGATCCTCACCACGAATCTGTCGCCTACTACGACCCGGTTGTGGTGAAAAACAAATACCCAAAGATTGACGAAGCTATATCGAAGGGCGCAAATGGGCTAGAGATCCTAAACAAACTCATTATCTCCCATCTACATGGCACCTGGCGGAATAGGTTTTCCAAAGGTATTGCCGTACTTAAGCCGGAACCTGACCACATGTCCGCAGCTATCGAGCCGGCATTCACATTGGCAGAGTTCCTAGCCCAATGCCCCGAGTCACCAATGCCATCGTCTTGCCCTCCGAACCGCCCAAAATGTAGCCCATGCATGGCCTCTACCCCGCTGAAAATCTCTACACCCCCAACATATAGGAATACCTCGGAACTCTATACGATCGGCACTGTTCCACATCCGTTCACCATGGCAGTTCTAAGTTCATTCCGCGATAATATCGACGTACCTTGGATCCGACGAGAATCGTCGCGCGATCCGTGGATCACAGCACTCACAAAAGAGGTCTCAGGAACCGGAGTATCATCCGCTCCGCGTATTATAAAATTCAAAGAAGCAGTTGCAAGTGAACATGGAACTTTCCATACCCTCTGGTTGACGGCGGAGAAGGAGGTCCCACAAGATCTGGATTGGCGTTTCGGCTTCACCATCCCTCGGAATGCCACGGACACTGGCAAATCGGAGACTCCTGTCCCCGGCCCCGAGCGAAGACCCCAGCCTAAACCCGACCCAAAGAATGGACCGGTAGCTAATCCAGATGATGTGAAGAAAGAGCGGGAACTTCTGAAACGTGCAAAGGACTTTGGACAAGCCAGAACGCCTGCCGAAGAAAAGCTTCGGGGTGCGATTGAGGCGTGGAATTTGGCTGATACGGAGGCTTGGAGATTCGCCCGAGCGTTCTTGGCAAGGTCCCGTGTAGAGCGGTTGAAGTGGGAGGAAGAGGAGAAGCACTATGTGGGAGGCGCGGGCGCTGAAAGGGGGAAGAGCTCGGGGTGGGGGAGGTGGTTTGATGACTGAGTGGGAAAACAAAAGGTCGGCCTTTTCTCTCACAGCATCATCTCTCCTCCTGGCATCGAGGGAAATATATATATTTGGGTTTGGCATTGGAGTTATAGATGGGTCTCATTGTCTGGCTTTTGGGTCTTGAATGTAACTGTAGGGCGACTGTAATAATAGATTTTAAAGACATGAACTCTTAGCCAGGTTCTTGGACAACAAAGTGTATGTGTGATAAGAGGTTAGTGGTTCTATGAGATGATCAGATACGCTTCCCTCTTCGGTCCTAGGGAATATTCCCCAAAAGGTAAATGCTAATAGGATATTGAAATCCAACTCTTCCGGGTAAGATCAAAAAGAGAGTTCAAAGGTCGTAACGGGCATTTCATTCAGGTGTTGAAACCCATCGAGAGGCCAAAAACAAGTGTAACAACAATAAAAACTAGCTAAATATTTTCCATGGGGATGTTGAAATGCCCCTCCTATTTTTTCATCCGTTTTAAGGTATGCATCAAACTAACCACAGCGAGAAAGCTTGAAAACAAGGAAAGAAAAAAGGTAAGAAAGGGGCTAAGAGGTATAGGAATGAAGCAGTTACTCGAGTAGAGTAAAACAGAAACCCTCCGATTCACGACCCCCTCCTCCCCCCAATCAGATGGCGACCTTCGTATCGCCGCCCATCTCGCCGCTCAATTCTCTATTCGTGACGCCTCTTCTCTGTTCTCCTCCTCGTCGACCAAGAGTCTCGGCGCTTGCTTGGGTAGCAACCACTCCATTTCCTTTGGCGACTCCATTACTAGAAGTAGCCCGGTGGGACAAGTACGTATCCAACCCCTTTTGAGCAGCTTGCAACGCGAGCTCTGCCTGGCGAAGGGATTGTCGAAGAACCTGCGCGACCAGATCCTCAGCATCCTCATCCCGTACCACCTTTCCATTCGTTGTAGTCCCATTCCCGAGGTTCTGGCCATTCTTTCCCTGCGCCTGCGCCTTCTTTTCTTCAAGCAATCTCTTTATATGATCATTCAGCCATAATCCTTCCAGCTGCTCCTTTTTCATATTTTTCGCTCCGGCGATAAATCCGCGACATGTGTCCGCGCCACAGAAACAATCAAATCCCTGCGCCATGTCCCACTCCGTGCTTGGGTAGAAGAATGTCAATTCATCGCCTGCTTTGAGGCCCTTTGGGCCAACGATGACATTGAGGGATGAGGTATCGAAGATCTATTTCTAGAGAACGGGAGGCAGGGTTGTTTGTCAGTCCCTTGCTCCCTTATTATAGTTTATTCAGGTCTATTTTCCTTTGTGTTTATTTTGGAAGAGAGGATGGGTATAGAGAGGAAAGAGGACTAACGACACTGGGCACGCAACCATGATTGATATACACCAAGTCACTATTCAGATTCATATGCTGGTCCCGTCCAATCTGCACTGTAGCATATGTTGCCTTCTCTGCAAGCGTACACGGTGGGAAGGCAAGCTTGGCAAAGACGGCGTTCGGTGGGAGGTCGACTGTGGAAATGGATTTCGTAGTGAACGAATCTTTCTCGGCGGCATAAAGCACCTTTTGGACGTCGGAGTGCGAGGGCTGTTGCCAGTGTGGGGTGAGTGGTGGCATTTTTGATTGAGTTTTGTTGGAGCTTGGCGCTTGAATTTGAGGTATGTAGTAGTCTTCTACGTTTTTCTTTGGTGCACTCGGAGGGTGGACAGAATTGTTGCTCTGGCTTTTGGTTGTGGCGTGAAAGGAATGGAGAGGAAGGGAAGAACGGGGTTGGGTTTCGGTTTGGGTCAAGACGGTCGTAGTGTAGTCAATTGGATCTATGGGATCGGTTTTACAAGCTGCAATGAAGCTTCACGATGGGAGAATCAAGTTGAGAAAATATGGGAATCAGCTGAGTTTTAGCCTCATGCCTCATGCTAGAACTAGAACGTGGACTCTCGGAGCGAAGGAAACCTCGGGAAGTACATATACAATCTGCGTCATGTGCACCGACGATGATGTAGGAACCCGCTTTTATAGTTCTGATACAACTAATAGTAAGAGAAAGGCGAAAGACCTCGGTTGCGGATGGAGGGGCAAGTGTTGTTTTCGGATAATTGCCCCTCCACACCCACTTTGCTAGGAACGACACAATTAGCATTGAATCAACCCACCCATCCAGGCTGCTAAATGCTTGTTTTTGGGGCGAATTAAGCAGTATTAAATCTATTCCCACCTTGGGACCGAAGTACTATCTAATAAATATGCCTCCTAATCATCATAGGGCCTCTCTATTAGTTAACCGTGGATTTTCGCGCTACCTAAACAAAACACCGGCTATTAGTTGCGCACGTGCGTCTCAATTTGCGGATGTGATGGTTGAAGCTTATTATTATTAACTCACCGAAGCCGTCGGAGCGAGTAGTAAGGGATAATTAAGGGGTAGTAGCTCGGGAAACCCCAATCTACCTTGCATATAGTATAGCGCTCTAGGCATCGCCCCTCATCTCATTAAGGTTGAAGGCTAAAGCGGGGGGCGTGTTGCCACCAACTAAGGTTGAACCCTGGGAACGCTGCCAAAGCATGCCTTCGACAAGTGGTCGATACTGGGCAGCAATAGTGAAAAAAGCTCGACCCACGAAGTTATCCCTAGAGAGAAATTAATGGCTAGTACATATAGCGACGTCAAAAAGATGCAAGTTCCAGTGAAAACAAATCGCTTATCAATACTGCGCTATATAGCTCAGACCATTTTGAATGATGGGTCAGGTCAGCGAGCCTGCTGTCGTATTGTATCCAGTGTTGATTAACCATTTTGCATATGTAACAACGGCGATATCACAAAAGTCGGGGCAGCCATCTCTTTGAGGCTGCCCCCGGGGCTAAGTGATAGGACTTTCGTTCACGTGAAACTTTGGCTCTCCAAGACTAGCACCACCTGATAAATTTCCGGGGGGATTCGGGACGGTCTGGATATAAACTTGCGAGCTGATATAGTTTCCGATATGGGTCGGTAAGGGCGGAAAAGCTGTCGACGAAACGGCCGATGACACATTTGAATACAGGAGCAGAATAGTGTATCGAGGTATACCAGTCTTCCAAGTTAGATGTTATTAGTAGTTGGCCGCAACTGAATTTATAGAGAAACCTGCTTATACTCAGGGTTGAGCGTTTGAGGGCTGGTAGCGAGAATGCCAGAATGGGCACCTGGTACGCAAGCTCCAGCTGTTCCAATATCCAACCACACGCCCCCAACGCAATAGGACTCCCGGTAGCTATAAATGAGTCTACAGAGCGATTTGCCTACCCCGCAAAGTCCTACTACAGCCCATTTAGATCAAATAGAAACAAAATAATCTGCAAAGCAAAACTACTAGAGGCGATAAAATGAAGGACGAAGTACATGATGGATTAGGAGCGCTTGAAAGTGGCGAAGCCAAGTAGAAGAGAAATTGAGGGATGAAAGAAATAGAAGTTGTCCATCTTGATTGTGTACATCTAATTTGCATTTTCTGGGAAGGTGCTGCCATCCAAACTTAGAATACATGACATAGCAGTCGTTACTTAACGGCACAGTTAACAGATCTGCCGTCAATATTTTGCCAGATCAATTACTGACCGCTAGTCTGCTTCGCTAGCATGTGATGGGTGGAATCACTATGATGCACCTGATGGGCAACGTTGGCGACCCCAAATATTTGTGTGATAGAGGATGAGGACGAATGTCCGACTAAGGACATTTACTGTGGACGGCGGCACTGCGGCAGCTTTGCGCATATTGACCGTTGCAGTCGTTCCCCTTGTTTGCCTGAGTTTAATAGTCATAATACTCGAGCAGACTTTAGAACTAGTGGTGAAGACGATGTTGCCAAGGCTCGGAGGTGCCTTTCCTCGAATTCAGCACAAGACACATTAGGCAAGAATAGAAAGGGTGGGTTCAACTAGTAAATTCCAAGGCCGATAGCATGATAAACCTGATAGGGTTGGTGTGCTGCAAATCTGGAAATAGCGGACGTCTATTAGATGGATTGGGTGTCAGAGGAGACGTGGAGGCAAACAAGTATTTTAATGAGATACCTGGGTACCGTCGAAGGTTATCGCTTAGTCATCCACCCCGCTAGCGTCGGCGCAGGTGCGCCTCGCTCCATTTCAGGTTCTCAAGTCGCGGCTTTGTACTTGAAATTCCAACCTCCAGCTCCGTCTCTTGACTTTTAACAAACAACTTCGCAATGACAGACGCAATTTCCATCGAAGAGACCAACAGGCTGCGGGTGTCTCTTGGCATGAAGCCATTACCCGTTCCTGGATCCAACGGCGCCGGCTTGAACGACACAACATCAGCATCTCCGCCTGTCGACGACGTAGGTAGCACTCTCGAGAGTCGCCAAGCCGAAGGCTACGACAATTATCGCACGTTACAGAAAGCAGAGGAGGCGAAAAGGAAACGTGACGCGAAAGCCGAAGCTATCAAAAAGGCCCGCGATGCTGCCAAGCGGTTCTCGAAGCTGGAAGGCAAAGGCCTGGGAGAGGCAGAGGAAGGCGAATTAGATGCGAAGGCCTGGTTGCTGAAACAGAGGAAGAGACAAAAGGAAATCGAGAAGGCAAGGAGGAGGGAACAAGAGCTAGCGGATGCTGAGGCCGTTGCACAGTATACTACAGTGGATCTCGCTGGTGTCAAGGTTGGGCATGAGCTGGAAACGTTTGAAGATGGAGAAGAACAAGTTTTGACTCTCAAAGACACGACTATCGATGAGAATGAGGAGGAGGGCGACGAACTCGAGAACTTAGATTTACGCGAACGAGAAAAACTCCACGAGAAGCTAGAACTCAAGAAGAAGAAGCCTGTCTACAACCCCAACGACGTCGACGAGTCGGGCGACAAGAGCATTTTGGCCCACTATGATGAAGAAATCGAAGGCAAGAAAACCAAGAGATTTACCCTTGATGGCAAGGGAAGCATCGCGGAAATAAGTGCTGAACGTGGCGCCGCGGTAAAGGCCAAGCCCAAAGCCATTAGTCTAGATATTTTAAGTGAGTTTATTCATTCTACCCAACCTCTTTTCCACGTACTAATATCTTCCTCAGAAGACGACGTCAGGTCTGACTACATGGATATATCGGAAGTGAAAGTCAGAAAGCCAAAGAAAAAGAAGGCGAAATCAACCCGTCAAAAGGCTGTGGACGAGGACGATATATTCCCCCCTATCGAAACCACCGGCAGCCCTGCAGATAATGGAAATGGAATGGATATTGACCAGCCAGCCGAACCTGCCAAGAAGCGCACTTATGATGATATGTCACTGGTTGATGATGACGATCTGCAGGCATCGCTCGCTGCTCAGCGAAGAAACGTCCTAAAGAAGCGCCAAAAGCTAAGACCGGAGGAACTGGTTCAGCAAATGCGAGAAGAAGCTTCTGCTACACCTGCCGGTGAAAACGAAATAGACGACACCCCAACTGGTTTAGTGATTGATGAGACATCTGAGTTTGTAGCGAACTTGCAGAAACCCGTCGCGCCAGAGCAAAAGCGGAGACCAAGTTCTCAACCAGCCGAGGTAGTAACAACAATGGAAGATGACTCTGACGAGGATGTCAATATGGATCGATCATACGCCGATATTGAAGATGAGGAGGATCGCAAGGCTCGGCTAGAGAGGGAAACATCTGCCAGCGCGGACATGACAGAAACTGGGCTGGAACGAGAAGCTACACTGGAAAAGGGACTTGGCTCCACTTTGAACCTTCTAAAAGGCAGAGGAATCATCCGAACGGAAGACACCGGAGATCTCAATGCAATCTTTAGACAAAAACAGAAGTTCTTGGCCGAGAAACAGCATCGCGAGGCAGATGCCGAGAAGAAGGCTCGAACTCAAAGAGAACGAGATCGTGCAACAGGTCGCTTGGATCGGATGTCTGCTCGAGAGAAGGAGGATTATGCGCGATCTCAAAACACATACCGAGACCAACTGGAGTCCCGCCAATTGGCCGACCATTTCAACAAGGAGTACAAGCCGAACGTGGAGCTGAAGTACGTCGATGACTTTGGCCGGCACATGAACCAGAAGGAAGCCTTTAAACATTTGTCACATCAGTTCCACGGAAAAGGAAGCGGGAAGCAAAAGACTGAGAAGTTACTGAAGAAAATTGAGGACGAGAAGCGCAGGGAGGCTCAGAGCACACTAGACGGATCGCAAATGGGTGGCATGAGCGGTGCGGCTGCACAGCAGTTAAAGAAGCAGAGACAAGCCGGTGTCAGGCTGGCATGAAATCGAGTCATGGTTTCGGAATCGGCAGAAAAGGTGCAACCTCCTCACACTGTATTTAACCTTATTTAATGCTGACGAATGCTTTTTGAAAGTTGAGATCTGTTGACCATTCAACATCTTGGCACTTTCCATGTGAGTCTGCTCGTTGCTGCATCCAACTAATTATACCTGACTAGACACCATCACGGAGACATTCTTCCAGAGCCTTGACAGACAGTGTTGTTTTCATCCATTATCATTCCTCCTTGCATCGGCTGGTCTTCCTGGAACTTCCTTGCCATTCTATTTATGTTTAGCATCCGAAGTCGGATAGCTTGGGCATTTGCACCTTGACATGCGTCAAAGGTATATGGTACTAATTCCTTAAGCAAGGCGGTTGGAATCTTTAGAGTTAGGCTTCTAGCTCCGTGGGCAAGACCGTACGAGTCCTATATCATTCGTAAATATTCTCGCTACCTTTGCATCTCTATCCTGTCTATGTCTATTGTGACATAAATTATTTGCCATGGATCGTGAAATTGTGTCTTAGTTAAGGACAAGCTGGCCTAATAAAGCATCGTTCTCGGTGATGAGGAACATGGTGTTATAATTGTCATCCAACTCATAATCTTCCTCTTCGAGGGTATACGATAGTTCGCCAGCGGATCTCCCTTGCCTACCTTCACCATGAACCAATTAGGGGCCAATCTGTTGGCTGAGCTTAATACGCGAGTGCTTTCCAACGAAGCCCTGTAAACCTCTTCAGCATTCTCCTAGCAAGACCATATACTTAGATCGTCAGCTCTCGAACGATAATTGGGGGTTCCTCGCTACCATGTCTTGGTTGGATATTCCTGGGCGGCCAAAGATGCAAGGACGTCCGTTGAGGCGTGCCGAGTTAATGAAGATCTAAACTCGGGTCCTGGCTAGGGTATACCTTGAATTTAAGCCTAATCAGTTTATATGCTTATTGGTTGTATAATACTTTAGTTGTAAAACCATTTCCAATACAATCAACTGTCGTCTGTCTAGCGCAAACCTGAGTGAACCTTTGCCGCCTTATTTTTACTCTCTTCCTATTGAGGTAGGGAAAGTCAGAAAAACCACTCATATGACATAACCCTCTAATAGAGGATGGGCGAACTTGGATTATCTCTTCGATGCCTCGTATTGTAGGGCAAATGAAGACACTAGGATTTGCAGAAGTAGTTAGTTTAAGACGTAATGGGTGTGTATCGTACAACAGCAATCACCCTCGCTGTGGACCTAGAAACTGATTGCTCCCAAAACCATCCAGTCAAAATAAGGAGGTATACCCTCAGTGGGTAGCAGTGGTGTAGCCGTAGCCTCGCTCATAGTAGTGAAAAGCAAAATAGCAATCACTTCCACTCCAATTGGTAAATAAGTTCGTCAAATTACTTCGGGCAGGTTTGCCCATCTCAAGTATTAAGCAAGCAACCCCCATCCACCTTCTTAGAATTATTATCTACCTTTCTTCGCTCAACATTGCGAGTTCCAAAATGTTATCACTCGATTATCTCCTGTCATTAAACATGAATAAAAGAAAACATTGTGTCCACAAACGACTCCGGAAGTCCAACATCCACCGACACTTCGGTTCTCATAGCCTCTTCACTCAAAACCGTCACAATGTAATTCATCTTGCCGAACTCGTCATATTATTTTCGAATCTACGGGGAGAAGATGTGACCTCCAAACAAGCACTCTCTATCTTCCAGTACCAGAACGAGCCGAGATTTGATCTCAGCAAAGACATGAGAGATGTCCCAGACGAGGAGGTGATTGTCTTGTACTTTCACTTATTTGACGACATGTATTTCTTTGGCTCATTGGCGCCTCGCTGCGATATTATACTTGCCCCCGAGGAAGCCAAAGATCTAGGATACAATGGAAAACATGAGAGCTACAAAATGTGGAATATCAAGCGAAACAACTTCATTTGCATTCGTCCGTATAGACGGAAGCGTAGCGAAATAACGTTATATCGGAGGGAGACTGAAACCCCTTTCCGCTGGCAAAGATTGCACATGTATCTAGGCACCTTGTTACATGAAATGACACATGCGTTTTTCATGCTATGGGCGTGTAAGCATAAAGATTGTGGTGCCGGGACCTGGGAAAAGATGGGATTGTACGGGCATGGATGTTTGTGGCAGGATATTGCTCTGGCGCTTGAGATGGCTGTTAAGGAGTACCCCATCTGTCTTGATTTGACGCTGACACGCGAGATTGCCCTGGCGAGAGAGTTGAGGCTGACTGGGAGAGCAGTAGCAAGGGAGGGAGTAGAAAGGTGGAATATGGATTACGATATTCTTCAGCAGATCTTGGATTGGAAACGAAAGCGGTTTGTCACTGGGTTCGTCGAGATCCCCACTCGAAGCTGAAGCAGAGCTGTATCCACAAGATAGATAACAATTGAGAAATCAGCGGACTTCGCCTTACAAATATATGAACATCGTCAAGAGCCACTTGGCTAGCTCTTTGGGTACAAGAAATAGACGTCGCAAGCTTCGCCGTCTAGTACCATGAGTTAGAATCTCAACACTTGTATACATGGTATTGATACACTCTGATTGTACAGTTAATGCCTATCGCTATATTATACAACCACCTTGTCCTCCTTGGGCGGCTGGGGCTGCTCCTCCATAAACTTAGCCCATTCCTCTCCTACACCCTCCTCCACCTCAGTCAACTCTCCTTCCCCTAGTGCTCCATCCATGTCCTCAATCGCTCTCTTTGTCGCATCCTCCAAACTCATCTGAGCGCTTTCATCTATCGGCGGTAACCCTAACGCCTCCCTCTGTTTCCTAAACCTCTCCTTTACCTTGTCAGTCTGCATAATTCTCCACCGCAGTTTCCACCCTCCCATTCCCAATTCCTTAATTCTCCTCGCCTTGTCCCCTAGCAGATATTCATCCAGCCCCCCAGACTTATCCATGGTCCTCAAAACCCTCGTCGTGACCCTGACCCTCACGAACTGGTCCAGACTCTCGCTCCATAACCGTTTGAAATGTACATTCGGGCGCCAGTATCTGCGAGTTTTGATTTCGTTCTTTTCAGAGACTTGGTTGCCGAATCGGATTTTTTGCAGACCGTACAGACCAAAATTGGACTGTTTGTATATGGCTGAGGGCTTGTAGGGGTATGGTGGAACGGCGGCATGCTCAAAAGCTAGCCTTTGTTTTGTGGATTTCGCAAGGAGTGTGCAGGTATGGCTGAAGGTGCGAATATGGGTGAGAGAAGGATGGGTCGGGAGTTGGACAGGCATGGTGATGGATATTGGAGAGTGGCCGCGGTGGTAAATATAAGGGGTTGATGGCCGGCCGCTGTTCAATGGTGGGCGTATTATGTAGGTCTAAAAGCCGACATCAACATGAGCTAATTTGCGAGAGAGGCGGGCAAATCTAGTTGTTCGAATGGCGGAGGCAGCATGTCAATGGTGTTGAAGCTATATCGCGAATTTATTTCTTAGCTTGCAGGCGGCTGGAAGCCTGAGGCAGCAAATTATTGCGCTCCCTTTTTTCTACACCTACTTCAAGCTACCTACTTCGTACCTTATTCAATGCAACAATGGATATGTATCTAGGTAAGCACAGAAACACAAATATCTCATATATGTTATTTTCCTTATCACAATACTATCTACCTCTCGTGAACCTTAGTTCTTTCCCCCAAATACCAATTACAACAACCTCGTCTGAAGTATAAGCTACTATCCAAACTACTTCGAGTTGGCCTTTTCATACCCAAGCCTAACTATCGAAGACATACCCATTATCTGGTATAGTTCCCCACGTTGACTCCATCCCAAAACACCCCTGAAGTAAATGCACGATTCCTAGCACACCAAAAGTACGATAAATTCCAAAGCTAGTCCCAAAACCAGCACAATAACTAACACATTTATTTGCTCTCGACTCGCTATGCTTCCAGCTGAACTCCGGGGAAACAATTTCTGGAGGGAGTTCGTTAGTGTCCTGATCTCAGTTCGAACAGAACACAATCCATCCAAGCAACTCCACAGACGTGGGAATATCAGGTCGGCTCTTTCTCCTGGCAAGCGAATTGGTACCTGTCGCAACAAGGTCCATATATCACCTCGTGAACTGATACCAACTCATTCCAACTCTGCCACATCTCGCTCAGCGGGCAGTTCGTGCTTGATTTCTCCGATTTTTGTGTCTGTATACCGCGACTGGTGCGCAGTCGAGGATTCACCAGTCGAGGATTGCCCATTCGATGATTCTCCGTTGGGTGATTGCCCGTTTGGCGAATGGACAATTGGCGACACCACACTTGGCGATTGCACAGCCGACGGTGGCAGTGACCGTCTAGAAATTTCTGATCTTCCCCTGGCCGTCTGAACCCCATTCACTTGAACACCTGTTGTTGGACGAACAAGAGGAGGGCCTAATACCTCCACGGCAGGAGTCGCTGGCTCACACGGTACAATTTGAAGTCGAAACCGGCTCCATTCTTTGTTCGGTAAGTCGAGCCAAGCTTGAAATCCCCTCGCGATAAACTCAGTTTCGTTCCATTTCAGGAAAATGGACCGTAGATCCCCATCGCCCGTAAGGTTCTTTTGAACCTTCTTCTCTATTGCGGCCCGGTGGACTTTCCTCCCCAGCCAGTATCCAACGGCTGGACCGAACACGAGCAGCAGCCCACTGCTTACTGTTCCGGTTGTGATTCCTGTTGTCCAGGCTGCGATGTCTTCCTTCAATGTGAGCTTTGAGGCTGCAACGATCTCACCACTGAACTGAGTCCATTGGTCATGCGATATTTTCAACTCTTGCAGTTGGTCGTCATAAGGGAAGCCGGAAGAGAGCGATGCGCTCTTCGTGGGAATGGCAAATCTAGTCCAACCTGGCGCTCTTGGTAGAGGTGGGTATGCCGGTGGTAGGGAGAGGGTTGGTGATGGCACTGACGCGGCAGGTTCAGCGAGGTTATCGAGTCTTTTGCTTCAAGTTAGCAAGGCACTGGAAAGTAGGCAAATCTCTCTCATGTATTTGGATACTAACGACTGTGTGTTTCGGAGTGTTTTGCTAGCCATATCGAGCGACAGAACTTGCTAGTTCGCAGTGTTCAAGAACGGGAGATCGAAGGTTTCGGGGAGCAAGATGTTACCCGTAAAACAGAAGACATCCAGACCCTGTTAAGAACAGGGCCATGTTAGGACGGATCGACAGAAGCCAATAAGCATATTAAAAAATCTAACCCAAATCTGGCGATTTACCCGGTTGCTGACGGTGAGAGGTACGAATCCTCTGCGGCGAAGTCATTGGCTAGTTTGCCTTCATCCGTAGGAAAGCTGAAAGTTGGAACCTTAATGCAACGTGGTAAAGCTAGCCAATGAGAGCCATTCCTAAATCCTAATCAACTCAGACAAACTTCTTTCCAACATCGAATGTTGACTTCCACTCAGTGCGGTCTCGCTTGGATTTGAGTCTGCGGGTAGGGCGTTGCTATGGGGATGATAATCTACGAAGCAATGGCACAGCCAAGGAGTTTGGGCAACTCACAGCCGTCTGACTTTCTACCAAGGCTTGGGATAACGCAATATCTCTCAAAATGACTTGGCATGATATACAAGCTGTAGTCAAGTTATTATTAGACATTTTGAAACGGCTCGATCCTCGTTCCCACTAGGCAAGTAAACAGACGGAAAACTGCCTAACAATAACATCTCGACCAAATAATAAGAGAAGAAGGTAAAAAATGTACAGTTATAACAGTACGCCGTAAACTAACAAACGGACAAGGACCAGATGAAATAAATTGAGAATTTTAATAAATGATGCATGCTGCTTATTAACAGGGTAAGGATGACAAGCGGCAGAACATATCCCCGAAGCGAGGCTAGAACTTTGTTGACATTCACAGCCTCGCGATTTCAGGGTCTATACTTGCAAACATACTCGAATTTTAACCCCACCACAAAGATGCTGCCGCCTATCGATTCTACCATTCTCGAATCCAATCCCAAATTTGCAGCATTGCATGCCACCCTCGCAAATACCATCTTAAACCCAAATGGCTCGACTAGAAACCACTCAGGGCAAAAAGAGCGCGCTCCTAGCTCTGAGGTCAGTTACCCCATCCAGACCTCCTCCGTTCTTCTAAATGCCAGCTATCTATCTCCCGTCAATTAACTAGCTAAAGCTAATCTCTCAGCCTCTAGGCACTAAAGGTATCCCGGATTCGCGCAGCCAAATCACATATCCTCCTCGTCGCTCTCCGTAATCTCCCTCTCTCGCCCTCCACATCATGCTCAACAACCAGTACCACAAAGCCAAGCACCAAATCTCAAGCAAAGCAACCCACACGATCCCTTCCCCCTGAACTTGTTGAATTAATACTCCTCCTTACCTCACGCCTCTCATCCACACCCCCGCCCTCCCAACTCAAACTCCTTGAAGCCACCCCACAATGGTACTCTCTATCCACATACCTCCCTGAAATCGGCGCACATGTATCAGCACATCTCCAAACACAAGCTCTCTCACTCGCACGCATCGTATCACCAAGCACCAACCCATCTTTCCTCCACCGCAACATCCCAAAACTCACCCCCACAATAACATCCCTCCAGCACAGCATCTCCACCAAGAAAGAAGACCTGCATAAGCAACATGCACTCTTAGCAGCCCGTACAACGTCCCTATTACAAACATACCAAATTGCCACAGCTCTTACGATCCAACTCCTCGAAACATCCAAAAATGGCTCCCTCTCCCTAGAAAAATATTACCTCACGAAGATGAACTCCCTCGCGCTAGAAATGCAGAAGATAGAGCTGGATGCGAGGGAGAAGGCTTTGAAGGGGGAGAAAATGGTTTATACGCCGGATGTAGCCAATGCGTTGGGGCGGTATATGGAGAATTTGAGGGATGGGAGGGAGAGGTTGAAGGATCGGAAGAGGGGTGCTGAGAGGGTGCTTTGGGGGTATGGGATTGGGAGGAGGCAGGAGGAAGGGGGGAGGGAGAAGGAAAGGGTTATGAGAGAGATTGCGAGGGTTTATGGGGAGTTACTTAAGGAGGTGGAAGAGGCGGGGAGGGATGTGAAGAGGTTGAAAGGGGGCAGGTAGATGTAGAAAGTAGGTGGTAATAGTTAATGAAGGATAAATATATGAGACCAGATCTTTGTTGAACAGCATGATTGTAGAGTGGATTTTAAAGGTGTTTGTACATTAAACTTCTATCTAGCCAAATACATAATTCACATCCCCGGAACTATATCCCATGAAGCCCTTCCCAATGAACACTTCATTTAAGGCTTGACAGCGTGAATGGCGGCTGCGAGTCTCTTGACGTTGCCGGTTGTGATACCAGCGACAGATATTCTGCCATCCTTGGTGGCATATACGGAGTGCTAAAACCAAATTATCAGTACCCAGTCTCCCGTACATCAACCTTCAAAACTTACCTCCTTGGCCAACTTCTCCATTTGCTCAGGTGTCAACCCAGTGTAGGCGAACATGCCAATCTGGCTTGTGATATGGCTCCAATCATGCTTTGATCCCAAGCTCTCCAACTCTTTCTTCAAGAGTGCTCGCATGGTGATGATACGGTCAGCCATACCCTTAACTTCTCCCAGCCATTGCTCGTTCAAAGCTGGACTGTGGAGAATCTCGGAGGCGATACGGGCACCGTGGACTGGGGGGTTGGAGTAGAGGGGTCGGACGAGGATCTTGATCTGAGAGTCGACTCGCTTCTTCTCATCTGCGTTTTCGCAGACGATGGAGAAGGCGCCTACACGCTCGCCGTAGAGACCCTATATCATATTAGCGTTGAGAAATCGAAATCGATTGGTCATTCATCGTACCATGTTCTTGGCGAATGATTGAGCGAGGCATGGGTTGTGGCCTTGCTCGACGAAGTGTCGGACTGGGAAAGCATCTTGGTCTGTGTTCCCTGAAGCAAATCCTTGGTATGCCATGTCGAAGAACGCATAGTGACCTCCAGCCTTGACGGCCTGGCTGATCTCTTTCCATTGCTCAACAGTTGGGTCAACACCGGTGGGGTTGTGGGCGCATGCATGGAGCAAGAAAACGCTGCCCTTTGGTGCTCCCTTGATATCCGCAACCATGCCCTCAAAGTCAAGGCCAATGGTGTCTTTGTTGTAGTACCGGTATTTTTCGACTTCGAGTCCTGAGTCCTTGAACACAGCCGCGTGGTTTGCCCATGATGGATTGGGGATATAGATTTTCTTTGCGCCGGGGTAGAACCTTTGGATGAATGCGCCTCCGATTCTCAAGGCGCCTGTGCCCGAGATGGATTGTGTGATGACAAGGCGGTCCAGTGCGCTGGAGCCTTTACCATATGCGAGGACGGCCGCAGCCTTGGTGAACTCAGGAACACCAGTGATACCAGCATATTCTTTGTTCAATTGTTGCGAAACGACTTTGTCCTCGGCGGTTCGGACGGAGGGAAGGACGTATGGCTTGCCTTGGTCGTCCCGGTATGCGCCGACACCTAGCAAACAACGTTAGCATTGCGATTTCCCAATTGATTCAGCAGAGCTTGGGCATACCTAGGTTGATCTTCTCCTTGAAGCTATCGGCCTTGAAAGCCTCAGTGATACCTAATATGGGGTTAATAAAAACCAATATGGAGACGATGCCTCGGCAGTGATGCCATACCTAAGATAGCCTTGCAGGAAACGGACCGGTTAGCAATTGGAACAATTGGCAGGCAGACCTAGGAGGAGCTTACATCCTATTCGACAATTAGCTAATGTTCTGTTTCAATTCATCACACTCGGCGAATTGACTTACTGGAGGTCCTTGGGGCACGTTAGCCCATGTGGAAGCTTGTCTGGCCGCTATCGCGCTCCTCGCAGCGATATTACGGGAGACAGCCTGTCTGCTAGCTAGTCTGACGGATGAGAGCATGATAAATAGCGGGAAGGGCGGAGAAGGGGGATATATAGAAAGAGAGTGAAATGTTTTTAATGGAGGATGGAGGGAAAAGGGAGGTATTGCAGGTGTCAACGACAGATATGCGGTAGGTAAATGGGGTGACTGTGTTGTTCCGATATTTGTTGCGAGCACGATCCAGCTTGCAGGGGGACAACAGGAAAACAGGGGTTCGCGTCCCAGGCGAGGGAAATTTATTACTGGAATGAGTAATCGCGTGGGGAGCGCTTCCGTTTCCCCCACGCCCCAAAGGGGAAACCCGACAGACGAGAGACTCCAGAGAGTAAATAAACAAAAGTCTCCACAACTCCAAGAGTTCCTCTATATAACTTGGCAAACTCCTAAATAAACTTAACCCTTGAATTAAATTGATTTCTTTTCTTGATTATCTATTTAAGGAGGTGATATGTAAGGGATGGAATATTGAAACAATCAATAACATGAAATGCTTGCATAAAGCAAGTATAAAGCAAGCATAAAATCCCAATCCAAGTCTGGAACGTTACTGAACTAGGAAATGAGCGAGCGATGCTTTACTACTAGATGTCTTCTTTCGAATTCAATTTTTGGCTTGTGATATCATGTGTGTTCTTCTCACAAGCCAGGTACCTATGTAGTCACGGTCGTCCTATTTGGGCTTAGTGCCTCCCACCTGGTATGTAGCTCCGCACTCGTGAGAGCTTACCCCCCCCCCCGAACACACAATGCACACGTCTACTTCCCTCCTTGCTCTCTCCATTCCTTGACCTCCGATAGTTCTCTACAATCATAACTTTCAAATTGACTACCTTCGAAAAGTGGCGCCAAAGACCTTCTTGTTGCACTACTTGGCTAACGGTCAGATGATCGATACCTATTGATTTGGAAGATCTCCCACCCTGTTCCCCAGCAACACTATATTATCGTACGCGCCGCATACACATTGCAAGTCAGGGCCTACACCAGTTTAATTCTTGAGTTATTAGTGCAGAGGTACCCTCATGTTTGTTCTATGGTAAGAAGAGTTTAGAGGTCAACAGATAGAATTGTGATAGTCTGAATAGGCTGGTTCCAAGAGGATATTGGACCTTATTCCTATATAAATAATTGTATTAGTCTTCCTTGCCCCTATTCCTTATTTCGGAGCCCGATTTACCCATCGCCTGGGGATATATTTATCCGCCCTTTTTGGACTTTAATTTCTCCATTGGTGTCAAACACGTTTATGCAATTTTGATTCTTACGTGTCGCTCAATAGCTTCTTTACAATCCCTCCTCATTGTATTGTGACATTACAATTAGTTGTTGTATAGTGTTGCAGTATTTAAGGTATATACTTTGATGATGGTATGTTCGACGCTGAGGCGAAACTAGTGTTTGAAGTGGCATGCGATTATACACAACGGGGCGACGTTTCTTTGATGAAGAGATTCGAATCACTCCGACGACCCAATCTAACAATTCACGCTCCATCATACGAGTGCAACTAGCTTTTTAGTAGGAAGCCTACAGAAAGTAATCGCATCTCCTGATAGTGTTGTCCGCAAGTCAGCGAAGGGAACTAGCGAAATATTGAGCAGGTTTCATTCAGATCATGTCTAAGATGGAGAATATCAGCTAGAGTCAGATGTATACGGCAGTATTTCCTTGTCTTTTAATCTAAATCTGTGTGGCAGTTTATGAGCTTATATTACATGCCATCCGAATTTGATTTTATGAGCATCAAGTTTGCTCGTGCGCCAGTGGCTTTTGCGAATTTGTCCATGGCCTCAAGGCAATTGACCCCTCAGTGATTAAATCCCTGAACATGGCAATTAGAGCAATTAGGGACAGGGAAATGACTCCGCAATTGATCTGCAGCTAAGCATGCATCCTTCCAACAACTGATTTAATCCGGAAATCTATCTTGTCATATATAAACTAGCAACCAATCTGATTTAATGACTTTGAAAGTTGGTAGGACGATGCCGCGCAAGGTCGGGGGAATTCTTATAAGCTAACACTTGTCTTCAACGTAGTCACGAATCTCACACATTACAAAGCACATTTTTGTAGCAGTAAAAGGCACATCAAAATAGTTGTCAGTACAACGGTATTTGCCTGAAATGTCTTCCCCTTTATCTCCAATACCAGTAATTTATACACAAGAGCGTGAAAATGCAAGTGCATCCACAGCTCCAGAGCAGTCTTGCTGCCCAAAAGAAAGAATCGAAAGAATATAATCAATACACAAGAAACATGAAGTTTTAACCTTCCTCGCGCAAACGTCTTCCCCTAATAATATCGACTTTCGTTTTTTAGAAAGTGAGAGTGTTACCGGCCTTGCCAACAACAGCAGCCTTGACAGCAGATGCTGCGACCAAGGTGTATTTGTATGGAACGGTCTTGAGAGTTCCAGCGGGTGCGGTGTTCTCGGAGGGTCCGAAGTCGTTGCCGCTGGCGACGGCTCCTCCATCGTTAACGGTGTAAAGTGCCTTGCTGGACTTGCCGGCCCAAATGTTGTTCTCAACAAGGACTTGAGCGCCGGATCTGGTGTTGATTCCATCAGAGACGTTTTCGTAGTAGTTGTTGAACATGTGGCCAGTGCCGAAGCGGAAAGATGGTCCACGGGAGTTGATGTTGAGCCAGTGGTTGTTGGCATAAGTGATTCGAAGCTTGCCAGTGTCCTCAGCCTTGTTGCTGTCGGAGTGTCCGACGAGGGATGCCTTCCAGTGGTCATGGATCTTGCTGTTGGTGATGGTGATGAAGTCAGCAGCGTGGGTGGCATCCAATAATCCATCATAGAAATCTTTGTCATGGTCACGGTCGGAGCTGAGATCGACGTGATCAACCCAAACGTTGGTGGACTTCTGGATTCCTAATGCGTCGCCGTTCGCGGCCACAACATTGGCAATACCGATGTTACGGATGATGACGTTCTTTGCGTCCTTGACGAGGACACCGAAGCCGGTGAAAACAACCTTGGAGGATTTTCCGATGACTGAAGTGTTGCTACCGATCTTGACCTGCTTCACCGAGCTGGTGATAGGGGCAGAAACGAAGACGACCTTCTTAGCATCACCAGCAACTGCTGCGGTGAACTGGGCGAAGGAGCTGACAGTGGTGGTGGTTCCTCCAGCTCCTCCAGTAGTTCCACCGTTCTGGCTTGCATATCCACCTGGAGTCTATTTAAATTGTTAGTAATTTGTATGGGAAGCAAGTTTCAAGTCAGTATCATACCTCGGTGACGCTAGCGCGCTTGTTGAACGAAGCGTTCGGCTCATCGATAGTTGGGGTTGGTGCTGCCAGAGCGACGGCGGCCATGAGGCCGGAGGAAAGAATGGCGTTGAGCTTCATGTTGATGGTTGAGTTTTTGTATAAAGACTAGATTCAAAAAGTGTAGTTGATTTGTGTAGTTTGGGGTTAAAAATAATACGGTCGATTGTTATGAAAAAGAGTGTAAATGGTTCGAATGAAAAAGAGTGTAAATGGTTGGAATGAAGAGTAAGGGGTTGTTTCTGGTGCGAACAGGAAGGCTATATAAGAGCTGAACTTGGGAATTCAGCGCCAAGATTCGGATTCATGATACTGTGTTAGACTGTTAGCACGACATGAGATACGACGCCGAATTCGGTGGTAAGGTGGGTTCGGTGGGTCCTACACCGCAAAGTTCCGTTCGGACAAAGATGACTGAGGAGAAAACGTTCTCAAATGTCTACACTTACATGGGGAGGAGGTCTATCCACCTCGTACTTCGTCCATGCAAGAGACGTTTCCGGACTTCTCCGGCAAACTGAGTTACCTCGCTTACTATATAATTTTATACTACAACATAGGTACTAAAATGGCCTATACAAAGTGGGCCAAATCTCCTATATACAAATGCCACGACACATAAAGTAAAGCTATTCGTATAAATATTTTCCTAGAAAAATAAGCCTGATTCGCAATCTCTAGAATTAAAGCAGTTTAATAGAGTACATGTATGCTTGTCAAATAAGAGGTACTGAGTTGCGGCCAACTGTATTAGAAGTAGAGCGTTTTAGAGTTTTATATACAGATTAATAGCGTACTCGTAAAGCACTTTAGAGTAGAGTTTAACTATTTTTTATTCTTTATGGTAAATTAGATAGACTTTTAGTGTAACAGCCGTGCAAATCAGTTGGTGTAGCTATGTAATTCCACTACTACTCTTGGAAATGGCTACAATTGGTGCGCTTTGATCTGTGCGGTTGGGGGGGGTGGACGAGTATTTGAGACGGTCGTGGTCAAAGTGTAGATACTCGAGACGTTTTCTCGGTGATTTGATCTTGATTGCGGCTCCCTGTACAACTGCCTTAATTTTTATCGGTTAATCAACAAGAAACACAATGGTGGATCTAGAATCGGCGGTTGGTGGGAACATGATTTAATTTACTCCGTAAAGGCGGGGGCCAAGTGCCGGGTATGGCTGAAACGAGCATTGTTAAATTGGGGCCAGGCCACGTGGTGAGGGGAGACTCTTGACTACCTACTGAGATTCTCGCAAGCACTACGAAGTTGAGATCTGAACATACCTCCGTTGATCTAGGTTAGTAAAAACCTAGACTGTACATGTGGTGCGTAGCATACCATACTTTCCCCTCTTCAAAGTCAATTTAATTAATATCTAGCAGATGTCCTTAACTCTTCCGTTACAACTATCTCCGGTAAAGCCACCACGATATCACTCCGACGCTTGCTGGCTAGTAGTCAGACCCCATACAGATAGCCAGTTCCGAACCCATTCCTCGTTGACAGGTTGCATCTGATCCAATGTTGTGCTTGCTTGCTTTGTGCGATCCATGACGACCCTACTCTCTCGACCAGCTATGTTGAGCGTCCCTTGCAGATAGTCGAGGAGTTTCAGAGCCGGATACTTCTCGGCAGCATGAAGCTCCAACTCTTTCGATCTGAGATCCTTGATCCAGACTGCAAAGGGAACGATCTTGCATGTAGATGCTATCGCATCTTTGATCACAGGAACTAGCTCTGACCATGGTACCTGGTGTGGATTGACGATATTGTAGACCTGGAGTGTACTGATCGTTTCGATTAAAAGATCGTGGAATATGAGTTCTGCTATGCCCCGAGTCAAGAAATTAACCGGTATCCAATCCACAGGCTGTAGGTCGGAAGGTATAAGACCCAGATTGGCGGAAGATTTCATCACGGAAGGAAACCATTCTCGTTCATTCCATACGGCGGAACTCGAGCTTTCTTTAATCATGATGCCTCGGATATTGTCAGTCACAGGTCCAGCAATTTGGCCTAAACGAAAGATTGTCGCCCTCAAGCCAGTGTGATGCGCAAATTTGGCAAGAATTCGTTCAGCCACGTATTTGGACTGTGCATAACCCATAGGCATAGGAGCCGAAGCATCCTGCAAGACGTCTTCGGGAATGATAACCTGATTTGAATCGGATGTACTTTTCTCGTTCGATGACGAAATCGAAGAGACAAAGAATAGTCGAGGACTTCTCTCACAGGATACCAGGACTGTGCAGAGAGCAGATAAAGCTCGGATCTGAGGTTCAAAGTAGGACAGCGGCTGGTTGAAATTCACAGTCCATGCACTGTAAATAACTCCATCCATATTTTCGAACACTTCTTTATGTTTTTGGATTTCCTCCAAGCTCATATCAGCCAAGGACATCGTTTTGAACTCAATGTGTGCATTGGTCTGCACTGACTCTAGCAGCTGACGATGGGATTGCTGCGCTGACGCATTTCGGTCAATACAGGTAATTTTGGCGACTTTGGGATGTTGGATCAAATTTGCCAATAGCTGTTGGCCGAGAAATCCGGTAGACCCGATTAATCCAATATGTAGCTGGCCGTCTTTAGCAGGCATTGAAATGGCTCGTTGCGGGTTGGCAGTGGAGGTGTAGGTCTCGATCACCCTTTCAATGTTTTTGTTATTGAGGGTTTGCGAATGCTGTTCCTCGAGCTCACCCAAAAGATACAGGGAGATTGCTTCGGCTAGCTTTTTAATAGTAGGATACCTGAAGAGCATGAGAGTTGTAATAAAGGAAAGTTTGTTATCATCAGCATAAATTGATAGTCCTGTCCGGATAGACTTTGAAAGTTCAAGAGCCATCAAGGAATCGAGACCGAATTGGAAGAGATCATCTTCGTCTCTTGCCGCAGCAAACTTATCGAACTCATGTGTGGAATTTTTGACAACCTGAAGGATCTCAAATTGGGGGTCATCGGTTTGAGAAAGCGATTGCTTCACATCTTTGGCAGCAGAATCAACCGATCCTGAATATAGCTTTTCGATGGCCGAGTGAAGCTTGTTGGCTGTGGCGGAGCGGACAATAGTGCCTTTTGGTGCTCGAACAAAGTCACCAGGCTGCACAATTGCTATTTTTGATCTCATCAAGCGTCCAAATCCCTGAGATTGTTGATTGGCTTGCTCTATTAGTGGCCAAAGTGAATCCAGTAGGTTCTCCAATGACGCGACCGTCTTCTTAGGTTCGATAATAGCTGCTGGTTGGAACTTCCCGTCGCCAATAATTAAAGCGCCTGCAACATCTCCATGACTTTGTATGATACTCTCCGAAGGAATCGGGTTCCATTTTTGGCCATTTGAAAAGACAATAATATCGTCATTGCGACCATCTGGAAGCCAAATAAGTTAAGGTAGATAGACAACGGTGATGGCCACTTACAGAAACGCCATAGCCCAGGCTTGCTCGGATGTGGTAAAAAGAGGTCTCGGGTTCGATATTCAGGCTTCTCCCGCAAGATTGTTCCACCAATACCGCGGTACTTATCCGCCTCGGCATCTCTCCTAAGTACCAATTCATACGCACCATCAATTTCTGGCTCCATAATGACTTTCCACGCAGGATGGAACTCCATATATTGCCATGTTTCGGGCGTTTGCACAAGACATGTGATGGTTCCTGTTTCCGTGGCACCGTCTTCCCAATAGCAAGTCAGCAACTGAGAATGGGATACTTTGGAAGCCTCACTTACATACGGGCGACAACCGAGTCAGAAGTGCTAGTTGATCTCCGGCTGTCTTTTCCAGCGGTCCTCCAGCATAAACAATATCATCCAGCTTCTTGATGATATCAATAGCTCCATCGAGCGTGAGCATTCCCTCTACAATAGAAGGGGGGGTGAAGAGAAGGCGCACTCTCTTCTGCATCATCATCCGAAGAACCTGAGAGACGTATTAGCACGGAACTGTTTGTTTGTAGATTTACTGACCAGTTCAGGCAGCGCTGGCCGATCAGGGAACCCTAGCAATAAAGAACAAGACCGGCCAAATACCGGATGGTATATATATGAGATGAAACCTGCAAGATGATAAGGGGGAAATGGACATAGGAAGTATCCACCACCCTCATAATCCCAAAGTCTTTCACCACCTTCCAGTCGACCGGGAACTTGTGGGCGAAGTCGGTCGCAGTTGGCAAAGTATTGGTGTGTTTGGGTGATGGGTTTGGGGGCTCCAGTCGAGCCTGACGAGTGTAGAACGAGGATGGGATCAAACCTTGCCTCCTCAAATGACTTGGTGAAAGGATACGGATGCTTGTAGGCATCTAGCCACTTATCAAAAGAATCAATCTCGACTATATGAAGCGAGTCATTCCCCATCGCCAATTGTATTTCCTTCGCAATACTGGCCATTTCTGACGAGTAAAAGAACTTGGTACAGCCTGTCTGTTCGAGCAGCGAGACATTTTGATGGGTGGGATTGCGAGATGACGATAGAAGAATTTTGTAGCCACATTTGACAGCTGCATAGAACATCAAAGTATAGCGAAGATCTGCAACGCCGGTGTAGGCCAAAGTTTCGAAGTCATTGCTCACTCCAAAGTTTGTTGTTAGCCAAGCTGCTAGAGCATCAACACCTTTAAGAACCTCGCCAAAAGTGATGTCCCGGAATCCGTCAGCAATATCGTGGGTTCGGGGGACTGAAGCATAGATTCTGCCAGGAGTTTCTGCACCGATGCGATCAAGAACGGATGGAAGTAGGCGAGATCCCTTCATTGCTGGAGAAAGCTCAGTCATTTTGTCTTGATTTTTGCTTGAGTTCTCTCGTTAACAAAAATGAAGTTAGCATAGGTAAAGAATCTAAAGAGCAAGCTTAATAGGAATGTGCATTGTTATATGATTCGAGAGTCGGCAGCTGCCAGCCAACAGTTAGCTGTCAACTTAGGCGATCAACCACAGCAAACGCATCTTCTGTTGTTGTTGGCCGAATACCCTTGCGGCACGCTTGGCCTGCAGGTTAGCTATATACTTGTTACTTCGTACTTCATACCAACGTGAATACCTGATATTCTATAACCCCTCTGACAAAACATAGAGCGCATTCAGTAACCAATTATAGGTATTTACTCTATACGCTATTTAATATAAAATACTTATAAAAGAAAAGGCCATTTTTTATCTACAAGTTTAATGAGTTATCCGTTTCTGAATTCTTTTTAATCTTGCTAAATCTAACCCTGTCTTAATACTCGTACTCGTACGACTTAGCAAATCTTTAATCTATTTTGATGTTACGCAAGGGCCCGCCATTCCCGCAGTCCCCAAAAGCAAGCATTGCCAACCCCACACCCCTGGGCGAAGGTGTGCGTTACAGGCATCACAAACAAGACCACCATCCACAGATTCCAGAGTCGAAAGGTCGCCTTGTCTTGATCGATGCTTCGTTTGGTCAAGAGTCGATATGCGATGCAACAACCCAATGCCGTCGGCACACATCCTACCGGAACAGCATATAGCTTCCAGAACCACGCACACATGCACGACCAAAATAATACAAGCACCGCCGTGGCGTGCCTGGCAGGGCTGTCACCGATCTGCAGCGGCAATGTCTTTCGACCCCGTACGCTATCCCCCGCCTGATCGTGGAAATCCTGCGTCTGCACTGTGCTGAAAACCACCAGGCCAAGGATAAAAAGCCATGGAAAAGCTTGAACCGGCAGCCAAGTGTTGCCCAAGGCAACCTCGAGAGCCCCAGAAGTGTAGCACATATATCCGGCACCGTTGATAAAATTCCGCACCAATGCGTTGGCGTCACCACCACCCAGGTGATTGTACCATTTGGCGAGACCGAGTAGCGTTATGCTTTGGCGTACACCTCCAAGTTGCCAGCTGCTGATGAACGCAAACGCGTACAGAGGGATTCTCAATGCACCAGCCTGCTTCGGTGTCATGCGGTTGGACGGCAGTGTCCTCCATGGTTTGTTGCACGCGTCCTCGGAGATTGCCTTGGGAGAGAGTTGGTTATCGATCGCATGCGGAAGGAGGTTGATCCATGCCCAAAATGCGACCATGGCAGTGACTCTGAAAAATGTAGAGGGTTTGGTGAGGTCCAGGGCCAGAGGGAGGTAGAGACTGTACGCCGAGGCTACGAGGGCATTGGACATTCCAAAGGCCGTACTAGGACCTACGATGGTCTTGAGATCGCTTCTTGTGAAGAGCCAGATTGAGTACACATAATGAGACAAGTGCCGGTAGGTCGCCATTGCTTTTGCAATCTCATTCCTTCCGAGATGTCACATTTTATAACCCCATTTCGAAAGGATCTGGCGATTTTCAATTTCTATACGTCTACCAGAATTTAACAGAACGAGGTAATGGATCCAGATTTTAGCCGGTTGGTGATGATCGATAGACAGTTGTATCATCGATTGAAGGATCCTTCAATATTATTCTGATTGGATACATCGTAAACTTCTAACCCCGAGTACATGTGCCTTAAGATTGCGTCAAAATAGACATTGGTTTATCAAGAAGCATGTCAGATGGTAGTCTGACCGTCAGACCCGGTCAATACTTCTATCCCTATCCTATAGCATCGCTACCTTCATAGACTACCGGTGAACTGCTTGAGTATCAAAAGCCAAAGAAGCAAGTGCCGATCCCGACACAGCCTACTTCGTAAAACCCTCCCCCGTCACGGAGATTATATATTTTAATTACTTGTAGCTTAGTCACAGTTTATATCTGGGGCATTTCCAACTTCTGAACAGGGTACGTATGTCATCGCACGCAATTGATAGTCGACTGGTGAACTGTTTACTTCGTATCGGTACCAAGGAAAAACTCTACCATATACTTTTGATTAGCTGCAATAGAATATGGGAGGCGATAGGTGGTCAAGGATAATGGTTCCACGTACTTGATTAAGAACTCGTGTCTTAGCTATCTCACTTCAACACTCCACTTAGAGCCCCGGTAGCTTTCAGTCATCCCTTCACTTTCCAACATGTCATCCGAATCCTACACATCGACATCGGCTTCCGCATTTTTGTGATCCAACACTAATTAGAATTGCAGCGTGAAGCTAAATCTATTTTCTTGCTCTGGGATAGAATCTGCCATTCAATCCTTGAGCAGACTTCCGACAAGTTCCTCTACTCCCCTATAGCATCTAGTCTGTCTAAGTGGCCCACTGGCTAGTCTCGTTACGAGAAAGGAGCCTTTGATTACGAGAGAAACTCAGAGAATAAATCAAGAAAATAATAGACAAACAAAACTTAGAGGTTTATATGTAATCTATACGGCTTAAATTTTTATACAACATAATCAATTACTAAGACAAATAGTAAAGTTATTAAATCTATATTTATATTTATAGATTACTTATATAAATACTAGTATAGTAATAGTAAAGTGAAAGATAATAAAAGTACACTTAAATATAACTCTAGTTTTAAACATATCTTAATTAGAAAAGCCCCTATATCACGATTTCTTAAAGTAATCATATTTTATAAGCCTATCTAGGTAGATATAACACTTGCCTTCGCTGATATAAGCGAAGCGAAGTAGGAAGAGAACCGACTATTACTTACCTAGTGGGAAGTGCATTTTGGCAGGCGCAATATGGGAGGGGGGGGGGGAATGCACCCTATTGCATCGGATATACTCCTCCGTACTCGAGTACAACGGATAAGTATTTGCATCGGTTAAAGAATCGCAACTGCTACAAATTACAACGGTGCCTAGCAGCAATACCTGCGCGGAGGCGGCGTATAATCACATCGGTTTCAAAAACGGGGGTCCCTAGAAGCTTCATATACGAAGTAGAAGGGTCTCGATGCCGCATGTGGCAAGGGCGCACAAAATTACAACAGCATGTTGTACTACGTAACTCGCATTTAAAAAGGGTTCAACGACCAACCATTCACCAACGGTTATTTCTTTTCCGACCCCCCCAGCACAATCCTTTCCGATGAGACAAACATGCTCAAGTACCGTCGCAACGATAGCTAGGGTTTGCACGTTGCTTCTCAAGACTTGGAGGGAACAGATATATCTGTTCAACCCTATTGATACACCGGTCGGACCGATTTATCCGTGGCCGATTTAGAAACGTCTCCATCAATGTTGTGCGAAACCACCTGCCGCTTACAGAGAATTAGAGTTTGCGATCTTCTATCCACGATCCAGTCCTTTGTTCCATTTTGATGATTTCATGTGAAGTGCCGACCATCGTATTCTATGCGCCTCGACTGACCTTTCGATTAACTGAGCAATATAGGTTAATCGGGCAAAAATTTCAAGCTTTCAAAATCATTCTGTTGAATTGATGGGTTTCTGTTCCTTTTTTCCTCTAACAAAAGCATTAATGTACCAATGAGTTATACGAGAATTCCTCCGAATGGAGCTGGCGATGCCACCGGAATTGCCCTACTTTTCTTCAGTATATTTTCCCTCATCTTGGCTGCTATTGCGATCGCTCTTCGTGTGTGGGTGCGAGGGATGAAAGGCACCCCTTTGGCCCTTCAAGACTGGCTATTATTTCTAGGCTGGGTAAGATTCCTGTCTCCTATAGAAGTATGAAATGCTGATTATTTAAGTTCTTTTCCCTCGGCCTGACTATCACAATTATCATCTGTGAGTTCTACAGTTCTTGCGGGTACTCAAGACGGAATTTAATATATAACAGTCGTCGGATTTGGTGGACTCGGTCAACACCAAAAACATGTTTCAACCGACAGTGTCATTCTAACGCTTCAGGTCCGATATTGGTTAACCCAAATGCTTTCCAAACGCTGACAAAAACTAGCTCCTTCCCGCAGCTGAATCGCTCTGGACCATGGCGAACACTGCGACAAAAGTCTCGATTCTCTTGGTGTATAAAAATATATTCGCACTGAGAAAATTTCGGATTCTTGCAGATACAGTCATAGTGATAGTCATAATGCTTGCTGTGGGAAACATTATTCAGTGTCTTGCTATTTGCCGGCCTTTCGCTTTTCAGTGGGACAAGACAATTGAGGGTGGCGTCTGTGGAAATCAAACCCTCGGCATTCTACTTGTAGCCTTTCTCAACCTGGTTACGGATTTGATGATTGTCATTATGCCCATGCCATTGGTATGGAAGTTAAAGATGCCTAGGCCAAAGAGGCTAGTTTTGATGGCCATATTTGGCCTTGGTATAATGTAAGGTTTTGTGATATGTTTACCCAAACTCTGCTAATTAAAAACAGAATTTGTGTGATAACGATCCTTCGCATCGTTTTTACATTTTCTCTTATCCAAAACCCCCACGACTCGACTTACTGGATCGCTATCAACGCAATATTCCTCACCTTGGAGCCCAACCTAGGCATGGTAAACGCATGCCTACTACTCCTTAAGCCTCTTTTGCATCGCCTCCGACCTAAGCTCGGCTGGGCTTCGCATACTCAAAGTTCACAGGATTACCCACTCGGTTCCCACACTCGTGACCGTCCGAGTAAACTCCTTCCTGTAAAATATCATGCCAGGCACACGGATGGCGCCCATAAATTCACAAGGCTAGGAGACAATCACCACGGACTAGAGGGTGCCGCGCTTGACTTCGTCCCGGATGGGAACGTAAATGGCATCGAAAACCTTGCATTCGCCAAGCAGACAAAGGAGGAAACTGTGGGGCAGTCTCTACCGGCGAAGGGTATCACGGTTACGAAAACGATAAATGTGGAGTCGTATATGAATAGTTGATTATAGTTATTTTATTGCAGGAAATCACGCATCATGTAGTTGTGCTCGGTTCTTTTTTGTTTCTTGAAAGAGACTTCGAGATCTGAGATAATCAATGGTTGTTTGACGTTCAATTCCATCGTTGGTTATTGGCCAGTCTTCGACGAAGACTTTGTACTATTTTAGCTATTGTAGTACATATGGGTCCAGCTGGTTTCAGGGCACAGCTTAGGTTAGAGTGGCCACTGCTTAGGTCTAAAGAAAGAAATAGAAAATAATGCTGTCGAGATTTGGATGTGAGATGGCCTGTTAGAATCGACAAAACGGCTCGAACTGTTAGTCTACGGCTTCTCTTACTACTATGCTACCCCTTCTTTAGTAGTATTCCTCTTTTATTAATTGCGCAATCTCTCTAATCCGTGTTCCTTTTAAGTACAAAACCACAAACAAACACGCTAGAAAACCCTCATTAGTACTGTCGAACCATCAACCCCGGACACCGAGCTCGGGGCTTAGCGGCGGATCTGCTTGGCAGATCTATGGTAGGTGCTTGGCTTGGCCACGCAGCCCTAGTCGGCCACTAATTGATTGCAGTTAGCCTTGCGAATTGTGATACTTGCATTCTTCTATTATCACACTCCAACTCTCAGAATTCAATTCTCATCGTACCGCACTGAATTTATATCGAACGTAAACACACATACGTAAAGATATTGATAACAGTATGGCCAAAGCTGTGGTGGTTGGAATCAGCGGGTGTTCGTCCAGCGGGAAGACGACTCTAAGCCGACTGCTTCGGGACATATTTCCCAACGCCTTTGTTCTCCACGAGGATGATTTCTATAAGGCTGATACAGAGTAAGTACTAAAGGTCGTCACATGGCGATTCTTTATCTAAAGGTGGAAGAGCATATATCAACATCTGATTCTGTGCAATGGGAGTTATTTCACCACCGTGTACCAGCCACCGTTCGAGTTGCAAGGGATATAAGGCTCCCAGATGTCCCAAATAGGCTACTGTCTATGGTTCTAGGGCTGTTGGGTGCCTAGATAACCTAAATCCCATTCAGGCACTTGACCATGAAAAGCCCATGGACCCTTCGTCGAAGATAGGATATTGCACAGCCTTATATTCCACATAATACCACGTGTCGTCTGATTTGCTGTCTTCATTATTTTCCTTTGCCCCATGGAAATATTGGCCTAGAGCTAACCTGTTCCAGGATACCGAAGAAGGATGACGTCCTCGACTGGGACTGCGCGGAATCCCTCTCAATTCCAGACATCGTCAAATCCCTCGATCATATCAGTCAACATGGCACATTTCCAGTCAGACACACCCCAATACCTCTTCGGACATCACACTTTCACTAGTTTACTGACCTTTCAATAGCCAGATCTAGACTCAAAGGAAGATCAAAATTCGGTCGGCAAATGTCCTGTCCCAGACGCAAAAATCGAATCACTGAAAGCCAAAGTCAAGGGTTGGATGGAACCCGGAAATCCCGGCCACGGAATTTTTGATTCGGTGCCTGACGGCAGGAGGCTCTGTATTTTTGATGGATTTCTCCTTTACTCGGAGCCCATGGCACCAATACAATCACAGATTGACATCAAGCTTTTCTTACGCGCAAGTTATGCAAAAGCAAAGGCTCGACGAGAAGCACGGAGTGGCTATGTCACGCTCGAGGGTTTCTGGGCGGATCCCCCTGGATATGTCGATAAGATTGTGTGGCCAAACTACGTGGAAGATCACAAGTGGATGTTTGAGAATGGGGATGTTGAGGGGAAGTTAAAGGATGAGGTGCTAAGGGAGCGAAACATCCACAGCCAGCCGGGGCCGTGTGATGAGGAGCTGACAATGACATTAGAGTGGGCGGTCGAATTGATAATGCAGCAGCTACCGTTAGTGGCGGCTCGTATATGATAATCTACAGTTTGGGCTATTTTTGGTTTTCAGGTACACCTACCACATCAGTTTAATCAATTTCATATATTATATTGCTCCACGTCATTCATTCGCTTTGGGAGCATCATTTTTGATTATTACTCTCTAACATTTATCCTCCTTTACATTGCAAATTATGTCAGCTGCAAGCGCTCGTTTAAACAACTATTTCTTGTATCCATCGGAGGCTTCTCCAGTTGCATCCCAACCAAAGGGCGATACAGAAAAGAAACTTTTCCTTTTCCAAACTTCTAACAATATAATGTACATTATCTCTAACGCTGATCTAGTTATCAAAAATTTCAAAAATTGCCAAGATTCCAACAAAATCCCAAAAGTCCCACGTATTTACGCCGCTCGTAGTAGGAGCCATCAGTGTGTAACCCTCCGTTTCCGGTCCACTAGCACGGTTATGCTTCTTATCACTAGGCCACCAGGACTTTACCGTGCCCAATGTGTTCTTAGCACTGCTAGTCAGCGATTTAATTCCCTTCTTGCGAGTGGCCGGTGTGGCCCCGCATTGCACTCTACAATCCAAGCAGAAGTTTGGCTCGTCCTTCAAGGAATCGCGGAGTGGGATATCGTATCTGCAAAGATGAGTGGCCCGGGGCCTATACGAAGCTATGCAGATGTGATGTGTTGTGTGTCCACATGCGTGGATTTCAGTGACAGGTTCACACATTTTGAACAATTCTGTTTAAGAAACAGCTTGAAGCGGGATTTTGTAGATATTCAGATAAGATATCACAAGTATAATATCTCAAATGAATATTCCAAAGGGATTCTACTATTTCTCTTCAACGATTGATGATACTGATGATACTTGCAGAGAGCGGTCGGGGCAATTTGACTCTCTACTCCCGCTGCTGTTTTCACGACACACCCCATGGTTTTAAACAAAGCCATTGCTTAGCTAGCCAAAGCGTCATTGTTCCGGCGACATCAACGCCAACGAGTCCTTTGTTCTAGCGAGAAAATCTCGTATGCAACAATTTCTCAAAGGAACTTCTTTCATGTTCAGCACAGCTATCAGATTTATATATCACCCTTCCAAACCGGTTAAGATATTACTATTATTAGATGCCCCTACGGCATAGTGAAACACATTTCAGAATTTTCCTTAGCGGTAATGGTTGAGGACTTGTTATTAACTAAGCGTAATTCACACGAGTTGTGTATTTTATTTTTCTGCTTACTGTGAGACGAGGTTCTGTCGTGACGTGTCGGATCATTATCCAATCTGTCAAAATATCTATCCACATTTCAATCCTTATACTAAGCTCATAGGGAGCTAATTAGGGTTATCGGTACTAGCGTCGTCGTCCCCCAAACCATGATTGTGGCAGATAATCCTAATTAGCCAGCAGCGTCTGTTGGGGTGTAAACCTGGCGGGGCGATATTTTCTCGCGGAGGCAATTGAAAGCAGTCAGCCGCAACCTGTGGTATACAATGGACTCTCTGATGGCAAATCCAGCGTGCCTTTATCTTCGTGGTAGACAGAACTGTTCCATCTCCAGAGAAATACTTGCACCGCCAATCAGGTGGAAGTTACTCTCTCTTTCGCATAAGCGATATCTAAAGGTATTCGAATGATTCAATACAGAGCCTCAGCTCTTGACAGGAATCGTATTCATTGATTTTGCCCTCCCAAGACCTTCTTTTCCATAATAATCCATAGGGTAGACGCCACCGTTTGCCTTTCCCCAGTCCTCCTTTGCCCCCAGCACAATCAGTGCTTCATATGGTGTTAGCAACGGGCGAGGGAAGGCATAACCCCAGTCAATACTCAATCGAGGACAAGCCACCTGAACCCAGCACTCGACATCATCCATCATTGCCAGCTTTCCAGGAAATATCTCACTTAGTAATAAATTGATATATGGAATTCCTTGGGCCTCGAGTTTCTCCTCTATCATAGCCATGGTGTGCGGATTACCCTGCCGGCCAAGGGATCCCAAAATCAGACCCCATTTCTTTGCTGATTTCGCCGATGTGATGGCTTCTCTTCGCAAGGTATGCATTTCCTTATGGTCATATGTCTCTCGCGTAAGCTTTCGAGAATATGGGTCGTAGCGGTATGCTGGAATAGAGGGGTTATGGATCATAGCGCTCTCCAGGTGAAACCTCCCGTCTCCAAGATATAGAATCATATCAACGCCCTCGGTCGATAATCGTGGTGAAGTGCATCCTAGAATTTCTCCCTTGCTCAACGGCGTGATTTGAGGAACTAAGATATTGTACCCAGCCTTCTCAAGGGGTGCTCGAATACCGTGTAGAGTAGCATTAAACTGAATAGTTCCAACTACAGCCATTGTCTTTCCGGAAGGGAAGTTCTTCTCTAGTGTGGCTAGCAGGTGCGTCGTATCAATACTGATATCCACGAACACGTATAGTGTCTTAATCTTTGTAACATCCACCGGTATCAGGCAGGAATGTGCATAATGCACCAGGAGATCGCATCCAAGAGCCCGTGCCGTGTAATCATCTATGCAGCATGCACCGTATGTGACATCTCCCATAATGAGTGTTTCGACACCAGGGCAAAATTGTGTAATGATATCGGATATGGTCGTCGCGAAAAGAAGAAGGCCCTCTGGCATCTGAAGGGCGACTTTCTTCGAGCCATTTGTTCGTATTCGATGGATCGTCTTGTGGATCTCGAAAGAGTAATTCGGCGGAAGCAAAGCAATGGCAGCGTTGAGGTCCGAATCGTTGAGGATTTCAAGAGGGACTTGATTTAGAGTCCGCGGGGTTCTCCTCGGTGTCGAAACTAAAGGTGTGTAAATATTACTGCGATATAAATGCATTCACGAGGCAGCAAACCTTGAATTGCGCCACTATCTTCCACAGAAGAGTTTGGTCCATTCTTGGAAGCGGCTTCTGCAGCTTGCCTCCGTCCAACAAAGCGCTTCTTTGGCTGCCTTTGTGCTGCAGCTTCGTCCAACTTTTCCTCGACGTCTACAGCAGCCCCAAGATCAACTTGCGCGCGATCTTCCTCCATCGCATTCAAATGGTTTCTGCGTGGCGGGCAGGTATGTTGTTTTGGACATAATATTTTAGCATTAGCATACTTCGCGGGGAAAGTTTTGCCCCTCTATGATAAATCCACATCCCCGTAGAACTAACACTGCCAACCCACTGATCTCCAACCTACAACACAACTCCAAATTCCTCTATTATTAGGTTAGAAAAACTAGACACTAGCATTGCTGAAATAGAAAAGAAGATTCTGAGCTCGAGAATGGTGTATAGAGAGGCATATTTTTGACTCCGAGAATTACCGTACCTCGGGACGAGCTACCCCACCGCAATCCAAAATCACGGCGACTCGAACCCCACGTTTGATTATATACACTTACACCTTCATATGAGGCCAAAGAATTACAGAGCCAGGGTTTCTTTTAATCTAATCCTTCTTTCAATATGGCACTCCTAAATCACAACTCTGTGGCTCTCATCACAGCCAGCTCTGCAGGCCTCGGCGCCGAAACCGCACGAGTCCTAGCATCAAGCGGTGTCCGAGTTATCATAAACTACAACTCCAGTGATCAGAAAGCACTATCTCTCATTAAGGAATTAGAAACCCTTCAACCAGTCTCTACTGGGAATGAGAGACAGAACCCGCGTTTCCATGCCATTAAAGCCGATGTTTCACAGAAGGCTGAGCTTGTTCGACTTGTTGAGGAAGCTGTGGAGGTAATGGGAAGGTTGGATTTAGTAGTTTCGAATCATGGGGTGAGGATACCACCCTTAAATTTCTTGCATCGTTGATATCTAATCACCCACTGAGATACGCAGTGGACTAAATTAAGAAACTTCCTCGATCTCGACGATAACATGGAAGAAGGTGACTGGGATAAGTGCTTCAACATGAACGTCAAATCACATCTCTTCCTCTTCCATGCGGCAAGGAAGCATTTGGAAAACACAGAAGGCTCTTTTATTACCACTGCTTCTCTCGCGGGTGTGATGCCAAGTGGAAGTTCTATAGTCTGTTGCAGCCTTTCAAATCTTGACACTTTCTGAATAGCTGACATATACGAAAGGCATATTCTGTGACCAAAGCTGCGCAGATACACCTGGCTAAAGCACTCGCTATGGCAGCGGCCCCCAAGATTCGGGTTAATTCTGTCTCGCCGGGCTTGTTACTCACAGTGCGTATATTTATACATACGTGTCTTATCAGTGGATACTAACATTGGGGGCAGGAGTGGGGTCTTCAATTCCCACAAGATAAAATTGATCAAACCACAGAACGAAGTCTTCTAAAGAGAGTTGCCATTGTTGAGGTATGCTTTAGGATTTTCATAGTTCACATATTTGGCGGGGTTGCTAACGGTATTGGTGTGATCAGGATGTTGCTAGGCAGATCGTGTGCTTAGCGAATAGTTCCTCTCAGACTGGTACAAATACGGTTATTGATGGTGGAAGAGCGCTTGGATAAGTTATTTTGACGACGTTATTCGAGTTGTGGTCGGACTGAACATTAAGTATACGCTATCCAGTTAGGTGAAAAAGAATTTCTTCCGATATAGGCTAAGTTTACTTGCCTCAAGGGTATTTTCCCACCTTGTTGTGGTTTTCTTCAACTGCTCAAGACTTTAATTCTGAATCGTGAGACATACCAATTTACATCCCTAAGGAAAATATTATCGGAATATCTTATTAAAAATGCGAGTTGATTGCTAAGTTGGGGGTGAAGTGAAGGGCCACGACGACAGAGTAACAAGCCATATTATCGGTGACTTCTTGCTGCTTGATTTCACGGTGCTTTACTCGACATTTGCGACATTGACTGATTCGGGGCATAACATTACGTAGGATGCTGCGCAAAGGAGAAGCCATCGTCTACGGAAGGTCCGAGAGGCATCTCTTGGGTAAATATAATATTGTATTTTTCGTGGCATGATGGTAGAGACCATAGGATTTGCGGAGCAAGTAGGTACCGTTACTTCTACCGCATACTCCAAGTCAACGACTCAGAAGACATGTAAGTGTGTGCCCAAGTTTCTAACGGCACGTGTATCGTATTTGCGAGGATGGCGCGTAGTTAAAAGTTCTTATTCGATATGTTTCTTAGTCCAAAAGAGGGAGAATTAAAGAAAGACTTGAAAGCGGAGGATGAGAAAGGGTGTGAGTACTGAGACAACTAGGTACTTATAGTATTTCATGCATAGCGCCAAGGCGTTTCCCACAACTCTCGATCATTGTCAGATAGATAGAGCTTGATATAGACCTTGGCTGCGTTTCCGAACCTCGCTATTTCGCGATCGATTCGATTGCGTTTAGGCTTTGCAGAGTTTCACGTTCTTCCATATGTCCATTCGTTTCCACGCCTGACCAATTACTCGAATCATAAACTGTTGAGAAAAAAGATAACGGTACTGCGGGTAAATGGATTTCGGAAACGAAAGACCATAATCGAGATTAAGACCTGAAGATACTTCTTCAGGCTCAACTTAAATCAGAACTGTCATTACTCAAGTGAGGATCAAGGCGATAACCATGTTATTATACAACTTGAAATAGCATGCATCCCAAATCTCAGCCTGTTAGATATATAGACGGCATGCCAAAAACTCCTCCACTACATTTTAAGTCCTCGGTACAAAACTGCCGCGCAATATGCAAACATACATCACCACAACAAACGTAGCCCACTATTGCCACCGAGCCCGCCATTCTCCTCATACCTCATCTTAACAGAATAGGTAAACGCGGCCCAATACGGTGCTCTAGAAGGCAAGTCAGCTACTGAATGTCATGTTCTCCGTTCCTCCCCGCAAGAAAACTCACCCGAATGTTAGCGCTAGTAGAATTGGCTGGATCTTCTCATCCGATTTCGTGGCTACGACGATGACCACCAAAAAAATATAAATAGCAAACACGCTCTTCCACAACTGAAATTTATGATAAACGGTCGTGGTAAGCGCCTCGCTCTTAAACAGCCGGATTTCTTGGATAATAGCGCCCAGAACGGCAAGACACCCAAAAAATGCACCGACGCCGGCAAAGCTGGATTAAGAAATGTTAGCTAAAACGGGCGGTGCTGTAAGTGTGGAAAAAGTATTTACAAAGCGTTGTTGGACCGGCTAAACAATGAGGCGAGCACGAGCATCGGAGCTATTATGAGGAATATGGCTGTGACGGCGGTTTGAAATACCCAAAGCATCACGAGTATATAGTCATTCCGGGTCCCCGAGCCGGTCGAGGCGAAGGTATCTTGGCCGAGTGTGATGGCCATGTTGAATTGAAGTTGACGATCACACGGAAGGGTCCAGTAGAGGTTGAAAGTCTTCAGGGGGCGGTTGGACTCAGGGGCCACGACGGGATGGGGTTATGACGGTGACCGGGACACGGAAGCGAACAATAGAGAGCGGGAAAAGAGAAGAGGGAAGTCGTCACTCGTAACTTATGCTCCGCAAGCCGTATCGTAAATAAATATACTTCGTCCGTCGAATGACTCGAAGGATGGTCGTTGGTGAAGATGCCTGAATCAGCCTCATGGACGGAAATTACAGCAGCTACGCCTCTGCCTTGCGTCTGTGGCTGCTAGGTACAAATTGTGGCTATGCCACAGCTACCCCTGAACACTCCTAGGGGAAGTGCAAACTGAGAATTGGGGAAGAAACACACTATGAAGATAAAGACGTGTTGGGTTTTTAATAAGTCATGGCACGTGTATGAAATAGTTGAAAAGTCAAGATGCTGTGGATGTATCTAGTACGTGTGGATCTATGTACTATTCCGAAACGCCTCATCAAAAAAGCCCCTGGATTTCCTATCCCAATAATAACCCTATCTGTCTGTCTTATACTACAAGTCCATTTGTCAGAGCCTCATCATGCTCTGTATTCCCCGCCAACGCACCATATACCTTAATAGGGACAGCTATCTCGAAGCTCTCACAGTCCAAGACCTCAGCAGGAGCAAGGGCTGTCCCTCTATCGTCCCTCGTGATTTCTTCTAATAGATCTTCTTTCACTGGAGTGACCTCGTTGTCCCCAAACGACAGCCGTGGAGTGACAAATTCAATGCGGATTCGCCACTCTAAACCGACTCCACTGGTAATGAACTCTGGTGTTGCTGATGTTGGTATTGTGGGAGAGAATACAACTCTTCGGGCGAAAAGGGTGGATTCTGAGTGAGATACATGTACCTTACGAGTTACACGGAGTATACTGGCCTCAGAACGTAACGCAATCGCATGATCAACCTTCTCAGACGTTTCGAGTGCCATATGTATCGCATAGCACGGAATTTCTGCGTCAGTAAAGTCAACAACAGCTGTGATAGCCTCGCCCAAACGGTACGCCGGCCTTGCGAGCATAACAACAGCTACCCGTTTCCTGCTGCGAGCGATTTCAAATCTGTTTGCACTTTGCTGCGATTCTGTCGTGATATTACTCCGCAGAATTGCCATATCTATAGCTTCTTTCGCAGTTGCAGGTTCAGCAAGCAATGACTGACGCCGATCTCTTCCTTCAGTCGGAGACAATAATCCAAGGCTTGAGTTCTGCCGTGGCCTTGAAATTAATTCGTCGACATATGACATGAAGTCACCCAGGGTTGACTGGGCTGCTTTTGCAGTGGCCTTGATTTCCAAGGTCGTCGACGATGAGAGGGCTGAGGTTGGCGGACTGTCCATAACTTTGACGCGGGCCTGATCACGTAGAATGATATATGGTGACATCAAGTCATGGCCGAGAACCTCCCCGTGGCTATTCACGCTTCCTAGGATGCGGAACGGAACTTCCACAGACCTCACTTGCTGCTCCTTAGCACCACCGGGCCTTTGGGTACCAATGATTAGCTTGTACGAAATTTTGATAGCTTTTCCACGATGACTGGGAGGTAAGCCACGAGGAAGTTTGAAAGCGTATTTGTAGCTCCTGCTCTCTCCAGGTGCCAGTTTAAGGTCGACGAACAAAATGGATTGCGGGGTGGAAAGAACAGGTATTGACCGGGAACCAGCAATGCCTCGCATCTCTTTCATACTACTGAGTTCGCCGCCTCCCAAAAGCCCACCGAGGGATTCTCCAATATTACCCCAACCAAATCCGCGGAGGAGCCCGCTATCCCGTTTATTAGTTTCGACTCCAATTACACCACCTCCTTGTCCACCAACCGCGCCCTTTCTCTTAACTTCCTCAAATGGCGCTTGGCTAATCAATGAACCATCTAAGGTAAAAGATCCATAAACTTGTGCGTAACCCATCATTAGCGTTTCTGGAGGTCGATGGTGATTCACAGGTACTAAACTCGAGGGTCTTCTCGAATGGCCTGCGTATAAGGGTGCGCGTCCGGCTGGCTGAGACACGTACTCCGAGGCAAGGGTCTCGGTAGAATTGTTGCTTAGAGAATAAAATTCTCCGCTACTCCGCGGTGTTCCTAGCATACTGGCAGGTGAAAGGACCCGTGCAACTTGAGGTGGATGGTTGGACATGTCTGAATGCGCCTCCTTCGGCCTCGGAGAAAGCAACTGAGCGTTCTCCTGGGGATTATGAGCTCCGCCTCCATTAATATTATCACCAGCTCTAGCATCTGTAGACGGTGACGTTATAGACGGGAATTTGAACCCCCGCGGAAACGATTCTGAAGGTTTCCGCCTTGCAGTAGAAGGTCCGGCAGTAGGTCCGCCAATATTTGGTGTGTTCGGTGCCGTATGCGCACCGGACTGGCGCTTCGAGAGTCTGTCGGGCAAGTCATGTTCTCTACCTAATGACGCGAAGGATGAGACGAGGAGGGGTGAAGGGTGAGTGGAGGACCGCTGGCCAGCGGGAGCTGTAGTGGATCAGCGCGATGTTCAGCATGCAAATGTACTAATAAACGTACCAGAAGGGGGACCTCCATTAACGCCCTGTCTGCGCGGAACTATGTGCAAGCTGGCTGAGCGTCCATGCCTTTTTGGACCCCGTGGTCTCTCAGTTGTATTACCATAGCCAGAAGTATCACCAAGTATACTTTTGTCGCTGGCCCCTATAGATAGAACCGAAACCGAGCGATGGTGGCCCTTCCCTCCATTCCCACCACTTCTCGGTGTGGCATTCCACGCATCAGGGGCGGGCTGTGGCCGAGCAGAACTCGCAGGGACATTCAAGGATAAGGTACTCCTATGGCCTTTGTTCGCCCATTGGGACCGGCGCGGACTCGACGCAGAACTGTTCTTAGTTTGTATGATGGGGGTTTGCCTCTGCCTATCTGGACCTCCTGCCGGTGCAAATCCATTTCCCAGTGCAGTGTGCGGATGCAAAGATGCGCGAGGTGGTGTAGGAGTAGGCGTTGCTGCAATGTTCTTGAAGGTGATTTCGCATTCGATATCCTCGCCGGCAAAGACCGTCTGCTCCGTCCACTGTACAAAGACCCTGACGTTGGTCAATGGCGACGACATGTCGATGAGGTATACTCGACGCCTACAGCTCCTCCATCGGCATCTGGTCGAAGGAGATCAGTGCTAATGTTGCCAGTCATGGGCGGCGCAACGAGGGAGCAATTGATGCTGATGAACAGCATGGGCCAGGTAGCATAATGATTCAGGTATGAATTGCTGGATAAATATAACTCGAACGTGTTCTCCTTTACATTCATGTACGGAGTACTCCGTCCTATGTCCAGATGTCCGCCTTTGATCTGGGCTCGGGCATCGCGCATAATGGTTGAGGTCGTGGCGTGGGATTAGCGACACTGCACGTAAACTTATTGTAGAGCATTCTCTCAGCCAACCAGCCGAATGTAAACAACACTACGGTATCGAGGCTCCGACATCATATGTGCAGTGCCTTGCTTGATTTCTACTCAGCCTTTCTCTTTGAACCCACCAAGCCCGCCTATTTCCGCTGCCATCCCTGAATGCCATCGTCAGAGACTGTCAAAACTCTCTGGTGTTAGCAGGACCAACATAGGTCAGCCGTGCCCCTTCCGAGCTCGAATTGTTTATTGCATTTATTGCCAGGCTAACCTGTGGAATGCAAGACTGTCAATTCTCCCAGAAACCGAAGCTTCACAATTTAAGCACGATGACTTCCTTCATGACCACAGTGTTAGTCCTCCAGTCTTCTCAATCCGATGGCGGCCTGGATATTTCAGTTCCTGAGCCCTCGCGCTGCGAAAGTGCTGCCCCCAATTTGCACCCTCACAACTTCCACCTCCGCAATGACTATTTCCATCACTGGAGATCCCGAAAAACAAGACCAAGACCCTTTTATTCAAGTCCCTGAAGCAACCTATGTGTCCCCGTACTTACAGAAAGGATTTGATAGCAACCAACGCACGAGAAACCAATTTCGACCCCGCAATGCCACGAAAGGCACGACGAGCTACCAACTACGCCAATATGCCGAGGCTACATTGGGGGGAGGTAGTCTTAAGAAAATTGTGAAGCTACCTGAAGGCGAAGATGAAAATGAGTGGCTAGCAGTCAACAGTAGGATATGATATTGGAACCATTGCTACGACGCAAGCTTACTAGATATAGTGGTGGATTTCTACAATCATATAAATTTGCTCTATGGATCGATCACCGAGTTCTGCTCCCCCCAGTCGTGTCCCGAGATGAAAGCAACAGACGAGTATGTCCACCAAATAAATGTGCAGAGAAGCTGTGTCCTGACGAGATTAGGTTTGAGTATCTGTGGCAGGACTCGGAAAATTTCAAACGACCCACTAAGATGCCCGCACCTACCTATATCGAGCACTTGATGAGCTGGGTGCAGAGTAATATTGACAACGAGGCTGTCTTTCCCAGCAGAATTGGTTTGTTTCATCATTTACGTCATGAGCTCTATCGCTGACCGTACTCAGGCGTGCCTTTCCCAAAATCCTTCCCCAGCATGATCCGGCAAGTTTTTAAGCGGATGTACCGGGTCTACGCTCATATATATTGTCATCATTACCCTGTTATCCGCGAACTTGGTCTTGAGGCCCATCTCAACACAAGCTTCAAGCATTACGTTCTCTTCATCGATGAGCACAACCTCGCCAGCGGAAAGGACTTCTGGGGACCTTTGGGGGACCTTGTTGACAGTATGCTGAGGAGCGAGTGAGAGCCTAGTATGCATTTATGAAGCAAATGGTAACATGTTTTCGGCGTTGGAGGTATGGTTGGAGTCTTTGGAATGAGGCTGGCTGGTATCCAGCCAAGGGGGTGTGGTGATAACACTGTCGTCGAAGGTTAAATGCTACCTTAAATGCGGGTACAACCATAGCAATTGCGAAATAATTTGCTTGATGAGCTTGTGACCTCATGATAGATCAGCGTGCTTCATTGTTTGGTGCACATGAACTGAGATGCTAACAGGCAGCGTGATTTTCGGCGTAGCGGGTTTTTGATATTGATAGCATTTCAGAAACAAGACGGAGCGAAGTGTGTTACAACATATTACAGGAATCCAATAATAGCCAACACTCTATGCCCATACTTAAACTTAATATTGGGCAACTCAAAAATACATGTATCCAATGGGCCAGCTCTAGCCAAGATGGGGGTTGCACAATTTGCACGTGACTGCCTTTGATCCATTCCCACGTGACCCTGAAGAAGGTTTTACCGAGCTCATCCAGCAACATCGAATCCAAACGTCTCCCTCTCGCAGCGCCCATCTCTCCGGTCCCAACCTCAATTGATCCAGCACATCATGTTCTCAAGTCGCGCCGTTCTCCGGGCCTCCGCCTCCGCCAGCGGTCGTATTGCCACTCCTCGTGCGGCCCTCACAACCTCGCAGATCCGGAACTATGCAGCTCCGGCAGCTGGCGACTCGAAACCACCCGTTGCACTCTATGGAGTTGATGGAACTTATGCCTCTGCGCTGGTACGTCCTCTCAGTTCTATTCCAGTTGCAAGATCCGAGGATGTTACAGGTGTGCAGTTGGGGGTATCGCGGATGAAATCCAGGGCTCTGGGCAAGGAAACCAAGAACGAGGAGAGAAGACTAACGTAAAGAAAAACAACAGTATACCGCAGCCGTGAAGACCTCAACCCTCGACACCACCGCGAGAGCCCTCGCCTCTCTCCACGCCGTATACACCAGAGACCCAAAGCTTTCCACCATTCTGCAAGCTCCCACGCTCTCGGCCCAGGATAAATCCGCCATCATCACCGAGCTACAGAAACACACTGGCGGCGCGGATAAGGGCGATACCGTGAAGAACTTCCTGGAGACGCTGGCGGAAAACAACCGACTGGGGCTTTTGAAGGGCGTTTGTGAGAAGTTTGGCGCCTTGATGAGTGCGCAGAGCGGGGAGGTTGAGTTGATTGTTACAAGTGCCTCGGTGCGTAGCTCGCTATCATAACCCCCAGCGTTTGCAATGGTAATAAATATGGCATTGCTAACATGTTTGGGGAATTGCAGCAATTGGATAACAAGACCCTCTCCCGTCTCGAGAACGCAATCGCAAAATCCCAATACGCAGGCCAAGGCAGCAAATTGAGAGTCACAAACAAGGTATTTAATCCCGCATCCTTCCATTTTCACGTTCGTCAGATTAACCATCCCGAAACAGGTCAACACAGATATCCTCGGCGGCCTTATTGTCGAGATCGGCGACCGGACAATCGACTTGAGCGTTTCATCCAAGATCGCAAAAATGAACAAGTTGCTCACGGATACCTTGTAGTTTATCATGCTCCTTTGCGTGGATGCTGGGAAGCGGGGTGGGGAGAGAATGGACGTTAGATGAGAGATAGGAAGAGGGATGTGGTGAGAAGACGTCATCTGTATATGATCGACACAATAGAGCATTTTTTTCTTGTGTTTTCAATGCTTTGTCTATGTAATCAAATCCGAGTGATACTAACTCAAGGCATGTTTTGTTAAAGGGTGCACCTAGATTCGAGCACAGATGCAGAAGAAGCCCGCTGACAAGTCAGTGTAAATTCTAATATATCCATCTAGCTATATCTATCCTAGCCCAAAAATTAAATCCGGCCTTTCTTTCTTATCTTCATATTCGTATAATCTATCCATTCATTTCACAACTCCGAAAATGCCATCACCTATACATCCTTCCCCTTCACCTCACCAAGCACCAGCTATCTACTGCCCATCCAACTGCGCCTCAAACTCATCGGCCCGGTTAAAATCCGCACTCTCATGGCTACGGACCAGCTGCAACTGCTCGCTAACATAGTGCGCCGTATGGATATCCGCCTCCTGGCGTTCTCTCCGGCGGTCCTCCGTCTCTGTCTCAACTGAATTCCCGACAGAGGCAGCCTCGTCGTCCCCGTTGATTGAGGACTCGAAATCGCTTCTTTGGCCTAGGGACCGACTTGTCGATGATCGACGAATCATTGGCTTCTTCTGCTTGGGAGCGCCGGCATTACGAGTAAAAACGTCGTCGAAGTAGTGGGCCATGCCCGTGGATGGTGTACGGGGTGTTTGGGGAAGGCGGCAGATCAGCCTATGTAAAGTGTTAGTACTCTTTTTCCACATAGTCATAGGAGGAGTTTAAACTCAGGGAAAGGGACTTACCCTGTATCATGAATCATCCTGGCAATCAATCCAGTCCAACCACATTGATGCGTAGCACCCAAACCGCGTCCCGTGTCCCCGTCGAAGAATTCATAAAACCATAAATTATCCTTCCAATTAGGATCAAAGTCCAACGTATCATTGCCATCATTGATAGCACGGCGACCATCATCTCCACGCGCCATCAAATGCTGCAAGCGATGTTGAATCTCCTCCGATACATGGCCAAGATGCATGTAATCGCCCGAACCGGTAGGGCATTCCACCTTGAACTGAGGGCCGTAGAACATATAAAATCGTTGAAGAGACTCAATCAGTAGGAAGTTAACACATAGCCAGATAGGGCCTCGCCAGTTGCTGTTTCCCCCAAAGAGACCACTGTCCGAGTCGCCAGGGACGTAGCTCACTTTGAATTCCTGGCCATTGACATCCATGGAGTAAGGGTGCTTCTCATGGTATTTCGATAACGAACGAATTCCATGGTCGCTGAAGAATTCATCTTCGTCCAGCATACGCTTCAAGATCTTCTCGAGGCGGTCCTTGCTCACAAGTGAAAGGAGGATTCGGTTTCCTTGTCCTCTTTTCCGGATACTAGCCATGTTGCGTTCCGCAACATCATGTCGGTTCTCAACGAACCATTCAAGCCGTTTCTTGAAGGATGGTAGCTTATTTATGAGCTCTGGCTCCAGTGTAAGAGTGGCATACAATGGAATCAAGCCGACAAGAGACCTGACTGGAAGTTGCTGGGTGTATGGCCCACTGTAGGCAATAGCATCGTAGTAAAACCCATCGTCTTCATTCCACAATGATTTCTCCTTCGATCCAGACTTGTATGTCATGGCATCACTGATCAGCATAAAGTGCTCAAAAAACTTCGAAGCGATATCTTCGTAGATCCGGCGATGCTTCGCCAGCTCCAACGCAATGTTCAACATACACAAACAGTAAAAGGCCATCCATCCAGTGCTATCGGCTTGCTCTAGAGTACCACCTGTAGGTAGCGGTTCTGAACGGTTGAATAAACCGATATTGTCCAACCCAAGGAAGCCGCCTTCAAAGACATTTTTGCCCTCAAAGTCCTTCCGATTGACCCACCAGGTGAAGTTCAACAGAAGCTTTTGGAAGACTCGCTCGAGGAAATCTAAATCCTCTCGCCCATACATCTTTCTTTCGATCTTGAAAGTGCGGAAGGTAGCCCAGGCATGGACAGGAGGGTTCACGTCCCCGAAGTTCCACTCATAAGCAGGTATTTGACCATTCGGGTGCATATACCACTCCCTGGTAAACAAATCAAGCTGCTTCTTTGCAAAGTCCGGGTCGATCATCGCCAACGGTATGCAATGGAATGCAGAATCCCAGGCAGCGAAGAACGGATATTCCCACGAGTCAGGCATGGACAAGATATCATCGAGATGCATATGTTTCCAATGACTGTTTCTAACGGCTTTGCGTTCAGCAGGAGGAGGAGGTTGTCCCGGATCCCCATTTGCCCACTGATCCCAGATAAAGTGGTAGTATTGCTTGCACCACATCATACCTGCGAATGCTTGTCGCTGGATATTCCGAAGGTCCTCGGCCATAGGCAGCGGGCTTATACGATAAAAAAATTCGTCCGCTTGGTCCTTGCGTAGGTCCATAATGCTGTCGAATAGTTCTTCGTCCATGTAGTCCTCGTATTTCTTGGAGAGCCTGAATCGGACGACAGCACACTCCCCTGGAGCAACACCGCCATTCTCGTTGAAAGCATACCAAGCAGCGGATTTGGTGCCTGTATGTTTGGGATTGACGGCTTTCTTTTCTTTGTCCACGATATAATGATGAAATGCATCTTTAACGTAGGGCTGCTCATTCTTCCCGCCATACAAGCTCTCAAAATTCGTATCGTTTTCAGTAAAGATGAGCTCTGGCTCAACATCCTGGCCACTCAATCCTACTCCAGGGGAAGGGGATAGTTGAAAATATCGTTCTCCGAGCTTGTGATGCTTGCTATGCGCAACCAAGGGACTGACCCGGTGCATGCTCGGCTTCTTGTCCGCCGATTCATGGCCCCAAGCCCAAGTATTCCTAAACCAAACATGAGGTATTATATGTAGCGGCGCAGGTTCCGGCCCCCGATTCCAAGCGGTCACTCGAAAGAGCAGCTCGTCCGGGTTATCAGTCTCCTTCGCAGTCTCAATGACAATATCCCAATATCTATCGTCCTCGAAAACTCCCGTGTCCAATATTTGATATTCCTGGTCTGCCTTGCCGCGTTTTGCGTTCTCTTCGACAAGGTCCTCGTAGGGGAATTTCCGCTGTGGGTACTTGTAGAGGAATTTCATGTATGAATGCTATTTGCTAAACGTTAGCAAAGTGATAATTCAGGGTTGGGAGCACTGACCGTAGGTGTATTATCCACATGAAAATGTGCCTCCTTTACACTCTCTCCGTGGTTTCCCTGTGGGTTCGACAATCCAAACAACCGCTCCTTGAGGAAATCACTAATAATTGATCAGCCACCGCCTATCACCTAACATACCTCACCCATTTATACTCACTCTTCCTCGTTCCAAAACGCAAATGATATGTTCTGGAGACCATGGGTATCCGAAACACCAGCAATCCCATCCTCTCCCCATCTAAAAGCTCTAGATCTCGCGTGCTCGTGAGGAAAATCTAAATGCAAATTAGTGACTCGAGTCGCGCTGACACTTTGGTATATGGACGAACTCACGACTCCACGCATCGCCATCCGCGCTGTAATCTTCTCGCACTATGGGGGGGGACGCACAAATTAGTTAAAATCCACGAGTTTTCCCACGGACGGAAGAATAGCAGTCCTTACCCGTCGCCCATTGTCGCTCAGCAACATAAGGCCCCCACCTCTTCCAATACTTCTCTCCCAGTTTATCCTGCCTCAGGCGCTTCTCCTCCTCGCACAGATAATCATAATCCTCTATCTTAACCATGCTGTTATGCTACCGCTAGAAGGTACCGGTACAACGCCAGGTAGGTAGGAATGTAGCACAGGAGCCCACTGTCACAGAACCTGTGAAATAGCACCCCTCTATCGCTGCTAGACGCAATGGGCAAATGCTATCGATATTGGCTTGTCCGAAAATAGACCGGGGGAAACGACAGTGGCAATAGCAAATCAAGGCAATAGGGAGGGAAAGGGGGGGGTTTTTTTTCTCGTATGAAATCGTGGTGTTCTAGACTCTACTTTTACGGTACAAAGTTCTTATCAGGCGCTGCAAACCTGTACCTGGTAGCCCTGATGTCACTGCGCTGCGAGCGCAGCGGTGGGCTGTGGCCGTGCGTTGGATTGCTAGCGTTGCGCACTGCTAATGATGCCCAATGATCTACCATGGCACGGACTGTGATGTTGACATTTCTACAACATAATTAAGCCTCGAATACTACGTGGTTATGGTAGTGTGTGGAGACCGCTAGACATTCTGAAATCCTAGGTTCTAATTGTGGTCATATTGGTGAAGGGGGCAGCTAGTTCATTACTGGGGAAAAATGACTATTCAGCATCAAGTCTCACAATGGCACAGCACAAATGTTCTCTCCTGGAAAGTCAAATATGGGGTCTATTTGAACATGGATTAGATTCAATCGTCATCTACCCAGCTACGCTATGCAGTATATTTGCCCCTCCACATATCATAGGCTTTCCAGATGGCTTGCCCAAGTTTGAGCTTGGGACCATTCCTTAAACAAGAAGATCAGGCGCCCCCGTGCACGTATCTTCCTCATCTCTTCCTCTCATACCACCCTCTCCGGTATGCATCCCCTCCCCTCTTACATCTCAGGTCGCCTTCCATAGTCCAGGAAGACGGAGATGGTCTTGTCGGAACGTGTACAAAATCAGGCCGCGGATTCGGCTTCGTATAGCGCGCCAGGCCAGCTTGGCGCGCCGTCTTTATACTGGTATGCATGCGATATGCAACCATATAGGAGCCGGAATGAATGGACGGCGTTTTGTGTTCTCTTTATTTTTCACTTCCCCCCTTCTCCTTCCAAATTTCATTCATTTCAGCCTCTGATCACCAAACCATGGCGTCTTGCGCTCGCGGGAACGAATTCTTCTTCTTCGCCAGAGGAACAGCAAGAACTAGAATCATCGTAACCACATCGGGAGCCTCCGCAGTCAAGCTTGACGCGATCACCAGCACGGGTGATCCCGTAGCGTTCACAGGTGCAGCTCAACGACGAGGAGCTGTAGTCGCTGAGAGAGCTGGCGGAGCTCGGTGAGCTGCTGTCGGAGCGGCTCGACAAGCTGGAGCCGACTGAGGATGGTGGTGAGGAGGAGAGCTCATAATCATCGTACTCGTCGATAGTAGAGGCGCTGAAGCGCGAAGTCAACTCCTCGACGGTTGGCGCGGCGTAGTCCAAAATGTGCTTTGTCGCATGGGGAGTGACTGGCTTTGGAGACTTGATCTGCGAGACAGAGAGGGGACGTCCCTTGGGGATATCGACCGTCAAACTGTCACGGCGAGATTCACGGCGGCTGGAGGATGAGGAGTGCTTATCTCGGGAAGAGGAGTGCTTGGATGAACTGCTCTTGGACGAGGAGTGCTTGGAAGAGCTGCTGGATTTCGAGGAGGACTTGGAAGAGGACTTGTCACTTGGGACATCGAGGATGTTCAAAACACGTCCTGTTGTGGGCTCGGTGGTGGATGATTGTGAAGGGTCGTGGGATACGTGGTAACCATCGATGATGTAATAGTACCAGTATCGTTGTCCGGGCTGGAGAGTTGCGCCCTGGAATCTGAATTTGCCCTTCCACGAGCCGGACTTGGAGGAGGACTTGTCCTGAGAAAGGGGAAGTTGGCCAGAGTAGTTATCCCAAGAACCGAGTAGGTGGACGGTCTTAACGCTGGAGGACGTGCGCAAAGAGAAAGAGAGTTGAACGGCTGCCATTATTGTAGATCTGAAAAAATGTACTTGTTGAAATTGAATAAATTGCAGTTTGTTCGAGCAAGAAGAGCTAGTTTTGGTGATGAGGCGGATTGTGTAGTTTGCAAAAAATTAATTAAGTCGACCAGCAACGTTTGGGGCTGAAAATTAAAAGTGATTGATATTATGAGACCGGCTCAGGTACGGGAGTAAACAAATAACGAGAAAAAAGGGACAACGGAGAAGAAGGACTAGCTCTTGAAGATTGATTGATTGCTTGCTGAGGAGAGAAGAGAGGAGATCTTGGGGCGGGGGATGGCGGTTCATTTATGTGGTTGGGGGCAGTGCGGCCGGCCTGTCAGCCATGGCCCGGCTTGCTCACGATGCTGAATGGTGGAGGGTGGTTGTGAACGCCAACTCGAGCGAACACTGGCGACGCCCATTTTGGGGTTGTGGCACCTGGACATCGATCACGGCGCGGTGATTGGCAGACGTCTGTCACTCGATAGACTTTCTGCAAGTCCCGGCGCGTACGCAGGTGAGCGACGGCAACTAAACAGCTTTGGGATGCCAGCGACTAAATCCCAGCGCCCATACGAGCAGATACAGCCACTCAGCGCGGCGCAGACAGCGATGGCAGATCATCGCTTAATGCTTCGCAGCAACCACATGCAGCAGCAGAGCAACTCTTCCACAGAAACAAACATCCGGCCAATAGCGGATCGGGGGCTGACATATAGGAAGAGGGCGATATCAAGCTGAGTGGGAGAGAGCGAGAGAGAGAGAGAGAGAAGATGACACCAAAGGGAGACTTGAACCTCGTCCCCGACACGGGAAGGCGACGGGTCAAGCCGACTGGGTAAGTGAGTTCCCATGGATACCCTCCAGTCTCCCGCAGCCATGAATGATGCTTCGCATGTCAAGTCTCGGGGGAAGAACCGTTGGCTAATAGCCCTGAAGTGGTCACACGAGGACGAGGACGAGGCCGCGACCGGCTGGCACTCTGGGGCCCGGAGGAGGGTAGGAAACTCGCAGCATGGCGAATGGAGGCTGAGGAAGCCAGCCTTTAAGCTTATCGCGAGGTTCCTGAGAAACAGTGCCAGTGTCATGTCATCGCAAGACATCGTCCATATAAATAAACGCGTTTAATCCAGGGCGACGTCTTCGAATCAAATCAGTTGATGTGGTCTCCTACGGAGTAGAGCACCAGGACACCCTCGATCTGCCAGGACACGACCTTCGCAATAACGCACCTGTATTTCGACAGCCTCCAGCTTGTGAAAACGTTAATGACATGCCGCGCGACTTCACCTCGAAGTTTCCCCGCACTGGGACTCTGGGAGAGCCTGGCGAGGGTTGCGCCCGGCTGCTGCGAACCAGTTCAGTTCAGTTCCTTGTCCAGCACCGAGATGCATGCAAGCTGAGGGGAATTGTGATTCTTGTGCATGCCAGCCATACCTCCAGATTAGCTTGGGCGGGTACGAAGTAGTATAGGTGTCAGTATAGAGTAAAGATGTGGGTGGGAGACTCTCGCGTGGGTCGGTGGTACAGTCCAAGGGAGATCTTCTCGATTGACGGTCCGAAGGGACGCACGCGGGGGGGGATATTTTGGTACGTTGCATTGTACTTCCGTACTAACTCGGCAAGGAGATGCAGCCCACCGCTCCAGTAGGTAAGGATGTCGTATGGCGGTGTATGTGTAGGTAATCGTAGAGGACGACATCGAAACTATAGTACTCGGTAATCTGTACTTACCAGAGAATGCGAGGAGATGTGGTTGTGGGACGAAAGGTCAACAAATACATGTCCAGACAGTACAATACGAGTAACCAGAGAGAGAGATATATGAATAGGTACGAAGTACGAAGTATATTATAGTACATGGATTTCGTAGGCGTGATGGAAGCCATGAGTATGCAGATCCTGAGGCACCTGCGAGGTATCAGGCATATACCGGGAAGCCTGCCGCGATTTCCGCCGATCACAGAAGTCACATGATAGGATCACGTGATCCAATCCTTCGGACTGCATGGATCGGGTTAATCCATATAGGCTAACTGTGGATAAGCTTCCGCCTCTCTAATTCTCAAATAGGTGGTGCTTAAACGGTTGCGGACAGGTAGCTATTACTCGCAGGCCGGTACTATTTTCTATTTCCGCTCCATAGGCGGCGGGGCGGAAGAGAGGAAGGGCGGAGGACGGCGGGGTGGAAGTGGGGCCTAAGGCAAATAACACCAACTACTACCAATTTTGTCAGGCAGCTACACACCATTCTTTGTACCTAAGTACCTTACCTAGGTCCTCGGAGCAATTCGGGATACCCAGTTGGGAACTCACAACTCCTCCAAACCCACTTGCTGACGTCCAAGTCGTGTCAACAATAATGGAATGCAACATGTCCTCTGTACGAAGTATAGTATGATGCTACCACTAACACTAACCATAGCACTACGCACTGCGCACTGCGCACTGCGCTCTACGACTACGCACTACGGATCCTGTTGGTATGGACCTGCCCCGTAGGTGTTTCTTCCCCGTGGGCTGTTCACTGGTACAGCCCCCGTCTCCCTGCCTGCCCGTCCCCATACGTACCAGCGTACCTCCTATCACCAAGGTACTCACTCCTGACAGGCTCCTTACAGGCTCACACACTTACACTGCCTTACAGTGACCACAGTAGTGACTCCAGTAGCCCAATATCCATTCCCGTGGGCTCTCCCTACGGACGCCACCATCGTCATCACTCCACTGCCGACTGCCCGAAACCCACCTGGGCACCCGCAAAACAAACCACTCCAGTCCCTGAAATCTTAAGCCGACCTGTTCAATCTTCAATCTTCAACGTACGAAAGTCCTGTTTACATGGTACATGTACCGACCTAGTTACCTACCGATGTGGCTGAAAGGGAAAGATTAATACCTCGTACGTAAGAATATACTCCTGATGTACATGTACCGCTCATACTCCAGCTCCTTGCCCTCTCCAGTGTATTTGACCAACCGCCGGTGAGTCCTCTATAGCCACTATGCAAGAATGCAATAAAGCAAGCACCGTGAAAACTCGTTTACAGGTTCATGTTCACATTCACGTTCACATTCGCAAATCCTCAGACGGTTCAGCGGCAGCCGCAAGGAATAGTGTGGGGCGTCAAACCACGAAATAACCAACCGGTGCTTTTTGGTTTTCGTCTTCTCGGGCAAACCACAAACCAGCATCGGGACTACACTGCGTAACTACGTACTAAATGACAACTAACACTTCCCTGTCGCGGAACCCATGCAGATCTCGGCTGCCCTGAGCTCGTGGGTGTCTTGATTTCCAGGGTCCAGCACTCAGGGCTGTTCAAACTCTGTCCTCCTTGGTATCGAATGCAAAATATTGATGTTGGCTGAGGAGACAGAGGCAGGCAGTCTGTTTCCCCATACTATTGCTCAGCGGCCGTGCTAGAACCCTCTTTTCCCCCCAGATTCTATCGACCTCTTTCCACTTTTACTGAGTCAGTAGGCTACAGTAATCGCTGAGAACCTGGGGTTTCCTTCTGTGTCAACGTTTCTCCGGCCTCTCAAATGTTAATCTTATCTTGCCCCCCGGGGACCATCCCGACAATTGTCTACCCTCCCTACGAATAACAGCTCCGTCACGCATAAACAGTATCCACAAGCGTCACCACACCACTGCAGGCAAAACATCTCTTCACTCCACTCTCTCCACACATATCTGACACGGTCTTGCTAATCCCTCCGCCTTATTCGGCACAAACAAGTTGGCTTTGTCCGCTGGAGGTGGCTGAGGTATATATACCATTAACCCGTCCCCCACGTAGACTGGCTTGTCATCTACAGCTGGCTGTTCTACATTTGCTGGTTTCCACTCACTATTCAAAAACAAAGCACTTACTCCCAGCAAGCTCCTATTTTGTCGCCCCAATCATCAAGATGGCTGAACGCTCACAATCACTCCAAGGCTTTGCAGCCTCAATAGAAACTGCAAGGCACGAGTTAGATGCCATGCATCTAGAAAATGAACCCACCTCATCCTCAACCACTCCAGAAATGTCAAATAGTCCAGCGACTCCTGGATCTCCCGTAAACATGACCGAGCTTTCAACTGCGGATTCGTTTGCATTTGCCTTCGATATCGATGGCGTCCTCGTTCGCGGTGGCAGGCCCATCCCAGAGGCTATTGAGGCCATGAGGGTTTTGAACGGCGAAAATGAGTACGGCATGAAAGTGTAAGTACAACATCTCAAAAATCCACACCTATAATTTCTAACATGTAATAGACCATATATCTTCCTTACCAACGGTGGTGGCAAGACAGAGGCAGAACGTTGTATTGATCTGTCTGGCCAACTGGACATTGTTGTCTCCCCAGCACAGTTCATTTGTGGCCATACCCCCATGCGGGAAATGGTCGAGAAATACAAAACTGTTCTTATCGTTGGTGGCGAAGGCGAGAAATGCAGACAAGTCGCCGAAGGCTATGGCTTCCGCGATGTGATTACCCCTGGCGACATCATCAAGGACAACGAGGCCACAACCCCTTTCCGGAAGTTGACCCCAGAAGAACAGGCCAACTCGAGAATACGGAACTACGGCGAGACCAAGATCGAAGCTATTTTCGTCTTTGCTGATAGTCGTGACTGGGCTGGCGATGTCCAAATCATGCTCGACCTCGCCATGTCCAAAGGCGGCTATATCGGCACTCTTTCAGACACCTTCGACGAGGGTCCACCCATCTACTTCTCTCACAACGACATCGTCTGGTCAGCCGCCCATGACAATGTCCGTCTCGGCATGGGCGCCCTCCGGAAGACAGTTGAGACGCTATTCAAGAACATCACGAGCAAGGACCTCGAGACCATCGCTTTCGGAAAGCCTCAAATCGGCACGTTTCAATTTGCCACCCGCCTCCTACAACAGTGGCGAAAGGACGAACATCGCATCAACCGACCTCCGGAGACCGTCTATTTCGTCGGCGATACCCCCGAGAGTGACATTAGAGGCACCAACGAATTCAACGAAAAAGCGAAGAACACCTGGTACTCAATTCTCGTCCGCACAGGTGTTTACCAAGAAGGCACTGAACCCGCCTACAAGCCGCAAGTCACCGTGGATACCGTGCTGGACGCGGTAAAGCACGGCATGAAGAGAGAAGTCGAAAAGAAGAAAGCCCAGGGCGCGAACAGCATGCTTCCTCTCGACAACCTCGAGCTGAAAGCCCTATCCCTGGATGGCGAAAAGACTGCTACTACCCATCCCAGGATCTCGATCTTGGAATGCAGCGGACCAAATACACCCGCGGGAGCGTCGACTCCGATTGCTTAGACTTAGAATTGTGCAATTTTTTTTTCACGGCGTTTGTTTATCATGGCACTTAAAATACCCCCAGAATACGACCGCGTTGAGTTGGGAAACTCGGGCTCGGGAAGGAATTCTTAGATCATTCATAGAAAATAAAATACTAAAATGCACTACCTGTCAAAACTTGTTTTCGTTTTCTTGCACTTACATTTGCTACGTTCCCAGTGCCCCGTCATCCAGACCAAAAGTAAATTGCTGCAGACCTTGGATTGATCGTCGAATCACTCAGACCGCCTGTCTCAAATATTGGGACCTTGAGAGATAACCAACCAATCCTACAGTTGCAACTTTTCCATTCGCTGGCGTTGCACCTTTTGGTACTCGAGTAACACAACCACTGCAACTATCCTACGATTACTCCCAGCATAGTTGGCCGGGTGGCTGGTTTGTTGGATTGCACGGACGCCTACATCACCAACCAACAGAGTCCAGTTTAATGGCAGGATATGGGGTTTCGCCCTGAATTAATGTCTAGGGTGAATCCTGGAATCTGGACATTCGCGCAGTTCGGGCGTTCTTACTAAAGGTGGAGCGGTGTACTTTATTGACTCGTGTTGTTGCGCTAACAATCTTATAGGGAAGCTGGTTACCCCTTGATTATTGTTAAGGTACCTATGTATTGGTTGGATTTGTTGTGTTGTAAGCTACAATTTCGAGGGTCGTTATGACAGAATCGGGCTTGTTTTATTATATAAATCCGTCATGGTTAGGATTAATATCTCCAAAAGCAATTGTTTCGATCTCAATTAACATCTCATGTACTACGTAATGAGGCAAGACTCGTAGAACAGTTACCAGGGGGCAAAGGGGTTGATCTCCACCTTAGCTGCTTATCGATACGATAAGGGGAGAGCCATAGGAGGGGTAAGTGGTACTGAGAAATTGACGTGGGGGCCGTTTCATTCGTCTCCGAAACCAAACATCGGTGAAGGTTTCGCCCGAGCTTAGAGCAATAACCAGATAGTTTCAACGAGCAAAGCAAATGCAAAGCCAACTAGTCAATAATTAATAGACTACACAGGCTCCGTTTTCAATTATTAGCTTGTTTGACCGAATAAAGCTCCGCGCTCGACATCCCTTACAAATATGGCAGATCAACCCGCATACCCCATAATCGACTCGCACATCCACCTCTTCCCCTCTTCCGAGCTCGATACCCTTGCTTGGAATAAGCCAGAGGGTCCTCTCTATAAGCAACACTCCCTCGCCGAATATGCCTCCGCGACAGGCGGGCCTAAGAACCTCGAGGGTTTCATATTCCTCGAAACAGACCGCAAACACGACCTCGAGACCGGACTCAAGGATGGCAGCGGTTGGGAGATGCCGCTTATGGAAGTCGAGTGGCTGAAGAGGATAGCGCTGGGCACACCAAAAGAGGGAGAGGGACATAGTGAGGATGATAAGAAGTTGTGTTTGGCTATTGTGCCCTGGGCGCCGCTCCCCAGTGGTGCTGAGGGGATGCAGAGATATGTCAAGGAGGCTGCCAAACATGCCGGGGAGGCGTTTAAGAAGGTCAAGGGATTTAGATATTTGGTGCAGGATAAGCCGAAAGGGGTTATGCTGCAGGATGGGTTTATTGAGGGGTTGAAGTGGATGGGCCAGAAGGGGTTTGTGTTCGACTTGGGGATTGATCAACATAATGGGGGGAAGTGGCAGTTGGAGGAGGCTTATGAGATGATTGAGAAGGCACACGAGGGTGTTTCGGAGGATAATAAAGTGACTGTCGTTATCAGTAAGTTGTCCTGGCTCTTTCCTGGTGCTACTTGAAGCCTAATTCATTATCCAGATCACCTATGCAAACCCGACCTCTCAGTCTACAACCAGAACGACCCCGCCTTTGTCGCTTGGAGGACCGCGATGTTCAAACTCAGCAAATGCAGCAAGACGTTTATGAAGCTCAGCGGATGCTTCTCGGAGATGCCAGCATCCCTCAAACAAGCACCAGTGCTGGAAATATTCGCCGCTCTTCAGCCATACCTCGTTGTAATCCTAGCTACATTTGGGTCATTCAGGATCATGTTTGGATCAGACTGGCCTGTCTGCACAATTGGCGTCGATGATGCATGGAAGAAATGGAGGCAGGTGGTGGAGAAATTCTGCTATTTGGCTAGTCTGAGCGAAGAGGACCAAATTATGATTTGGAGCGGGACTGCTATCAAGGCGTATGGGATTAAAGAGCTGATGTGAAGCAGAATTTGATTGCGAAAAGGCTGCTAGGTACTTATTCTAAAAGTTAATGCATTTTGGAGCGAACGGTTTCTTTCCGGATGGGATTGATATCTCTAATCTATACCCTCTCGCTTCAATGTTAATTGGCTTGGGGCCAATAGGGCAATTCGCTCATGCTAGGTTGAATAATATAAAGTACCTAGGTATGCATACATGGTATCAAGGGACTTGACTATTGTGTGATCGCGAACCCCCTGATAATAGCAGGTCTCCAGCAAGGGGCTATGGCCTAGGCCTAAGCTACAGGTTCCTGCACTTGGCCAACTACTACCTCAAGTTATTCTCTCCTATTGCGATTCATGTACAAGCCCAACTCCAAAACTCCCGTGGCGGAGATCTGCTACCATTGCAGGTGGGAAACCTTATCCACCGCATCCCACTCTCTGTACAAACAATAGGTACCCCTCGTTGACATCACACTAATAAATGGCCCGTCTCGCCCTGCATTCCCCCGAAGACTGCCCTCGGCATTGTCCCATCTTCCCGATGTCGCGCACATATAGTCCCGCAGATACCCATCTTTCATGCATCTCCGAGTCCTCATCGTGTATATAATAGGTCGTTACTTGTTCTTGTAAGCACAGGAAATTGTTTGAGTCTAAATACAAAGACAGCGGAGTAAGTTCCTACTTTCTAGCTAGATATATGATAGCTCTTTAAGCTATGCCTAGCGTTTCGAACCCCATTCCCCATTCCCCAGTTCCATTCATCCATTAAATCATAGCTAATGCTGATTTAATTCTGTTTGCAGATAATACAATACAAAACCATGGTTGCCAAACCTCCTCCAGCGGGCGTCTATGTCCCCGTCCCAACCTTCTTTGTTTCCAAAAAGGCCGCAAACTATAATGCAGTGTCGGCACCCGTCGATCCTGAGACACAAGCTGCACATTCGCTGCATTTAGCCCGTTCAGGAATTCAAGGTCTGGTTGTACTAGGTAGCACGGGCGAGGCAGTCCATCTGTCTAACAAAGAGAGGTTCGAAGTCCTCTCAGGAGTTAAGAAGGCTCTGGATGGCGCCGGATTCAAGGATTATCCTATTATCGCCGGGACAGCATCGCAGAATATTGAAGAAGTTGTAGAGCAGTTAAAATCTGCGAAGGACGCCGGCGCTCAATGGGGACTGTGTCTTGTCCCCGGATATTTTGCGGGTGCTAGCACGGAAGAGGGCATCATACAATGGTTTACAGCTGTAGCTGACCAGAGTCCGATTCCAGTTTTGATGTATGTTTGCTCCCCGTTTTCATTTATACGACTTGCTAATGCGGCACGACTAGTTATCATTACCCTGCGGTATCAAACGATGTTAAAGTTACGCCTTCGACCTTTGCAACGCTATCGAAACACCCCAATATCGTGGGCTGCAAGCTCTCCCACGGCGATGTCTCCTATCATGCTCAGATTGGGGCGAATCCCAAAATTGACCATACCAAATTCCATACTTTTACTGGGTTAGGCCAGCAGCTCCTTGCAATTGTTACTCTGGGCTGCGCGGGCACCATCGATGGCACTGCGGGATTCTTCCCAAAGTCTGTGGTGCGGTTGTACAACCTATCCCTGAAGAACCAGCCCACGGATGAAGAGGTTAAGGAGAGGAGATTGCTGCAGTATAAAGTTAGTTCGGTGGAGGAACTTGTGGTGAAATATGGTACGGTAGGAATTAAGGAGGCCATTAGTAGAGTTTTGGGGATGGGTGATGTGGATGGCACGAGACTGCCGCTCCGTGGAGGGATACCTGGGGGCGATAGGGAATGGGAGAATTGGAAAGAGGCGATTGGTGATTTGCAGGCTGTGGAGAAATCTTTGTAGGCATATAAGACATAATCTAGGAATGCAAACTCATTGGAACATTAGACAGACTTTGAAGGTATATATTGTGCTGACAGAACTACTCTACTACTTAAGTAGTTCGTATCTAAATGTTTAGGTTGAGTTGAATAGAGTTGAGTTGAATGGTAATATTTACCATTCTGAATATAATCAAAAACTACTGAAGACGCCTGATTATTTAATAGAGAGGCCGATTACATGAGATAGCAGCCTAAAAAGGGCAGATGGATGGCATTGAACGAACATAACTATTTTCCCAACATAAATGCTCTCCTAACTTGAAGTTGATATTTAAAATGACAAATTTACACAGGTTTATTCACGTCACTTGATGTTGCCTAGTTCAGGGTTTCAAGGCATTAAATATTACAGCTCTGATGAAGTAGTGGCATGGTACAACGCTTTGATCACGGTCCCCGCCATCCTGCTCTAAAATATCCGTTTGACTTTTTAGATGTTGGCCATATTTAGACTATGACTCTGTAGGAGTATGATGCCTCGTATCAAAATTTTCCCACTTTAGTCATGTAGTTTAGATGCCGGAGCATGTCAGCGATGAGAACTGAATATATGCTGAGTGGTTGGAATCGGAGGAAAGACTATCTTCATAGGCTGCTGAGGGATGCAAACCAGCATGGTTCCCTAACGTTTGCACCATAATTGCACTAGCAACGACAAAAAATGGAAATATATCAACGGTGTGAGTAAAAAATTCATAAATGTTGAGAATATTAGCAATGACTTCGCAAAATGAAGCCGATGAAGCAGGGTTGAAATGTGTCAATGGTTAATTCCATCTATGAAAAAGGGCAAGATATGCTGGATTATGAGATGGGTGATTGAATAGAAATCGGGCGTGGGTACTGGGAACCTGAGTATCGTAGTCCTCCTAGATGTGCAAGTCAAGAATGGTTGTTACGAAATATTAAGCACGCCTAGCAGCTTAATCTACTAAAGCTCCAAGAACACTGATATCGATACAATCCCGATACGTTCAAACTCAGGGACGAGTCCAGGAACGATGGTATTCCAAAAACACATATTTGTAAAACACCATGCCGACAAACACTGTAGCTGTTTTAGAAAATCGTGACTTTTTGCATTCCTACCCATCCTAAACGCCTAATGAATGCGAGCAACGGCAAGACACTCCCAGCATGGTATGATACATCATTTCCCAGATCTAGAAACCCAAGTTGACACTTCCACGCCAAAATTGATATCTGCAGCTCGCTGTGCACCACGCCTTCGCAGCTGTCGGTCGACTTAAACTCTAACCTTTCTCGCCTCCTTCTCCACCACCTTAAGTAAGTCCTTATAGACCTCAACATATTCCTCCTCTCCCTCCACCTTCTCCTTCTTCCCACTCTTCTCGCTCACCATAACCACGCTTGTAGGTCTCTTCGTATTGCCCGCAGCTCCTAGCTCTGCTCGGCTTGTGACGAAGATATAAGGCACGTTGTGGTCTTCGCAGAGTACTGGGATGTGTGATATGACGTCCATGGGCGAGATGTCTGCAGCAAGTACAACAATGCCAGGAATGTTGGCGGAAGAGGCGGAGGGGGCGCCGAGAGGAGATTTGCGAAGGGCTTTAACAACTTCTTTTACACCACGCTTGAGAGTCTTGTTCTTCGCCGCTGTAGTGTTACGCCAAAAATTAGCTATTGATCTATCACAAAAAGCAGAGGAAGATCGACTGGGAATGCTTGAAACTAACCTTTCTTAACACCTTTCAGCACCTTCTTCGCAACCTTCTCATCTGCCAGTGGATTGGCAAAGGGAACCAGTGCTCCAATAGGTTTTGCTGCGCCTGCTATCTCCGCAATAGCCTCGCCATCCTTCACAATTGATACCTCCATATCATCATCTTCGTTCTCCTGCGACGGTGATTGTGGCTCCGATGCTACTTTCACAGCAGCGGCGATATTATCACCACTGAGCTTCGACTTCTTGTCCTTCTTTGACTTTTTGACACCATCCTTCTCGCTGCGCTTTTCTTTCTTCTCCTTCCTCTCCTTGGTGGACTTGTCTTTGCCCATTTTTTCTAGTTTAGGAGATTGCTGATGAGGTTGTGAGGGGTCGACGTGCGGATTGAATTGGGGGAACAATTTTAACTTTTCGTGGTCGGAGTCGGTAAATATCTTTTGCGATTGGGGATTTATTTCTCGGCCCGCTAGGCCCGATATGGTCGGCAACGAGGGAAGCTCTCGAGTACCAAGTACCTGGCGTAGTGTTTGCCAATCCGGTCGACAGAACATTTAAATGAAATTCATCAAAATAAAGAGCTAGAATTAGGTCTAATTATTCTATGGAGGTGGATTTGCCGTTCGGGCTGAGGCTGAGGATCCTCAATATGTTCAGGGATTGGGGGCTTGTGAAGTAGTTGTTTATCAGAACAGACGCAGGGTACTGATACATTGAATACACGACATGAAGCTTATTTGAGTGCCGAACCATCCATTGTAATGCGGTCTAGTACTATACACAGTTATGGGCTCTATCCCCAATTCACCCCAGAATCCCCCGTACTATCTAATAAACATCCATCCATCACTCGTCAGAACCCTCGCCTAAAGAACAACACAAACTGTTTAGTAGAGTACTTAGGATAACAGAGCTCGCACTCTACTCATCCGCACCATATTCAAGACGGCCTGCTTTCGAGTTCAGATATTCGTTTCTGTGAATGCCCATATTAGCAAAGCCCCTTCCAACCCCGACGTCCGGAGGTGAGGTAGAAGATACGAACCTCTCAACAGCCCAGCTCATCGCAGCGTAGGCGACGACGAAAGGAGGGACGACGTAAAAGACCTGTGCAGAGAATCGCCTCCAGGTGTTGAAAATGGCTGCATGGAGGGCGCCAGCGAGAGGACGTTGACGATTGGCGCTGAGACCATATGTGATGATACCCTTCTGGGGTGGGGAGCCTGTAGTTGCCATGCATCAGTCGTGTGCCATCGAATATTGTCCCCTTCTCCGAGTTCCAATTCCAATTTATCATGGCTTTGTCGACATATCTATATCCATTCGACTTCCCGGATATCGCATTGCATCGAATTATGTATGGGTTGATGCCGATTTAAGCCAGTATTCGGGAAGCAACGCCGCGGAACAGAACAATCAAGACTCACCAAGGTGGCCCCAGTTTCCAATCCACCTGTAAACCACCGAAGTCAGCACCGTGTATATTTAATATCTCTTCAAGCTCCAATGCCATCGTCAACTCCACAGCCGGGACGTGGGCTGATTGCGAAAGGCTTTTTTTGGATGGCCACTTACTTTCCATACTTCCCAACCGGGCCGTCACCACCACTACGAAGAAGTTGCGAGGGTCTCATTGTATCCAATGTCAATCGAAGAAGTGAATTGGCTCTTCAATGGCGTTCGGTTTAGTGGTGCAAAAGATAGTTGGACGTTGAAGTTGCTCATGCTTTGCCCTCGGCAGATTCCTGGTCCAACCCCGACTTTGGTTTAGCGCCAAATCGAAAATGTTCCTACAAACCTCATTCGGGAGCTCCAGCAACCACAAGCGTCCATCTCCATCTCCAACCCCAGAATCATCCTCTCCTCCGCGCCGCATACTCTATACTCCAACTCCAAATCAAGATGGCGCAGGCACTCCAGTCCCTTTACAAGTTTGCCGTCCCGCTGGCAGTTGGCGCTTCCCTTGTCCAAGCTTCCATCTACGATGTCAAAGGCGGAACGAGAGCAGTCATCTTCGACCGATTAGCCGGAGTTAAAGACACAGTCGTGAACGAAGGCACCCATTTTCTGATCCCCTGGCTGCAGAAGAGCATTATATACGATGTGCGGACGAAGCCAAGGAATATTTCGACGACTACTGGTAGCAAGGATCTGCAGATGGTGAGCTTGACCTTGAGGGTTTTGCATCGTCCGGAGGTGCAGGCGTTGCCCAAGATCTATCAAGTAAGTTCCCAATGACCGAGCTCTCTAGATCCGTAGACAGGGAGCTAATTGAAGCATAGAATCTTGGTCAAGACTACGACGAGCGTGTGCTCCCATCCATTGGGAATGAAGTGCTGAAAGCCATCGTCGCGCAATTCGATGCTGCCGAACTCATCACCCAACGTGAAGCTGTCAGCAACAGAATTCGGGAAGACCTCCTCAAACGCGCCCAGGAATTCAACATTGCGCTCGAAGATGTGTCCATCACGCATATGACATTCGGAAAGGAGTTCACACGAGCAGTAGAGCAAAAGCAGATTGCACAGCAAGACGCCGAGAGGGCTAGATTTATCGTCGAGAAGGCCGAGCAAGAGAGACAGGCAAACGTCATCAGAGCAGAAGGTGAGGCTGAATCTGCGGACACGATTAGCAAGGCGGTGGCCAAGGCAGGTGATGGCCTGATTATGATTAGACGGATCGAGGCTAGCAGAGAGATTGCCCATACATTGGCGAGCAACCCGAATGTTACATACCTTCCAGGTGGTGGAGAGGGAGGCAAGGAGGGTGGCGGCAAGTTCTTGCTTGGTTTGAGATAATGATGAGAGCAGGTCAAGGTCTGGCTACACTGTATACATAGCGAAAATGTAATATTCATCCCCTCTAGCCAATCCCAGCTTAATTACGCAGCTCTCTTTGCCACGATATTCGCACCCGACCCCATCGAATATTGAATCTCCATATAATGGCCTGTTAACCCTAATGCTCCTCCTCTTGGTGTACGAAGTCGACGCTATAGACCGTATCTAAGGGGGCCTTCTTAATTTAGTTATCTACTTTTAAGGCTGTACTTTCGAAATGCGCCCTCAAAGATCTCCACAACTGCTATCCTTGGAATGTCCAACTTTTGGATTAAACCTATCCTGGCGCCAAAACACCCCAGGTCCAAACACCTGACCGACATCTATATGATACTGGAAAACGTCTAGAATACTGTGCAATAAGAGGATGTTCACCAGCATAACGAAGAATCCTGTTATCGAAGCCGTTGTAATATCGTACGCTGGTAGATTACTTTGTACTAATTTTACCTAGCAGCTCCCCTGACGCTTGCAAAGTTCGAAGATTTGGTACAGTGACGGCGCTACTATATATGTCGAGGAGTAAGGCAAACCCGGACAACACCCCCCCAAGAGTCCTCCCTAAACGACCTGTTGTTCATCTTCCCCAGGTAGGCTTAATTTGTCCGTGCAATTAAATCCGTCAAATGCTATTCTTGCTAAATGGCTGAGCCGTATGATTATGAGGAAACACAATTCTCATGACAACCTATGAAATTTGATAAGTTGCTAGGACCAAGGAGAGGGAGTCTAGTAAAGGTAGGTCGGGTCCGCCTTCGGTCCTTGAGGGAATACCACGTCGCTCTCCAAGGACCTACTGGATTTCTGGCTAAGAAATGAAGGGCGCTTGGTCCGAATATAACAGTGCCATATTATTGGAGAACTCTACCTGTTGCTTCATTACGCCATGCGTATTAGTGTAAGCTGTGGCAGCAGCATCTAATGATAGGGAATAGATGGCTTGTTGATTTCCGTGGAGATTATTAACAAGATTCTCACAAGGGTGCATGCTCGACAAGGTAGGCGACGGGTTATACAAAAGCAGGAGAATGAGTTTAAAGGAGCAGTGATCTGCTGCTTACGTGCCGATTTCCAAGTGTCGATCCTTTAACCGCATACTTGGCTGCAGGATTTTCTTCATATGACCGTCAGACTGCAAAGGTTGTGGCATATACAAGTACCGAGGTAGGAGCAGCCGGAATGGCGTGGTTAAAATCCTCGGCGTGGTGGTCAGGGTTTCCCCACAGGTCTTCTAGATACTATATTATAACTTGCTTGTAAGAAATTGTTCCCTGGGCGCCGTAGAAACATATTGATAACCTTACCTTTTAAGCAAGCGTACGGAGGAAGAAATGTGCTACTAGAAAACCTTCGTAGATTAGTAGCCAGTTGGTGCGAAGGGTCAAAACTCCACAAGGCAATATTAATACTTCTATATGCTACCAAACTTAAACAAATCAAAGACATTGATAGTACCAAGGCGGAGACACGCCTTTACATTGGAAACCAGCCTATTCCAATGTTAGCTCCTGCGCGGACACATGAAGAATATGAATGACTTACGGCGCAAACAGTACATCCCTTCCAATCATTCCCGCCACATTGGTCCCAGTGCTTTTGTGTACAACCTCCTGGCGACCCACCGCCACCGGGAGCAGTTGTGGTTGGTTTGCGGGTAGTAGATGAGGTCGTTTTAGTTGGTGTAGGCTTTGATGTAGTTCGCGGCGTTGTAATTGGAGCAGTGGTAGTTGATTTAGGGGGTTTCGGAGGCTCGCCACCTGGTGAGGTGCTCGTTGTTGCTGAACTGCCATCACAGTAGCCCACCCATCCGTCCACGCTCATGGTCTTTAGAACCGTGCTAAACCCTACCATACCCGTCGATTGACAATCGGTCTTTTTTTCGGCGTCTGTAACCTGGGGTGCTTTGGCTGGGTATTCAATATGGAAGACAGGCTTGCCAGACTTGATGAAATCGTCATACTGTTCGCATTCCTGGAACTGAGCGCACTGTTCGTTGACAGCAAATTGGACGATATTTGATATATTTGGAAGTATTGCCAAGCTGTTCTTCAACCCTGTTTGTAAGCCTAGGGAGGCAGCAAATGAGGACAGAAATTTCATGTAGTCGATCGTGTCAGCTTCCTTAAGATTGAGTCCGTTGGTATTTTGCTAATATATTTCGTTAGAAAGATTCCCCAAAATCTTATACAGCAATAAGAAACAGCGGCATTGTATAAGACTTCAGATACAAGGCTGTTCCCTGACGAGATTTGAAAGGATGGGCTCATACATATCCATCTAGATGGTCATTGATTAGCGTCAAGTTCTCATTGACTGGAAAGCAAGCGAATATCATCACGCTGTAAATGCTAGACATGAGATACGTACCTGTATTGTCTGGATCGATGGCATCGCATCCTTTAGTTGCAGCATTCTGTATCCTGGTCTTCATGATTGACCTAACATTGTCGCTACTCAGTTTAAGCCAGCGTTCATTCGGCCACTCTTTAAGCACGCTTCCCATGTCCGCTGCGGCGAATTTGTTTGCGTCTGGTCGCCAATTCTCAACTGTTCCTGCACTGAAGTAGCAGATGACAGTCTTGCCCATAGCCTTCATGGCGGTAATGGTCTCCGCACTTGTACCCTCCAGGTCGATATCGTAGACAGGTGCATCAGCTGGCACAAGAGGAGTGTCGAGATTTGGGATGCCACTTAATACGATCTGGAATTTCTGGCCCACGGCAAACTCGACACCTAGTGATGTGCCAACACAAGCACATGCCGCAAGAAACCAGCAAAGCATACTTGCGGAAAAGCGGCAAGTAGTATTAGACCGCTGGGGAGAAACTTTTAAATTCCACGCCATTGAATGTGCGAAAGAAAAGACACGGGCAGCAGCAAGCACGGGCATAAAAGAGGGTACAGGACTATACTCTTACATAGCAAGAACCTCTTAAGGACAGACATGTCTGAAAGATGTTTCAATTGGCGTAAAATGTCTCTACATCGTGCCGGTGGGAGATCAGCCGCTCTGGAATTTTCTGACGTTGTCCATTCGGATGTGAGTCTGAAATTGCTCAGATGTAGCCCTGACTGATCACGCCAACGAGATCTACAGGAAGGGTGGGCAGGGAGGCCACGATGGGTGAGCTAGTAACCTCGGTGTCATCCCTTTTGGATTAAGGCCAGGGAGGCCATCTGACATAGCCTAGCCGGCAGTCCATGTATGGGATACGGCCGCAGTAGAACTGCCGGAAAAGAACTCGTCCTTGCGATGGCCCTAAGCTTTCTTCCGCAGTTGCAGCGACCGTTACGCCACTGGGTGACCCCATGCACAGAGAAACACGCCATTGGCTTGGGTAGCACTGTACCTGAAGATCCTGTAGCAGATCTTGAGGATCTGGAAGGAACATTGATAGGGCTCTTGGGTATTAATATCACGCGTAGATTGATGCGGGGAAACCCCAAGATCTAGAGCCGCGTGGGCGGGTAAATTCCACAGTATGCATTTGTCAACCCCATGATCGAAACGTCGAAGGGCCAGGAACAAAACTAGTTGCTCGTGGTCTGTCATGGGAAATGTGCTCTTCGAGTGTCAACTTGGGACACTGCCAGCAGGATAAGCTTGGCGTTCGTCCCCAACGCGCGGCCATCAACACTGCGGTCTGTGATCGCTGTGAGCTTGCGAATTATCGTCTGGAAGTGCTAAAGGGAATTCTCTGGGATATATTCAAAGTGTGCATAACCGTCCATTGTGGTGGACCGGACGTTCCAGAACATCATAATCCCCGAATCTCAGTAACAAGGTCTTTGCGAGCTATAACTTCCTCGACCCAGGCACTGCAGGCAACACTAATATGGCTTTGCACCGCCGATCGCCTTGCGTAGTGTCGCCTAGTACCATAGCCTTACGGACCGATCAAGGCGAGAGGCCAGATTAATCAATGAGCCGGGTCTCGATTTGGCAGTGGCATCGGAGGGAGCAGCTGCAAGATCTTCAGTGTAAGATCGGTCGCTAGACCATTCCATAGTATCGCATAGTATTTGCCGAATGGAATGGCATCAAATAAAGAAGGCCTTGCAATGGCATGGCGCTCTATACTCCATACTTCATGTGGCCAAGAGGAAGCCCGAGTGGTGGAATCGGGGATTTAATCTAGTGGACGATGTGTTACCGACGATCTCCTGCGAGTTACCCTGGGGCGGAGGATGTCCGAAGGGCACGCAAAATTAGCAACGGTTTCCTATTGACTCCCTCACGCATCATGCGTGGCAAATTTGTCGCTGGATGGTGGGTACGGAATAAGACTCAAGTACCTGTGTGCCCATGTACTTGAGTATAAGACACCGCAAGCAGCGATCGGCATCTGGGTTGCGGATGCAGTGCGAGGGAAGGAATAAGAGGTAAAATCTTTGGTACCTGGTACTTCTTGGAGTCCAGCGGCCACGGTCCGTAAAGCTTGTCTCTTTAGCCGCATGAGATCTCCCTTGTCCAACCACCTCAGCCGCCATCCCTTGCGCGCAGGATTCTCCGATTCGGTGACAATTAAATTTTCGAACCTGTTTTCTCCCCTTTGTGTCATTCATGGTCGAGCCCCTGCAATATCATAGTCCTGACCGCATTGTAGCCATCGCGAGTTGTCACGTTTGGGCCGTGTCTCCTTTTTCGGCAACCTTGAAATCCATAATAGCTGAAGCGTGATTGGGCCCCATAGTACTCTTTCTGCGGCATGGCTGTGGCTCATAGACATGATTTTCGGATTCTAAATGTTCACAAAATGGTTGAGGTCGCAGGAAGCAGGTCAATCACGAATGATAACATTGAGGCTTGACCAACTCGAATTTTCCCCCGGTATTAGACGGTAGGGTCTAGACCTGGTCGGAGGTTCCTCCTCGATAAGATGGCTGATATCATTGCTTCGAGAATGGCGTAAGTATTTCGGATAAACTCCAGGGAAACCACGTTTATACTGGCCCCCATAGGCTAGTTGCCGTTGTATTGCAAGTGAAAGCGGACGAGCCGATGCAATCCATCCTTTTTCGGGGCCTAGGCCACGGTCTTAAAAATGCCCTCATATTGGCTCGAGAAAGACTTCTAGGTTATAGCGTTTAGATATGGACTTTCGAAAGCAGATTTTGAACTCTCCAATTTTGGGGCATCTGACTCCAGCAGCAGCGTTGCTACCACTCACCCTACTTACAAATTTAATCTAGAGGAAAAACATGTAAAGCGGAAATGGGAGAATTAGTTCAGGGATACTGAGTGCTGGGAGCTGAAGTTCAACGTAGCACTACAAGTGTAAGACATTTAGTGGTGATTTTTAAATATTCGCTCGTGCAGGATACAATTCTCGCTGACCTTTGCCAGATGGAAATAGTCTGTCGTGTTTCGGCCAAAGCTAATGGCCGAAGTAACCCCACACCTTTTAACTTGATTTAACTATTGCCAACAAAATGACACTACAGCCGCAGGGAAAATAAAAAGAGCCATAGGAGTGGCAACACTCGCAAAACAATCTTAAATTCTAGCGAGGTGGTACTGGGCCTGCCACACATATCACTTGATCGTCTAACGATGGGAAACAAACGTTTGCTCACGAGGAGGGAGCCTGGAGCTACCAGGATGAAAGGAGCATCGCTCCGACTTCAGCTTCGACCTTGTTGAGAATAAATATTCGAGTAATGTCTGGGCGGATAATAATTTGGTTTAGATAATGATCAGTAAAGACACTTTGAGGGTATGTGATATTCGACCACCGCGGCATACTCCTTCCAAGAGTCATATTTGAGTAGCTTAACTTACCTTCTACACAAACTTGGGATACCAGGTTGCGCTAGAGATAAATGCCATATTCATGGGCATAAACGACGCCGTAGACTGGATATCCCCAATTGGGGCATAGAACGTAGCAGGTGGCCTGCCTCTCAATGTCCTCCAACACAGCCGTTGACGCTAGTTGTAATGTAGGATCGTAGTCGAGATAAATTTCGTAGCTTCTTGTCGGTGCCGTGAAACCGTTGGAGCCATTAGGGCAAGAAGTATCTTAAGAAGATCGATAAGTGCGATATGGCTGGTCTATAAATCGATAGAATTCCCCAAACGGCATGCGGCCAAACATGCTGGTGACCCCGCGGGCAATATCATTGTGATAGATGAACCCTCGGATTTGAGGAGCTCACCGCGGGCCACAGTGCTGGGAACCATCCACTATACACACCTAACAAATGAGAGCCAAAGGAATGTCCGGGAACGAATCGCCAGGATCCCATGGTCAAATCCAAGGCAAGGAGATTGCCGCCAAACACGATCTCAGTACCACTATATTTTTGGACCATACCTACATATTATCTACTCATAACATATGACAGGTCAGATGCCCGAACCTGATTCGGTAGCTTGGTTCTTCTAGGCTTTCAACACACCAATTGCTACCACAAGGGGTACTGCCCCGACAGTATATACCTCAGCACAGCGAAACAAGTAACCAAAAACCGCTCTATTGAAATACAATTGATATTGTAAACCGAATGAACGTGAGGGAAGGCCTACTAGAAGGGATGAACGGCTTGAACAGAACTAGAAATTGACGGTGCAAACTCCTGGCCCTCACTTGATATGCATAGGGACGGTAAGTAAGGGTGGCACTACTCCGGCCCCTCAAGGCACAAAGGCAAGTTCAGAAAAAAGCCTTTTATTTTCATTCGCGTTCTATGTGTTCATACAGACTCCTGATGTGGGCGCAGGCATAAAATAACTCATCTGGACGGTTTCGGCATTCTGCGGACAATCATGGGGCTGTCTTCTCATTTCTTTGGATATGCAGCACACTTCTCATGCTGATATCATGGCCTGCCAATATGAGCCTACTGCGAAGACAATAGCGAATAAAATCTCGAGTTTGACCACGTTCCTGGCCTAGCAGCAATCCGAAGACTTTCCTGCTAAATTTCCGAGGAAGTATTTATATCTGATTGTCCGATGTTCAGGAAGGGCATCCATCAAAGAAAACTTCCACTAAAATGCAAATGCCGTCATGTCTCGGACTATTTCAAGGTGGATTTGGACTGTGTGCCTTGATCGCACAATCGGAGAATATCGGTTGCAGAAATGGTGCTCCTCGGGATTTATGGCCGAGGATCATCTCACATTCGAAGTCCCTCGCCTCAGTCCGGTCAATCCCTATCAGCATTTGATACCACCGTTCTTCTATGGCTTATAGTAACTTCAAGTTTCCGGTAACTTTATCGATGGCGCTCTTGGGTGCCGGCCCGATACCCAAGACTGTATGGCTCCCGGAGGCAATCTGCGTTCGACCTGCATCCGCGATGACCTCCGCAACAAGGCCTAAGCTCCTGGCAGTGGCCTGCAGTAATTCCAGCTCTTCTTCGCTTTTGACTTGGAGTGCTACCTTGGCTTGGCCTTGCCTCTCCCAGCGGCGCAGGATTGGCGAGTCTGGAGCATTGCGGAGGAATCTCTTGTAGCATGCCAGCGTGGCGTGGGAACATTGAGCGGCAATCTTGCCTGTGGAATTGTTAGCCCCGGTTTTGCAAGATAGGGTAGAGCAACGCGCCTTTGGTCATTCCTAGGTCCGTTCGCACAACCAGTACAAGTTTGCACTCCTCTGTGCTGTTTCTACCTTCCACAGTTCCATTCCCCCAGTCAGGCGCATGATCGAGCACCGTTTCATCGATATCCTCTTCCTCGCTTTCCTCCTCGTTATCGTAGTTTTCAGTGCGAGATCCAAGCGGTTTGGAAGATGTAGGCCGGAACGGGATGGGGAGAAACCCAAGCGACGAAAATACCCCAATCATATAGCCGCCGATACCTGCAAGTATGGCTGTGCTGATGAGCATTGCCATCGGAGTTGGCGCTGCTCGTTCGGCCATTTTTCGTCGGTCTGGATGATGGTTGATGTCGAAATATTTATGATATCTGAGTTTGGGATCTCAATGCTTCTCGGATCGACAGGCAATTGCAACGAGCTAATAGTGTTTCAAGCGCAGTATCGGAAAATGATCCCACTGCATAGACAGGTAAAGAGGTATGTAGTACCGTATATGCTGGAATAGAGTAGGTGGAGGTTTGCTTAAAGTTCGAATTTTGGGACGCATGTGGCGGCAGCTAAGGGTCTCTTCAGGGGTACAGGGAAGCTTAGTTTGCGTGGTGCGCCACAGTGTGGAGTACTCGAGTATGCAGTACAACAGTGTCCATTCTATATTTTCTATATCTATTATATTGGAACTTAAAGTATGTATTCACTCAGATCTTCCCTCAGCTGCAAGGATCACGCTCGCTCAAATCATAGGGATCCCAAATTGTTGAGGCACAAAATTTCTCGAATCAGCCAGCCCAATACATCCATGCTGAATCAGCTACACCGGTGCGTGACTCACGTGATGATACATACAACACTCGTACAGATGCCGTATTGCAACTTAGGATCGCTGTTATTGGTAGGTTTTTTACTCTGTACCTACCTAGGTGGGTAGGTACATAGTAAACACATTTCTTGCGGAACAGTTATAAAAGTGTCATCCGAACAGATATTGTTCGCGCACCAGAGTAAAAGTGCAAATAAAAAAAGTAACAGCCCAATAGATATCTATCTATCACTGGCTACGGGCTTCTTTTGGTCGTCATAAATAGAAATCTCGTCTCGTTAGCTACAGTACCATGTCTCCACCACCCACATCCTTATCCGTATCCATAACAACATCTTCAGCCCCATGGCTATGTGCTGAATTCCAAGGCTCAGCTATCCTCGGCCACACCCTCTTATACAAACTAACCCCAACAGAGTCTTGAGGATTAATCTTTCCATCAAATGTCGCTTTGAAATAGCCATGAGTGCCCAGACTCTCCTTAATATGTCCACTTCTCCCTCGCTTGGTCCATAGTTGCAACGCTTTGAACCATTCCACATCCTCGCGGTTGAAAAACATGTAGCGGATCGTAACAAGTTTTTTGTGGATCTTGTACGGGTGACCAGTGACAATGATGCGTTTGGCAACGACCCGAGTCGAGGATGGTGCAAGTGACGTCCCAGTCGCTATAAGGTTTAATGGAGCTTGTGGATTTCCGTCCGTGGTCGGTTTGAAAAAAAGTGCTGGGACAAAGCCCCAAGTGATTGGTGCAACAAATGTTGCGATCGCCGAACGTCCTGGATGTAGGAACCGATCGAACTTGTGGACATCATTCGATGTATTTCCTCCTTCAGAAAATATGGGCTTGATAATAAACCGGCGAGGGCCGCATTGCATGACCAGCTCGTCTTTAGATTTGATTGGCTCTGGGAAGTCGGAGCTAAGAGTCAAGTTGAAATTGACCACGGCACGCTTACGCTCGTGGCGAAGCAGCGAGACAAGAGTAAGTGGGCGAGATGGATCGTAAGTGGAGCGTATTGAGGCGGGTACATTGCGGAGATATACATGGACACGAGTCCCTGGGGCAACTCCACCGACTAACGCTTCGCGGGCGACCTGACTCCTTGCTGCCTTGTAATTGGGAACTTGAAGAAGTCTTCTCCATTCTTCAGGCTCATGTGCCTTGTCTTCATCTTCTTCCCAGTGGCTGGTACGAAGACTCTTCAATCCACGGTAGCGTGCCAATCGTTCTCTTGCCAGTACATGTGGATGCAACTCAATTTCATCCGGAAATTCACGATCTTCCTCAGCTTCATCACCCTTGCGTTGTCTGAAAGCCGCGAGTTGCTCTGCCTCAGCTTCGTCGTCTGGATTTGGGTCCAAAAACATCTCGGATTGCGGGTATTCTGACGGGGCCATTTCAGTAGGTTCACGAGGAGCAACTCCCTCAGCGCCATCCTGGGGCAGCGCTGGTGTATCCATATCCACGTCATTCTGATCATTAACATCTTCATAATCGGATCCAGAATCCGAGAAATCATCACCAAGAAACCATGCGGCTTGGTAAGCCGATGTTCCCTTGGGCAATCGCTTTGGAACCGCTGGCAAATGCGTCTCATCGTCCGAGAAATAATGGTGGTCATCCAACAGAACTCCGCGCTTTTCAGCGGTTGTAACCGACATGTCCATACCATCCATATCATCTTTCATCACAACCTCTTCCGGAGCCAGCTCCGCGGTATCATCCTGGTCTTCCGTTGGAGTATCGAGTATTTTTTCGGAATCATCTACCGCCATGCCATCGGGCCGCCTCTTCTTTGAATCCGAAGGGGCTGCGGTGATCTTCTCGATCTGGAAATCTCCCCAGTCGCCAACCTGGACAAGACGATCCGCCTTGAGTCCTTTACCCCGGACCACTCCTGTGAGGACCACATTTCCCTCTAAGTCTTCGGGCCATTGAACATTATCAATCAACACCCAGCTCCTGTCGTCCCTCCAATGTATTCCTTTGGGTGTAGTAGTGCACAGCGAACGCACCAAATTGGCACATTCCTGCCTCGAATCCAAATTGTGGAGTTTCTCCTGGTCGGGGTGGAAGTGCGTAACGTAAGATTTCAAAGAAGAGAGAACTTGTGCTCTTTTCTTAGGAGGCTCAATCTTTCCTAGACCAACAACAGCCGTCACTAACGTGGACATCCCTTGCCCTTCAACACTTCTAATAATAAGCTCTCCAAGTTCATCCACCTCTTGGTCCGGAGACAATATAAACATAACAAAATCCGAAACTCGAGCTGCGTCCATGCATGCTATCAGGTCTCGTTTTAAGCCCACATATCGAACTTTCTGTTTGAACCTGTCGATATCCACCTGCACTGAACCTTGCTCTGGAATCTCGATATCGATGTCAACACTGTCGTTCAGCAGGCGTACAGCCGCAGCGGTGTCTACATCTTCGCATAGGGGTATCACAGCGACAATCCTTGCTGCTCCATCACGGCCAGCAAATACGCTGTTGTCTCTCAGATGTTCCTTGTGTTTCGTTTGTTGCTTCTGTCGCGCTTGATTTCGGCGATCGAATTTGGACATGAGTTGCTGATGGGGGGATTTGCGGTGACTAAGGTCTTGCACCTTGCCTATGCCGGATTAACATATATCCCAGTTATTGTAGAAAAAGGGCAAAGCCTACCCTTCTGTATTTCCTTCAGTGCGCCCTTGGTCGCCTTCCGGGACTTGAATGGTTTCTGGGAAGATTTGGTTGTGCTCCTATGGGAGTGAGAACCCAGAGAGGAGGGCATACTGCCGTTGCCACCGGCTTTAAAGCGATACGGGATTGAAGCCACGGTGGAATGGAAATATGCCTTCTACTGGAAAGTTTCTATGTTTCGAGGAAATGGCTCGAAAATGCGAGGGGATATCGCCGTGGGGAAACTTTTTGTGCGCTTATCTTATCGAGAGGCTTGGCGTTGCTTTATCGGCGGAAAACTTAAAAAGTTCACTCGGCGGTTTCGTAGCTGGGCAATATCCACCTCGACAAACCCAGACTTCTTAACCACGCGCCCGCAATATCCCACATCGATCCCATATCCTACAGCTTCCAATATCAAAGGAACCGCGAGAAAGATGGAGGTTGATCGGCCGGTGGAGACTGCCCAGCCAGCGACGCATTTCAATGGCGCTGTTGCGGCAAAATCCGCCCGCACTGAGTTAGTTCCCACCACGGTCGATGCTGCTCAACTTCGGCGGCGGAAAGAAGCAGAGAAGGAGTATGGTAGAGGCCGAAAGATCCCTGGTATGTGCTGCTTACTACTCGAAAAATCTCAGAACTGATCCGTAGTAGTGAAGAACATCAGGGACAAGAAATTACGAAGCAATTTAAAAGCGTTGGAAAATAAATACACGACTGCCACCCTGCGACTGAAAGACTCGGAGATTCTGCATGAAAATACAGGCGGTTTCTTGGAGCCCGAGACTCCTCTAGAGCGAACCTACAAAGTTCGACAAGATGATATATTACCAGATGTTCCAATCGAAGCTGCGAAGAAAAGATTCGATTTGAAGCTAGACGCGCTAGGACCATACGTTTGTGATTATACGAGGAACGGCCGACATCTCTTGCTTGCTGGTAGGAAAGGCCATGTTGCGACTATGGACTGGCGGGACGGGAAGCTGGGTTGTGAGTTGCAGCTAGGAGAAACAGTACGGGATGCTCGATGGCTGCACAACAATCAACTATTTGCCGTTGCACAGAAGAAGTACGTTTACATCTACGATTCGGCTGGAGTAGAATTACATTGCTTAAAGAAGCATATCGAGGTGACGAATATGGAGTTTCTGCCCTATCACTATCTCCTAGCAACTGTTGTACGTATTCACTCGCCCCAATCCCCCAATGCCCCTTCTAACTTTGTGCCAGGGCAACGCCGGCTACTTAAAATATCAAGATATCTCGACAGGTCAGTTAGTCATGGAGATACCTACCCATCTTGGTTCTCCCACATCTCTCGCCCAGAACCCGCGGAACGCCATCCTCCACATGGGCCACCAGAACGGAACAGTCACACTTTGGTCGCCGAACTCTACAACGCCTCTTGTGAAACTTTTAGCGCATCGGGGGCCAGTACGATCGCTTGCAATTGACCGAGAAGGTAGATATATGGTGTCCACCGGCCAGGACCTGAAGATGGCTGTCTGGGACATCCGTATGTTCAAGGAAGTAAATAGTTACTTTACAAGACAACCCGCATCGTCTGTGGCGATATCAGACCGGGGATTGACAGCTGTTGGCTGGGGTACCCAGACATCAATTTGGCGAGGTCTCTTCACAAAATCCTCTTTGGAGCAAGAGAAGATCCAAAGTCCATATATGGCGTGGGCCGGCGATGGGAAGAGAATAGAACGAGTGAAGTGGTGTCCGTATGAGGATCTCCTGGGAGTTTCTCACAGCGAAGGCTTTTCCTCAATTATCGTTCCAGGAGCTGGAGAGCCCAACTTCGACGCTCTAGAAGCCAACCCATACGAGAATACCAAGCAACGCCAGGAGGCAGAAGTCAAGTCGCTGCTCAACAAATTGCAGCCTGAGATGATTTCGCTGAATCCTGATTACATTGGAAATCTGGACCTCCTTTCTGCAGAACAGCGGAAAGCAGAGAAGGATTTGGACCAGAAGCCCAAAGACCCTATTGCGGATATCAAGAATAGGGGTAGAGGCAAAAACAGCTCTTTGAGGAAGTATCTGAGGAAGAAGGGGTCAAGAAATATTATTGACGAGCGACGATTAAGGATCGAGGAGCTAAGAAAAAGCCAGAACGAAAAGCAGCAGAAGAAGTTGAAGGAAACAGAAGCAGAGCTTGGTCCTGCATTGGGCCGGTTTGCTCGAAAGGGGGCGTGAGAGTTACCTTAGTTATAGTATGGGGATTTTGCATTGAGGGCGTTCCACGGATGAAGGCTGGAAGGGTAGATACCTGTAATGCTATCAGGACTGTCATGTCATGTCATATCACTTGTTACGACGCTCACCTCTCCTATTCTATTCTGCCAGGCGGTACTAAGTTCGTTGCATTTCGACCGCCCACCTTTTTGGTTCTGCCACTTCATTCTGCCAGGCGGTACATATTTCGTTGCATTTCGACCGCTCACCACTTCTGGTTTCTGCCAGCCAGTTCTGCCAGGCGGCATGATTTCGTTGCGTTACGACCGCTCACCACCTGTGATTATGATGTTTCTTGTGCCAGCAGCATCTATTTCGTTGCATGATGAGCGCTCACCACCTTTTTTGATCCTGATATCTTCATTTGCCAGGCGGCGTCCATTTCGTTGCGTTACGATCGCTCACCACCTTTTAATTCTGCCACTATGATTCTGCCATCTTCCTTATACTAGGTGGCGTCCAGATTCGCTGCGTTTCGACCGCTCACCACTTTTGGTTCTGGTATTTTTATCTTGCGAGGCCTCAATATTACGATGACTGAGGATACCCCCAAATGAAACAAAAGACATCCATCAAGTCCCAAGAACAAAAAGAATGGCAATACCCTGGCTATGATCGTCTTACACAACAAATTTCCGGAATGTTAAAGCAATATTGTGGAATAAGATAGCAAGACTTCTGGGCCTGTGGCCCACGGGAGTGTCATATGGTATCAGGGCCATAAACGTTTGGTTACAGACATGTAAACCCAAGCCATAAGGATAATTAACGGGTACCAACAGAGCAAACACAACCATACCACTGCATTGCCGCCTGGCAGAATCAAAAGGAGGTGAGCGATCGTAACGCAACGAAACCAATACCGCCTTGCTATGCGTAACCGACTCTTTCCCCTTAGGAGATTAATAACCTTTCCATACCCTAATCGTAATATACAAAATCTATAGATACACAAGAAATCGTTAATGGATAATATCATCATCCCCGTCTAGACCTAGCCTTAAAACTCCAATGTACCTTCGGGTCTTCTAGTAGAGCCATCATCTGGACCGTATCATCTTCAGATGACTCGCTAGTCACCATGCCCGCCTCAATCGCTAACTTTGCATGCTTGACCGCCATCCGGATGTTCCCAACTGCATTATACGCTAAAGCTGCAAACATGTGTCCTGTGCCAATAGCGGCGTGAATTTGTTCCTTCTTGTAGAGGGAAAGAAGCGATTCTGCCATGGATGGAGTTGCTGTGGATGCAGAGCTCCAGTCTGCAAGATTCTAGAGAGGTGTGGTGTTAGTGACGCATGTTCTGGCAATATATGGAAGCAAAGGGTAAATAGATGCAGAGCGTCAGAATGGCCTTGAGAAGACCCATTCTGAGCCAGAAGAACGAAGGATGAATATTCAACGTATTCCTTAAGAGGTTTCATTCTCTTACCATATGAAGATTAGTAATATGCTGGATATTATCATCCGAACGTCGAGATGTCGCAGAATTTTTGGAGCAAAGCGAACATGTGCATTCAAACCCCCAGATCATCTTTAGAACATCTTGACGTTCTGATCGTGATTGTAATAAGTTGATATCTATTTATTGTTAGGACCAATCACAGATTGCAGTGTAACGTTGGGGTTCTTACAAGTAATTGTGATTTCTTCTCCCGGAAGAATCGTTCGGGATGCATGAGCGGAATGGACGAGAGTTGAAGTATTGTGATAATACATAGTGCTAGTTCCATTAGATTTCGGTTTTTATCTCGGGGAAGGGGCACATACTTTGGACGGCAATCATGATTTAGAAGCTATGGCCTATGTCAGCTCAAACGTTTCATCTTGGTTAATAATAGGACGTACTGCAGTCTCTGGGTATAAAAAGAAGTGCGATGTCCCCTCAAATTCTCCAGCGAAAGCGTTCGTGTTGATTCTCTCCATGATTGGATCACCAGGAGAGTGCGCAGCAGTGTTGAGGAGGATTTGTTTAGACTTTTCGGGCAGTTGCTCATAAGTCTTCCGAAGATATTTATATCCGATTTGATAGTCCGGGAAGAATGCTTCGCTGTTGTATACTCCAAGCGGTGTATCCGCAAGTATCAAGTCTCCACGGCGGAGCGTTCTAGTTGCGAAAAGGCCGTTACCCCTCCCTGGAACGTTTACCACCTTCCAGGGTGGGTTATCAAAAACGTTGACATTATCATGTACCCCTTTCTGGGTGAATGCTGCAAGTGTGGTGACTTTCTCAGCAATGGAGGGCGTTGTGAAAAACGATATCCCTCGGCCATCGGCGAAATTCTGGTTGGTATATACGCAAAACGATTCATTTGAATTCTGATCGGAAATGCACTCTGCCTTTCCTGTCCAAGGGGTAGATGGCGAGGGTGATGTGGTGCGATTGGTATGACTGTCTAGTTTAGGCCGACCGCTGCTTTCACCCTCGACCTTCAAGGCACTAAGAAAACCCGGCTGCTCGTAAGCATAACAAAAGTCTGGCTTGATTCCCAATTTGAATCTAGTAGCGTCTATAGAAGAGAGTGAAGACAACAGCAAAATAAGGAGAGATGAAAACATATTGTGCCGTTTAGCGGAGCGAGGGTGGGGTGTTAATTAAATGACAGGATATGAAAACAATGTACAGTCGAATTCGGATAAGACTGATGAGGTTGAAGTAAGAATCTTATATTTGTTTATTCAAAAAGCTCAAATGCTGCCCGAGAGGGGCTACTCCAGAGGAGGTGTTTCACTGTTGTCTGAAGTTCTCGCGAAGGTCGAAGCTCGGTACTTGGGTACTTCGCAAGGGGGTTATCGTTTCTCGCTCTGACCTCCTTCACCTTTACTCCTACAACCTCAATTGATAGCAGCACCTGGCCGGCACGATGCAATCCCCTCAATAAAAATGTATTTACAATGCAATGCTAATCGATTACAAGCTAATACTATACAGGAACACTACCTGCGCTACTGAGTACTGCGCAATCCTAACCCTACAGCTCCAGTCATAGAGAATGAGGTTGTGCCTATAACTATTCAGCGGTAGAGCCCTACCTGCTTGATTTTTTGAATTGCCACGACAGACGCATTTGCCATCAGCCAAACTTTATACATGACCTTGATGATGGTCAGCAGCAATTTTCAGCTTTACCTATAATGCGTATAGTTCTCTACCTCTTTACTGAACGAGATTACCGTCATAATCCTTTCATTTTTACCTTCACAAACCCTCACCAATGTAATATTTTTGTTGATGACGAATGGCACATCACCTCTCTAGTCAATTTAAAGTGGGCATGTTCACTGCCGATTCAGCTACAGTGCCCCCCGTACTGGCTTTCAGGGAAGGCGATAGATCAGGTGGAAAAAGGTGAGCCTCCTGAGACTTTTCGATAACTCATTTCGGAACAATTCGGGGCTTTCGAGCAAGAAGAAAGGGCCGTAGTTTGAGATGACCTATACCAGACCCCTATTATAAGGAAATGTTGGGAGACTGGGAGCTTTTGGTATTGCCACGCTATAAATAGCCCCAAAGGCTTATGTCGAGTCTTCAACGAACACACCCAACGACTGTTTTGCCCAGAGCACTATGAAATGCGGATATTTGATCAAGTTGTGGCTCCATATTGGATGGTCGATGCAACACATGTGACATAGAAAAAGATCAAGGATGAAGAACCCTACAAAGATCAATTGAGAGCTGCATTTGCAGATGGTAATATATGATGTAGCAATAACAACGTTAATTATGGGAAGTCTAGGGGCTAGGAGCATAGGTGGTGGAGTAGCAGCTCTATTCCGGCTTTCCCTACCACCCCGGTGACTCAAGTCAAGAAGAGAGATTTGCCAGTGAGCACAAAGTCACAGAGATTCAACAAGGAGGCTAGTGTGAGTAGACAGGAAAGAATAACACCGGCTGTATTATATGGAACGGGATCTCCCATATGCTGCAATTGCTCAGCTTCCATATGCTTATGATTATGTGTAAATTAATCCAAAGGAGTACAGGTTACCGGAGGATGAAGTTTCTTTTGTGAGCAATCTCCTTCTATTTGTGCGTATCTAATTCGATACTCTCTTTCAGTAGCCAGGATCTTCTAAGATTATTGTTTTAATTCGGCCAACCCCGCTGTGGCCTTTGGTCCACCTCGTTCTTTGCTGACAGCCTCAGCACCACTGCCCCTCCAAGCACTCTCAATCAACGCCACGATGTGATCGACACCCTTCCCTTTCTTTACCTGAGCAAAAACTGTGGGTCCTCCCTCTCTCATCTTCCTTGCATCTCTGTCCATAACATCCAAGTCAGCACCCACCGCTTCCGCCAGGTCGGTTTTGTTGACCACCAGCAAGTCGCTCTGCGTGATACCCGGTCCTCCTTTTCGAGGGATCTTGTCGCCCCCACTAACATCAATGACATAAATAATATAGTCTGCCAATTCCCTAGAGTAATTGGCCGCCAGATTGTCACCTCCGGATTCAATTAGGAGGATATCCGAGGTAAATTCGCGGTGTAGGTCCTCGAGAGCAGCGAGATTGACAGATATATCTTCACGAACTGCAGCATGAGGGCAACCGCCCGTCTCAATGGCACGAATACGTGATGCTGGGAGAGCCTTATGCTGAGTGAGGAACTCTGCATCTTCACGGGTGAAGATGTCGTTGGTCACGGCAGCAATGGAGTACTTGTCCCGAAGGGCAAGGCAGAGGGCCAACATGAGAGCGGTCTTTCCAGATCCGACAGGTCTGCAGCATTATTAATATCAGAAAGTACTAAGATTGAAACACAGAATCCAAAAATGGACAAAATAGAGGGAAATAGGGGAGGAAGTTGGAGGGGTTGATTTGCACGTGACCACCCCACTTCAAAATCGAGCTCCATGGTAATATAATGTGAAAAGAAATAGTAATTCAGCTCACCCTCCAATTCCAACTGTAAAGGCACGCTCTGACCAGGTTCGGCCCTCGATTATAGGCATCTCTCTTCCCATGTAACTCCCGGGTCCGTCCAGGATCTCATGTGTGTGGCCATGGTCTGCCGCTGGGGCATCGTGCGAATGAGAGTGTGGTCCTTCGTGAGAGTGTGACATCTTCACGTTTATATCTCGGGTTGAACAATAAATATGCTGATATCTCGGGAGAAAGCTAGATATCCTGCTTGTGGAGATATCAAATTGGCCGACGATAGTAAGGGACTTGGGTTAGCCGTCAAAGTGACAGCGGGATCCTGACTTGCTATGACGTCTGTCTGACACGTGATTTAGCCAAGATGTAGAAATATTTCAATTAATTGCATTAATTGTGAAAAGGGTAGGTAGGCAGGGACAAGATCACGATGACAAAATACAACAGCATTCTAATGGGATAATAACTTATAGGTCGAAGTCGAGACTAATAGCAAAGTTGGCACATGCCGCATGGCTCAATCATTATTACTAAATTTTCGCAGCCGCGGTTTACGAAGGAATTGTTAATGGTTTGATCATTTCTTCTCCACTATTTACCATATGAACTCTCTGATATAGGTTATGTAGCCTAAGGAACCCGAAACGCCAAGATAATCCCTTCCACTGCCATGATCAAGAGAAGTCATCGCCCTTCTCCTCAATAGCACTCTTGATCCTCAACAAGATGGTAGTCTTCCACTTGTCCAACTTGCTCACTTGATCAAATTGGAACAGCTTATCCGCAAATATCTCCTGATCACCGGCCTCGACTGCCTCAGCTAGGTCGATCAACAACTGATGCTCTCTCATGCTTGGAAAAGTCGGGTCCATCTCTCGATACTTCTCAAACGCCCGGTTTGTAGCCACCATATCGCCAACTGCCAGATGGGATAACCCAGCTTTCAAAAAGTACTCTTTCACAGACCATTTCATAAGGTTGTTCGAGACGGACGAGGCGGCAACCTTCTCGAAGTTCTCGATGGCCTTATAATAGTCCGTCTCTAGAGCGGCGAGATCAGCTACCTTTAGATAGAGCTTGTTTGCCAGTCTAAATAGGGTGTCAGCACCGGTTATTACTTATAGAACGTCTATCAAAACGCACGCTTCAGCATTATCGGTCTCAAACCAACTTGCTGCCAACTCGTAGCTCTCCATCGCCTTCTTTTGGTCCCCGATTTCGACCTCGTACACTTCTGCCAGATTTTGTTTGTGGGTAGCCGCTCTCCTGAAATTACCCTTTCCAGTATAAGTTCCAATAGCAATATCCAGGCATCGTACTGCATCGAGAGGATCCGTCTTTCGATAGACTTTAAATGCTTCTGTGAGGGTATTGGCGGCATCATCAGGCTCGTTTAGTTTGTTGGTTTGAATATCTGCGGCTTTCTCAAATGCTTGACCGGCTTCTTTATCTATTATGGAAATGGCTTATTAGTATTATGTTCTAGAAAGTCGAGCTGCTAGCCGTAAAGATGGTCTTACTTTGCTTCTGTAGGCGGCATGCATTTGCAGCTTGAGTATAGAGGTCTGCAGCATTCTCCCATTTTTCTTGTCGCCCGCCAAAGAGACTAAATCCACCGCCTGCGGCAGAAACTGCTTTTTCTGCCTATAATGCTTCTTGTCAGTAGGAAGCTTATTAGGAGCGGTATGGAGGGGTAACCAGTAATGTGTACCTTTTGCAGGAGAGCGCGAGGATCTTGGGCCATGGTCTATATATCCTGATATGATGTGTATGTGGACAGTTTCAGACGTGCGAGGCAGACTTTGCGCTGAGAGTTTTATGATAGACGGGGTTGTTACAGCCTTCGTTCTCGATCGTCGAGTTGATGTTCTGGCTCGAGCATGGTGGTTGGAAGTAAGCCCCACACCTTACATAAGGTACCAAGCTGAAGGTTACAGCCTAAGTTGGGTTGCTGTAGTAAATATATTATTAGTTCTAGCGAGATCCTGTTAAGGCTCACGAGGCTGCGGTTGACGATTTATTGTTAAACTGCCTCCTCTGTGTAACAGGGCGGTATCATCGTAACACCCGACATGTCAATCTCAATATGTTCAAGCTGTCGAGCAGCCTTCCGGCAAGCGATTCGATCTCGGCCGCACTCTTCTATTCGAAGTTACTCCCAGCCCACCGACATTGCGGCCCTCCTTTCCAAACCCACATGGTCTGTCCGCTCTCTCCTTCCAGACCCAAGCTCCGTATCGACCGACGAGATCACACCCAAGCAACTTCATCACCTCCTCCGTCTCTCCGCGCTCCCTCTACCCAAATCTCCCGAAGAAGAGGCTGAAATGCTGAAAACGCTGCATTCACAACTACATTTTGTGAAAGATATCCAGAAGGTGGACACGGAGGGCGTAGAGCCATTACAAAGTATCAGAGACGAAACCGAGGAGGGCGTGAAGGCTGCTACAATTGGATTGGCGGAGATGGCGCGGGCATTGAAGAAGGAGGACATCACAGGTAGAAGTCGGAGGCCGCGACGGAGAAGGGACGAGGTCTTAAATAGAGAGCCCTACGAGGATTGGGATGTGATGGGCACCGCAAGTGAAAAGGTGGAAACACCCGGGGGGAGCTTTTTTGTCGTTAGAAGCGGCAAGGAGAACGAGAAACTTCCATAAGCGTATCGAGAGCATTATTCATGATTGAACGTTACTATCTACATATTGGTATCTTTTCGTTGGTCGTGGTGCCCTCATATCTTTCGGGGTAGTATGCATTTGAGATGAGCCTGTCATCTGGCAATGATGGCTTCTTATTCTCATAGCCGCTGTAGGTCTCTCACTAGCACCACCCATGGTGCGTTTTCCCAGTTCACTCCTTGCTCATCGTACTCCCCGTTTTTTGCTTCACATCATCCTCCAACGCTTCAGCTTCTTTCTCCAAATTCGGGTTATCACTCGTCTCTTCTACTTCTTCCTTGCTCTCACTCTCTTCAAGCAATGCCAAGGTTTGTTCTTCTTTTTCCACTTCCTTCTTATCGATGTCCTCGAAACCAATCTTTTCTAGGATGCTTCCAACAAGATATTGTAGGCGCAAATGTCCACTAACCATTTGGCTTACATCGACATTCTCTATTCTCGGCACGTCCTGAACTTGTTGTAGTCCTGCAACTCCGTACTGAATGCTGCTAGTGCGGTATAGAAAAGCTAATATATAGTCATTCTCCGAGTAGACATTGACGAGCCGTCCCGCAACCACGCTCCTCATTGCTAACCACGGAGCTGCATCCGACGGCGTTGGAGCACCAATGAGGACAGCGGACTCGACAAGCCCGAATGCCCTTCGCTCTGCAAGGCTCATTAAGCAAGAGTATATTAGTCTAGCACCTAGGCTATAACCGATTAAAGTAACAGGTCTTTCTCCTTGAGCTTTGTTGATCAGAGCATCGGCAAGCACTAAACCTGCCTTATCTGCACGATTCTTAGCAACGGAGAATGGATTGTCCACAACCTTCGAGATCTTCAATAATGAGAGTGGCCACAGGGCCTCCATCAAGCTTGCGAATATCGTCCGGCGGATTATTTCTTTCTTAGCTACACCCCAAGCTGTACTTTTTACGACGGACTCAATTGAGGTTCCAAGTTTACTGTCAGTATTGTCAGCATATGACAATCTAGATAAAGTTGGTGGAAGTGGGTGATTAAATAGATAGCTTCCTTAGAACAAGGAATGAATGGTTTGGGGGGATGATTTTTGAAAGAGAAAATATTCATACGTCAAAGCCTCGAGTTCCCATCTCAGAGCAAACACTTCGCTCTGATCGCCAAAGGCCCTCCAAGGTGTAATAATATCCTCCTTCTGCGTTAGCCATCCACTGACACAAATAGTGACTCGAAGCCGTCGGTCTTTTGGAAGTGGGTCGCGATTCTTCGACCCCTTTAGAGGCAGAAACGCGAAATCCTGTACTTCTTTTGCATACGCGTCTATCATTTTACCTGTCATGCGGCCGCCATATAGGCCAAAGAAGGTACCGATAATCGCACCACTCTCCGCAAGGGTCCCTAGAAGCCCGGCAGCTGCTGTTGCTCCAAGTCCTAGGCCACCCATTATAGAGCCAATAGCTCCTGCTACCAGTGGTGCGGCCAAGCCCCCTGTGACTCCAATCACCGCTGCGCCAGCGATACCAGCAAGCCCTACTTTCCATCTGCGGGAAACTTGGTTCTCATCGCTACGTTTCTGTGTCTCCTCGTTACCTGACATATGTTTTGCCGCTTCGAGTAAACCCTGCGCAACTTTCACTTCTTGCTCTACCAAGATCTGGAGGGGGAGATGGAGAGATGATGCAATGTGAAGAAGCAGGATTCGCGACAGCCCAACATAGTGCTCTAAAGACAGAAGGAACAATAGTACTGCATGAAGAATAAGAACGCGATTCTCCTTAGAGAGCGAGACTAGGCGGGTTGATGTCGGAGGGTATAATTGGATCAACTCGGCATCGGCATCAACCTCGTCGACATCAGTATCAGAGCCTAGAAGAACGTTTCAGCAACAGCAAAAGAGTAGCTCCCCAACAGAAAATTTATTGCTCACGAATAACTCTCATCTCCGGAGGACTAGTATTTTGGGTTGCTTCTGTTGTTGCGGCTTTGATCTGTCCATCAACCACGTGTTTCGGATTATTGACAACTTCACCAAGCCTCAATAACACAGATTCCCGCCATTTATCAAAGAAAGCTACAGCATCTTTCTCCATTGCTTGCATTTTTGGGGGAGACAGTTCTCTCTCCCTCTTCTCACCCAATTCGGGCGTCACCCCCTCACTGGTCTCCTCTTTAGGTTGGCCGTCGTTAGAGTTGAGGTTCTTATCCATAACCTGGGCTGCCTGTGCCGACAGCTTTCCAGAAGAAATTGGTGCATCAAAGATGTTTGTGATTTGCTTCCTCATAACTTTTGTTACGTTGGCCACGAGTAGAGTTAACTCTTTTTGCTCATCTTTTGTTAAGATGGCCCCAAGATCTTCTTGGTCAGTTTGATCGTGATCATGACTTGGCTTGCTGTGTCCCTTCAAATACTCCATCTTCTTGAGTGTAGGTTATTTGTCCTTTGGAAGGGAATTGGAAACACAGGAAAGTAAATAGACAAAAGACAGGCGCAACGGGTGGTATGAGCGGGATGTATATCCACTGATCTGCGCACATATGCGGATGACGTCGAAATCTAAGATCTCACGTGACCTGCCGGGTTAAGTTTGAATAGTCTCAAGTCTTCAAATAATTGTTGTTGTTACATAAATACTCTAGAGACACGGTGGTTTAATAGATACCATATTCTTTCCAACAATCTGCAGTAGCTTTGGTCTAAGACACGTGGATCAACGGTGGACCAAAGTTTAAATAGATCAGGTAGATTTCGTCAACATATATGGGTCGACGCCCAAATGTAGGTAGTGGGTAGCTTTTTCAGGGCGGCTTCACCGGCTCTCAACGAAGCCCAGTTAGCCCTCCTAGGAGCGGTTCTCTTCACTCTTGCTTTGAGTGTCGTTGGAACGTGGTGTAGTCGATGGAGCAGTTTTGCTTACGCCTTCAGCCTGAGCCCAAAAGCTCATCCTGGGCCACCATGATTTCGAAATCCTATTCGATTCCAATGTTGGTCCGTTTACTGCAGAATCATTGGCCATTGGCTTTACGTTATCTGGCGTTTTCAGACTGTCGATGCCCTGATCGATTTGATCAGGGGTCTCCAAGGGCTTCCTGTGATATATCTTAGCAAGCAGTTGCAGTGAGCTTCCTTATTATGATAACCCTACCGCGCCTGTTCCAGTGCAGCTTGCCGATGCTCATTTAAAGATGGGCTAAACACCCAAAATCCTGCTCTATCATTAGCCCAGGTTAGAATGGTTGGTTGTGACAGCTGCATACCGTTGACAATACCGAATGCTGTTGCAAGGAGCAGTGGAACTACGCCTCTTCTACTCATTGTCTTGGGACAAATCCAGACACTCAGGACACATGTGTTGGTATATGGAACATATGTGGGAAATGTGTATCACCTCCAATATCGAATGCGGGTGTGGATGTAGGTGGAAGTGTAGAGGTTGAAGCTGTTTTTCGCACCAGATCCCGGGTAAACTAAACTTTTGGTCCGACCGCCACCCAATGCCGCCTGCCGTCGGCCGTCAGCCGCGTCGCGTCTCCCGCCCCACCAGACCGCGACTTGTTCATATCATATTTATACAAACATCGAACTACAGAAATACACAACGCCATCTGTAGAACGACGATCCTGCTCTTCGTGCAGCCGATATGTTATTATCATCAATATGACATCTGGCACATATGGCAAATTGGAAGCATATCGGGGAGGTTCCGGATTCCGAGGACGACGAAGACCTGGACTTCGACAGCCAAACTGTTGCCAGGGATGACGAGACGAAAAGGAGGCAGCAAGAGCTATGCGATAGTAGCCAAGCCCTCCATGATGTGGACGATGAGCAGGGTGCGAGGGGGGGGTATAAACATAACAACGAGCCCCGTGAGACCACGCCCGTCGAAGAGACAGACATAGCAATGGACAAGGCCCCGACGCCGACCACTACGATACAGGAACCGCAAACTTATATTGCAGCCAATTCAATACACTCGCGGTCCCCTTCTATCTCACCACGAATTTTCAAAATCCCTCGGGGGCTCTTGGAGCATGATGCCCAGTTCCATCGGGACTCTGCCAGCGAGGCCCTAGTCCCAAATATGCTTTCTGATGACTCTCCGGAAGAGGACGATATATCACGAAGCTATGTGCGTATCACATCTTCAAATGAGAGTCCACTCTCTTCGCCGCCATCTAGCCAAGTCTTGGAACACGCCATGGGGAACCGTTCTGCCTCCGAAGTACCAAGTCACTCATCGAGTGCTAGGGAATCTGCTTTGCAGCAGAGCATTTTGGCAGGTGGGAATCTTGGCGATTTTGCCAGACGTTCTATGCGGCAACGGAATCCTATTCAGCTCCATCCATATATGGTAGAGCAAGAGAAGTACCGGCGCACCCTGAAATCCCGCGGCATGACGCCTATGAGACTTGCTTCAACCCAGGACGAGTCGCAACCTGAATCTGGAGATCCCGCCTCTTTAGACGCAGACTCGAATGATGCAGAGCCAGACACGGGGGAGAGCCAGTCCATGGATGTAGATTGGAGTCTTGACGCTTCGTCGCCGCCACAGGGAAGCCTCACGGCCACGAACCATGGAGATGTCCTAAACGAGCTCCCTACGCTCACTGGTGATGACGAGTTCCCTGATATACACGAATTACTTGAGATGCCAAAAATTTCTCACCGCGATGTTGGATCAAAACGGGCCAGAAAATCGTACTCTTCGAAACACAAGCAACTACAACTGTCCAAAATTCGGGATCAGTCATCCCGAAGTAACTATCACAATCAAACGTCAACCAGCATCTTTGATGTTCTTGCTTCTCCACCGGCCACAAGCTCGCCTTTTATGCCTCCATCCCGCGATAGTAGGAGTAGCATGCCTCATGCTGTTTCGGTATCTTCTAAGGATGCAACAACGCCGACGGGCCCGGAACAAGATCAGTCTGAATTCCACATACCAGCAGATCTACCGACACCCGTGACTAGTGCTTTAAAGCCTCTCATCGATGCCTCTGTGCTGGTTCATTCTGATACAGATTCTGATGACCCTTTTGCGACTGATGCTGATTCGTCTCCATCGGCGTCCTCGGACGAATCGGTTCGGATTTGGAAAGTAGGTAAGAAGATTCGCGGCGTGCTTCCGGCATCCCATCTTCGTATAGATCAACCGAATTATAGGCCAAGATTGTCGAGCTATACACGAAGTGGCAGCACCGAGGTGTCTCCTGGTAGACCACCCATTCGACGGGGTGTTGCGATGCCAAAACCCCCAGTGATTGGAGAAAATCCACCCATGTCGACAAGTGGTGAAATTGCTTTTCTTTCTAGCGATTCAGATGATGGCGAGAACGAGATTTATCCTGGTGGATTCGCCGCCGAAGCCAATTCAGGCACCGAGCTTGATGAATTATTCGATCCCCAGCGGCAGGGATTTGCGGAAGAGGACGATACGGTGGATGCTATGCTGCCACCAAGCAAACGGCAACGGAGAACTCTAGATTCTCGCCCCAAGAAAAGAAGACGGTTAGGGACCGGGTCCAACAAGTATAGTCGTTCACACCCACGCCAGCCTAGAATCACAGAACACCCACGCCAGCCTAAGCAGGCTTACAAACCCTCCAGGAGAGCCCAAACACAGCATCGGGGTATTCTTCCAAAATCTCGATCTGGTCCTTCCAAGCCTTGGAGGGATATCGCCCCTAGGCTAAGTATTATGGATGCCATAAACTTAGACGGCCACAAACCTGAGCAGCTACCGCAGTTTATTAGGATTGCTGCTCGTACTTCAAGATCTTGGAGTGGGCAAGGAAAGCAGAGCCCATCCGAGAAATATATTAAGCTGGCCAATCGTAAGGACACATTTGAGGCTCAATCTGTTCTAAATGATTGGAGACGAGGAAAAATCCAGCCAAATGCTCCTGAAACCTATCGCGCCGGGTCGGCCGATATGTCTAGACCACCCCTTCATCGAATTACAAACAATCGGCAGAGAAGAGAGCCACTTCTAACAAAAGACTCGAAACTCCCGTCAAGGACACAATCTAGTCAAGCTGGGATGCCTCGAACGCTACTGATCTCCAGGACCAGACAAAGGTCAATAAATGCCCTTTTAAGCGCGAATAAGCCTACACCCCAACAACGGATCCCATCTGCGGTCGAGATAGGTGGCGAGAACCCGCCAAATATGCGTCCAGAAAAGCCTCGGCATAGTTCTCTACGGACGATGCCAGCGCAGCTGGAAGCCCCTGAACTAGAATGTCCCCATGTGAATCCAGCTTCTACCTTCGGAACAACCAAAAAATCTTTAGATGCTCTTTATCGAACCTCCCGCAAGCGTCGAGGCCCGCAAGCCAACCCTCAGCTAGGCAGATTTCTCTCCAGTTATTCTACTGTCCAGCCCACAGGACAGCCTCATGCAAGTTCTAATGACCCGATGATTAATTCGTTGACTACGACAAAGCAACCTCTAGCCAAGATTTTTCGCCGTAAGAAGACGCTACCCAAGCATGTTGATGTCGGCGCAGCAATATATCGTCAACCCAGTGAGCCCTTGGTGTTAGAACTACTCTCTCCGCATTTACATAACGCAGTGAATGAGGACAATAAGCTACAGGGCTTAGGCAAATATGGCACGAAATACCCAATCCATTTCGATATATTTCCACTCCATTCCGGGACCTACTTTCACGATACCACATTTATCGGCAGTGGCCTTCTCGCAGAGGTCCTAAACGGCACCAGCTTACAACATGATGCCACCCGCCCCCGAATGCAACTTACACTTCATAGCAAAGATTTTCAATGGGATTCGTGGAATGAGATCGTCTCATCTGAGATTGGCTTCTGTTTTGACTGGGTTGCTGACCAGCTACTGCTCCAGCCGTCGTTGGACTTGAGCTCGCCTACGACAGATCCTATAACCGTGATAACTTTTATCATTAATTATGTGCAACATCATCTCAGTTTTTCGGTTCCTCGTGACCGAGAGGACTTTCTGGGCAGGATGTCCGATATATTCCGAGACTTTCTAGTACGCCTCAGTCGGGAAAATTATATCTCGCAGCAACAAGGTACCGACTGGGCTGGAGTGTTGGCTAGGTGCACGGCGCTCATCTTCCAACTCCTCCAGATAGCGCGAACCATTCCAGAACAGGCCTCCTTGAGCTATGAGCTTGAAGACAGCATGAAAGCTGTTGCCTGCATGGCTGCGAGCTTGTTGGTATCTCATGGCCTAGACGTCGTCCGAACATTATATGACGATCTGCAGTATCTGTCGTTTAGAGAAAGCGGAATCAAAAACGACCAATATACCGCACAGTCCTGGGTCATTCTCATGAAGGTCCTTGATGCCGCACAGATTCCAAGAGGATCATTTTGGGACGTAGCAAATCGTGTATTAATTGACGTCGATCTGCCGCATATTAGCGATGCTCGAGCTTTTGAGAAACTATGGTACTCGATGTTCTCACTTCTCCCGTTATGTGAGATCGACGAGTTTGGAATCGTTCAACCTGGCCGACGTCAAAAGGTTGCGTTCGATAACTGGTCCTACCCGCAACAGATTCTCAAAAGAATATTCGAATTATACAGTTTGAATCCGAGACAGTCTCTAGGCTTTAATGATTATTGTAGAGCAATATTAGGACGTTGTCACTATCTTATGGCTGAATGGGGGTGGTGGAAGTGTACCGGCCTCATTGGTACCGTTTTTGACATTTTTGCTTCCCATAAGCTCGCCCATCTGCGCAACGAAGAGGTTTATTCATCGCCACGTTTTCTGGTGGAGCTTGACCAAGAGCCATCGTTGATAGTCGAACCAGAAGACCGCTGCTTTCACATCTTCCTCAAGATTGTCGGCTCGGCAATCAAGCACATGTGCAGAAATCAAAACACTAAGGCTATTCGGAATTTGGTTGCACGTTTACTACCAAATCACGATCGACAGTACCCAAAAGAAGAGACTATCCATCACCGTGAACTAGCCTCGCTACGGAACCACCATGACCTTCTCTGCACTCTTTACTGGGCCGCCCCGGCTGAACAGAGACCGTCACCGAGTCTTATTCAGGATCTTGTTCTCGCTGACCGGTCACACAACGAAGCTTGCCTAATCAACCTGAAGTCCTGGGAGAATCTGACTAGATTTATTGTGGCCACATCTACCAACGTCGCTATTTACCGTCCATTCACAGTCTGGCAGAATGCCTTCTCTGTTGCACTTTCTCAGCAATATCTCGATACAGAGCAGGAGGTACGACGCCAAGCAGAAGTACTCGCAATAGTGGCGAAAGAACCAATTTCCGAAGTACGACTACAAAATACAATTGCATCAAATAAAAGAAGCTCGATGGAAATGTTGCGTGCAATCGTGAAGGCGATGGACCACACCGTAATGGCTGCTAAGTCCGGTCAAATGGCTATCCAGGCTTTAAATCCGCGTACGATTCCAATTCCCTCTACTATCATCATTTCTAACACCTATTTAGAACTTCTCAGCCGTGTCTGCTTTCCGGACTTGTCGGACGACCCAAATTTCCAATCTGGAATTCTTAGGGACTGTATTAGAATCATTTGTCACTATACGGAGCAAATTGATCGTTTGGAACCGATTCCCCCGCCACCGGACCAGGCTACATGCTCCACAGATGCTGAGAGTCAGGGCAGTCTAGATATGAACCTAGGTTTGGACCGGGTGGAAATGATATACGTAAGCCTTATGAATATCCCCGTAATCGCCTTAGGCTTATTGACCTTGATAGCGCCTACAACCGGAGGTTCTACCGTTACTTCGCAACATAATCTCGAAAAGCCTTCAGGATCGATCGAGGCTTCCCCATACGGTTTTAGCTGACCTAGTATCATGTTGGGCCTGTGTAACAGTGAAACTCACGGAAGGGGCTATGGTCAGTCTATTTTCTCGCCTTTATTTCATTTGCTAATGTCCCCCAGAATTTGAAAGAATTTCTCATTAGTGGTCCGAATGCAGTATTCCAGCACCGTCAGAGCTCGAAGAGGGCAAATGCATATTGGCCCTTGTTCCTGAACCTCCTGGTCGAGCATAAGACGCTGGATGACTTTAAGGTACTATCTACACTTCGTCTCCTAGTTCTTTCGCCTAACACTAACTCATTACCAGATATCTCGTTTTGATATTGGAGTCGAGTGGCTAAAAGCACTTTCCATGCCCCAGCTTGAAGGCCCCACTGTTGCCGATACGGTCAACACTTTAACTGCTAAATTGCAATCCAAGGGTTTTTGTTTGTCAATCTCACCGAGACAACTAGGTTCTGGCGTAGGGTCCAGTCCGATATCCCTCGGTACAAGTGTCGTTTCAAATCACATATTATTCAAAAGTGAGTCGCTCTGCTTATTTACCTGATATATTTTGCTGATCCGTTTAGATGCTGTTGATGTTATGCGGGCAAGTCTAGCTAACCAGGCCAATATGAGCATGGTATTCAAAGACGTATCCCAGAGAGAAGCACTCAACGTGTTCGCCACGATGCTGAAAGATGTGATGGACTCGATAAAACACCACCTAGAATCCATGATCCCCGGCTCTGAACAGCACAGGGAATATGTCGAATTCATCCAGCCAATTGCAAGTGTCATTCGATCGTATGGTAGCGATATTTTGCCTCTCTCGGACTTTTTCGTTCACTCTTCAACTTATTACTGGCCAGAAGATACCGACCCAAATCTCTACGCTGCTGGGATTGTCTCTTATTCCCTTCGCCTAATAAAACAACCTGGAAGGACTTCTCCGGAGCTCTTCCATTATCTCTATAATGGCTGGAGAAAAGATCTAGCTCAAAGTTCTGTTGAGCAACATATAAAATATCTGAAGAAAGGAATGAGTCGTTGGGAATTCACCGTGTTCCTTCTCTCGGACTTCATACCTGCTGCCCTACATGTTGGTTTCGAATCGACCGCCGGATGGGCCCTTTGTGCGACATACTTACCCGCGCTCTCACGTCGTGTTGGGATCTTGCTACAGAAGAGAAACACGAAAGCAGACTTGACCTTTCAATGTGTGATCAACATCTTAAAGATCATTTTAAATGGTATCCAAATCTTATACCTTAGGACCGGGAATAATGATACCGTGGGCTCTACATCCCACCAACGCATCATAGGCGTTGTGAGCCAATTCTGGCTTTCCCTCGCGCTACCAATAAACCAGTACGCCGATCCATATCCGGACAAGAATTCATCCATCCGTTTCGTCGGCACAGCCCTGACCAAGTTTATATGTTATGCATCTCGGATTCGTAATACTGACTCCGGTTCCGATGATCTGAGAATAGGCCAATTCGAGGTGAACATGGGAGAAAACTTCGAAAGATTCGTCTCGGTTTTGACACAAGATATCCATGGCCATTGGGAAGTTAATAGTGATGGAAGCGAGCTGATAATTAGCGGTGCTCGGGCCCGTGAGAAGTCCAAAACTCGGGTTGATCTTAACAGTATGCTTGGGGAGCCTCAACCGCTTTGGCAAATGCTCAATGTAGCTTTACCCTACCTTGAGTCTTTTGTCGACGAACCTCTTCCGGTGGCCATGGAAAAGTCACCAGATCCGATTATTCCAAACATATACTTCTAGATAGCTTCCCATTTCCAAATAGTATGGGATCCTCCCTGGAATATATTGTTGATTGCCCATAAACCGCCTTGTCGCCCTGAAACGCAAATCGTTGAGTTCAAGTCGAGATTGCCTTGAAGCCTGAGGTTGGGGTGGCGGTTAAAACCCATAATCAAATCACGTGGCGATATTCGACGCGCTCCATGGTATTTTCGTAGATTGTTTTGCTAGAACCAACTTGATACCAACCATAAATACTTTTCACAGTCGCTCTCCGTGAGCGCAATCCTTTACCGGATGCAAGCTGCAGCTCTGCACGCTATCCGGACGGCACATAGACCAGTCTCGAGGCGCGCATGCCGAATTGTTGGTGGTGTAAGGTGTCGACATCCACATCTTCGAATTCTACCTCATCCCCATCGACAGTTCCACCAGTCCACAGCTTCCTACCAAGCGCCAGAGGATCCTGCTACCTCCTCCGGGAGGGGAAGAGATATACCGCACACAAAAAGCGCCGCAGTTGACTCGGGCAGAGACAATGCTGAGCAGGAAGTCGGACCCGATCCGTCGATAACACCAATCGATGCAGAGGGTTCTGAAGTAGAGAGCTCCGCCTTATCACCGAAAGGGAGAAATGGGAAAGCTGGATCGGGGAGAATAAGGGGCAATCGAGGACGACAGCCTGAAGGACTACCGCCTGTTATACTGCCTGATTGGTTTTGGAAGTCGAATGTAAAGTGCTCCGAAGACCAGGTATCGCCTGGTTCTCTTGCAGTTTATAGTACACCCGAAGTCAACACCGAAACCGAGGGTGGCGAGGACACGTTGAAGAGCGAACCAGCCGATGTTCCTAGTGAAGTTGCAGAGGCAGAATTGCCTGTTAGCCAAAATGCCAGGTACTCTATGAATTCCGCCGTTTACCGGGAAATTATATCTTCTTTACGAGCAGGATTGAGTCTACGTGCCCCAAAAGGCTCCGAGAACCAATCCATAACTCGACCCATCACTGTTTTGCACTGTCCTAAAGACGGCGGGTCATATTACCTGGACTCGGTAGTTGAAACTGCTGCGGTGCAGCTCCAAGCCGACCTAATATGCCTTGATGCTCAAGATATTGCACAGATTGTGGGACCTTACATTGATGAGAATGTTGCCTGGACCCATTCAAGCACGGCTGCGTTGGGATACGAGACACAGAAAATTGCGGGGAAGTTGGAGGACTACGATCATGACCCGAATGAGGAGCATGACGATTTCGACGGCATGGAAGAGGAAGAGGATACTACGGCTATGTCAAAGAGCAAAGGGCCTACGGAGGTACACAAGAGGATCGCTGCCGTCCTCGGACTTGGTAGAGGTGACGCTCGGCCTTTCATGACTTCAATCCCACTTGATCGTTTGCCGGGATTTCCTGTTGGACTTCTAGGCGGACGTGGTGATTCTCATCCGCCCGCACCTTTGACCAACGACTCTGACCAATGGAACGGTCTCAAGCTCACAACCATCATCAACACACTGATCGATGCTGCTGATACAAAACGGGCAATGCAAATTAACAGTTCCGGATCTAAGGAAACTGCCGATCCAGCGAGAACTTCTAAAGGTACCATTATACAAATCAGAGACTATAAGGCCATGAGTGGCACTTCTCAGGGTGCGGAACTCCTTTCCCGGCTTCGCACTGCAATCAACAAGCGCTGGAAGGAAGGCAAAAATATCATATGCGTTGGGACCACATCCACTGAAGAGGAATCTGCACTTTCAAAGCCAGAGATTCGCCGCCTTCAATCCGACGTGCTAGAGGGCGAGAAGAGGACAATCTATGTACCACCGGAGCGAAAGGAGGAGCAAGATACAGCATTTGAATCTGACGAAAAGGCTCGGATTCGAAATATCAACGTTCGACATATTGAGGAGATGATCGAGAAATTAAGTGAGGGCTCCCAGCATTTGGCTCCGATCGTTGATATCGAAAAAAATCTGGACAGCGTTGCTGTATATTCTTCGGGCCTGGAAGAGGATGTATGGACATATGCCCGCGTCCATAGGCTTGCCATGACCGTGTTGGGCCATGAAGACGCTTCGTCCGTTATTGATGGACCGGTTCTAAGCAATGCTCTTCAACTACTCGCTTCTAGCGATGAGGTTAAATTCAATTGGGGGGCAATGGAATTAAAGGAAGAAGACGCCGAAGCCGAGACATTCATGAACGACTTTTCCGAAATGCCCGGAACGAAGAAGAATGAAACTACACAGGAAAAACTTAAACAGATCAGGAAGAACTGCAATTCTTACGAGAAGAAACTCCTCAGCGGTGTTATCGTTCCTAGCGACATCCGTACCACCTTCACCGATATCCGTGCTCCAGAGACGACTGTGGAGGCTCTCAAGACATTGACCAGTCTATCTCTAATTCGCCCGGAAGCATTCTCGTATGGTGTGCTTGCAACGGACAAGATACCCGGCTTGCTTCTTTATGGACCTCCGGGGACTGGCAAAACACTCCTGGCCAAAGCTGTAGCGAAAGAGAGCGGCGCAACTGTCCTCGAAGTTAGTGGTGCCAATTTAAATGACATGTATGTCGGTGAAGGAGAGAAGAATGTCAAGGCTGTCTTCAGTTTGGCAAAGAAGCTCTCCCCCTGCGTAGTGTTCATTGATGAGGCGGATGCAATATTTTCAGCCCGTGGTCAAGCACCTCGATCTGGGACACACAGAGAGCTGATCAACCAATTTCTTCGTGAGTGGGATGGCATGGATGACCTTTCTGCCTTCATTATGGTGGCAACAAACAGGCCATTCGACCTAGATGAGGCAGTGCTTCGACGACTTCCGCGGCGACTCCTAGTTGACTTGCCTACCCGGCTTGACCGCGAGGCCATCCTCAAAATACACCTCAAAGAGGAGGTACTTGATGAGTCCGTTTCGCTGTCGAAGCTCGGCCAGGACACTCCCTTCTACTCTGGATCCGATCTCAAAAACCTCTCGGTAGCCGCGGCTTTAGCTTGTATACGTGAGGAAAATGAAACAGCAGCTAAGCACACTGGTTCCGAGCCGTACGTCTACCCCGCGAAACGTATCCTCACAAAGACACATTTCGACAAGGCGTTGGAAGAGATCAGCGCGAGTATCAGTGAGGATATGAGCACTCTTGCTGCAATTCGTAAATTTGACGAAAAGTACGGCGACCGGAAAGGTCGGAGAAAGAAGGCTTCTGCATTAGGATTTGGTGGAACTACTGTTGTCGAATTGGATTCGGAGGCTGCGAGGGTAAGGAAGATGGATGCATAATTGCAGTTTACTGCATCGGATTGGCGCATGGCTTGTCCTATCGGCGTTGTGCCTTTTTTCAGATGTAAATATATTGTAACACTAGTTAGACGCGTTTAAATAGACTCGGGGAGCGCCGAGCAGATCCTCAATGGATATGGTTCGCGAACTATTTTGCTTCAATGGCTTGGTTTCCAACAACGAAAATTTCCCAATTCATCCACTTGTTCGCTGCGTGGGGCTAAGGCACATAAGACAGACAAAGGAACTTCCGCATTGCCAAGGCCCTTCGCCAAGATGAGGCGTTTCCAGTCTCTCAAAATACTACAGTCTCTTTAATGTTACAACAATAAATTTATTTTAGCAAAATGGAAATAACGAAGCAAGCAATGTGTAATAGCAAGATAGAGAAAACATATGTCCCGCAACCCCGCTTCCCTAATTAAACAAGTTACAAATTTCCCAGAATTCCAATCAATCGCTCTCTACTCCTTTCCAAACCCAGACTCCAAACCCCTAACAAATTCCATAACCTCAAATCCTAGTCGTCTCGCGGTCTTTTCATCCATTTTAGCTCCTTCGCAAACACGAACGATGATAGCAGAACAATCATTACGAATCTCTACCCCTCCGAATTTATTCATCTCTTCACGTCCGACTCGGGTGACATACACCGTAAGATCAGGACCCACAATTCCACGCCATAAGGTGGCCATCCATTGCCAATGGTCGACAGGGGCGTAGGAATCGTTGATCGGGATGCGAAGTGCAAAATCGTCGGATGTGGTAAGAGAGAAACCTCCAGGTACAAGAGCGATTGGGAAGACATTCGTATTGTTCGTTCCAGATGAGGCATTGCTAGAACTGTCTTCAGCAGATTTGGCAGGAGCTGTAGTGATATGCTTAATGATTCCCTGAGACCTCCTATGCCATTCCCGGATTGTTGACAAGTATTCCATGAATGCATTTTGATCTTCGGCCATAGCTATCGGAGCGGGGGTAGAAGCACTTGCATCCCTCATATCGGAATCTGTTAAGGAGCTGTTTCTGCTACTCCTCGACGCACATGCAGGCGTGTCCCAAGTTTTGACAGCACAAGATGTGTCATTACCAAGATGCTCCTGGATAAAAGCCCCGGTTTCCGACAGGAGTTCATTGTCGGCCCCTTCGATCGCAATAACTGCTCCGCGCATATCGATGGCTGGGCTAGCAGGGCTAGGACAGGCGAAAGGGGGGGATATCTTTGCGAGGACTCTAATCTTATTGACGTAAGGAATCGTCATTACCATGGCTTCCACGCTCTTTGCTCGGCTGTCACGACTATCTGTCCGCACATTTGGCCGTTTGGGAGCCACAACTGCTGGCTTGGAAAGTTGTGTCTGTAGAGGAGGAAGGCGCAAAGACTCATCAAATGGCGGGGTTAATTGAGGTGGGTAGTGCTGTCGTTGCTGATTCATAGGGGAGTACTGTGCAGGTGGCCCCATTGTTCCCCCACGAGCTATCATGCCTGGACCTGGAAGTTGCTGCGGCCGGTAACCTCCAGCTGACGCCGGAGGGGGCATGTTTCGGCTGAAACGCGGCGGCGGCGCATTGTAGTATACTGGCGAGGATGATACATAGCCATGGGGCAGTTCATTATTATACCTGTGGCTCTCTTGGTTGAATCTTCGCCGTTTCTGGTCCGGTGGAGGGCTCAGAAGGTCCATCTCTTCGTCCATTTCATTATGGGCATGCAGAGGTGATGGGCGGGGGTACGGTCCTCGGCGATGGGCCGGTAAATGGACTGACGCGGTTCGCGGGGAGTCCATCTTCGTGTTCTCAGCTCTTGATGGGTACGGTGATCGGTCAGGCTCGGTCGCTCGCGAGGGCGTGAAAGGGGGCAGGAGACGGCCTTTCCGAACGCTACCTACAGCGCTGAATCCCCCAAGCGGAGTAGGAGGCGCGCTTGGTGTAGAGATGTAACGACCGTTGCACTTTGGACAACGTTCAGGATCGTCAGAAGTGGACGATGAGATGGGATGTAAGCTGGTTGGTTTGCCAGCACGTCGAGGCTGGTATCTGTAACCTGGGTATTGACGCTGGTGGCGTTGCTTCTCTTCCTGTTTGTCCTTGGTTAGCATCTTACATGTATACGTATAGCCTTTGGGCATCACATACGTCCGCAAGTCTCTTCCACTCGTTCTTCACTTCTGGAGCTTGTTCCCTCCACTGTTCGCCGATTATCTTCGATATTTCGGGGTTTGCAAGTCCGGGATGCTGAGCGATAACTTGGGCTTGATAATGTTGGCGGTAAAGAATGAAAGCTACAAAGGATGATTAGCTCTTAGCTCTATGAAAGGGTTTGATCAAGATATTATAAAGAGGGTTTTATTGCTTTACACTCTAAAGCAACCAATCAAACAATCGAGTGTAAAAGGACACAGCTGACTCACCGTTTCGAGGACGCGGTATCTTAGGATCTGGTTGACAAAGGCACACCTGCTCTCGAGTGGGAGTGGCCGATGATGGTACCGTGCTCGCACTGCTGGGAGCAGGATCCTCTCCCCTTGGGTGCTTGTTCGGGCTGTCGAGGGCAAGATCTTCTATCTTCGGGTGGTTTGTACCGTCAAGATCAAGTGAAGCTGCTCTTCTCTTCGTCAAACGGGTCTGTGGAGGGCCTGGAAGTCGGGATTCTGAGCCCTTCTCTACGTGTTGTAGCTTCAAAGGTGTCCGTCGACTTGGGTCCGTTACACTACTTGTCGAAGACCGTGGAGTGCCCAAATTGGATCGAGGAAGTTCAAGCACATCTGACATGATGTCTGGCCGTCAGCCTAGAAGAAGGTAATAGAGGCTGCGTTTCACTGAACGGTCCCGGAAACAAATGAAATAAAATGTTGAGGCTTCAAGAGAGGATGAATGGCCTTCTTGTTGCTGGGGGAATTCTTTATGCAAGGCAATGCCCATTGATGGGCAGGAAAACAATGTTCTTGCCACTCAATCACACTGTTCACCCTGCTAGGGGCTAGCCTGGCCATTATTGCAGCTGTGCTGTGATGATGATGCCTTTGTCTCGGGAAGCGACCCAAGCTGCATCACCAGATTTCTTTGTCCCAAACGCTTCCGGTATTAATAAGGGAGAAAGGCTGAGGCTGACTAATTAGGCCCAAAGAGATGGACGCGTTTGGAATGCTGCAAAGCGCAAACAGAGTTTATTATTCTCTATGATCTGGTCTCAGCCAAACGGATTGTCTCGGATTCCCATTCGCCATTCCAGCCCCCTCGACTCCCGGAATTTTGGCAAACCAAAGCAACTTTTTGCACAAATCAAGAAACTACAAATTTGGAATGACGGTGAATTATGAAATAAAGTGGTTGCCGGTTTCGCCATTCACGATCGCTGCACTTCGTCGAGCGTCGATAAACAAATCTTCGCATTCTCCTACGTCGGCCACATCGATCTGATTGCGACCGCTTACCCGCGCAAGAATGCTGGCAGGCGTAAGGAGCTGCAGCGCATATCTGAGACTTATCCGCGAACCATGCTCTGCAACCTTGTCCAACGCTGCCTCCGTTATCGCTAGGCCCTCCACAGTTATTCGGATGCGGATGATTCTTTTGATTTCCTCCGCCTCGTAGGCATGTGTCGGGATGATGAGCGTACGGGCCAAAAGGTCGGGAGGAATACCGTGCGCGGATATCAGATCTTCAGTCCCACGAATTGTGCACATACCACGGTTTGAAGCCAGAATAACAATAGGGGAGATGCTGGATTCGAGGGCTCGATTTAAGTACGTAAAGCATTCGATGTCGAGCATATGAACCTGCACCCAATTAGCGGCCATTGATAACAAGCCAACGTCTTGAGTTATTGAAATAGATACATACCTCATCGATGAAAAGCACGCCAGGGACAAGTTCCGCAACACCTTGGTCGATATATTTGTTGACGACCTTGTTTATCTCCGTTCTCAGCTTCTCGGTGATCTCTGTCATCTTCGGCTTCATTAATTGGCCCATCATGCTCATGATATCCTGCCCACCCTGAGGTCTCGAATTGGCAATGTCCAGGTCGTGCAGCGTGACATCTTGAACGATTTCCTTCTTTTTATGAACCTCTCCTTTGGGGATCGGCACATACTCTTCGGCTTCCAAATCGAACTCTGTCGCGTATGCGTCAGATCTTCCCACGCGCTTGCAGGCTCCGGTGTTGGCCTCGATGTAGATAACGTCTCCGACTGTGACTCTCTCCTTCTGTATGGCTTCGTAGATGCTGGGATCTAGCCGCAGCTTCTTTTGGCCCTTTGCGCTCTTCAGGCCGATGAGTAATGTGCTAATCGTCTTGCCGTAGCTTCCAAGAGGATTTTCGGCTTCCTCTGGAGTCAATTCTGTAACCTCGCCTTCATAGACCTCCTTCGTTTCTCGGACCTTCAGGCCAATCGCTCTTCGAAAGTTTTCCATCAAGGCTTCAGTCTTCTTGACCTCCGTAGAATATATCTCGCTCCCAACTATTGGGCAAAAGGGTACTTTCGTGCCGAGCTCCTGACTTATTGCGAGTGCAAGAGCTGTCTTTCCTGTGCCTGGACCGCCTGCCAGTAAAATGGCTCTGCCAGCCATCTTTTGCGCCCGTATTAGATCGACGACGACACCGCATGCCTGTGCGAGAAAGGATTATTAGATACGGCGTGATACGAGGGATAATATGCCTCACTTCTCTAGCTGCAACCTGGCCCACGAAGCCGCTTGATTGCCTCTCTGCGGTGCCATCGGGTCGAAGACCTAGACCTTTAATATGTGTATGGACTGCTGTACGATTATCACGGGCATTGCCCTTGACTTCGCTGATCTGAACCATTGCGTCAAATGAGCGATCCGAAAGGTTCAAAGAGGGGTTTTAGGTAATTCGAAGTCAAAAAAAGTTGTTCAGGTTGCTGGCTTTGTTGCAAAAGCTATACGCGACATGAAGCTTTTGCGCGAGCTGATGCTGTAACTGCAAGGGCAATTCGACGCGAAGGCAAGGCTGACGTTCACGTGACAATATATGCACCTCACACCACCACTAGTATTCACGAAAGGAAATATATGTTGTATTAAGTGCAATACTAGAATCTAGGAATTTAGAGTTTAATGAAATGAACGGTAATAGCAAAATGCCTTGCTTAGTGGGGTTTGTGGAAGCGCTGAAAGGCTACCCTATCCCCTTGCTAGTGCACAGTTGCATGCATTTGCAATCATTACATTTCAGGAGGAGGTAATTGAATTGTTCTTGTGAACTTGTCTTGAAATATGTGCATTGACTACCTAGGTACCTAGTTATTTGTCGCTATCTTACACGGCGAACTACTCCTCCAACGTCCGAGAACACATTCCGAGGCCGAATGCTCACAGTATGCGCCCCTATCTAGAAAGTGCAAATATAAGGTATCAATGGAAATAAAGGAGGTCAACGCATCACGTCAAATTCATGCTGCTGGGGCAATAAAACCGTGAGTCTGAGGATGAGTGAGTCACACCCAGAACCGTATGTGCTAAATCAAACAAATACAAGGCTCGAGATCCGGCGGCAACTTCAAATGTCATGCGAGGCGATGGACCTATGTTTGCGCTCATATGCTGCCGGACCAATAAGCTAAAGGCCCCGGATTCAGGCAAGCTATCATTGTAAATCATGGATGGCAGGTCATGAATGATGAGAGCAGAATCATGTCAGGCACGGTCAGATCAATGCAGTACATGTGGTTGAGTGCCTAGCAGGGGATCGCGAGAATAGGTGTCGGCATCGAGGCATGTCAGATCCGGGTCCGCAGACACTCGAAAGATTAAAAGACCTGTTTCAGACTTGCTACAGCAAGTTGATGTATGAAAGATAGTCGTGTAAGGGAGCATTCGTCATCATGTGCATAGAGGCGGGTCATATCGATCCACAGTTGAAATCATGGTCTCAGTACAGTCAGGCGAAAATATTGCAAGTCATGCGAATCATGCAATCACGCGTTTGCCGAATATCCAGAGATGCGGCGGGTGTCGTTAGTTATGAAGTTCCAGGAGGCTTGGACGGATCGCCCTGTGGCTGGCCTGCCTGCTGTTGTTGCGCCATTGCTTGGTACCAAAGTGCAACATATGCATTGTATCCACCATCTAAGAGAAATCAGTAATGCATCTTTGGACCCGAACGGCAAGCTGTAACTTACACGGTGCATACGGATCATCTGCACCAGTAGCGGCGTCGGTCTGGGGCTGAGATTGCGGTTGTCCTTGTGGCTGGGCGTATGGTTGGGAGTAGTTTCTATCGTTGTGGTCGTTCTGGGAAGTACGGTTCCGCCCACCTCCGCCCCCTCCGCTCTTTTGTGCCTAAGAAATATCAGCTTGATTCATCAAATAAACATTCTCGACTTACTACTGCCTCAACTTTATCTTCGATCGCGCGTTTTGCTGCAACGATGGCGTCCCGAGAGCCAACAAGCCCTATCTCGCGTTCCACCTCGGTTGGCCCCGACGAGGGTGTAACGTTGATTTTGCAGCCGGTAGTATTCTGCATATCCTTAATCGTTTCGCCGCCTTTTCCAATGATCATACCAACAGCTTCGGACGGTACAAATATGGAATCATTGATCTTGTCCCCCCCGCTTGCACTGCCATACCCGCCACCTTGGGCTGCATCTCTACCAGGCTCCCGCTGGCCCGGTACCCGATCTTTATTAGTAGTGTTTTTGCTGTCGCTCTCGACAATCTCCATAATCAAATCTTTGGCGTGTGCTGCTGCTTCGCGGGAGCCAATCAAGTTGACTGGTCGAAGCCCATTCATACTCTTCTGCTCACCAACAATATTCACATGGCAACCGCTCCGTTCCTGAAGATCTCTAATTGTCTCTCCACCCCGGCCAATTATAAGACCAACTGTCCTGTCAGGCACCATAATTTGCATGCTATCCTCACCGTCTCTCAGGGCTGGTTGGTGTGTGGAGGAGCGTGCAGCTGATGGAGCCTCTCGAGATATACGTTCCGGGCCAACGCCTCCATTTCCAGCCATACCACTCTCGTCGATGATGCGATTGATTTCCGCCTTCGCCTCAGTCCGGCGTGCTCGAGATCCAGTAATCTTGCATTGTCTATATGGACCCGTCTCGTCAGGCCCAGTAACAAATTGCACACGACATCCAGTTTCTGATTCAACACGCCTGAGATTTTCACCATTCCTTCCAATAATCAGGCCCACTAAACTCGACTCAATAGAAAGAGTTTCGGCATTGTCATCTCCAACCCTTGCAGGCGACCGTTCCCGCGGATAGTTACCGCCACCATTGGCGGGCGAGAAAGTCCCAGGTGGTCCTCTACCTCTAAGCCCGGGAGAGAAAGAGCGCTCACGATAATCCCGCTCGGGCGGTGCGCGATCGCCTCGTCGCTCGTCTCGATATGGGTTGAAATTGTCGCGGAAGGCCTCTCGGCGAACAGGTGGCGGAGAGCGCGAGCGCGATGTTCTGTATGGCCTTACTCCAGCGCCCCGAGTATCTTGACCACCATATGAGGGAGGCCGGTCGTATGCGACACCTTTCTCTGCTGCTATGGCCTTCGCCTTCGCAATGGCATCGGCGATGCTGACGGTTCCAGAGCTTACTGGTTTGATATTGCTCAGATCTACACTCCCTGAACTTGTTGGCTGTGGTAAGGAATATCCTCCGGCGCCTGGGTATGGATTCTGCTGAGGAGGGGCTTGCTGCGGGGGTTGCTGGTAGGGCTGCTGATTCGGAGGCGTCGCATTTGGACGTTGGGCAGCTATAAAGAGTGAGCTAAATTCTAAAGGGAGTCATCGCTTTTCACTACAAAATAAGAAACTCACCTAGGGCAGCCAGAATAGAACTGATGCTTGGTTGTTGCTCGGCCATCTTACAATAGTGTTTGGGTCGTTGGGCAGCAAAGTTGCAGAGGCTAGAATCAGGTGAAAGAGAGCAGAGACTTTATAGTCTGCACAATACCGAAAGGTTGCTCCAGAAAGCGAGAACGGACCTTGCAAGAGATCAGATTGTAGTTGCTAATGCGACATGTTGCTTCTCTCTTTGACTTTCCAAGGTGCTGAAAGGAATTGCGATGTTCTTTGCGACCTTGTCAAGTTTCAAAGCTGGCCGCGCTTGGCAAGCGAGGCAAGCCACCGCCAAATGGAAAATCGTGGCGTTGATCATGTGACCAGGGTGCGCCAAGTGAATGATCGACGACCCGACACGACTAATGAGACAATCTGGAACGTCATCCCAACCTCGTTTCTTCCTCACCGTCATACAAATTGGAACATCAGCTGTCATGCATCTTACCGCAATATATATCAAAGCAAATCCTGGTATTTTGTTATGTTGAATAATGTTCCTGGTCAGTGCCAGTGCTAGATCACCGCTAGAGCTGCTGGTATAACAAGTCCTACCACGCCTTGCACAAGGCTCTGGCAGTCGTAGCATCTGATATAATGCGTTTCACATAATCTACCTAGGTACTCCGTAGGGATTATAGGGCTAGGTCATATATCTCAATATATGCCTAGGTAGGTACTTTATAGTTTGTGTTATACTATGAGACGCTATATAATGTCTACATTCATCATTTGTTGTTCTATTGTTTGAGGAGATATACATACGGGAATGTATTCAATATGGTAAGCAGTCCTCTTTTTCAAATTTTCCCAATAAAAAAAGCAGCTTGTATGTACAGAAAAGATCCTGAATGCAAATTTATCCTAGGGGCAACACTTAGATTTAGAAGGCGGTTATCCATGACCATAGCGACTAAGTAATAATAGAGATGCAAAAGCTCACAGGTTACAGGTGTATCATCGATTGGATGCCCTGGGGAAGTGATTGGATGCGAGCTTCGTCGAAAAATTGAGGCCCCAGGACAATGATGGGACGCAAGTTCATAAAAGAAAATACAAGATCGTATCTTTAGGGCCTCGCAGACCAATTCCTAACGCTCCAGGCGCAGAAGCAAGCGCCCCATCAGAGGCGAAAGGGTCGAGTCATCAGTAGATTCAAACCAGGCATAGACCAGAACGCCCTCCAACAGCTTTTGAGAAATGTCGGTCTTCAAGCCTCGCTCGGGGCTCTACCAAGTCCGTGTTGTTGAGCACCCGCCGTCTCCCGATTGCACCACAGTTCTTGACCGGCTCAAAGCCGACATAGATTATCTCCAAAGCTACCGGCCCAGTCTATCTAACGCTACTTTCCAGTCCGAAAGCAATAGCCTGGACGCAGCAATCGCCAGCTCATCGCATAGGCCGTGGCAGAACCGCCTCATTGGCGCTGTCTAGGCATCAAGCAGCGTGCAGCCACGACCAAATTGGCAACATCCCATCAGGGAGGGTTGGACACTCATAGAGCTATTTAGAGAGAACCAGCAGCAATTTAGCAAGGAATTTGTGACGTCCCTTTGCGGCCCAATGAAGCGGGCGACGGGTTTCGGGCCATCGAACCTTGGTTCCGGGCGTCGAACATCACGGTTTGGAAAACATCGAATGTCACTATCGGCACAGCAAACGGGGCACTCTCAGCTTCGAGGTAGGGTGATGAAAGGCGGCGTCATGTGAGACAGGAGCCTCCGGTCGTCCCCATTTCACTTCAAAAGGAGACAGCGATTCATGGATAATGGCTGGGTTTGGGCAGTTCGTTGGGATGGCGTGGGACTAGAACAGTAGGTCCAGGATTACTCTCTTCGTGCCTGCGGACTACATATTCCAGTGGATTGAGCGAAAGTTTCTGGTAGCCGTAAAATCGGTAGGTAGGCTAGCGTGTCACAGGCGACTTTAGACCAAAGCAACGATTAGTTTCTATAGTCCACAATCCAAACCTCCTCCCTATAGACCGGATCCGCCTAGTGAGTCGCCCGCGCCAGGTGGACTGCCTCCTGTAATAGATGTCGCAGAAAGTTCTAAGCAAGCCCATGCTCTAACTCTGAGATACAACGCAGTCGCGCGACGACCTCGCCCCCTTACACTAAATCCAAGAAAAGAAGATGTTCCGATGCCAAGTCCAATGCCTAATAAGATGGTTTTGTGGGACTCGGTTGTTTAGACAGGTTGATAAGTAATCTTATATTAATCATGACAAGGAGATGTACCCTCTTAACAATTATCAGGTTTGTCTAGGGAGAGTCTTGTAGGTGGGATATTTTAATTCTATAGTAAGCTTAGGATAATGCCACACCCATTCTGCAAAACTCCAATCCGTACGTAAGGTAACTTAGTATACCGACTAGAGCGGCGTATTAGAGCCTAAGGGGCAAAAAGTGTAAACATTCCGGTGGCTTAACACGCTAATTTGCCAATCATCTTCTGTAGTCCGCATCTAGTTCACACTTTTGAAGTAATATCAAAGAATTTCCGGGCCAGCTTTACCAACATCTTTGTATCTGGCAATGATCTGTGGTTCATCCCAATGAGTTCATCATTAGGAAAAACAAGCGGAAATAGCTTTTCCAATGAGCAACTTATACCTGGCATGTTCTGTTTCCATTCCTGTAGAAGTCTTCAGCTATTCGAATATAACGGTAGGCATGCTGCATCGCCATCACCAGCCCTATTTATGAGTCTTTTCAAAGCATCCCAGTCGTAACTACTCATCGACCAGTCGACAAGGAAGGAATCTTTATTCATTCCTGCCGCATAGAGTATCTGTATAATCTGCTCTGGCCGACGGCCAGAAACGGCTTTTTCACTTAGTGGGCCAAGCACTTTAGCAAGAGTTCGATAGCGGAAGTCGTTGATAGGTGGTGTGGCGTACAGATTGAACATCTGTTCTATTGTCAGACCATAATCAACTATTGTATCGATAATAACATTGTTATTGCCATCTATGACACTGATCTCGATGGCTTCAGCACATTGTCCCATGCACGACACTGTAGTTTCAATGTCTATAAAGAAGACAGTATTAGGACTAGCAACGAGCGCCTCCTTGACCCGCCTAGCCGTTTGGGACATTGTAAATGCATGAGAGTTGAGGAGTGTATGGATCGCGGTAACATCTGTGGGTGACGAATCCCGTATTAGGTGGAACGATCGCGTATGAGCTTCTTCTAGGTGGTCATGAACGGTCTGAAGCGTTGCGAAAGTTGCTCCACATCCAATGGGACATGCCATAACGAAATTGAAGTGAGTAGTAAGCTGATGAATTACGATATTCCTCATTGATGTATAAGCCTCGCCACACAGTTCGATAGCGCATAGAAATTGTCCGAGAATACTCCGGCGTAATGCATCCGAGGCAATAGCTGTGATGAAGTTTGGGTGTATAGGTTCTCCAGTGTTTTGGCTCAGCCACGGCATGGCATCGTAAGACATGCGTAGCTTCCTCCATTGCGGCCAATGCTCGTCAAGACTCTCAGGATGACGCAAATGGCAAAATTTGTAGCTTTCATCTGTACTCTCAGAGTGATAAGACTCTTCATGCTCTCTAACAGATTGAGTAGAACGCGCAGCCCATGATACGTTTTGGCAGAGAGGATGCCTGCAGTACCATCTTAAACCTCCGCCTACATGCTTGCAAGTCAAATGCAAGTCGAAAAGCATAGTGCTCCTCACTCGAAAAGTACAGCCAAGTACTTGGCAGTGCCAGTAGTCCATATGGCCTTTCTTTCCATATATTCTCCGAACATTTGAACCGGGGTATGGCTCTCTGTGTCGATTGGTGTGCTACCAGGCGGGCTATAGACACGGTATCTAACATAAATGAGTTCCACAGTTTCAAAATGTTTTCTAAGGCTTGTTAAGGTAGTATGGAATCTGTATCCACACTAGCGTTAGTGTTATATACAATATTGCAAAGATGTGAAAGAAGCATACATAGGACTGCCCAGGTCAATCTCATCTTGGCTTTGTGCATTCAAAACACTCAATGATAACTCGTATAAGTAAACCTGACAGGTACCTGGATTATTCATATGATCCTGGAAGTAGTCTGGCCTATGAAACCTTCCACAGTTACTACACATATAACTCTTCGGACCGTGGGTTTCCATGTGTCGTCCTAGATTCGTAAGGAGCATATGACGGCCACATAATTCACATCTTCCCTCTAACGTATTCTTTTTAACGCAATCTATTCGTCTGTGGGCTGGTAACATGCGTGGATCGAGGAGCTGCCCACAATCCAGACAACGTATATTGCGGGAATCCTTAGTATCATATGCCAAGAAGTGAGAATCAGAGACAAACGGTGTGTGATCTTCAAATTGAGCACTGTTTATTGCTCCATCAGTCCGAATACAAGAAATTCGCTCTTTAGCGCCTGAACTTGAGAGGAGATGAATGTAAGTAGATATCGTGGTTCTTGAAATATGGACAGCGTCAAGTCCAACATCGTCCGGTAATTCAGCTCCATTAGGAAGAATAGGTCGATTACTATTCATGCTGTCTTTATTACCTAGGTAGCTTTCGTGTCAAGTATCGTTTGCTCTTGTCGTGATGCGTAGATGTTACTATACCGAGGTGACCTGCGACGGCTCAATACCTTGTCGCGGTGCAAGCTGAGAATGTCATCTCTCTGAGGCAGTGAGGAGTATTATACAGCTAAGATTCACTCACGGATCGCTGTACTAGATGATACGACATCGACGCGCCGGATGTCAAATCAACAACAACACGGGTATTACGCTACTTGACGGCCTTGGACAGTCTGATATTGGTAGTCAATTTTACATTAATCCAAATACACACGTTTAAGGCAAACGAATCGCTAGTTTAGACGCCGTCAAGGATTTGGAGGCTTTGAAGACGATGGAACGAGTTGATTAATTCTAGTAATAGAGGTGGAGGTGCAGTCCTCATTATATACAAGTATAAGTAGGTTATATTTGCCACAGTAGGTATGCTTCTGAAAACTCTGGAACAGAAAGGCGACAGACCTGGCATGTGTATAGCAACCCTTGGAGGAAGGTGTTCCACAGACCGGTAATCGGCGAGCTGCCGATAGTTTTCAACAGGTGGCTGGCGTGGAAGATAAAAGGCAGTAAATATATAGTTAAAATATTCAAAGCTAGTGTTAATTAAGCTACTATAGTAGTTAGTATAAAGAGGCAATTATCGAATACCAGCCCTCCGATGTAGGTATTCCTGACACGTAAAGAAATCTAGGGTGGGTGGGGACGACCTTAGTTAGCTCTTCTAAGGCAGAGTGTGGTACTTACTTGTCTAGTAGCATGTGGCCCTGTTCTGGTCTGGTTGTATTATAGCATGTATAGCATACAAGTAGCTAAAAGGAATAAGGAATTCAAGAAAGAAAAAGCTTAGGTGGGTAAAGGCAGGTGGTAGGTAGAAGCGTCGGAGCTTGATGCGGCCTCAGGCTAAGCGTCGGTTCATTTTCCCCACAGCGAGCCTCAGCTACCTCTCTGCACTGCTCTGTAGAAAAGTGAAAAACCAAAAAAAAAATCTGTGAATAGAGTGGGACTCGAACCCACGCCACATTACGTGACCAGGAAATGTAGTTAAGATATATCCGCATTGTTTAGTTACAAAAAGTTTAATTAAACCTATTACCCTGTAATTCGTAGGAGACAAGCGAAGATGTGGTAGGAATACCGTCTGGTGCTAGTCTCCACAAAAACAACTATGATCACGTGTGTCCATGCAGGGGCGAATTGACTGCTCGTACCTAGATTCGTCTTTTTATAACAGTACATACCTACCTTGCCAACCTTAGGTACTGTCAGCACCGACATGCTCCTCCGTTCTCTAAAAGCCAACTGCGCAGCCTGAACTGCAGTAGGCTTAAGGTGTCAGCCATTCAAAGTCCCACTGGTAAATCTGTCTATTGTAAGGGAGAGGCATGCCAGGTAGCCCTCTGCACATTCCACTTGTTCCCGTACGTATTAGTGTCTAGCATCACCTAGAGCAATAGACAGTGTCTACTAGTATGCTAAACCAATTCCTGCAACTGTAAACAGACATTGCAAAGTGTTATTGCAACTGGTAATCTAGTTCTGATCAGCCTTCAATACAAAATCAGTTCTACTTTTCCATCTTAAATAGGTATCCAACTATGTAAGTGCAGCCGCTGGCTAAAGGCCATGTTTTAGAGTCTATCAGTTTATTCTCGTGCTTGCCAGTGTTTGCTTCCCTATCCTTTAATTATTGCCCTTTGCTTGGACTTGTCTGTCTAAAAGTTCACCTGCTTTGTCGAATAGTGGGATAGTGGGATTATGTCTCTAGTGGCTAGGAAACGTTGGATTTTATCGTTATCAAGTCGTGTTAGGGTGAATGATGTAGGCGGTCAGTATCTTCTTAAGTCGGTGAAGATATAGTTGACAGAAAGGGGTCGCTTGCTGCTGGAAACGAATCTAGCCTCTAATTTGGATGTCAACAAAGTATTTTATCTTTGTCCTATCCATCATCTTCCAAATCACCACCTTCACGACGACAACGACAACGACAACGACAACGACAACGACAACGACAACGACAACGACAACGACAACGACAACGACAACGACNACGACAACGACAACGACAACGACAACGACAACGACAACGACAACGACAACGACAACGACAACGACAACGACAACGACGACGCGTTAGACAGATGGCTGACGAAGCCATGGATTACCCCATGGATTACCCCATGGAGGAAGCCCAGGTGTACCGTCAAGCTGCTAACGACGAGCCGGCGACGTCCTCTGACTATACCGTTGCCCTGCGCGACGCATCTCTAGAAATCTCAACTCAAGCAATTGTTCCTGTCAGTACTTTCAATCAGCACAACTTGGTAGCAACACTGATTTGTACCTCTAGAGCGAGCTCACTCAGTCTTCCGAGTCCTCGTTGGCAAGCGGTTCGGATTCCCCCAAGTAAGTCAAATTTCTACGTAATTGAGAACCGTGATAGATCGGCTCTGTTGCCCATCGTCGTTGCATTTAAGAACGGGTAATTTGCCACTAGATTTCCTAACAGTTCCCACAGCTCAGACACTACATTGGAAGAAGCAGTGTTCCGGGGCCTCGCCACTACCGATCTGAATACTATCCAGATCGTTGTTTCCTCTTCAAGCGCCCAATATACGATCGTCGTCAGCTACCGCAATTTTACTCCCGGCGTCATTCAGTTCTTTGCATTCTTACGAACCCAGTGCATTGCCTATTTTACAGCTCTAGCTGGAGATCAAGACGGGCGGCCTCACATCCAGAGCATCTTGAATGTGTGGCAGGAGCTCCCACTATTTCGGAGCTGCATCAGTTCGCTATCCATCATGGAGACCACAGTCCCGCGAGGCTTTTGCTCAACTTTCGCTCCTAAACTCAACAAGAGAGCTCTTCGTCTCAAGAAGGGCCAAAAGGGTACTGACGCTCGGATGTTGAGAATGGTAAGGGCATCCAATGTTCAACCAACCAACTGATTTTCGCTGACAGACACCCAGGGTTTTGACTCCCGGATATTCGCCCGCTCACGACGTATCTCCACCAAACACACGCCCATTATATGTCCTTATATGCTGCGCGGTGCCAGGAACGACTGGGATTCATTCAATGCAGACAGTACCGCGTGGAACAGACGAAGCGCTACTTGTGGTGACCTCGAAAGTAAGCACCACCTCAACGGCCAAGTGGGACCAGGCTAACCTAGTAGCAGTACTACATCCCTCTCATAACGTCGCGCCACTTTCCCCCGAATTTGATCGACTTGCTACTGCTTTCTTCAACGGTGATGCCGTTCCCGAGGATCTCGATACTCTTCCAAATCCACTCCCTAGCAGTGGCGTAAACTACAAGATGGTCTATTACGCATCCAGTTGGACTGAAATTATCAACGCGAAATTATTGGAGGACGATAATATGGCAGTATTTCTTCAAGATGTTATCATGGCAAATGAACTAGAGAAGGCTTGCGTTTCAAAAACCAGCTACGGCGGCCGTAAAGTTTTTCGCCACAGATCTTATCCGAGAATCGTTGAATCAATGAAAGACAAGGCGCTCAACGACCTTCTGGAGGATGATATTGATGCCCAGCAGGTTGGGGCAGGAATTTTACTACCCAATGATACGCCAGTCGAAGTTCAAGATGCCGAGCAGCTGGCCTTAGAACTGTCGGACCTAACCAAGTCTGATAGCACATTGACGGCTGGAGAACCTTTGAAAGTTAAGAAGCGCCGCGGTAAGAAAAAGCGGGTTATCACTACCAAGAAACCTCCTTTGCACGAGGCCATGCCGGAGAAACCTTTAGAGGACGACGCGAATCATGACGAAAAGATTATCTCTGCTGAGCTAAGTGGTGAACTAAATGAGCGTTCTTTTCCGACAGAAGTCGCCCAAGCAGAATCTTTGACAGCTATGATCACTGTATCGCCCAAGAACTTAGGTTCAGTAGACTCTTCAGCTCTATTTGTCTCTCAGGGAGGACTGGCCGAGGACATCCAGTTGGAAGGCGGCGATGGGGGATGGACTACTGTAGCCCCTAAATCTCATTCTAGGTCTAAAATTTCGCGCAAAAAGGCTTCTCAAAGTTCCGCCGGTAACCCAAGTGGAAACTTGGACAGAGGTGTGAAACCCCACCAGAAAAGAGCTGTTAACAAAAAGGTATGGCTTGGTACGGAAATTATTCCCAAATACCGCTGACCAGGCCTTCAGAATACCCCGTCGCAACAGCCCAATAGAGCCAGCGAATACCCAAGAAACCGGTCTTCATCAGGAATGCCAGCCACCCCATCGAGTAAGGCAGCTAGTTTCCGCCCTTCGCCAGGAGCCCACCAATCCACGAAGTCCAGGGATAATATTTCCAACGAGGGAGGTTCGTCAGAGAATATGCGGGTCTTCGATCCAGAGCAATATCCAGCCATACCTGCTCAACACAGAACTTCTTCAGAATACCTCAAAGACTCTAAATCAGATATATCAGTTGCTGTTAAAACTGTTAGAGACGAGGTCACTCAACCAAAGGAGCCTTCTGTCCATTCTCCGTATCAGATTGAGGATCAGGCCGAGGACCGCCATGCGTCAACCGTATCTCCTAAAGCTACAAGCCCGGTCTCTAAAGCCGCCTCACCAGTTTCCAAGGTTGCTTCCCCAGTCCCAGAGACCGATTCACCAATCCTCAAGGCTCCCTCAGAGTCGGCTATTCTGAGTGCCCTTATTAAGCCTGCTTTGGGAGTAGAACTGGGTTTGCGCGAGACAAAATCAGACTCGGAGCTGCCAGGCAATTCCGAGGCAGGAAGTAATGACCTGACAAGCAATTTCGAGGCAGGAGGTAGTGACCCGACAGGCGATGTCGACGACGGTCAACAGACATTTTCGGTTCCACCAGAACAGCCAGATGCTCTTAATACCGAGGCTGTCACTTCCAATTATATGAACAACGACGTGATTGCCACCGGAGTCGAGGCAGATCTTTTGGTTGATCGTCATTATGACCCGAGCTATGGAACAACCACGGAGAATGGCGGCCCAATTGCTCCCGGTTCTAATCTCTCGAATGTCCCAACTCCAAACTTCAATCACGTGCACACATCGGGAGCATTTCCTTGCTCGCTTTGCAAAATGCTTTGCATCCCCTCACTTGAAATGCCTCTACTTCTCTGCCCCGGGTGTGGTTTCGATTGCAATGTCCGCTATTGTTCTGTCGCCTGTCTGCTAGTGGACGCGTATGGTCATTCCAGGAACTGCATAAATTCTCCTGCTTCCCAGCGAACTCATGCATCCATGGTCCCTAATACGTATATCTATGAGTATAATCCGCCTTTTCAGATGGACAGACACCCAGTTGAGTCCCCCGAGAAGTTCCGACAGAGAGCATTCTCTATATACTGTCATTCTGGACCTTTCCCACCACTTATGGAGGCATGGGCTAAGAGCAGAAATTCCGTGATGGACTTGGATAGCGTCGTCGTTTCGGAAACTCGTAAGATAACCGGCGATTACCATGTTTTCAGGTCAAATGCTACAACTGATGGCCCGCGTTACAATCCCGTAGCTGATGTAATATTTGTAAGATGTCCTTTTATTCGGTCCTATTAAGATGAAACTAACTTTTTGCAGACAATCAAGCTTCGAGTTGGTGACCAACTAAAAGGTATTCTTAATCGGACCTTGAATGTGTGCTTCTATATCTATCACCCTACCATCACCAGGTTTCTCTTCCGCTTGCTCCAGAGTCTCATACTTGACTCCGAGCTGTTTGAGATGCTTCCGCAAGAAGAGGATCAGGCTACTATCTTGAAGGAGTTCAAGCAACAATTCTCCAAGGAGTTTTCTTGCGACCCTGAGAGCTATAACGGACTGTCCAACTTCGATTTCGACTATGAGTGGCCCCAAATTGCACCTATTCTGATGGATGTGGAGAATAGATACCCACTCATTTGTACTTGGATGAGATATCGAGGCCGCGGGGTGCGTTGGCAATACGTGCTATAGGTCCAGAATGTCTAATGGAAGTTTCCACAAGGCAGCCCGGCTTGGGTGAAAAGAATTTTTGAGAGCACAAGGTTGGGCTAGAAAACTCATCATTGACGGATCTTGTTCAAGGATACTCAAGGCCAGTTCCATGACCGCGGTATCGAGTGTATTGGGATTCTATTTCGTCACTTGTGTATATCAGTGCAACAGTTATTCAAGGTCAAAATCTTGACCCGGATAATTTTATGCATTAGGATGTGTTTCGCCACAGGTGAATCTTTCTATAGGATACCAAAGGCCAGCGTTTTTGACCATGTTATCTGATGCATTAGGTTTAGCTTAGTGTTTATGGGTCAGTTTATGATTCAGCTGTATATTGGCCGCTAGATTAGTAGTAGTCATTATTGAATCAAAACTGTCTCACGAATGGAAGGTGCACACAGTGTTTGTAAATGATGATCGTTCTAACTGTTCACCTTTGAATCTAGAACACAATGACCTTTCCTATCAAACTTTCTTGTGGCCTCATGCTAATATCCCAATGGAAACAATAGCACTATCCAGTCATTCAAGAATCGAGTTGGTTCTCAGCGGTAAGCTCGGGAAGAGAAAGATCATCGTCGGATCCATCGTCCTCCTCGGGAAGTGTAGGCTCAACCTTAGCTCCAGCGTCCTTCTCCGAGAGTGACATGCCAAGCCTAGCAATAGTCTTAGCTCTCAGAAGATCGACCCAGATCTTGCGGTTTCGCTTGTCCTCACGGCGGCCTTCTCTAACCTCCTCGAGGGATAGTGGGGGATTGTTTCTGAGGTTCACGGCCAACTCCTCAATCCCATCCATGTCCATGTCCATGTACTTGGGGTCGAGCTTGATTGAGTTGAGAGATCTAGACTTAGGGAGAGGTCGAAGAGACAGCTGTCGGAGGGTCTATATATCATGTCAGCGACTCGGCTTTTGAGAAACCTGGGATTCCTGGTAATACCTTTCTGAGCTCATCCGTGTCCCTACCTCCCCATGGCAAGACCTTGGTAACACGAGACTCGCCGTCATTGTCGCCGGTCTGGATTGGGCTGCCGGATAGGTGCTGGGTGCCTAGACCGCCAACAGCACCGCCGTCAGCTGCTACTAGCCAAAGTTAATGAGTGGGATAGATCGAGGCAATAAAGATATAGACCTACCATTGGCAAAATTGTTCACGAGGCCATGAACAGCGAAATTGGCTGAGGAGCCGTTGCCAAGATCCCCGGCAGCACCCCCGTCAGCTGTTCCTAATCAAAGTTGATGAGTGAGATGGATCGAGGCAATAGAGATTGTAGACCCACCATTGGTAACACCGCCCAACTTGGGTTGAAGAACGAAAGCGAACGAGGAGCCGTTGCCAAGATCGAGCGCAACACCGCCTTCGGCATTTCCTCATCAAAGTCAATGGGTGAGATATATCGAGGCAATAAAGATATAGACCCTACCATTGACAACATTGCCCACCTTGGCTTGGAGAACGAAAGAGGCTTTGAAGCCATTTCCCAGACTGTGAGCAAGGTTGAGCTCCAGGACTGATTCTGATCGCGGTTACTAACATATCGCCAGCTGTAAGAGCGGGACTTACCATTGACATTGCTGTCCGTATTAGCACCTGCGGTTGAAGCCATGGCTAGATTTGGGTGTTGCTAATGACTTGGGGTTGGAGTTTGGATTGGATGGTGAACGTTTCAAGGTTTGCGTCAAGAAGAAGTTCTCGAGTCGTCGTCGGGGTAGCAACAGATCCTTCACGGGCCTATGGCCGTAGATCATGAGGATTCCGGAAGGTCTGAGAAAGGCGTCGCCAGAAATCTTATCAGCGACGTGACTAGCTAAAAGGAAGCCATAGGCATCGGTTGCATATTGATGATGCGAAAATAAACTGTGAGGAAGTCGATTGTTTAAGGATGAAGATCTTACTCTTGGGTGATTTAGGTATTTCACGAAGAATGGACAGCTAGCTCTCCTATAATGCTATTTACTCCAAAACACTCCCACTCACTCATCCAATTTGGAATGAATAAGGTTACTACCCCTATAACTCAGCTCCCTATTCTGAACTACGCCAAGCCTCACGGTGCTCTTCTCCTATGGTACTATTATACATCTGGAATTTATGGTGCTTGTTAACAATGATATAATAGGAACTCATATGGGAAACATGCAAGTTCGGGGCTTTGACGACTGCTCCCCTTTGTAAGACGTGCAGTGAAATATCTCGCAACTCGTGACTCCTACAACATATGGACAGAAAATAGACAGCCTCCCAGAAGATACTGTACAATGAAGCATTCAAGTTAAGACAGACATGTTACTATTAAAAACTCACTACGTTCCATCAATCAATTCAGCACAGCTACTGCGTTAAGCGAAGTCAAAAAGGGGGGGGTTCGTGTTATTATTAATTATCGCGTCTGGTTATCAGTGCACGGTCCAACTCCCAAGCATTTAGATTTTATCTTTTATCAGGCCAGGAGACCGAGTTCCTCACAGCTTCCAGGTCTTCGGATTTCATCATCACAGACACCATATACCATAACGAACCATGATTCAACGAACCCTCCTCCGTCAAACCAGGGCATTGGGCCCATCTATACGGCCTGCTACTCGGAGTTCATTAACACGAACCCAGTTTCAACCAACAAATCAGTCTCTTCGTGCTGGCTCACGACCTGTCGCATCGGCAAGATGGTATGGCACCGAGACTGATGCAAAGAAGGCTGGAGAAGGCGATGCGGCTGCTGCAGCAGAGGGAAAGAACGGGGAGAATGGAGACCCCGTAAAGAAGCAATTAGAGGCGAAGGATAAGGAAATCGTCGAGCTCAAGGTATGCGATCAACACATCACCTGCGATGGGATTACCGCCTAATATTAATGACTTTCTAGGACCGGTACCTGCGGTCAGTAGCCGACTTCCGAAATCTTCAAGAGCGAACAAAACGCGATATGCAAGTCGCAAAAGATTTTGCCATCTCGAAATTTGCCAAGGATCTTGTGGACAGTGTGGACAATCTTGATCGGGCCTTGGCAATCGTGTCGCAGGAGAAGCTAGATTCCCAAGAGGATTCAGAGCACCTCCGGGATCTGTTATCGATGCACGAGGGCCTCAAGATGACGGAATCGATTCTGATGCAGACGCTGAAGAAGCACGGCCTTGAGCGCTTCGACCCCAGTGTCGATGCCGAGCCGTTCAACCCGAATGAACACGAGGCGACATTCATGGCCCCTATGGAGGGGAAGGAGGATAACACAGTATTCCTCACACAGCAGAAGGGATTTAAACTTAATGGTCGGATACTGCGGGCGGCTAAGGTTGGCGTTGTAAAAAACAAATAGATCATTTATGATCCGTGTACATGTATAACTAGGATTGGACGGGGGCGTTGGAATGTAGGATAGTTACAGCTCCTCTCTTTGGTGGCATTAAGGGTCTGCAAACACAGTATGGCATTGGGAATGTTATGTCAACCGGCAGCATCGGTTGTTTGCATAGCTTAGCATCTAATAATGTACGAGATCGGAATCCTCAACCACACTAAAGGCCGACTACTTCTTCTCCCAATTCCGCAAACCGTGATGGTCCACCAATTCAATGATACAAGAACATTCAAACTCAGGGGGTATCGTTTTCACAGACACTGAAACTCCAGAACCAGGTATCAGACCCACCACCACCTCCGCAAACACCGAGATGTCGCCGTCCAAAGAACGGAAAACACACCATCTAAAGAGATTTGCCAAAGGTTCCATCATGCAGATATGCATAGCCGTCACTTTCTTCACTATAATCTTGCTGTAAAGCCGCAACGAGTTGGTGGTGCTCAAGCTTCAGTGCTTCTACTTCCTTCGTGAGTGCCTCCAAATCCGAAGTGAGACGCTTATTGGACTTGTCGACCCTGGCAATAGCAACTTGCTCACGCAGAACTGCTTCTGAGATATATCTCTTGTAGTCAGGGCCTCGGGTTTGATCAGCTAAGGGCTCGGCCTTGGACTGCCGAGTACGATCCAGTACCCGCTGTGCAAATCCCTTGTGCTTCCTCTGGAGATCAAGATGTGCTGCTTCCTTCTCCTTCATATTAGCATCAACCTGTGCTCGCATCATGGTGGCGTGCTGGGTAAGTAGGAGGCGTTCCATAGCAGCTTTACCGACAGCACTAGAAATTTGTTTGTTTGTGATCATCCCCTCTTCAAATTTGCTTCGAAGCCCGAAAACATAGTCTTTGGTCTTCAGGTATTCAGCCTTAGCTGTAGCTGGGTCGGCCAATGACGCAAGACTGAGTGCTGCGGCTTCCTGTATTAAATATTAATATATCAGGATCATAAAATGCTTGGGAAATTGGTTGCCTTACGGATGTGAGGCGTTCTACCAGGGAAGCACCTAAAACGGGCGGGTTCAGATCTTCATGATCTTCTCCGTGAATGCCAAATGCTTCCTTGTCGAGCCGAAGAGCAGCTTGTGGATTCATCCAAGTGAAGGTCAAGGGTCGAGCAATCATGTCAAGATAGCCTAAATATATCAGCTACGTTGACTCAGAACCGATATACTAACTTACCATGGGGATTCTTCACCATCTTGGGACTCTCCTCCAGGTCGTAAACTCCAGAGAGCCTACCACCCATTTCCTCGTCAAACTGCAGGGTAGCTTGAATCATAGGGGGAATAGCTCGCTCCGTATTATCAGAATACAAATCCTCCGGGATCTCCATCTAATATTGGGTTAATATTTTACATTTGTCCATAGAAATAAATATTCCAACAAGCGTAAACTTACCTGGGCTGGCATGTCTCTCTCTTCATACTTATCTGCTTGAGCAGCACCCTCAGCCCAGCGAGCGAAAGTTGCTGGGTCTATACGCGAGTCTCGATGGTCGCCTTGCCCGTCGTCGTCATCAGCCATCTCTTTGTAGAATGCCTCTTGCTCCTCGGCAGACATGATACGAGGGCCAGGAGCTTGAGAGTTTCGAAGATCTCTAAGACCCGCTGCTGCATACGGGCCGTCAGAGGATCCCATATACGCCTTGTACAGTTCACCTTCACTGTCCGGATCGACCCATTTGCCATTAATGCAGACGTAACCGAAGTTTGCATAGACATCATCGCCTTTATAATGATTTTTACCTATAGTTGGGGGGTTCTCCTTGATGAACTCATCATAAGTGAGGCATTTTGCTTGCGGCTTAGGGGCTTCAGCCATTGTTTCTGGTTGCATCTCAAATGGCCGGAGAGTTGTTATGATCGGTTCCCAGTAGAACTTTGTGCCTTTCGGAAATCTTCGCTTTGGTATTAGCTAGTCGTTATCGTAAATCATCAAGCGAAAGACTCACTCCTCAAGATCGTCCTCTGCAGGGTAGCAAAACTGCAAAGGTGGTGGCAAGCAACCTTGCTGGTCAAATGCTCGCACAGCGGTTGGGTAAAGAGTGTACATCAGCGGGTCAACTTGTCGAGTGTCGGGGGGCCCTCTCATACGAGCGTACGCATAAAGCATGCTTGGGGTCACTGGCTGGCGTGGGTAGGCACCATAGGGATCGACACCTCCATACGGGTGGTACATGTAGGAATTACCAATGTCTTGGTCTGCATCTGTTGAACGTTAGTTTTTCTAGCGTAAAGCCTGTGAAGAGGAAACTGAAGAAGACTCACCTTTGCTCTGGTCCATCTTAAGAGACTGTTCGATCTCGTCTTTGTGTTCGTATGAGATTACTTGTAAGGTTAGCGTGTTTGAGACTTGGAAGAAACAAAAGGGCACGACATAATTTTAGAAAATCCCTCGTGTGTGCAAACGTGGAGCCGGCCAGACGCCCTCGTAACGTGTGGTTATAGGTCCAATTAGTAAGAGATATGGCTCTGCTCAGTAACTACCACTTGACGAAGTATACCTCAGTGTAGACATGTAAAACCTGTATTGTAAAAGTACAATACCCTACATTGGGCCTGTCTTATGGGGTGATAAAGAGCAAATTGCAATAATATACCATTATTAAAAGCGTCAAACTCAAAAGAGAATGTTCTAACAACGCCTTGCTAATATCCATAAAAGCTCATGATGATATTTGTGCAATAGATTCTAAGAAACCACTTACATTTTAAGGGAACGACACCAATGTGACAATAATAGAGCCAACTGAAATATTAACCACACATTTTCCAGTAGACAACGAGACCAAAAATTTATTATATTGTAGGAAATAAGAATCAACAAGTCAAAGATTTAAATATTCTTATAACAATTCACACCACCCAAAATCATCAGGCCTGCTATTCCACATCCAGAACTGCTCCTTCTCGAACTGCATAAATAGTTTGGAAAGATTATAAAACAGGAAGGTTTCACAATGAGACTGTATTTATGCTCATTATAAACATATGTACTATGCCCACTGGGAGAATTCCATACTAGAGCTTAAAGAATCAACTTGATTCAAATGGAAAGATGAGAACCAGAGACAGTTTATCGACAGGTAAATATGAACAATGCACCAGCAACAACTAGATGGCCTGTTAGAAAAGCCTCCTCTCTTGGGAGGTTCAAGCAATATAACTTGCAGAACAAACATTGTAAGAGTCTACCTCTATTATATAATGCTTCTGGGGATTTGGAAAGCCTACAGAGTCAGGTAAATAAAAGATGTAGTATTATTGCAGGATGATGATGCTCTATCCCCTGAGTTTTATGTGGTTGCCAATCACATCACGTGCAATGTACAATGATTACGTACTCAAGCTATACACACCAGTTATATCTCATCCAGCATCCCAATATGCCGCCATCCACACCGACGATATAAGATATCAACTAACAACTAAAATCCATCACCAGCAATCACCAAAACAAAACCACCCATCCATCTCACAACAATGTCGTCGTCTTCCCACTCCACACCCGTCAAATCCCCCAAACCACCCGCAAAAGCCCAAAAATCAGGTCCGTCATCCACGCCACTATTCACGCCCACCATGCAAGACAGACAAGCTCGGAACAAAAACCCGTATTCCTCGTCTGATGATGAGGATTCTCCTGACGAGGATCAGGATGATCGGTATGACTCGTATGTGGATTTTATTTTAACGATCTATCTTTACTGTTTGCTCAACTCCCGATTACACACACACATACACACGCTACTAGTTTCGCGTTTGCTTCTTGAGGGCTGGAGCAGGTGATGATTTGCATATGAGATGAAAATGAAATAAGAATAGATTTGGCTAACAACAAGGGGATACTTAGCTATGGCCATAGCTCGTACGCCAATACCCAACTCCGCCGAGACGCCGCTATCAAACTCGACAACCCCGAGCTGGTCATGATGCTCGCGCAGTCTCGTAATGAGGTACGCACTATACTCCTTCTTATCTCTTGTTCTCCGCTGTACACTTCGATGCAGCCAGATATCTCACTTGCACCCTGTGTGATGTCAACAAGCTCACTAACCCAATCCTCACAGAGCATCCCATCAACCCGCCGCTACCTCACCAAGTTAATGGGTGGATTCATCACACAGCGTCAACTCGACGCCCAAGCTGCTGCCGCTGCCGTGAAGGTTCCTGATCCTAAGCCGTCGACGTCGAGACCTACTAGTACGAGGAAGACAATTTGATTTGGGGGGCATGCATGGGCGTTTTGGGGAGTTGGGAAAGAGAGCTGGAGTTTGTGGGTTTAGGGAGTGTAATGAGCGAATGAATGAATGTATGATGCGAATGATTCATATCGAGAAATGCAACTAGCTGTGAGATTTAATGAATGTAGTCTTTCAAAACCGTATTTATATATCAAAACTAACTAGCAATTCACTCGCACCAGCCAGCCTTAACCCTATAAATAAGTAAACACCTCTTAATGCATTCATTCACACACCCAACAACCTGCGGGGAATATAATTCATTTATCTTTGCTAAATACACATCACCTCCCCGCTCACACTCACACCACGATACGAGAATCAGCAAGCCGGTTGCGCTATCCTATCCTATCCTATCCTACTTCCTTATCTTACTATGATTCTATCTCGCAGATGCAGCTTTATACCCCAATGATACTTCGAACCCTAAATGCTAATCACCCAATTCCCGGGACGCCGGTTCACTTTCTTTCCCGAAACCCAAAGAATATAACGCCGGAACGATGATGATGATGCTGAATGAATGATGATGATGCTCATGCGTACCTAACTGACGGCTGAGGTTGCCACGTTGGTGGCGGTGGTCTCCATCCTGTGCTAGGCTCTTGTCCCCACCCTGGATCGCGACTACTAAGCCTTCTCGAGCTTGCATGCGGAACTGCTGGTGGAAAGTTCCATTGGTTGACGGGAGGCGGACCCTGCCATCCTGGCGGTAAGGGGGGCTTGTTCTGTCTCGCCTTGATGTTTCTCCTCCTCCTGCATTTACTGATGCAGCATGACAGGATAGAGAGTACTATGAGTCCACCGATGACGGATGAGAGAGCTATCACAAGCGTCTTGTTGCTATTTATCCAACTTGTAATCTCTTTGCCCACGCTAGAGCCCTTGCAGTTTCCATTTTCACATCTTCCGCCGCCCTGGCAGGAGGTTCCATCGAGGAAGTTCTGTTGCATCTTGTAGCAGACGTTTGCGCCAAATTCTGGAGAGGCGCAGGAGATCTGGCAGCCAGATGGGGAGCAAGCATAGGTATCATTTCCTTGCGTAAATGAACCCATTATTGACTTGCATTGAAGATCGCGGGATGTGCATTGGCCTGAAGAGCACTCGAGGGAGCTAGAGTTGCCACATGATGTTCCTATGAAAGTTGTTAGCTTAGGTACGTATCACAAAACATATAAATAATAACATACCTGCGGGTGCAGTAGCATCAGGTGGACAAGTTGCTGCTGTACCACTACACACTTCTTGAGGATCGCAGACGCCTGTGCTTGCCCGACAAACAGTGCCACTGCCTGCGAACTGGCAAGAGGTAGTACAGCAGTCTTCATTGCTTGGATCGCAGACGGCACTGTTTTTGAACTTGCAAGTCGCTGGATCACAGCACGGGTTGGAGCCGCATCCATTTGGTCCACCACAATCACAATCCTCACCAGACTCGACGATGCCATTCCCACATTGACTGGCTGTAATAATAGTCACGTCCTTATTTGCCAGCAAACAGTTCGTCTTCACACTATTCCTGGCAAAGCCCGCGCAAATATTGCCAATAGTGCAGGGAGAGAACTTCTGAATATTGGCCCCGGTGCTAGGATTCATGATGAAAGCTCCAGCAGCATCACAAGTCGTGGCACTCAACGGGCAACATTGCTGGGATGCAACGGTCTGTCCATCAGCGCATGATTGGGACGTGCAGTCGTGAACGGCACCAAAGGTATGGCCAGTCTCATGAGCAATGACCTGCCATTCGGTACTCGTCCTAACGACTACATTGGCTCCAGTGACAGTCTCATTATTACCACTAGCAGTTGGGGATTGTGCAGTGTTGACACAAGCCTGACCCAACCACGCCAGCCCAACAGCTGATCCAGTCGCGCAGGTGCTGAGAAGCGTCCAGTAGGCGTTGTTATCTGGTCGCTGGCCTCTCCATGCCGAAAAGAGATTCAATCGATCCTGGATTTTCACACTATCACTGCAACCAACATTCCAGGGAGCAGCGGGTTGTGCCGTAGCAGGGCAGGCAGCGTCGCTGATGGTAAGATTTTGGAGACCTAGGGTAATGTTGAAAGAATCCTCATACTGCGTGGAGGCGGTATTGAGGGCCAAGATAATGTTCGCGCGAGCAGTTGCTGAAGAGTTGAAAGCCGCGGTGTAGGTACAATCAGTAGCTATACCCACCAGAGCGACCTTGCGAGTAGATGGGCATCCAGTAGTTTGTCCAATCGTGCTGGCCAGATTTACACCAGCCGAGTTTCCGAACGTTTGGCCGTCAATCTGGCGGCCGAAGATCGATCGGGTCGAGGCTGAGCCCCAGAACGTGTCCTCCCGCTTCACCATCGCCCTGTATACGGGATGATCGAGTTGAGTGTTGAAGCTTAACTTATCGGCCGAGCAAGAAGATTCCCCCGAAAGACTTCTCTTCAACTCGCCATGGAAACGCCCTTCGCTATCCCCACTAATCCCACTCATAACATCGGAATCCCTCCACACAACCATATGCTCGCCATCCGTGTGCTCTGGTATGGGATCTAACTCATGTTTTGTCTGCATGTAATGCGTCGTGGTCTGAATATGATGATGGTCTCCATCGACTCGAAAGGCGCCTTCGAACAGAGGATGCTTGCCATCCCGATGGACGAGTATCCGAGCCCAGCCAACATTCTCCCACTCCGCGCCCTCATATCGCTGCACCACCGTCTTCCCCTTGAAAACCCGGTACTCTAACCTATCAACAGGCTCGGCATGCTTCACCGATCCATCGGGAGCAAGGTAAGAAATGGTCGCACTGTCGGAAATAACATCGTGATTCGGCGTCAGGACCAACTTTACCCTCCGCTTCCCTCCATGGAGATCAAACGTCACCGAGAAATCTGACAGGGCATTTACTCTATTCGACGGCGTACGAAAAGCCGCGTTATCTACGGGCGATAGATATCTTATTGGGTTCCGCTGCGTTGAATGTGCTGCGTTGGGGGAAATTCAAATGTTAGTCAAATGTAAACGCCGCCGAGTCTTTCAGCTCAAGGGAACGCATCTCGTACCATCGGCCCCGGATAAACATAGTGTGCTGACGATGACCGTCGCTATGCTCCTCAATAGTCTCATAATCTAATACAGTGCGACGAGCGATACCACGAAGACCTCCGGAGTGGTGCACCGCCGCTGAACTCCCACTGTTATTGGTGCCGTTTTGTTGTCTAGACGATTGTCATCCAGCCACTGGACCCTCGAAGTCGTGAACGAACGTAGAGACGGAGGAAGGGGGCGAAAGCGAAAGCGAATTAACGGCCGTGACTGCGCATCCAGGAAAAGTATGCGTATGAAGTCGATCGGCCAGCGAAAGCGAGGGATTATAGCGATAGATAGGTATAGGGTGAGGGTGTGGATGTGGCGGGAGTAGGAGTGCAATAGTGAATGTTGTTTCTGGTTCGCCGTGCTGGAACGAGGTCAGGTTGAAGGGGGAAGCGTATCGCTAGCCTGCTTCGGACTTAAAGGCTATGTCTGAAACAACAATCAACGTACTGTATGAACTGCAGTCTGCAGTCTGCACGCACAGTAGGTGCCGAGTAGATATTCAAAATACAGATACAAATGGCATTGATAGGTAGGCAGGGTAGGTATGTATGCGTGTGCGTGTGCGGTTCTTGCAAACAAGTGAATTGAATTACTTTCTTTCCCTTAACCGTCCCAAGTCTGCCAAGTGACATCGATACACGTACTCGTAAGCTGACAGAAACTCCACCCGGCAACCATTGTATCCATTGTACATCATATCCACTCCTCTCCTTCGCGCGCAGGGTGCTTCGTATATTAGAACCACAAAACTTATTGACTGACTCACGAATAAAATATCCCTCTGCTACGTAAAGTTGTAAACCATCCCATCTTCAGCGTTACCTCGCTGCTTCACTCTGTGGCGAAGCAACTCATAACCTTAAACCTTAACCATATTCCGCCTCGCTGTCAGAAGTTCGCCCGCGCGCGTCGTCATCAGAATGGCCGGGCGATAATGGTTGGTCGTTGTGGTGGCACCAAGAACTTGGTTCCTGTATCCACAACAACGGGTGTGTATCATCCCATCACGAGAGTTACAGTTATTTCATCTATTAATTGGCATTATTATTATTATTATTATTATTATCGTACTCTAATACTTCGCTCTCTCTCTCTATTATTATCTCAAACAAAACCCCTTTCTTACATTACCCTCGAACCTCGCACATCAAACACAAAGGGGTCGATCATCCATCCAACCAATCCATCCGAACCCCGAACCCTCCGGCCATGTACATAAATTATTTCTATATTAAGGCCTTTTCATAAGTACCCCCGTACCTCCGCAAACCTCCCCCTCCGATCCCATACTTCATCAGCGCATTTCAAATCAATCCCGCTCGAAACGAAACAGACAAAGTATGATTCCACATCCCGCACCCATATTATTATCCACATCCCCCACATCTGCAATCCTGTACATCCGATGATCAGCTCAAAATCAAAGTTGCCGCCCGCACGAAGGATTGCGTAGCCGTGTGGCTTGGCATGCTTGGGGGAAGGGCGGCTGTGCTTGGCCTCTGCATGCGGTATGAAGTCACGAGTAGTGAAGCCCGGATATAAGGTATAAGAGAGGTCATCACCAGGGCTTTAAGTGTACTTATTAGCTGACTGGCTGTGTTTACTTATCAATAAGTTCCACTTAGCTTCTGTACTGACAGGTCCCAGCTGTACGAAGTACTGTACATGTACGTGGCTGAGTCCACAAAGCACCCAGCGGACTCGTACAGTCCAGCGAATACCCTCACGAACGCGCAATGATGTGGTGGCTTAAATAGACTAGCATTTTTCAGCTAAGCTACTCGCGGCTTGTCATACATAACAAAAAAAATAGAGCCAAAAAATAAAAGTCTCGCTGAATCTCGTAGCAAAATAATAAAGAAAATTGACTGGGTGGGAATATATCATCATCACCACCGGCAATTTTCTTTTCCATGAAACCAAAAAAGTTTGCTGATACCCCCCTGGCCTCCTAACACCGTTTGAGTTTCGCCTTTACTTTGGTCTCGACGCTTGCACGGTGTCGATAATTGTGTCTACAACGGTTGGGTCCGAAAGCTAATTTGTTTTTAGTAAAAGTTGCAGGGGCTGAAAGTGTTATGGATAAGTGAGGTAAGGGAGGGCTTACTGTAGATGTGTCCCCAAGTTGATCCTCCTCACCAGCTAAAATCTTCCTTAGAATCCGGCGCATGATCTTACCGCTTCGAGTCTTGGGGAGATCTGGAACAACGAAGATGGCCTTTGGTGCTGCGAATGGACCGATGCTCTTTCGGACTTGCATGATCAGGTCCTTTCTCAGCTGGTCGGTGATCTCGACGCCATCCTTGATAGCCACAAATGCGTTGACGGCTTGGCCGGTGAGTTCATCAGCGATACCCACGACGGCGGCTTCGGCAACGGTGTGGTGCTCGATCAGCGCAGCTTCGATCTCGGCGGTTGACAAGCGATGACCGCTGACGTTCACGACATCATCGACACGTCCTCGGATCCAGTAGTAACCTTCGTGATCGCGTCCAGCCCCGTCGCCCGTGAACTAAAAAACGGAGTATCAGTAAAAAAGAATCAACAAACATACCAGGATCCAACGTACGTAGTATCCCTTGTAAACATTCAAGTATGTGTCCATATATCTCCTGTGGGCTCCCCAAACCGTACGGGCCATGCTGGGCCATGGTTGCTTGAAAGCAAGCACACCTTCGACATCATTTCCGTGAATCTCTTCGCCGGAAACTGGGTCGATGATCGCGGGCTCGATGCCAAAGAATGGGAGAGAAGCACTTCCAGGCTTGGTAGGGGTGATACCTGCAAGAGGTGTAATGACATGACTGCCCGTCTCGGTTTGCCAGTATGTCTATACATATATTAGCACATCTTCACTCCAACCATACGAAAACCACTCACGTCAATAACATGGGACTCCTCCTTTCCAACAGTCTCAAAGTACCATTTCCAGACCTCGGCAGCAATTGGTTCGCCAACAGTGCCCAGAACTCTAAGTTTAGTCATATTCTTCCTGATATGTTGATCACCAGCGCGCTTCAATAACCGCAGCGCTGTTGGCGCAACGTAGAATTGGGTAACCTCATGCTTCTCGATAACATCCCAGTATCTTGAGAAGTTGGGGTACGCGGGAGTTCCCTCGAAGACAACCGTCGCAATACCAAGGAGCAGAGGAGCGTACACGACATATGTGTGTCCAGTAATCCATCCAACGTCACCACCGCAGAAGAACTTATCGGTATCATGAATATCAAACACGTATTTTCCGGTCGCCGCCGCACCCACTAGGTAGCCACCAGTTGTGTGCATAATACCCTTGGGCTTGCCTGTTGAGCCAGATGTGTAGAGGAGGAATAGAGGATCTTCTGAGTTCATGGGCTCGGGGGCAATGTATGCGGGCCACTTCTCGACTTCCTCGTGCCACCAGTAATCCCTCCCCTTGGTCCAGGGCACATCAGCACCTGTCCGCTTGTAGACCAAGCAGTGGCTGACATCTGGGCATTGCTTCAAAGCATCATCGACAATCTTCTTGGTGCCGATCAGCTTCCCACCACGCTTGCCCTCATCGGTTGTGATAACCACTCTGGACTGGGCATCGATGACACGGTCGCGCAGCGAGTCTGCTGAGAAACCAGCAAAGACGACCGAGTGGACGGCACCAATACGCGCACAGGCAAGGAATGCGATGAGTGCCTCTGGAATCATCGGCAGGTAGATGGCAACGGTATCTCCCTTCTTCACACCCATCTGCTTCAGAACATGAGCCACCTTGCAGACCTCCCGGAGGAGCTCGCCATATGTAAGGATGCGCCCATCGGCTGTCTCGTCGGCTTCGTAGATAATCGCGGGCTTGTCGGGGTTCTTGATGGCATGACGATCTACACAATTGTATGAGGCGTTGAGCTGGCCCTCCAGGAACCACGAGTTATCGCCGTTCTCGAAGCTGCCGGCGTGAACCGTCTGGAAGTCCCGCTGCCAGGTGATTAGTTCCCGGGCCAATCTGCCCCAGAACTGCTCTGGTTGGGTGATCGACTCCTTATACAGCGTTCGGTATTCCTCGAGGCCTAAATGGAGGAGTAAGCTTTGGCTTGGCAGCGTTTTTAGGGGGAGGGTTACACACCACTTAAATGAGGTTTTCCAGGGTGTTCTATACAAATATTAGTTAAATGCCTACAATAAAGGAATTCTCTTTGGGGGAGATCGAGGCGAACTTACTCGCCATCATGGCTTTGGGGGGGTCTACGCAAAAATAACAGCGTCAGTGGGGATGATTCAGCTCCAAAGCGGGGTGTTGGCGATCTCTCTACTCACGGAAAGTATCGACTTCATGGGACTCTGCCACCACGGGGATGGCGGGCTTAACGTCGCCTGCAGACATGATCGCGGATGGCTTGACTGTACTGGGAGGATGGTTTGGTCAAGGGAAAATGGGGAGGAAGAAAGATGGGGAGGAATTCCGGAGGTGTTTTTTGGGTCCAAATTGCCCCGCGCGCGGTTCTTATATTTAGGGCGTTCAAGAGACGGCGATTGCTGGGTGCAGGGATGACTGTTGGGTTGTCTGCTGGCCCCCCACCACTGACTTAACCGTACGCCAGGCACCGGATGAGAGGGAGAAATAACCGCAGGGAGAGGAGGCTAGGAAGGCTAGGAGTGCTGGGAGTAGGAGCCTAGGGAGCAGAAGGAGATTTCGAGCTTGGGGGAACCTAGCAGCGCGCGCCGCGGTGGAGGAATGCGACGGGAGAGAGTGGTACTCGTATGGATGGGAGAGCTGTGTGATTTGCGTTTGTGTGTGTGTGTGACGTGAGATGGGTGGGAGAGGATCGATAAGAAGGGAATGGCGAAAGTATATATACCTTATACGTTGAGCAGAAAAAGAGAAGAAGAGGGGAAGAAACGGGCGGTGGGAAGGACGTTCTAATATTCTTCTCTTGGTCTTCTCTTGGTCTTCTCTCGTTCTTCTCCAGCTTCTCCATCTTCTCCAGCTTCTCCTTTGCCTTTGCCTTTGCCTCTGCCGACCTCTCCTCTCTCCATGTTTCCCCCATCCCGTCTCCGCCTCCGAGACAGTCTCCGTTGGTTGCCGTGCTAGCGTTCTGGGCCCTCGATCCATGGGCCCATGGATCCCCAGAAACAGTGGAAACCACTCTCTGTCGTGCTCTGCTGTGCTCGACCGAGTACACACTGTCTCGGTTCAAGGGACATTCTTATTACGGAGGATGAGGGTGGGCAAGTCATTGGGCAATGAGCAGCAGCACACGACGTTGCTCCGGGCGAAATAGCCGGAGCAGAGCCAGTGGCTGCGTGGCTGATTGGGCCCTCGGGGGGCAACCCGTGGCTACACAGGGGAAAGCCCAGCAGTTAGTCGTCGCTGGAGTTGCTGTGGTAGCCGCAGATCAGGGATTCTTCCAGTGGCATCATCATGGACATCCTCCCATCCGAGAATCACGACCACCTGCGTCCTCACCAAGAATCAGTAATACGTTACACACTGCCGACTCTGTGGAGTTAGTAATAGCACAGGTACCGCGCTATAGGTGCTCTACGCGATGCAGTAATACCGACATCCGAAATGCCATCCATCTTGCCCTGCCCATCAACGCTCTATCTGGAGAACGAAGAAGAGGCATTTATCCACATTAGTCGATAGCAATGTTGCACACCGAAAGGCTTCTTCTGCAACCGCCGGTTGTAATGCATACCTACATACCTATCTAAGGTACTCGTGCTGTATCACTGCTGTACCACTTTACCTCGTACTACTTACCTACCTAGTTGCCTTACAGAGTACCTAGGTACTCTACCTGCTAGGCGCCACCAACATCTCTCTCTCTCTCTCTCTCTCTCTCTCTCTCTGCCTCTGCCTCTGCCTCTGCCTCTGCCTCCCCTACGAAAGTACCTCCGCCCTCCGCAGCCCTGCCGTGCTTGGCTCCTCCATCTTCCACGGCGCTTTGCCTCTCCTTTGTCTGTCCCTTTGGTCCTTTACCCCATTCCCCCAGTGCCAATGTTTTCCCCCATCCCGTGAATCGGATTGCGCCGCACTATCGCCGCATAATCATCACAACAGGACAAAGCCCGTGTTGCCATTGGGCGCTGGGAGCCCCCATTGCGGAGTGGCTTCCTATCCGATGCTTATGTGCCCGGAAGGAATCTCTTGACCTCTTGTCGTCTTGCCGTCAAAAGCCACCATGGACCCTTCCTCTTAGCAGGGCTTTCGCTTTCTACCGAGACAAGAGTCAAGTGCCTTGGAACATGACGAGGCTGATAACGCATTATTACTCGTTTGCCTCGGTCTCGTTCGGGAGCCCGATACCTCTAGGTACCTAGTACCTAGATATATCAACGCCGTCAACGGAACGGCCACCACAGAGCGAGGCCCTCCCGACTTTTCCTACCGGTTGCCCGGGACCTCTTATTAATCCCTCATTAGCAAATTACGCAAATTACACCCTCTTCTTTCTCTTTTTCCTTCATTGTTTTACTCGCCCACCCACTGCCTCCCCCATTAATCGATTCATCTGGGTGTCAGCTCCAGCGCTACTCAAGCACAGCAGTTTTATTATCCTTGGCCTTGGCGGCTCCTTGCTGCGTACCAACATCTGCACCACCACCTTGTCCCGTCGGTTAACACCGTGTTGGGGATCCAGATGGTAGATGCACAGCATGGATTGATACAGTATTACCACGTATTCTTTGGATGCTACCCTCGCTCGTCGTCCCTCTGGGTCCTGGCAAAAAGGCAGCTCTCAGGGGCGGCTGCATTCAGCAGTCATCAATTCCCATATCACACGCTTCGTGCAACTAAGCCATCCCAATCTAATGATACGCATGCAGGACGTCGTACCGAGAGAGTTGTTGTTACTGTTGTTGTTGGAGAAGCGCAAACGCACAGAGACATCCACACTCCCCGGCATATCAAAAGTATTGGCACATATATACAGCGAGACAAACACCGCACGCAGGGCACAAGCATCCACTACTCCCCTTCCCAAACACCGGCTCTTCATTTCAAAGTACTTTCGTACTAACTCGGAAACACCCCTCTTTCCAGGATCCAAACATCATTATTTCCCAGCCGCACCCAGCCCAGACCGTACCTACGTATAACCAACCCCTTGTAATATATCATACCATTTATTATTCCATGCCCTCAAAACCTCAAGCACCAACACCACTCCCAGGCCCATAGCCCTGCTCTCTCCTCGTCTTCGCCGCTCCCTCCGTCTTCCCCTCTCCACGATCCTCAACCTTGCCATACCCCGCCCCTTTAGCAGCTTCTCCTTGGTTTCCAACAGTCTGGCCCGCATAACCTTGCTCACCCCCCATCATCCTCTCTCCACCATCCCCGCCGCCGTTCGCCGCATTATTTTTATCCTCCGCTTTCTGAAAATCCTCCGTGGCGCTAGAAGTTTCTATGACACGTGGGAAATCAGAATTGAAACATCCGCCAACTGCAACGGGAAAAATATCCCAATCTATAAATATATGCAAAGGAAACAGACATGAGAGACGTATCGAGGTACATACCACCAAATGACCCCCTTGACTTCTCATGTGGTTTCATAAACGTACTCGTTCCCTCATACCTATAAATATAAATCCATTAAAATCAATCCTCCCATCATCATTCACACACCGCCTCTCAATTCAACCTCCGCCCCGTAGTAGAAAACCTCTCATGTTTATTGCAAACATGAGTATGAAAACTAAAGATAAAAGTAAGGAAATACGTAAATAATACTACTCACTGCGTCTGTTCTCCACCAGGCTCCGTATCCATTAAATTTCCGGTATTGCTTGCTCGTGACATGATTTTCTATTTTGTTTCTGCTGAAGGGGTTGGGTTTGTGGTGGGATGGGAGGAAGAGTAGATGGTCTTTTGAGGAATAGTGATTTGATATGAGGGGGAGCGTGGTGGGGGGATGGGTGTGAGGGTTCTCGATGACGTATGCGGGACGGAGGAGATGCACCAGCTTGTTAACTCGATTTTATCTACTTTGGGAACGTGGGAATTTGGATTGGGGGATTCAGTGGAAGGAAGTAAATGGCAGATGGGCTGATGGGCTGAAAGGGTTAAGTATGAAGTAAGTAGTAAGTAGTTGGGAGTAAGCACTTTAGGTATGTGGGAGACTCTAGTACACAAGTGTGAGTGAAAAGTATGTGACTATAGTATACAACCCAACTGACCTACCCTACAGCTCCTAAATGCTATGAAAACATACAGATCCCGCTTTTTAAAACAACACAGAATAATCATCTCAACTCCACACCTAGCTTATTAACCAGCTCTCTGCTCACTTTCTCATGAAACTCATTAGCCTCCTCGTTCGTCAGCGTCCTCTCCAAGCTACGATAATTAATACGATAGCATAGACTCTTCCTCCCTGTTTTGGGATGCGTGAATTCATCCACCTTGGTCACATCTTCCACCACATCTCCGCCTACATCCCGCACGATTTCCATCACGTCATTCTCGTGGAAATCCGCTGCGTTTGCGCGGATTCCACCGCCTGCGGAGGATGAGGAGGACCGTAGCCAGAAGGCTACGTCTTTGTAGCATGCGGGGTATTTCGAGAAGGGCACATATCGTTTCAGCCTATGTAGATCGTCCGACATGCCCTTAAACTGGCCCAGGAACCGCTCATCCTGGGACCAGAACAGACGGATATCCGGGATTTCGAAAAGAAGCATGGCAATGCGTTCGAGACCGATTCCAAACGCCCAGCCTACTTGTGAAGGCACACCTGCCTTCTCGAATATATCCTGCTTCACGACACCACTTCCGAGCACCTCCAACCAATCACCCTGCCAGAAGATCTCCAGTTCCCACGACGGGCTGGTGAACGGGAAAAACGCCTCTATCCAACGGACCTTCAGCGGCTCATCGACATATTTCGGATTCGTCGCTATGGCCGCATCTTTAGCACGGGAGAATATCTCCACGACCATCAATTCGAGAGAGCGCTTGAGATGAGCGGCAAGAGCCTCGGCTTCGTCGTGGGAATGTCCGTGTTGGAGGGGGTTTCGCTCGGGATGCGTAGGCGGGTTTGGATCCTCCACGATCATGGAGTGCGTAGGCAGCTTTGCAATATCTTCCCATACTGCTTGGGCGATATTCCCATGAGGCACCTTCTTCCGATCCCACACCCGCGCGCCCTCCATCTGGTGGAATATGGGGTAGTGCGTGCGGTCAATGGCGTCTCGACGGTATACATCTGCGCTGATGAGAAATCCCTCGCTGCTGTTGGCGCGGAATGCATCGAGCTGATGCGCGCTGGTGTGCGTTCGTAGAACGGTTGATGCATTCACATAATATGTATCTGCCTTGCTTCGTCCAGGGTGATCTGGAGGGAAACCCAGAGAATCGAAGTTCTGACCCGTGGTTACGACGGGGACGAATCCATTGTGATGTTGGTAGGTGGGTTTGGGGAATTTGGATTCGATGATCGAGCGAGTTATGGAAATGGGATGATCTTTTTGGATGTGCAGTTGCCGTCCAATTGAGGAGGCAATAGCTGGAGGAACATTGTGCCATTCATCTGTCGGGTATACTGTCTCACCGAGCTTGGTTTTTGGTTGTGGACGACCTGGACCTGCCGATTGTCAGGAGCTTGTCCATTGGTGAGTGGAGTTGACCTACGAACCTCTTGTCGAGCTATACCGGCACTGGGAGCAAACTGGAAGTCTACGCGAATTGGAAGTAACAAGACCAGTGAACAAGGCCAAGGTCTCACTGGCTGTAGACAGGCCATGTGGCCGAGCTAGAGATTTGTACCCCATGATGAAGCCGAGCTCTAAAGTGCGTTCACGAGAACCGGAGCTTCGAGCTTCAAGTGACGCGATACACGCCTGGCAACATGCTCGAGTTTGCCCTGGATGGAATAGGAACCATAAGCGACTCCACCCGGCTTACTCCGCACACCCTACGGAGTAACATTTCGCCCTCTCCGAGCTCGCGATGCGCGATGACGCCAGACAGAACCTCTCGATTTCCCTGGCCTTCCGGTCCTTAAGTAATGACTTTCATGGTGCTCCACCTCCGAGGTACAAAATGCTTCTCTTGTAATGTAAAAGATAGAACCGTCCCTCTTTGATTCAATGATTAGCCCCGTTTGAAACAATCGGCATCAAAAGAAACCTCCGTCGACTACGAGGGTTTTAGGTTCGGCCGCCACTTTTGCGGCCCTGGCCTAGCTACCGCGCAAGTTTAAGTGGAGCGTCGGGCATTTTAAGATGCCGACATACTTCTCGAAATCTTTGAAGATAGGCGACTAAAACTTTCCCGACGATAGCTGACCGCGACTCATAAAGCCTCGCGCCCCTATCCACCACTTGTCTACCCGCTCTGTTTATATACAGTACACGTTCGCTCATTCAGCGACACGGAATGCTTCGACAGGAACAAGATCAATTGCCCGCCCCATTATGTCCTCTGGGAAGGTAGTCCTCTCGGGTCTCCCGCAGCAGCAGCAGTCGCCGAAAAAGGAGCTCTCAAGGAAGAAGGCTTCGGAGAAACATGTGCATTATCCGTTCTGGTTTGGAGGGAGCGCAAGTTCGCTCGCGGCATGCGTGACGCATCCGTTAGATCTTGGTATGTGGATAATCTCTGTCCTCTAATTATATCTTCCTCTGCTAACAAATACGATAGTAAAGGTACGCCTTCCGTGATGCCCATCCCTAAGCAAGAAAGAAAGATACTCGAGGAAGGAAATACATATGCATATATACTAAGACAGAATCAACTACCAGGTCCGCCTCCAAACTCGCTCCAGCAATGCGCCCACGGGCATGGTCGGCACATTTGTGCACGTCGTCAAGCACGATGGTCTCTCGGGTCTATACCGCGGTCTGAGCGCTTCACTGCTCCGTCAGATCACGTACTCGACGACGCGGTTCGGGGTATACGAAGAACTTAAAGCCGCGCAAAAGACACCTCCCGGGTTCCCAACCCTCATCGCCATGGCCTCGGTATCGGGGCTAATCGGCGGCGTGGCAGGAAACCCAGCAGACGTGTTGAACGTACGGATGCAGCACGATGCCTCGCTCCCCGTCGAGCAGCGCAGGAATTACAAGAATGCCGTGGAGGGACTGGTACGCATGACGCGCGAGGAAGGCTGGAAGAGCCTGTTCCGCGGCGTGTGGCCGAATAGTATGCGCGCGGTGCTGATGACGACGAGTCAATTGGCGTCGTACGATGGGTTCAAGAGGCTGTTGATTAAGCATACGTCGTTGGAGGATAATCTGACGACCCATTTCACGGCGTCTCTCCTGGCGGGCTTCGTTGCTACGACGCTTTGCTCGCCTGTAGATGTTATCAAGACGAGAATTATGTCCTCGCATGAGAGCAAGGGCATGGTTAGGTTCTTGACTGATGTGTATAAAGTTGAGGGAGTTGGATGGATGTTCAGGGGATGGGTACCGAGCTTTATCAGACTTTGTCCCCAAACGATTTGCACCTTCTTGTTCTTGGAACAGCATAAGAAGATATACAGACACCTGACGGGTATAGAAGTGGATGCGGTGATTTGAGCAGGCGGCAAGGCTTCAACGACTGACGAGGATGCTATTGACTTAGACGGGTTTGATATCTAGCCATTTCAGGCCGAGCGCCGTGCATAGTATTTTTTGGATATAGGGGCTGGCTGGCGTTCTACAGAGATAGAAGCATCTTTCGGCGTTTTGTATATGTAGGTATATAGTCGGGTATCATGTTTTTGTCCATTCTTTAGTCTAATTTTGGCCAGCCTTTCCCCATGGGCCGGAAGACTTTTTTCTCCAACGCCATGACCATATATGCAAATACTATTACAAACTGGGCCTCGTTTCCGTCCGCTTTTCAGCATGGGGGTTTGACTTGAGGCTCCATGTCCTGCTTACCTAGAGATTGATGCCCCGACGCCCTTTGCAGAAAAGCCTGGCATACTCGCAAATTTATACAGCGTCCTCTCCAGCTCAGCTCCATCCAGAGCCGTTTTGCCCATATGGCGTTGCTCCAAAAGGCGTCGTGGCTCCGCCTCCCCATGCGCTGGCATTTCCACTACCGAAAGGCGTAGTATAGCCCTGATCCTGCCAGTTCCCACCATTCATGCCAACATCCGGGCTGCGAGGTGCACCGCCATAGGCATCACCGTTGGCGCCGCCTTCGCCCTCTGTCAGATCCTGAATCACAGCCGCTAGCTTCTGTTGGAGGACTTTAATGCCCTGCTGGACGACCGCGTCCGGATCTAGATTTCCGACGGTTTCCAGCTCGAAGTAGAATCTGTCGGGAGCGGCGTCGTAATCGAAGGGCTCTCCTTCCTGGGGCGGCTCTTCCCACTCGGCATACTTGCTCTTTGGCCTTCGCAGCATATTAGCAAGACATATAGACGGGACCGGGAAATCCAAAACCTACCATTCCTTCTCCGCATCCGTCTCGTACCAAAGATCCGTGTGCTTTAGCTTATTGTGAGGATCGTACTCGAAGCCAACTGCGGCGACAGGTGCCCATTTAGCGTGCTCCTTCGCAATGCCCTTCTTCGCAATGCACTTCATCCGCAGTTCTTGATCCTTTCGCAATTTGCAGATAATCGTGCCCAATCCATCTACGTCCGTAATCACAGGATTCCCCACCCATTGATTTGGACGTCCTTGATCCACCACCAAATCTCTCGCATAGACCTTCATGATTTCATCACCAGTGCACCGAGCGTGGAGGGTAAGCGTCACACTGCACTGATCGCAGTAGTTATCGCAGTTATCGCAGTCCCGCGAGTACGACACATCATCGACATTCTTCGAATTCAAGGGGATGAGACCCAGACGATGGGCGATGAACTCATCTGCCAGGACTGAGGTGTTGGCTTCCACCTCGACCAGGTCGACGGCCATGGTAGGCACCTCGGCGAGCACGACTCGGCGCAGAGAGTTTGCGAAGGCGAGGTCGACATTCTGTAATTCGAAATCGACATGCTGTGCTCCTGCCTGTCATGTTTGCGTATAAGCAAGAGGAGCCTTTTGCGCGCGCGCCTGGAACAAAGCCCCGTTGACGGTGACTTGACTTTACCTCTGTGATCTTTACGGAGGGCCCCATGGCCTCCGCGTCCATCACCATCGGATCGTAGTCCATGTTGAAGATGGATTATAGGTCAGGGTGCGCTGTGGCTGTTCCTGTTCCTGTGCCTGAGCCTGAGTCTATGCCGGTGTCGTGAGCTGTGTCGAATAAGGACGACGGGGCGATCTGCAAGGCCTTCTCGGGGGTTTCGACCTTGTGGAGTTGCGTTTTGCTGGGCGAAATCGCGAGACGGCGCGCTGCTGCGATGAGGCTGAGACTGTGGCGAATTTCGGAAGGGAAGAATGCAAACGCGAAGGCGGCCGCAATGGGCACGCTAGCAGCTAGTCACGTGGGTTCGCATTGTTCTGAGCAGCGCCAAGACCAAGCATGGAACTGGCGAAGAGAACTTCGTACAAAATCAGATACCTTCTCGGTATGAGGCACGTACTGTAGGTTCCATCTCATTGTTTCAATATTGGGTTTGGGTTTGGGTTTACAACTACGTTTCTCACCAGGGAACAGATCAAAGAATCTGCCCAAAGGAATTAAAGGAATCAAACGAGCACGAGTACGAAGTCCGCGTTCTGGCTGGTCCATTACTCCTTACTCGTACTGTTTGCTCGCTCGGCTCTATCGCTGCTCAGCCTCGCTCTCGTGAGAGCTTTTCCACTGCCAGGTGGATCATCAGTCAACAACACTCCGTAGCTCCGAAATCCCATAATCTAGGCCTTTACATCCACAGGTAAGAAGACCGATTGCTTGCTCAGCCTGTATATATCCACGTCACGCAGCGGTGAAGCTGGTACCTGTTGCCCAGCTAGAGGGGCGGAGGGGAAAAGGGGTACCGAGCTCTGCACACTTGACTCCTGCGGATTGTACAGAGTACAAAGGAGTCGTCGTGGCATTGCGGCTTTGCGGGATGAAGGCTTTGACATACTTGACAAACAACAGGATCTCGTGCATCCGTATGGCGTCCACTGTGGCCAAGCTGAACTGAGTCCGTCGTTGTGTCAGGAGAGAACACCCATTATGATGCTGCGGCCTCAACAAGCACTGTTCAACACCTCCAAACCACACCCGTCTCGGACACCTGATCCTCCGCAGATCTGGGATCCTCCGCATTCCCCAGATCTGCGTGCATCGTGGCGTCGGGTATTGAATTGTCGGAAACCGAGGTGGTGCTGCGGCCACGGCACTTGGTCCTCCTGGATTGCTTGCGTCTCCCAAAGGATGGAGCTCGTAGGTAGAGCAATAAGCAGCCACTAGCAGTGTCATGTACAGTACCAAGCACTGCTGGGCGAGGATGTCCGTATTAGGTAGTCCATAGGGCCCGATAGTAATACGTATAGTTACACGCAATATCGCTATCTATCTATCCACCGTAAAACCGTAAGTCGAATCGACACAGCAGCGGCAAAATGGCCGCGTCTGACTGACTCTGACAGTCGTCTGACTTGGCTGGTTCCAGCGTCGCGGCAGCGCACGCGGCAGTCGGAGAAGATCCATCTGGTATTTGATACAGCCGTCTCAAGAGGCTCAGACGCCAGGGACGATAATTGGCAATATCATTCTCCTCATTAGCGCCTGGTGGGAGGTTGGTGTTGGTGGATTGTGGATGGCGGGCGGTGGATGGAGGAAGGGATCCTGTCTCGCCGGAAGCGGTTTCTGGCTTTTTTGCCTCTCCGCCACTCGCTGTCGCCGAACGCTGTGGCCGCAGAAACTGGAAGAAAACGCATTACATGCCTAGGAACCAAAGGAACCTTACACAGCGTCAGAAAGAGAGAAATCGAGGCGCAGTCTCGCCAAGCGCCGCCCGCAGCCGCTAAAGCCGTCGGATCCCAGGGTCTGGCTGTTCGCAGGCAACGTCACTTGGTCTGCTTCGTAAGTAAGGGTCGGTCTGTATAAAATATCAATGGTGTCCGCCCCTCTCTTGTGCTCCCTACTTTGATACCAGAACAACACAAACAGCATCAAACGTCGGCCATTCTACTACATCCGCAAGCTAAACGCTGAAGAAGAGAGTTCCCTCTGCGAGGCCACCTCTCATCTATCTACACATCCCACAACCACAACCACAACCACATACGCACCCCAAGAAACAGCAAGAATGTCCCAAGGAAGTTCCCCCTCCTCATCGCGGTCCGGCTCCCGTTCACGCCCAAAATCGCCCTTGTCCATAGACCTCTCCTGCATTCCCCCACTGGTACAGCCCACGCCGCCTTCGAACACCCTCATCATCACCAACCTGCAAGACCCAGCAGTCTTCCACCCCGAAAACATCCAGATCCTCAAAGACCTCATCAACGGCGCAGCACCCATCCACTCCTGGGCGCCCCTCCGGTCCTTTAGCCGCATAATAGTCTCCTTCTTCGAAGAGCAGTCCGCCATCCGTGTCCGCCAGATCCTCGACGGCGAGACTATATTAGGCCAGCGCGTCAAAATCTACTTTGGCCACCAAACACCCATCGAGCCGAAAGACGAGCATCTCCACCTCCCCGACGCCGGAAAGCTATTCTTCATCTCCCCCCCGCCTTCGCCGCCCCATGGATGGGAAGTCAAGATGGAGGACGCACCAAACAAGCAAGTCCATGCTGAAGACCTGGCAGAGGCACTGGCAAAGCTACATCACCGCCCAAACCCCAACTTACCCGCGAGTCCGATCAGTGACGGAGAGCAAGAGGGCAGAACACGTAGCGGATCCACGACGATATACGACCCGAGCGATCACGGATGCAGCCCAAATCTCCCCGCCATATCGGTATCAGTAATGGGAGAGGAGGAGATCAGTCCCTTGACTGCCGAGAAGCCTCTATTGGCACATACTGCAAGACCACCTGTGGAATTGATGGAGACATAAAAAAAACGGTTGGGGGTGTATTCAGGAGAAGCATTTGGCGTTTATCTGGGCATTCGTTTATTAGCATTTGCAGCATAGGATGAAAGCTCTGCCCCGGGCATGGAGCGCTGGTGTATTAACAGGCGTTCGAGAGGAACTGTATAAATACCCCGAGAGGGAATCACATTGGCTGAGATGCATTGGCATAATAAATGCATAACTGGCTATTCATATTCATAGGTAGATATAGCAAAGGGTTTATACAAACAAACTCGCTGTAGACTTTTTTTAATCACAATACCTATTAAATCTACCGTTTTTCAAATTAATTCTCACTACAAACTGCAAGCAAAACTGTCGAATCAAGTGCAAGCAAGCCTCTTGATTTTTTTTAATTTAGGATGTGCTAAAAAAAAAACCCTAAATGATATATATATATATATCAAAACTAGTTTTTCAGCCTTGAATACTTCCCCCCCTTCCCTAAAGGCTCTCCACTAGCCTAGGAGAAATCTTAAAAATATATATTTAACGGTATATCAAATGTAACAAAAAAGCTTTAATCTCCATGTTTGCATTTCCATTCCCTGGCTCTGAACGTCTCGCTCCCTAGGTTGTTATTTCTGCTCCTTAAAAAGAGAATATCTGCTTATGAAAAACTATACCCCTATGTAAGTGTCTCTATTATAAATATGTAATAAATACTTGGAGATAAAATCAAAGAGGTAGCCTAGACGGAGAAATGATAATTTGACTGGTGTAGAGTAAGAGTGTGACCGCAGATGTGATTACAAGGGGGCTTGGGAGTAGATTGTGGGATTGGAGGGAGTGGAGCTTGGTTTGGTTTTTGTGAAGCTGGCTGGGAGGAACATTGATGGTGGGAGGAGAAGCTGGGACAGATGAAAGAGGCAATCCTTCTTCACAGGCGCAAATATTCGATCACATCACATAACATAATAGCATCGCCACTAAAATACGAAGGTATCTTCTATTTAATGCAGCTCAACCCCTTACAGGAGCTGGCCTATATCGATATGTGTATATCGAAAGCCATACCTAGGTATATCTCTTTATGCTCTCAAATAAAACGGATTGATTAACCACTCCCATTCATCATCAGCATGCTTTGCTTATATCGGGAGGAGGCCACGACGTCGTCTCATGCCAGAGAAGTCCTTGCCTTGCCAGCCTACCACACTCCGTAAAACTCCCCGCCACGAAATCCCTTTCCCAACCCCTAAATATGCCAGATGATGGCCGAACCGAACAAAAGAACGCCTTCCTCGAAGTATATACACGTGCCCCGGAAAAGATATAGATTTCAATGGTGTCTCCCCCCTGCTGCGCCGCTGTAAAATATCAGAACCCCCCAAATACAACGCCAAATATCGCCTAGAACATCGATGAACCCGCCCGATTGTGATTAGAATTTAAAAAAGTTATACTGCTCGTGAAACTACTAGGTTCCCGGCTGTCTTCGGTCGCTCCATGTCTTCTGGAGGACTGTCATTATTAGAGTCGATTTTCGTCAACCTAAGTTTCTCGTCAAACATAGAAACTAATCTGTCAGAGTATTGATCGAGCAAGCCTGTCAAGACGGTTTCGCTTATCGCCTTGGACTTGATGCTTTTCTCTCCCAACGCCATGGCCGTCAACCGCAACTCCTGGTCGAGTTCCCTCAAAGATTCCTGCTTCACGGACTCGGATGATAAGAGCTTCTTCCGGTACGAGCGTAATGTGCGGCAGGCTTGTTCGGTTGCCATGTTGAGCGTCCCAAACTCACTAAAGTTTCCTGTGCCTTTAGATCTGCTGCCCCGCTGGTCTAGGGATGCGAGAGATGGGCGTCTCATGTCTCTTCCCTTTGGGCTTGGTGGACTTCTAGATCTGTTTCGGGCATTACCCCTGCGGACAGCGGAGTCATCTGACGACGAAGCAAAGTGTTTCGAATTCGTCGGGGGCAAAGGAGGCGGCGCTAGGGTGGGTGATTGTGCACTCATATTGTATTTTGAAGTTTTTCGCCGGAGTGTCCTAGGAGGGGAACGGTTACCTGTCGGTGTTGAGACGGGCGAGGCTCGTTGGAACTCGGCTAATTCAGCTCTAGAAAGAACTCTCCTCAGTGGAGGTCGGGCTGATGGAGCGTCCTTGGGAGGACATGGATCACCGTTGGTAGGAAGTAAATCATTTGGATCTTGAGATTCGGGGGGCGTCGGCGACAGATCCCAGATCATTATGGTACCATCTGATCCGGTACTGATGAGTGACTTGTGATCTGAATCAGGCGTGTCAAGCAAAGCGACATCTGTCACCGCAGCTGTATGACCCCATTCACGATCTAGGAAGGTTCCTGTGACTGCATCGTACAACCTTACTGACTTATCAGTCCCAGAAACACCTGCAAGTATTGTTGGACGCCCTGATGATGAGCTTGGCGTTCCCATAACAAGTGCATCCAAGACCACAGCCTCAGCCCCTTCATTATCTGTGGCCCGGAACGAACTGATAAGGCGTCCGGTGCCGATCTCATACGTGCCAATAGTGCGGTCCAGCAGGGAAACAACCAAATCCCCTGTCTGGTCGCCCAAGCCCGCTGCCATCGAGACTGGAGAAGCCTTCAGAGTGATGATTCTAAGGGGAACAGCCCCCATGATAACTTCACCCCCAACATCCTTCTTCACGAGTTGCCTTATGTGAACTGTCCTATCAGCAGAGCATGAGATCAACTTCTCGCCGTTCTCTGCAAATAGAATCCCACACACGCTGGCAGTGTGATCATCTAGTGTTTGAATAAGCCCCCATTGACCTGAGGTCAATCGATATAATTGGACGGTTCTATCTCGACCACATGAAGCTATCAATGTAGCCTCGTCGCTCTCGAAAAGGGCAATATCTTGGATATCTGACATATGAGCTCTGGTCTCGAACACGCAACTCTGACTCGACGTGTTCATAACCCTTAGGACGCCATATTTGTCGCCAGTCACCAAAAATTTGGCGCCATGAGATGGGCGGGCAACAAGACATTGATTGAGGCCATCATCTTCTGATGATGCAAGAAGCTGTTCAAGTGGGACCTTTAAGGTTGCCTTGCTACTACCGGCTAGATCCCAGAACGTGATTGTGCCATTGGCAGACCACGTGAGGAAAGCAGCGTCCATGCTGTTATCTTTGGATAATTGTCTGACTCCCAAAACCGCATCTCCATGAGTGGGAAAGGGTGCGGTTTGCAATGTCAGGTCAACGTCATCGGAATTAGTATCTGAGATCTGGATCATGTGCTTTGAGTTGATCGTAATCAAGCTTTTAGCGGCATATCCCATTGCGCAGAGATGACCGGCATCAGATGTGACGTTGTCATCTGTTGGCACTGGTGATTCTGGAGGCGTACTTGGAGCCATGAGGTCATCTAAGCTCATGGACTTGACTCTCCCATCACGTCCCCCAATTCTCACCCGGCGGGCTTGTGTATCGACCGCAACGCAGGTGATAGAGAAACCCGTGTTTGCTAACTTCATCAACTTCTGGCCTTCGCCATCATCAAGCAGACAAACATCTCCTTTATCGGAGCAGACGATTGCCTTATTGCTGGATATCGCTGCTAAAGTTGTAAATGTAGCCTCCACAAGTGGTCCCAGGAGGACATTTCTCCCAGCTAGAGGCTTGAGCATGGGTGGTGGAGGCACAGGCACCGGGGTGCCGTCTAATGTGTATCGCTGCTTCGTTGGTGATACGCTTCGGCGGACATCCTCAACTCGCCATATTTTAATGTGCCGTGTCCCAATCCTGTTCGCTGTCAATGACGAGCCCTATAAACATGTGGAATATGAATACTTACGTGACAATGCTATTCCCAAGCCAGAGCATCTGCCTGACGAAGCTGGTACACTTGTTGCTCGAATGGAGCTTCGCAGCACCGGTCCGCTGGTTAATCGACCAGACATATAGAAATCCGTCATTTGGACTGCCTAAGCTTGCGAGATACTTCTGATCTGGACTGAAGGCAATTGCACGGACTCCGTACATATGCTCATTCAAAATTGCCAGAGGAGTATCGGAGGAGCTATCCTGGAGAGAGAAAATCAGGACCCGGGGTGAGTATCCAGTCTATATTAAGTCAGTGTCATACTGTCCCGGGGCGAAGCTATCCGTCCATACCTCTCCCACAGCTAGAAACCTCCCATCCTGGCTGATTGAAAGACAAGTAGCTGCCTTGATCCTCTCCCTACTTGACCATGTTTTTGAAGTCGGGGAATCACCCCACTCTAGACTCGTATGTGGGCTTGAGGGAGAATATGCAAGGGCTGAATCCCTAAGGGACGCTACAGTTCGATTTCTGCCATCATTCGCAGTATTTGTTGGTGTAGATGGCGCACATGATACGGTACTGGAAGTGTTCAAGGGAACCGCCGCAGGCCGTGCTCGAAAAAAGCGTTGCGAGTGATTCGAAGTGTCATCGATGTTTACCACTACGGCCGCAGCTCCAGCTGTATAAGCAAATATCCGGGAAGAGGATAGACAATCGAATGCGGTTGGTGAAGAGACAGTGGTGCCAATTATTCTCTGGAGAGATAAGCCCGATTCGTACGGCGCCCTAGTTTTACCTGGGGACTTGGGCGTACGCGGGTAAGGCGAGTTCGACGGGGTGAGCTTGAGTCCTAAGCCTGTATTCGCCGGAAAGGTGGAAATCCTCGGGTTGGATGGTGTGGAAGGCATAATCAAGCCATGAGCATCGGATCGGGATCAATTGGGATCGGGATCAGAATTCGCAGTTGAATTGAACAAAGGGGTATTTTAAACAGGAGATTTGACGTGAATGAGACAGTCGTATGGTATTGTCGGGGCTGTGGAGGACTGAAGAGAACATGGAAGGCTGTTTGTTGTTGTTTGGGGTAAGCTGAGAACTCGGGCCTGGTACGATAAACACACAAAGAATTCTGCGACTCGACTTACAGCGTGGGACCAGATTTGATCAGATCTAAGGTCAAAAGTAGGGCGGCAGGCGCAAGAGAGCGGTGGAAAGGGCAGGAAGAGAAAGAAGAGGAAATATGACAAAGATCAAGTCTCAATGGCGAGGTGTGAAGCTGTTTGGTCGGGGAAGCAAAAAGTCGTGTACTCGGAGTCGTGTGCAGACGCGCTTGGTGCTCAGTGCGCACTAACTGACTGATCATAATCAGGGGAGGAGCTTGCAGTTGCTCCCCCTGCCTGCTGGGCTGCTGGGCAACGCAAGACCCCGACCGGCCAAGGCGCAACCGGCAGTAACCCAAGCGCTGCTACAGGCCCTAAAGTACAATACACTACAGTAAAAGTACTGGAGCAGCCCTGTAGCATCGCCGGAACAGCGCTATTCCAGCACAGTTCCAGGCTTCCAGCGCTGTCTTACAGGCTTCCCAGGCGGTGCAGAAGCGCACGGTCTGCTGGGCCACCAACACGCTCATCATGCCTGTATCAAATGGGGACCTCAGCGCTGTTGGCGCCGGTTCATTGGCTGCGACGATCACCAGTGCAAGATTTCTCTGGATTTGGTGTTCTCGTTGGTCCGCATAAGTATGATCATCACTGGCTGTGAAAGCAGAACTTTGTTTTTCCTGTGCTAGTGTGGCTCCAATGCATGCCCCCTACAGCATACCCTATGTCATGTTATGTGCAAGAGTACTAGTAGTATGGAGTGATACATTCATTATTATATATATACATATAATTCTACAGATAATCCTACAAATTTTTATACAGCTAGACCGTTTCGGAGCACTCCCAGCTCAGGGGCTGCAGCATCCCCCCCCGGGATATAGATGCCGCCTTGAAATATCCCAGACATTCGGCGCTGGCCTATATGCAAGGCTACCCAGGCAGCCTTCTCGAACTCGGAAAACTCTAAATCTTCAGTCTCTATCCGGGGGCGCGGCGGTGGTGATCAACTCTGGGAACTTGAACTCGCTCGACCCGCGAGCATCCTCGTTTGCGCTCGATCTGTGAGCATCATTGTTTGCCTTAGCCTGGTAGCTGACATTCGCACCCCCAGGTTCGGCCGTGGTGATCCAGGAGGGTATGATGCGTCCCTCCTGCTTGTTCACTCCTGTTTTTTTCTTCCACTCCGGCTTCCCCCTTCCAATCCCCACATCTCTCCATTTCCTTGGTGGTTTCGCTCCCAACTCGGCGTATCTACTCCAGACCTTCTCGCCTCTTCTGAACCATCGCGTTTCCCGGTCAACTACTTCCTCGGCATTTGGTTGCCACTTTGACTTCAATATCCTCCGAATAGCTTCTGGAGAAACCTTAAAGTGATCTCCAAGCGCCCGAGTTGTGAATTTTTCGGGCATTTGAGCATGCAACGCGCGGATACCGGTGATTGCATCCGGTGAAAGGCGCTTAGAAGGGGCCCAGCCATCGGGAAATTTCTCCTTCAGCGCCGCCTTCTGTATTTGCCATTGTTCCTTCTTCGGGGGTTTCCAGTCGTCTTCGGCAGCTTTTTTGCCCCGGTGGTCGACATCTGATCTTGAATTTCGAGGACCGTTCCGAGACGACGTCCAAGGCTCTGTAGAGGCTCGAGGAGAGCTGCGTTGAAAGGGGAAACCGGTATCCTCAAGCTTTGCCCGCACGAACCCGGTGTTCGATAGTTGCTCTTCTAGCTCTACATCCCTTTCAGCTTTCTGATTCCTAGTCGGCCCCCTCAACTGAGTATCGAAATGTGAAGACTCAGCCGGTTCTGCCGACTCCGCAAGAATCGCGTCTATCGCGTCTGGAGATAATTCGACAAAGGCGCTGGCCCCATCGCCCGTTTCGGATTCGACGGCATCGGATTCTTGAGGCCAATAGCTCAAATCAGACTTCGACTCCGGCTCGGACTGATTATTTGCGGGACTGGCCGCAGGAGACCGAGTGGAATGGGATCTGATCGGAAAACGGCGTGCTGGAAAGGGACTGTGACTGGCGAAACCCCTAATATCTTGCTTTGAGGAACCAAACGCTGAGGGAGTGGGACCGGGGAAGTCAACGTGAGTCACGCTTCGAATGAACAGCCTCAGGGAGCTGGCGGTGCAGCGACAAGTCATTATCGAATTTGTTGAAGTCACAGATGATGTAAGAGCCCAGAAAAGTTTCCAGCAGAATGTCGCGAAAACAAGCGACATGTGCTGGTGCCCAGACCTCTGCGACACACGTGACCTGCCTAATCCAATTATTCCGGCAGTCTTCTTTACGAAAAACGTTAACCTTTCATCAACGATCACCAAGACATCCCGCGAATATAGCTTGTGCACGTCTCAACCAGCAAATTCCTTCAACTCGCTCGCGCCTCTATCTTTGTACTCGCTCGTAATAATTCCTCTATTTGCATTCTAAATAATGTTCCTAAATTATATTTCGAAGCCCAGCATTTCATGAACTCCATTAACTACCAGACCCAAACCATTGACAATTGCCACACGGTATATTGTATATAAATTATTGAGATAGCAACTTGCTTTATTACAGAGGTCGGACCTAAGCCACTGTTGCCGCACTCAAACTCCCCTCATGCTTGTGCTAGCTTTCGCAATGTCCACAGTCGGTCCTGATTTAGCACAGATCGCTCGAGATCAGATAATCAAGCAGACATAAATTAAGAGGTTGTTTCAGCCCCCTTTTAGGCCTGGCTACACTATCCCCATCTTGTCACCAGGCGCAGTTTCTATTCCAACGTGACCAACAGACAAGACTCAGTCGCATCTTCCATATACTTTGCAATAGCATGTACTCGGCTCCGGACAGCTGTAACACATCAGTAACTGCTCCAAGGCACCTTCCTAAGCTCAACTTACTAAACCGGCCCTTTCCCAAAAATAACATGCCACAAAAACTCCATAACCCTCCCGCTCTTCTCATCGCTCATTTCTGTGTCTAGGACCCATTGACGATAAGAGATATAGTCCTCTAATGGTCTAGCTATGATTTGGGTCCTTGACACCGCGAATTGCGGACAACACGCCTGGCCCACCTGATCCGGTACCTGCTCCGCCGTTCCATTTGCCCCATATCCAAAAACCTCCAGCCAAACTTCCTTTGTAACATGCGTATTTGGACTATAATGCGCTGGTAAGCATCCTGGTTTCCAATTACATCGCAGGATGACGTATCCGGATTCCTGGACGTAGGAAAGGCGGAGGGACCTCAGAGCGCGGACGTTATCCCAACCCCAAGCGTCAGTGTGCCAGCCTCGTAGATAGCCGCTGCGGTGCGAGTGTAGGAAGACGACGGTGGAGGGGAGAGAGGAGTAGTGGGATATTATGTAGGTTAAGTAGGCGAGGGATTCTTTGCCTTTGTTGGTGGAGGTGTGGAGACGAGCGGAGCGGTCATCAACGGTGTAGATTGCCCGCTGTCAGCTATGTATGCCGAATATTAGCTATATCTATTCCAACAGTTCGACATGACGAATTGGGCACATACTCGGGCAGGTTCTTGGCGACCCAAGAAGTGTCTTCTGAAGCTAGCCTGGCCATGACTATCACTTTATCCCCTACCTCCCCGGCTGGCGAGCCATCGTCGTAGTTGGGGAATGACCACCATGTTTTGGATTTGGTATATTGGTGCCAGGCTAACAAAGACAGAGATATAGTCGTGATGAGAAGCAATGCTTTGTACCTCTTTGCCATAGGTGGGAAGTAGAAGAAGTTGTAGGTATGGAAGCCGTGTTACAGTATGACATAGGTATAATAAGATTTTCTAATATCCCGTCTTCTACAAGCCAGGGGCTTGGAATGTCTTTTTGGTCCCCAATTATTGACGGTTACAGTAGGTGGGCGGGAAATATGCATCATTCAATCGCTTTCTTTCAGCTGTAGCGCCAGCGCCATCCCTTTGTTCGCTGTGTGGGACGCTAGATGTCGCATAACAATTCAGAAGGCGGCGCCCAGGCGGCTTCTTAGCGCTTGAGAGTTCTAGGGAATATCTGAATCCACAATCTGATGCTGTCGCTGGCTCTCGCATAAACAAATTGCTATGTACAAAGCATAACCCTGTCGGAGATAGTAGTTGTAAAGGCGAATCATTTCTAGTGGGAACTACTTAGGCCTCAGGGGCTGCCAAATGCCTCGGGATGGCACCTGATAGAACCCGCAACAGGGACTCGCAAGATAAGTAGTAGCAACGGTGCGACTAACGGTCTGTATAAGCCGATAGACTTCAATATTCGGAATAGTATAACTAAATCAATCCAATATTAGTCATACTGAGCATGAAGTAGTGGGAGGCTGTTGCTGTAGATAAAAGCGTGGGCCTGACCAGGCAATGCCCATTCACGCTGTGAGAACAGCGATGACCAGAATATTCACTGATATTATATTGCCTGAATGTGACCGCCACGCAGGCAGATGTATCCCAACTCTCTCTTCGTAGACCTTACTATTATACAACAAACCACACACTCCGCATCACTCCAACCGTCGAAGCACAGCCTCGCCTTTACCTCAGATACATCATACAACGCGAAGTAATATTGACCCCTATCGTACTAGTACGTACTAGTACATACTAGTAACTTGATATCTGACGATACGGTTATAGGTTACCTGACCTCAATATTAGGACGGGTTTCCTGATTTTCACTGGTACGATCTCACCATTTTATCAACCCCCCCCCCCCAATCTTGCCCCAGGACATAGCCACGATATAATAGTAGGTCAAAAGGGAACCGGGGGGGGGGGGGGGGGGGAGAATCTTCCTAAACGTAATCGATCTGATAGCCCCGGCCAAGGCGTACTATCGAAGCACCGAGTTAACAGCGAATCAGGATACCACAACTTGGACTTGAAATCGGAGGTGTCATACTAGAAAGCGCTTCTAGTCGTACTAGTAGGTATGTTCAAGTTACGACAAGTTGCGCGCATTTGTCGATTATTCAGTTTCATATTATATTACTAAGATACTAATACCGATTTACAGATATGTCCGAGACGACTAGCAAGCAGACGATAGAATACTTAGTCGTCGAAAAGGTGATGGCAGAGTTAAAGGCCGAAAATAAAGCTCGGGATGCAGAGAAAGCTGCAGAGCATGCTGCAGATCATGCTGCGCGTGGTATCCAGATTGCTGAATTAAAGGCAACGATAACGACCCTTAGCAGTGGAATAGAGAGGATTGGTCGTATGGTCAAAACGAATAACATCTGGTTTGCTAACCGACTGCATGAAGATGGCAAGATGAGAGTTCAACTACCACGATGTACTTAAGTTTACGTCAATTACTTTGATTCTTAATCATGCTATTCCATTTCTGCTGTATACCTCTATAGCTACGAATCTTTATTAGAATACTGCCGCCTATTGACGCCATAATTCTAAACTTTGTAATGATATCAATATCAGAAACCGCAGGAGATCTTTTATATATACTAATCCTTAGCGGAGAAACTTTAGTCATTGTGGTCCTCATGGCGATTATTTAGAAAGTAGCCAAAATGGCTGTTTTAGGGGAGCTTTGAAGCTCAATTGTTAGGAGTGGTCTAGTACTGTACACTGTACCCGGTCAAACATAGCGTTAAACTCCCAAAGAATCTCTGTCACGCTATGCGTGCCTTGATTCATGTCTACTACACATCCTCCTCCCCAAATCAATGTTCCGGCTAGATCCCACTTAACCCTCCTCTGGTTTGTCACTATAGTTATATTTTTGACTTGTGATAGCCTACGCCGCGACATTTGCTTGCGGATAGGTTTGGCCGTTGTCACCTCTAAATCAACAATTTGCTCACCTTCATTAAGGTAGTACGTGTCGCCGGCTCCTGTCCATTGGCCAAGCAGCTCAGGGTGACTCTGGTCGGCGGTTGTGCGAAAGAGGAGACCGGTAACCTGCCCGGCACGCCGATAGTTCGATTCGACTGGATTGATAGATGCTTGGACCGACTGGTACTTCTTCCCTAGTAATATGCGAGACTGGTGCTGGCCATGATTTCTGATATCACCCAGAGGCATGTCTGGGAGTTGGCTTTTAGACGGCGAGATGGATGCATAGACCTTTGGGGGTACCCAAGCCGACTTAGATGAGACTGCCATGATTTCTGGTATGACTCCAAAGCAGTTGAGCTGTTTAGATGAACCCTATGCCTGATGTCAGCTCTAAACGTCTTGATTAAGAATATATAGAGGATTACAAACCACAAAGCAGCCGCAGAACCCGGTAATATCTCCATCATGCAAAGCCTCATATTTGACGCACTCGAACGATACGTCTGGATTTATCGGTAGTTGAGGGAAGGGACTGCTCGTCCTATTAAGGTCGGTGGTAAACTTCAAGCTCTCGTTAAAACATATATAGAAACACTCTGTAGCGGAAAGTGACAGACCTGCAAGTGACAAACCAAAGAACCGATCTTATAGACCGTTACCGTGACTAGTCGTTCTGCCTTATCGAGAAAAAAGACTAGTGAAGCAACATCATCGGCAGAACCCCATATGCTTTCGAAGTCTGTATCATAAACAAATCCAATGCCTGTAATACCAGCACAATATCCTAGAGGACTGTACACTTTGATCCCGACGAGCTGCCCATTTCCCGAGTTCACACAGTGAATTGAAGCTGGAGCGAATGATTTTCTCTGTAATTTATGTAAAGCAGCCATATCATCTTCGTGCATAGAGATAGAGGGAGTGGATAAAGTGCAATGAGGGGTCCAGAGAACATCGTCAAGGCTATCTTGTTTCCCGACGTCTATACCAATGCTCACGATCCGCATAGCCTAGAATAATGTCAGGGGACATCTCATCAAATTCAGTGGGATAAGGCTTACATCGAGGCCAAGATAAACCCCCTTGAGGTTTTCTAAACTCCACTTAGACACCGCTACTTTGTTTCCGTGATTAGATGTAAAGCCATCAAGGACTTGTTGAGGATATGCGTCAATTGAAATTGCCTCAAATCCTAGTTGGCTAGAAACCAACCAGAGAAACTTCGGTACAGCTGTCGAATCGAAGTAGCCGCCCCTCTGTCTGCTTACAACATAGCCCACATCAACATATTTGCCATTGCTGAACACAAAACTAAGGCCGGAGATCAATTGGCGATTTGAGAGAAGAACATAAGATGGTATCACGGCACAAAGTCGAGACTTATTGCCTAAACGTACAAACCTCTGCGTCAACTCTCGACAACCTTGAAAGTCAAATCTCTTGGCTAAACCACTTGCCATAGAACTTCGCATCTGACCTTGCATTATTGCGTCAATATCGCCATATAGAAGGCGGTCGGGCTCCTTGATGGCGCGGACTAGGTTGATCAATTCAACGCCAAGCCTCCATATTCTCTTTCGATTCCGTAAATTCATCTTGTTTGGGCCTTCCTTTAGTTCGGACTTTATAGTAAAAAACCAATCTTTCCATGAATCCGATTGGCGGATTGACCGCGCGAATACAGTCTCACCATGAGTCCAGAACCTAGACTCCCAGAACGAGGATGGTAAATTGCAGGAGTCTCCTCCGTATAGTCTATAAAGGGCTGCACTGGCATGTAGCAGATTCTGAGTGTCACGGAAAGTCAAGACTGCACATGATTGACTCAAGGATCTCAGTCGGAAGGGATAATAGCCCACCATAGTGGTATGCAGAATGGATAGGGCTATGGCTGATGCTGCGAGGTTCGTCGAGATTTGTGTCGGTCGTTAATCCAAGTCGAAAATACTTCTGCTGTTGTTTCCAGCCATCTTTCTCTTGGAAGTTGAGATGCCAAGGATCCGCCAAAATGGCTAGATTAGCCATATTTGCAATTATGATGAACTCTTGGCAATCTTCATGGTCTCCCTCGTTCGAACAAGAACCTAAAAGGTCCTCGAAATAATAGTTGTGCCCCCATCTTAGAGCACGGACTCGCCTGCCGTAATGAATACTCTCAAAGACGTTGAATAAGATTTCAACGTCGGGTTTAAGAAGCTCTCTACCATTGGTTTCCTGGAGCAGGGTCCAGCAGGCGGAGTGAAATGGGTAGCAATAGTCCCGGATCTCACCATCCAGTAGTAGACTACCTCGATAGCCAAACCGATTGAGCCCATGTGGAGGAATAGGTAACTTGAAAGGCATCCAATCACCGTCCATGCAGCCTATGCCACTAAGAGTCGGTCGACTTTCAGACCAGCATACTATACATAGATCAATGACTATCTCAACTTCCTCGCTCATACATGACTTACATGCACGGATGTCTTTACACCATTGGGGAAATTCACTGTCCTCGGATGCCAAGACCAGACCACAGATAGAGCAGGAGTCAGTCATCAGCCGCGAAGTATTAGCAAGAGTAATAAAGTAACTAGGAAGTAGTTCCAAGTCGTGTTTACTTCTGACAAAACAGAGTTGTTGCCTTCAGGTCCCTCACCGCTTCGATATTCTGCCTTCAATAAATATTACAAATCCGGTCTAGCTTGCCTTCGGGAGCCCGGACAGGGAGCCCCACTCTCCCGCAACCCGCCGTCCCGTTCTCCCAATCACAGCTTCCTGATTTGACACAAGTCTGGAGCTTCCCTTGTAATAACCCGTTCCGAGACGTCACGTCATTACTAACCAGTGCAACCCCATATCTATCCCATACAAGAAGGGGAAACCAATATTGCTGCTGAATTGAATCTTCATTGCAAAAGTAAACTATTCAAGTAGCTAGAGACAGAGCTATAGTAAGGTAGCTAGCTAAGTTCCCTTCCGTGAATACATGCTCTCCTCAAGACTCCTCCCCACATTCACATCAGGTCTTTGCCAAGTCTCCCGTCAAGCAGCACCCCGCAGTCGCAATCTACGGATCAGCCGCGTGTTTTCCACATCGATCCGGATCATGGCTCAAGAATATAAGCTCAAGGGGCTCACAAGCCTCGATCTGAAGCCGGGTGAGAAGAAAGAGGTCGAGGTTGAGGGCATTGAGGAAGGGAAGGTGTTGCTCTGCAATGTGGCCGGGAAGGTCTCAGCTCTGGGTGCCAAATGTACTCATTATGGAGCTCCGTTAGTCAAGGGTGTTCTGACCGGCGATGGACGGATCACATGTCCGTGGCATGGAGGTATGTTTTCATTTCATATATCAATGATTGAGCAACACTGATTCCTATATTCGCATATAGCTTGCTTTAAGGCTTGGAATGGAGATATCGAAAATGCCCCTGCCATCGATGCCCTTCCATCCTTCGCCATATCCGAAAAGAACGGCGCCGTCTACATTACTGGCAAGGAAGAGAGCATTAAGTCCAGCCGAAGAAAGCCAAATCTCAAGGTCGTGGGCCCTCTCAGCGCGGAGAAGGTCGTTGTGGTCGGTGCTGGAAGCGGTGCGTTAGCTACCGTAGAAGCTCTCCGAGAGAATGGGTTCAAGGGGTCTGTCACTATGATTGGGAATGAAGGATATCGACCAATTGATCGAACAAAGCTCTCCAAAGCTCTCATAGATGACGTGTCGAAGATCGCACTTCGAGACGAGGCTTGGTTCAAGGATGGCTCGATTGATGCCAGCTTCAATGACGAAGTCACTTCGGTAGACTTCAAGGGCAAGAGCGTGACTACTGAAAGTGGGAAATCATTTTCATACACCAAATTGGTTCTTGCCACGGGTGGTACACCAAGAAGTCTCCCGCTCCCGGGGTTCCAAGGCCTTAGCAACATTTTCCTCCTCAGAAACATCGGCCACGTCAAGCAGATCAACGCCGCAATTGGCGACGGCAAGAAGAAAATTGTGATTGTCGGAAGCTCTTTCATCGGCATGGAAGTTGCAAATGCAGTAGCGAAGGGGAACGACGTAACAGTCATCGGTATGGAAAAGACACCACTCGAGCGTGTCCTGGGCGAAACTGTAGGACGGATCACCCAAACCCTCGTCGAGGGCCAAGGAGTAAAATTCTACCTCAACGCCGGCGTCAACAAAGCCACACCCCATGGATCAGACGCCTCTAGAGTCGGAGCCGTACACCTCAAAGATGGCACCGTCCTGCCAGCGGATCTGGTAATCCTCGGCATTGGCGTCAGGCCTGCCACCGCATTCCTAAAAGACAACCCGGCACTCAAACTCCTCGACGATGGGTCTCTGAAAACAGACGAGAACTTCAACGTCCAAGGCCTGAAAGATGTCTACGCAATCGGCGACATAGCAACCTACCAATACCACGGACCCGGTACACCCCCCTCCGGAGCACCAGTACGCATCGAGCATTGGGACGTAGCTCAGAACTCCGGACGTGCCGTGGCAGCACACATAGCAGCGCCCTCGACGCCTCCAAAGCCCTTCATCCCGATCTTCTGGTCTGCGCTAGGTAAGCAGTTGCGGTATTGCGGCAACACGGTTCACGGGTTCGATGATGTTGTGGTGACGGGCGAGCCGGATAAGGGGAAATTCGCCGCGTATTATACAAAGGGGGAGACTGTTGTTGCGGTCGCAACGATGATGACGGATCCCGTTGTGTCGCAGGCAAGTGAGTTGATGCGGAGGGACGCGATGCCGAGGAAGAGCGAAATACAAATGGGGTTGGATATTTTGGCTTGTGAAGTCCCTGCTGAGACGGTGATTCCGAAGGTAGGTGGCGGGCAGTGAGATGCATGGTGGGCGAATTGGTTGGAGTTAGGGGATTTAGGAATTGAATGCCATTTTATGATGATTCTCAACACAAGTGCAGAATACCCGTTATCATCTTAAGATTATTCATCCAGGCCGTGACATCCAGAATGATGACAGAGGAAACCAGCTCTGTATTTAACGATTATATTATGATTTAAGGTAGTAGCTTCTCCATTCCAGGGGTATCTCCAATCCGCCGACCATGCATCCCGAAAACCGCTAATTTGAAAAGTAGACCTAACCCACCCAGGGACCCAATACAAAGGAAAATCTCATAGAAAAGAGTGACATTCTTCATTCCTTCACATCCTCCTCCATAGAGTAGGGTGGTTAACCTCAATAGGGAGCTAAGCCACCCTCAATAAGAACCTCCTTCAGCGCATCATGGTCTATCACCTCGGGTGTGACATTGCTCGGCGCCCTCTCTATTTTCTTCATGAACCCTGGAATCGGTCCTTTCTGGTTGATGCCTGATGGTCTGGCCATTGTGTATGGGCTTACGGGTGGTGAACTGACTACTCTATGTTGGTTCGTATATCTGAGATCGCTTGAGGATTTTGCTGGGCTTACGCCCCATCGCCCGAAAACCCAGCCTCCGAGCTTGCCACCTAGGCCGGGGGAACTCGAGCTTGGAGTCTCGTGTGAGTTGCTTGAGTTGATGGAGCGGGAGTCATCGCTGGTGGGAAGGATGTTGGAGCGTAGATACGAAGTGCTGTCCTGACCGTTGTGTGATAATGTTGGGCGTGTGGTGATGGACGTGTCTAGCGAAACCATTGACGTGGGTGTTCCTAGCCTGGTACGAGGAGCATAGAAAGCGGTGTTTCCTCTGATGGTAAGTTGTGAGGGCCGGGATTTGAGAGTGTGGATATCAATACCGGATATGGAGAGGATAGATTCATGGGAAGACGTGCGCCGCAGAGTGGGTTGAAAGGGCGCATCCCAGTCTTGGTCTGTATGGGATTGATCATCCATGTCCCGGGATGCATCTGACGACGTGCCGCCTTCATCCAAGCAGGGTGGGTTTGGACTTTGCAGATCAGAGATCTCGTGTACATCGTCATCTTCTTCCTGGATCACATTATGCGGTTGGAAGTTTATAGGCGGCCCAAAGCTTCTCGTCGATACTTCAGAGCCCTTTTTCCGATGGCGAAAAGGTTGGAATTGTGGTGACATAGGATCGATGCTGGATCCAGGAGATGTCGGACGGGAGGAGTCAAAGTCTAGCCCTCTATCAAATAATGTGCTGTTCCTATACATCGACTGTGGCGAGCTTGGTACTGATGAAGGGGCAAAATCCGACATCGGACCTGATTGCATAGACCAGCGATGATTTGTTGTAATAGGAGTGGAAGGGACAGTAACGGCCGTCTGCGATAGTATTGTGCTTGCTGTTTCTAGGTTTCTAGACGGTCGCGGCGATTGTCCGACCCTGGATGGGCTGAAGAGTGCGGGGTTGATGGAGGCGCGCTTCTTTTTCGGCCGACGAATTTCCTCCTTCTTTGGGACGTGATAATGGTGATGGATATGCAATTCCTGTGATATGGCAGCTTGCTCAGTGGTTTCTTTCTGGGCAAGCTCTGCATCCAGAGTCGGTTGTGGGCCATTCCTTTCATCTATCTCAAGCGGTTGGTGTATCATCAATCGTTCCCGAAGGGATTGCACCTCGTCGTTCGAATTCATCAACATCCCTCGCAGCTCCATGATTCCCATTTGTAAATTTGCGTTGTCTTGTAGTATGTCCTTGACGAAGTGCGATACAACATTACTGCCATTCTTCCCCTTCCCTACTGTCGCTGCTGCCGCTTTCAGTCGTCCAGCCGCGGTGCCTAATTCCCTCTCAACAACACGTTGTCTCTCCATACGACCGAGAACTTCCACATGACGCTCCCTTTCTTCTTGCGCCTCACGCTCTATCCTCTCCAATTGCTCTTGGAGTTCGGACAGCCCCCTTTCCGCCCTCTTCCATCTCTGGATCGCGGATCTCTCGTCGGCCTCGGTCCTGAAAACAGTCTTCTGGAGCACGTCTTGCTCCTGCTCTAAAGCTGCCAACTGAATTTCGAGATCTTGGGTCCGGGACGCCAGGTCCTCAAGGCGCCTTAATTCTTGGCGAGTCGAGTGTAATGTAGCCTCGAGCGACTTGATGTGGGTGTCTGAATCCGTTACAGTCATGTTGACCGCCTCTAGTTGCTCTAGAAGGGCACGATTGTCCTCGATAGTTCGCGCATTCTGGCTCTCTAGTTCTTTCTTGTCCTTCTCGAGTCGCTCGATTTTATCGTTCATCTCCTTGCGATCTCGTTCGGCATCTTGCATATAGTTTTCATGGCGGGCTAGCAGAGCCTGCAGGGCAAACGTCAGCGACTTGGACATTTTCAGTATGCCATCAACACATCTTCAAATATCTTCAACGTATCATATCTAGCACCCCAGTAACATCCATCTGGATGCATACTGCATCGAAAAGCCCTTCCCTCCCCAGGGCGTGGACAACAGACGAGGAATGTAGCTTACCTGACCCAAAGCAGCAGCCGTGTGAACCTCTTTCTCCAGATCGGCTAAGGCATTGCAGTTGTGCTTGAGGTATGCGCAATCTAAATGCCCGCAGCAACAATGGAGACTTTGATCGTCGGTCGTCGCCTCTGCCGCAGTCGGAGGTCGAGCAGGAATGCGACCTATCAAGGTCTCGAGAGAGTCGTCTTTCGCAGCCGCCATCTCTCCTTGGAGTCCTCCGCTCTTAACACGTCTTGAACACGTCTGCAGCTCGCATCTAACCCAACACGTCACTACCTAGGCGTTCCCGTGGATCCTGTATGATATCGCATCTGGTGCATTGTTGACGCCGTGGTGCTTGTTGGAAAGGCGCGGTTTCAACCGAGAATGGGCACCGACGATCTGGCGTGACGTGTTGATATGGAATGTTGTATTTCCTCCGTTATTTACTTCTATACTTCTGTACTGCTACGTACTTCTGTACTGCTACGTACTTCGTACAGTTGCTTTCGAGGAGCCAGAAGGGTGGCTGGGAGAGATCGAGGGGCGTGGTACATGTACTCTCTCGACCCGCATGTGCGCGACCTTGTTTGTATCACGGGGGGGGTTCCTCCTTTCGTGACTCGAAATCCCAGCTTTGTGGGACTCTGAAGGCCAAGGCCGAGCTTTTGTTTGCTGCCTACTCTGTATCTACCTTATCTTGTAGCCTGCACCTATATCAACTGCTAATAATACGAAAACTTGCTTTTCTCTTATTGCCATACGATTATGTCGGTCCCAGCTTGTATGCTGCGCGCCATGGTGGTGCTGATGGGCGAAGTACTTCGTACCAACCAATACTTTGAGCTCTTTGCTACGTCAACATCAACATCAACACCTCGCGACAGATGAACCTGCGCGTGCAGCCCTCATAGGTTGAGCTGGCTTTACGCAATCTTTTGAGACGATACTTCGTCCGCGAAAGCGAGCGATCATTACTTGCTTAGGTAAATACGACGTATGAGTCGCTTTACCTAAGGCATCGGAACCATCTCCTCAGTTGGATGAAGGTTGCGCAATATCTCCACTCCACCGGGTATACAACACCGAGCCTTATCAGCATCCGGTCCTTCCAATGGTGGCCTTTCTCCGGCCACAAGAGTTGACTTTAAGCCAAGTGGTTATAGGAGTATTTCGTACAGTAGTGCGTGCTACTACTTGGGTAGTGCTGGTGGTATTCCGGCGATCACTACAGACGCTATGACCTAATAACACATACCATCTTCTTGTCAACATTGGATCTGCAGCAGTAGATTCAAGCCTCTACTTGTATGCCGAATTGCAGGCTTTGGAGTTCGAGCTTGGCTTGGTATCAGGATTGGCCATTCTACGGAATCGACATATTGAGACAGAATCTGCCGCCTGGTACTACGTACACGTATGTTATAGTACGTTCAGTTCTATATCGTACGTCTTTGCTGAATGTTACTAACCGCAGATCCGTACGTAGTACGAGGTTATCCCGAGGAATTGATAGGAGCGGACAAGAACCGACGCAAGCGACCCCGCATCACCAAGATGCAAGGTATGTTCCTAAAAGTCAATTCCTAGCAATATTCGAGCGCCTCTACTAATAATAATAAGGGGCATACCTTGAGGTACCTTGGCTAGCGCTGTCTCCCTAGAGTCTAGATGCTTAGTTCTCACTTCGAGAAGACTCTACCAGCCACTTACCCGGACTGCCCATCTCCTCGGTGGTTATGATTCGCTGGTTCATGACGTCCTCCTCATTATTCAATACGATACGCCGCCATAGCTCTTAGGTAACCTGGTTTCTGGTTCGTGTGTTATAACGCAAAGATACGTGATTGGTCCTCACCATTAGCTATCTAGATGAGGTCAACCTTCTGCCTTAGGTATGGAATAGTAACGTTAAATCATTCATTACCTCTGGGGGCCTCCTGACCTTTAAGCACCTCCATCAAGATCCTTATGCAGCACAAGATGTTATCGAAAAAATAATTGTAACTTCCTGGTTCTACCACATTACTGCAGACTGTATTCACATATATCGCTGGCGATTTCCAGCGTTCACTGGGAAAAAGACGATTACAGTTTATTGGACACTTTTGTCTATCTCCGATCGCTCAGACGGCTAAACCTTGTTCGCTCCAATGAATCCAACTCCCCCAGACCGGGCATTTGCCCTTCAGGAATATTTACTACTTCACTCCCAACACGACGCCTTACAGAAGCACCTCAGCCAAATCTCGGCGTCGGTTCCAAACACAGCAGTCACTTCCGCTTCTAATTCACCAACACGACATGGAAGTACATCAACGATCGGCTCAGATCAATCGACTTCCGAAGAGGGCCTATTACTATCCCCTCCGAGCCGTATCCCCTACCACCAACGCTGCCATAGGATGCACAGTGCACGACCTCAGCCATACCAAAGGTCGGAAAGAAGGTCTTCCTTGCCAGCAATCATTGATGAGAACACACTCGGGGAGATTGCTGAGGACCAATCGAAGATACAAAATGTGAACCAGCTGATCAAGACTACCTTGACGGAGCTGCTCAACTGCGACGGCGTGAAGAATAACGATAGATATAGGATGTGGGTACAGACAAAGCTGATGGATGCGGAGAAGGAAATGAGAATCCACAAGGGCCGAGCCTGTGAGAGAAGACAAAGTCTGGAGAGTGGCTTCACTCCTCACGCGCGACCATAGCTGTGATAGGGGGTAGAGTTGCACAAGGCGTCTTTTTGGCGCAAAGGGATTCGGGATAGCGATACTGTACGAACTACGGATGTAGATAGATAGATACCCTTGACGTCGACTGATTTCATAAATGTAACAATATGATTGATCATGACAAGAATGACGATAGTGTGTTACGTCTGTTCGAGTAGCCACCCCATACCTTTGACCGTATCCTCGACAAATGTCTTGCTCATTTCCATTTCGGGAAAATTCGTCCAGAAGTAATGGCCCAGCCCCTCATAGACATCAATTTTCGTTTTCACCCCAGCTTCCTCCCTTAGTACTCGTTCATATATCAATCCTTCATCACGTAGAGGGTCTAGCCCGCATACTTGAAAGTATGCTGGCGGCAGATCCTTGTGCCCTCGTTCCGTTTCCCCATAGTGAAAGGGCACGAACAACGGACTAGACATATTGCCGTTCATGCCTGCTATACTGAAAATCCTCGCCAGATGGTCGAGGGGCAGCAGGCCGAGTACAAGTCTGGCGACTGGGGTGATAAGAGGGCTCAAGGGCCCTAAATCCACTTTAAGGATGGGATCATTAACCGGGGTCACAAAAGGATGCGAAAGATATTCGGATCGATACTGAGTGGGAATATGAGAAGGTGGCAGGAAACACATAATAGCAGGGACGCCCAGATACTGGCCCGTTAAAGGAGGCGATAGTTTTTCATCACGCGCGATGTGTGTGAGCACCGCTGTGATGTTCCCACCGGCCGATCCTCCCCCGACTACAAATCCCCGTGAAGGGTCGGCACCGAGCTCTGAGGCGTGCTGAGCGCACCATTGAAGTGCATCCCAAGAGTCGTTGATCCAGGTTGGGAAAGGGTGCTCTGGGGCGAGCCTATATTCCACGTTGACACACACGGCTCCCTGGTCCCGAGAGAACAATCGACAGTTCACCTCCTCATCGCTCAAGTCCCCCATGCCCCATCCCCCTTCGTGGAACATGACGATCAAAGGACTCCCGCCCTCCTTCTTTGTCACGGGCTTGTAGACCCTGATTATGATCTCTGAACCGTCGCGGACAGGAATCTTCCGATCCTCCTCGATGACTTCAGCGACAGGTCCAGGCAGGTAGCGGAGAGCCCATTTTTCTTTTAAGATAGCCGCCCTGTGCTCCCGGAGGGCAGTATGATCTGTCCGGCCGTAGTACGGGTCGGATGGCTTGGGCAGCCTGATCGCCGGGCCCTTTTCTAGTATGGCAGCCAGGACTGGATGTATAATTGCTAGCGAGGCGAGTTCCCCTCTTGTACGGGGCGCCATGGTGAAGATGTCGGGAGAATATGAATCTGTGATTAATATGACGGCACCCACAGAGTGTGGCCTGAGAAGTAAATCATAAGCAAACCAAAGTGTAAGTTATTGAACTGTAGAAACTGCCTTTATACAAGGATTCTAATCTAAGGCGATAAGAAGAGTCGGAGCTGGAAGCTCCTTAAATATAAGACTCTTGGTTTGCTAATAAGCGAACGTATAACAAGCACCTAGGTAGCGGTCGGGTAGTGGTTGGAACTTGAGCTGAGCCGTGGCAGGTTAGAACCGTCACACCGAGGGTTCTACGGAAATATATATCTGCGTCTAGGGGATGAATACTGTGTTCTGACGGAGGTGGAGGGATGCCTCTCACGTGCGCGAATAAATCCCGTGACTTTTGCACGTGACCTATCTGGAGGCATATATCCAAATCCGAAAAGCCGTACTCTCTCTTCTTCTCTCTTTAGCTTAATATCTTCGTACCTACAGTTATAGTTGAATAGAGAGATATCTAACTGCAAGGCACTCTTTAGTTGCATCTGTGCCAAGTAAACCTCACGTGCTGGCGTTAGGTTGGTCAATTTCACACGTGACCAAGTCAAGCCACGTTCTTGGCTCAGCCCCCTGCTTACGAGTACAGTGGCGCCAACCCGCGTTCACATGCTCAAAGCGCCAAAACAAAGCTGCTGCACAGCATGAAGCAATGGACGTCTCAGAAGACAGAACAGAACGGACACTCGAGCATCCGCATCAGCCAAAGATCCACAGCGGCAACAGTAAGGGTAACGGTAAATATATTCCCAATACGGCCATTGTTTCACGCGTCCTTTTCTCTTTGCAAGTGCAACGACAAATATACCTATCCTCTGTTCAATCTATCTGGTTGCATTCGGATAGCTTTTTGTTTCAATTCCAATTGCAGATTTCTTACTCGCAAGATCTTGATCTTGCGCTCGATCATGTCATTTTCTACAAAATGCGATGGCGGCGAGAAATTACCGCCTGGTCAAAAATCAGCTTGGTTTTCTTTTATTAAAGTATGCTCCGTCCTCAGCGATTCCTTCCCAATCGCAATATTATTCCTTCGACCCCTATAGAACAGTCAATTGGCCACGCGCTAACATGATATGATAATCGTAGTCAATAGCAACGTTCAAAGGCGACCTCTCCTCCATAACCGCACCCCCATTCCTTCTCTCCCCACAGTCAATCGTCGAATATAGCGGATACTGGGCCGAACATCCTAGCTTCTTCGTTGCCCCGGCCCACGAAGAAGATGCGCAAAAGCGTGCCCTAGCCGTCCTGAAATGGTTTCTAAGCACGCTGAAAGAACAGCATGGAAATAAGGATGAGAGTAACAAGAAGAAGTGGAAATTGAAACCCCTGAATCCGTTTCTTGGCGAGCTGTTCTTGGGGAAGTGGGTTGACGAGGCGGGGACGACGGAATTGGTCTCAGAACAAGTTAGGTAGGTGGACAATATAGAAGTAGTGGGATGAGAAGGGACTGACGGTTCCTAGCCACCACCCGCCTGCTACGGCTTTTAATTTATGGAATGATGAACATGGAGTCAGGGTACGTTAGAGAACCCATTACTTTGAGGAGGTTTGATCTAACTCTTACTCAAGTTGCAAGGACATATTGCCCCTAAAGTATATTTTAACGGGACCGTCAACATAGAACGAAAAGGCTACGGTGTTATGCACATCGATAAATATAACGAAGACCACCTAGTCACCATGCCAAAAGTCCACGTCGAAGGACTTGTAACTGGCTCTCCATCTCCAGAACTATCCGGCACGTCCTATATCCACAGCTCCTCCGGCTATACAACGAAAATTGAATATTTCTCCAAAGGCTGGTTGAGCGGAAAGCGTAACGCGTTTATTGCCACGATCTTCCTCGATGATCACGCGAACGAGCCCATTTATATCGCGGAAGGACAATGGAGCGATACTTATATAATTAAAGACGCCAAGACCCAGAAAGACATAGAGAAAATCGATCTTAATACACTCCGGAAAACGCCAATCACGGTATTCCCTCTCGACAAACAACACCCCCTCGAATCACGGCGCGCATGGCAGCACGTAGTATCTGCAATCAACAGAGGCGATATCTTCGCCGTCGGGCACGAAAAATCGAAAATCGAAAACGAGCAAAGACAGATGCGAAAAATGGAGAAGTGTGAAGGGAGTGAGTTTCGACGAAGATATTTTACACGCGCAAATGACAATCCTATTGCGGAGAAATTAGCAGAGGTATTGAAGGGGACTTCAGTGAAAGATGATATGATTTGGTTGTGGGACGATGAGAAGTATAGGCGTATTGAAGAGAATAAGAGGAATGGGATTAAGAGTCCTGTGCATTGTAGATTTGATTCTGGGATTGAAGGGATTGATATGTCGGATGACTAGCGGGTTGCATAGCTTGGTTTGGCGTTTTGGATATACCACCCACTAGTAGATATGCTATATATCCCGTGGGTACTGGCGCCATAGAATTTTGATATAAGGTGGAATTAACAATGCTAGACCGACTTCTAGAGTATCATCTAGCATTATACAAAGTACCTATTTCGTCATTGCAAAACGAATACGGCAACTAAGTATGCTCACGCTCACTAAACAAATCAAGGTCGTTTGAAGATATTCGCGCAATCAAAGCTCCCAGGTAGGTAACCATCCCCGCGATTGCATGAGATAGAGCTGGTCAAAATTCGTCCCACCTATTATTATTCTACAATTCTGCAAGCACTATGACGTATTTCCCGATCTCTTTCCTAGCTTGTCAGGGGTATTTGGGAATTTTGGCGGGGCAGCTGGATGGAAACAAGGCCGCAAGGCTGAAAATGACATCATGACTGCCCCCTTTTGCCATATGCTTCGAGCCTTGCGCCATAACTATCGTGAGTTCATTAGGTATATATAGATATGTCTACTCGTATGAAGATTCGTTCTTTCTTCTTTCCACATCAACACCATATACATCTACAAATCATACACTGTCAATAACAATCACCCAAATAAACGAACAATAACCAACCAGTCATGTCTGACAAGAATACCTCCACCCTTCAGTCCTATGTTGACTCTGCTTCCGGCGCTGTCCAATCTGCTTTTGGCGCTGTGATTGGAAGTACTGCTGACAAGGTATGCTCTTCTCCATTTCCCTTCCCCTCTTGATTTCTCCTTCGCCTATACAACGTACCCAACAATGAAATGTCCTGCCAGTCATCTAACCGGAGTCACAGAACGCCGGTGAATCCAAGAAAGATAAAGCGACCCTCGAGAATGAGGCCTCGCACGCCACAGCTAAGCTCGGAGGTTTCACCGCATCTTCCTCCGGTGCTGTCACAAAGGACGACCCCAACCGCCAGGAGGGAAGCTGGAATCAGACCTTGGGATCTGCGAAGGAGGCAGTAGGTGGTTTCATCGGATCAGAGGTTCGTTATAACTACCCCACGTTTCAATATCTGTATGATACATGACAACATCATGCTGACCCAGTTGGAAATAGGATCTTAAGCGCCAAGGCGCCCAACAAAACGCCGAAGGCAAAGGCCAGGAGGCTCAAGGCCAACTCAACGATTTCACCGGTGGTGTTGCCAACCGCGTGTCTGGAGCGGTAGGTGGTGCCTTTGCAGGTATTACTGGAAATCGGGAAGCCCAGGAGGCAGCACAGGAGAAGCATGACGTTGGTAAGACACAGCAGAGGGGTGCGGAGTTGGATATTCAGAAGCAAAATAAGTAAATGGAGGGCAGGGGAATAATGACAAAAGGATGACACTGCATTGTATGATTGTAAATGATATCCCATGGGGAAGTGAGGGGGCTGGCTGGCATCGGTAATTTTAGTTGAGGCTGATGCCTTGTGTCGTTGACGGTGATGGATAAGGTGTGGAGTTAGAAATAATGATATACCCCTTTAATGCAACAATAGATAGCGCGACTCTCCTAAAAGCGCACCTCAGATATTCCAACCTGCATAGCTAGACAAGTGCTAGCATGGGTTTACTAGAAATATCCCAAACCCCTCAATGTCAGAGAAGCTCAACGTCTATATGGAGAGGAGCTAAACATCCTGGCGTAGTAATTCATGATTTTCGTCGCGAAAGACCACCTAAAAATGCAAGGAGATCCCAGAGGCTCACGCCAATTACCAGATCTGGAGATGGAAATGTGGCTCCGTTGCACGAATGACCTTGCCTCTATTGACGATGATATATGGTTTACTAAGGCAGTTGACCTTCGGTAATATTTTAGTTTATGAACTGAAATTATAGGTTGCTGTCATTCTTCTAGCTCGTCTCATTATCGTAGCTGCTGTAATTTCTATCCTTGTATCCTTCTTATGCCGTTAGATCAGAAGGGAACTTACAGTTAAAATCAGTTTACCATTTAAGGCAGATAGGGTGTTGGCTTGAAGGATCATCTTCGATTGTGAACTGATCTGCACGCTTTCAAGTTTTTAGCATTTCCATGCTCTTGTAGCCGTCCCAGTTCCAGGGTAATTGAAGGGAGCGCATCTTCAGGTTCGATCTCTGCTGTTGAAGAAGGGTAAAGAGACATCTAGAGAGACGGGGTGAGAGATACGGGAATGGAAGTCAAGGATGCATGTTGTTTAAAGCGGCGGAGATCCTCATTCGTCGGGTGGGTCGACAAAATCCCAGCCCATGGTGCTTATTCGGGATATCATTTCCTTTTATACCCTTAGGAAGGTGGCCCCCTAGGCTAATTTCAATTTTCAAACAACCATAGGTGCTCTAGAGGTGACATCCGGAAGCTTAGGTATTTCCCTCAAATTATTACCCCGCAATACTCACCACATGGCCCATGAAACCAACTCCCACCTAGCTCGAAGAGGTAGATAAACGTCCCTAGGGCATAAAATGCAATAGCTAGGGTATTGAGGATGATGACCTCGTCTTGTACCAACGCCAGTACTACCGGCCTTGCCAAGCTCGGAAGCAGGCCCCAAGAAGCTATTCACAAGTCCCATCATGAACATAAACAACAATAGCAGCCTCTCGATCTCTTGAAGTGACTTGGCTAGGGATGCGGAATGATACTCCCGTGTGCGGTTCTTGCTTCAGTAATAGAGGCTGAGTGAATAAACACCAGGAAAATGGACTGTGAAAGAGATAAAACATCCTCCCTCGAGTCTTCAAGGCACCAAAGCCTCGATGCTGCTGAGAAACCGTGCGAATGGCTGTTCACATGATGTCATCCGTGGAAAGAAAATCAAATCTCTGGAGGTAACTCATTCTCTGAAAATGAGCAGCGGCGGATGTATCTGATGCAAGGAGACTTCTTCAGATGCTGCTTCTGCCAAAATCCTATCGAATAAACAAAGATCGTTGGTGAGAAAGAATTTCCCTTCAGCTCTCAATCGCGAGAATCATTTTCTTATCTTCGTGTTTCCATCTTAGCACGGCTTGGCATGAGTGGGGCATGCCTATCAATTACTCGGTAGGCACGCATTGCTGGGATTCGATATCTTAACGTCGTCGTCGTAAGAAAAGTTTCTGCGACGAGGTTAAAATAAACCCGGAGAGACAATTCAGGGATAAATGGAGAGAAATAGTCACGCCGGAGCTGGTAGTGCTTCGTCCGACGTCTCGGCGGACTGCACCCTCAACTTTATCAGCGTTTCTTGCCCGGCAATTGGCCAACAAAGTAAAACATATCCCTTATCATATCGACTCATAATATATCGGATATGTCCCAGCCCACAACTTCCTAGCGCCGGCGGAGGAAAGCAGGATTGGCATGGACGGTCAGACGTACAGTGATGGCCAATGTGTCGCCGCTGACTCCAGCTCCTGTGCATTATTTGCTTCAAGTTTTGCGTTTTCGTGTTTTTAGATGGCGAATTGCGACCTAGCTTTGCTTACAACTACGGGACAAGATGTCTCCCTTTGGGCCTTTACTCACGGAAGAGTTATACCGATCGCTGGAATTCGTAGTGACTTAGGGCTCAGTATATCTCACGGCCGCCGTCATGGGTGTGTCGAGCCTTACAGAACCTCCTATCAGAGGGTTGGTTGGAGAACGAGGGAGGCTTATATGTGGATGTATATAAGGAGAGGGTGATAATGGAGTCGTTGTTCTCGTTTCAGATCGTTCCATACAGCCACTTTCGTTCACTCTACTCCCAATATATAAGTGAACACGGACTTTTCCCTTTTCTTCTTTGACTTTACTCTTTTTCACTACCTCGAAACCACCAAATCATAATTTCCCTCTCATGACCGACATGGAGTCGAGATCAATCACTCTTGCGGACGAAAAGGATCGTGCGAGCACTCCTTCGTCCCATTCGAGTATCGACATATTCACGCAAACTGAGATAAACAACTTACCAAAAGATCATGAAGGCCCTTTGCTGAAAGCTGACGCGGAGGGGGAGAATGAGAAGGACGAAGGCGAATATCCAACCAGAGCACGCTTGGCGTTTGTTATTATTGCACTTCTTCTCAGTATCTTCCTTGTGAGTTGCCTATCCTACGACCTACATTATTTTCAAGATGCTAACGTAATATGAATAGGTGGCTCTCGATATGACGATTGTAGCTACAGCCATCCCGAAAATTACCGAAGAATTCGCAGGTCTGGATCTTGTAGGCTGGTATGGATCAGCTTATTTCCTTACAGTCGGAGCCTTTCAGTCGACCTGGGGCAAAGCATACAAGTATTTTCCATTGAAGATATCCTTCCTTCTCGCCATTTTGCTTTTCGAATTAGGCAGTCTTATTTGTGGTCAGTATATTTCTTGCCTTCCTCCCCAATTATCATCAAGATATGCTGACACTGTCCTATAGCTGCCGCTCCAAACAGCACCGCCCTGATTGTCGGACGAGCCATCTCGGGTCTCGGGGGAGGAGGCATTGCGTCCGGTGCCTATATAATTATCGCCTTTTCTGCACCACCGCGACAACGCCCTGCATTTACCGGACTCTTGGGGGCTGCGAACGGACTAGCAAGCGTGATCGGCCCCCTCATAGGTGGTGTCTTCGCTGACCATCTAACATGGAGGTGGTGTTTCTGGGTGAGTCCCCCTCTTAGCGGAAACATAAAATCACCATCGCCAGCTAACACGAAAGTCAGGTGAATCTCCCGATTGGCGGACTTTCTGCGGCGATCATCCTCTTTTTCTTCACAACTCCTGCGCAGGCCGTCCCTACCAAAGCAACATGGAGAGAAAAGTTCTTGCAGATGGATCTCCCCGGTGCATTTGTTGTAATGGGCGCCATCGTCTGCTATATTCTCGCTCTTCAGTGGGCCGGACAGTCAAAAGCGTGGAATGACTCTTCAGTTATCGGCACATTAGTCGGCTTCTTCGTCATAACGATCCTCTTCTGCGTGATAGAATATTACCAAGGCGAGCGGGCCATGATTGTGGGTCGTATACTCAAAAGCCGCAATGTCTCTGTCAACATGGCGTTGATATTCTTCCTTGGCGGGGGTTTCTTCCTCTTGATGTACTACATTCCGATCTACTTCCAAGTCGTTTCCGGCGTCAGTGCCTCGCAATCTGGAATCCGCAACCTGCCCTTAATCCTAGGTACAGTCATCGCGACTATCATCTCAGGCGGCGCCATCTCCGCAACTGGACAGTTCCTCCCCTGGCTTATCGCTGGTACTGGCATGGCAACGCTCGGTTCGGGCCTTCTGTATACACTAGGCACAGACTCTCCCCCGGCCCAATGGATTGGCTATCAAGCCCTAGCAGGTCTCGGCGTCGGCGCTGCCCTCCAAGTCCCCATCATCACCGGCCAAGCTCTCTCTCAGGCCTCCGATCTCAGTTCTGTCACAGCAATGATCTTATTCTGTCAAACTATCGGAGGTGCATTGTTCGTCTCAGCAGGTGAGGTGGCATTCGCAAATGTCTTGGTGGCACGATTACTAGTTCATGTCCCTAATCTCAACCCCGCGAAGGTTGTGGCTGTGGGGGTTACGCAGGTCAGGGTTGTATTTCCGGCAGAGGAGATCCCCGGGATTATAGATGCCTATATGGATGGGTTGAAAGCCAATTTTGGGATCGCTATTGCAGCCACAGGGCTTGCTTTTGCGATCAGCTTTCTGAGCAAGTGGACGAGTTTGAAGGGGAAGGTTGTCGTTGCAGGGGCTGCTTAAAGTACCTTTGTTTTGTGATTGAGAAATAAGAGGATATATACTGGGTATATTCTGGGTATAGCGGGACGCAGATGGAGTTTCATAGTATAAGAGCGGTAATGGTCATTACCCAGGTAGGTTGGTTGGGCTGATAAACTTTTGCTGGTGTCGGTCGGAGTTATAGGGGCTATACTCAACTCAACACCACAGGATGTACAATTTAATAAGCACCTCTGAGAGGAATGCGATATTAATTTGGCTATTCGAAAGACTTTCCCAAACAGCTCACTAAAAGGCTGAAATATATGAATATTCAACTGGTATAAAGATCTCTTTCTTTTAAATAGTTATAACCACGTTTCATGGGGCCCGTTTAATGTGTTCTATTTTGGATAGTGATGGGCGTAATACGATTGCTTGCTGCTAGTTAAGAATAAATTATGAGAGTTTTAGTGCAGTCTACTAATGGGGGAGAAAATTATATTCTAGTGGATTCTCCACAGCTAAGTAACAATCACATAGGGTATGATTCCACTATGAGCGGGCATTATATTGCAGTATAGATTTTATAGATCATGTAAAAATATAGGGATAGAAACAATGAGTTAGGGTAGGAAGCGGAAAGAAACAAGAGGAGTAGTTTTTAGCGTAGATGTTCCTCATACTGATATACATAAAATATTCCTACCTATAGCTATGAGCAGCATATTATTGACCAAGTTACATCTCCCTAAATAAAATCTCCCGCCTCTTCTAGCCTATGCAACAATTTCATACAACAACCCCGGAACTCTCACTTCCCTCCTCCGCTTTCTTCTCAGCCTCTGCCCTACCCCTCTGTTTCTCCTTCATAGCATCCGCAGCGGGATCATCGACATCTAGTTTACCCTCACCGTCCTCCCAGTCCCTTGGTCTAACGATCCTAACACTAACTCCAGAATCCTTCGAATATACCCTCAACCCGAGAACAGCCACGGCATTCCATGGATCTTTTTGGAACTCATCCTCCTCATCGTCTTTTACGATTGGAGCAGGGATTGCGGCCGCAGCGGCGAGAGCAGCTTCTGCTACGGCGTCCGCGATTTCGGCAGAGGAAATGTCTGAAACTACTGAGAGAATGTCCGATTCGTCGTCTGAGTCATCAACTGGAGGTTTTGCTGTTGGGGGACTCTCGGTGGGCTTGGGAGTGGAAGCTACAGTCTCCTCGGCGGGTGTCTCCTCAGCGGGTGCCTCCTCAGCGGGTGCCTCCTCAGCGGGCGTTTCGCTTGCTGTAGGAGTTGAGGCCGTCTCGACAGATTCTGACGACGAAGTCTTGTCGTCAGTTTTACTCTCCTCTCCAGGAGTTTCGTCGGGCTTAGGAGGTTCTGTAGTTTCTCCCGTCTCAATATTAGCCGCCTCCTCGTCATGTTTTGTAACTTCGTCTGGCTTCTCGCCCTCGTTATGCTTCTCGTCCTCGACTTTCTTTTCAGCGGCAGCCTTCTCTTCTTTGGCCTTAGCCTTAGCCTTTCTCACTACCTTCGCAGCTCTGACTTTTCGTTTCTCTCTGTTTTCATTATGCTTCCGCTGGAGTTTCTCCTTCATCAACTTCTTCTTCATCTCTTTCTTTTCTTTAGCTATTTTGGCTTTCGCAGCCTTCTTTCTGCCCTTCTTCTCTTCGGGGGTTTCGTAGATTTGACCCTTGGCATGTGCCAAATCATATGCAAGGCCAATTCGTAGGAGCTTTTCCCGACGGTTCTTGACGTTGTTTCGCACGACATCTTCAACATGTGTGGCACTGCTGTCGCGCTCGGCCTCGACTTTCATCAACACATGATACTCGCCAGCTTCAAGCTCGAGTTCTGCTGAGACAGATCGATGCATCAACACATTGCTAACGCTGCGGACAAGGTAGTCCTCCTCCCCAGCCTTGTGCACGCGGAATACCAGCTGGAACCTGTATTGGTCTTCGAGACCGCAGAAATAACGGCTATCCAACTGGGAAGTAATAGTGTAAGTGATGAGTGGGGCATGGAGCGGTGTTGTTGTTACTTACCTGTGACAGAACAATCACTACCGGCGCTTTCTTCTCAAGTATAAAGCAGAACTTGGTGTCATTGTAATTAAGCGACCATGGGATAGCCAGTGAGGTCCACTGTTGAGTAACTTTCCAATCATCCGAGAATAATCGCGTACGATCAAAGATCTGATACTTCTTCAGAAGGTCTTCATAGGACATCCAGAAAGCCCCGTCATTACCAAATCGATGACCAAGCTTTTCCATCCATTCTGGGGTCCACTCCTTGCTCCCATCACCTGAGATATGTTAGCATAATGAATGGTGCACAATTGTGATAATAATCTTACTCCAGGGTCCAGTCCATTCCTTCTGGCCCCAGGGATTTCTCAGCAAACACAACCGTTTTCCATCAATTTCAACGCATTTCATAATTGAATAGGCATGGCCCTCAACAATCCCTTTCCTTTCACCACGACCCCCAAAAATACCTCCCCAGCATCCGAAAAGAAAATCCTGGTTGACTTTCATTAGTTCCTCTTTCCAGAAGTACTCCTTATCGAGAATATCTGTGCTGAACACTTCGGTAGTGACGCCGCCAGTTAGATCTTCAAGACCTTCTCCAGTGAAGCCGCCTTCTATTGCTGCGTAATCCTATATGCATGTCAGCCATATTGCATCGCTTATGAGGGTATGAGAATTGCAAAATCAACAAGTGAACTGCACCGCATGCCAAGGTCCGCCATATAAAGCCCGATCTAGTGTATTATGCGGCATGGTCTAAAATAACTTACGCCATGAGCTTTAGCATATGCTTTTTCCATTAAAGGAAGCCACGTTTCATTCGGATCTTCGCATTGAGCAAAGTAGAGTGCGTTGGAGTTGGACTGTAATTTCGGGTCAGTAATGATAACGAATGGTTGGGGTATGAGTAGCAAACCTGGTAAATCCTGCGATAATCCTCCTCGGAGTCGATACGTTGGTGGTCTTCAATTAAGTTTCGCTCTTCCCAACTTGTGTCGTAGTCTGGCTTAATCAAATACAGTTTATCATCGATAATTTCAGAGATCCACTCGCCATCTCTGTGGAATACAAAGCCATACACTCCAACTTGCTCATCTCTCGCAACACACACCTTCTCAATAAGGCCCTCTTTATTACCCAAAGTGCACAAAGCTGCCATAAACCAGCAATCACCATCTCTGCCTTGGCGGATATCATTCGCAGTTGGGCCCTCGACAAAAAACTTCGGATTGTCGAATATATCAGCAACTCTCTTGACGGACCCCGGAAGGGGGTAGAATTCTGCAGTCGCATTGTCTGACGAGCTTGATAGCATCGTCAAACAATCCGTTTGGCCGTATTCCAAGTCGAATTGGATGTTGAAGTGGTTGTCCACGTATTTCTGATTGATCCGGCGGCACTCTTTGACAATCTTCGCAACCTTTCCCTTGCACCGCCTTGCCGCTTCTTCGTATGATGATACTGCGCTTTCCCCTTTAATGACCCCCTTGGGCGTTTTCTCGCTAGCTTTCTTCGTGTAGTTGTTTTTGGGTAAGACGGTCGCAGCTATCAGTAGATAATGATTAGTGGGTAATATCTTTTGAGCAACTCTGGATTATTACTGTACCTCTGCCAGGAGTTTTACTGTCGAATTTGGCCCAAAAGTCATCAATGGCTGCCTGGGGTGCGAGGCGCTTTGGCTTTTTGGGAGGGGGTGCCGGTACTAGAAGCATCGGTTTGTCCTTGGTAGGATTGCCAGCCTGGCTACGGGAGCTGCATGACGACGATGAGGAGGATGAAGATGATCGGGGCCTGCTTGGATTGTTTTCAGTCCTATGTGCACCCGGTGCGAACCGGTGTGCAGCGCGTGATAGCATGATGGCTGTCGAAAGTTGATCAGGTAAGACCGTAAATCAAAGGCTCGAAAATGGCTGTTACCGGCCCACTCAAAAATATATCAGATAATGGCTTACAGCTGCAAATGCTAGTTTAAGAAAGAAAAGGAAAAACCGGTGGTCTTAATCTGAATACCACGACGAAGCCATCGAGCGGATACTATATGCGGTGAGAGTAGTAGTGCTGATTGTCAGCCCCATGCAGCGGCTGGACCTGACTGTCACAGTGGCCAAAGCTCTGGGCTGTAGTAATGCAGCCCTCCGCGTTTAACTGCCCTGGATGGGCTATGATCCATGATGATTCGCCGGGGCCCCGAGAGAAGTAGCCCCCAAATGTTGGTGAGACGATGCACTTTGGCGGCGAAACAACATAGTATACGACTCACAGGCTGGGCATCCCGGTGTGTGTTTCGGGGGCGGATGGGAGGATTGGGAGGATGTGAATGTTTGAGAAGTTGTCTTGCGCGGCATAACTGGAAGGCGGTGGCGCGAAAGTGATATCAAGATCCTTAACTTCAAGTTCTTGTTTGCTGCTGCTACGTACTTCGTATTCAAAGAGAGGTAATAAGTGAAGAACAAGACGGTCGTGTGCCAGCTGCCCGTCTACCATGAAACTAGGCCGTGCTCCGGCCCGTGCGGCCCTAACCTTAAAATTATGGGTCAACCGATATTGTCCTCAGGCCTGCTGGGCCCCTGATCTCCCATTCTTAGATCTGCACCGACATCTGCACCTAAGCTCTAAGACTTGTTGAGAGAGTCAGCCCTCCAGGCGGAAGCTGCATTAAATTTGAGTTTCATGCTCAGGGGAAAAGCATGCATTATTAAGTTGAGAAAATAGAGAGGAGTCAAATACTCATAGCTACCTGAGCCTTCCTTGTGATCGTAAACACTCGTTCTGTTGTTGAGTGGAAACACATAACTCGTGAGGCTTACATGCGTTTTAGTGAGATCACGAAGGGATGGCGTAAGTGCATCTACTTTAACGTAGTGATGTACTCAAATCGACAGTTCGGCACAGTATTGACAGCCGTTACCCAAGGGCACAAGGGAAGAAAGTAATTCCTCTGTATTACGTTTGAACAGGATAAGCCCATCAGGGGAAGAGAATTTACATGGCAAGATCACACGCCAGGGTGCTCCTTTGCGCGCGGCATAGCCGCCTCCGTGGAATCGACCATGGGATCGAAGTCTCTCCTAAACACCATCCCCCTCCGGTTAAAAGTCCTATCTGGATTTCGAGGCAAACGAGCTGTGTCCTTGGGCTGATCGTTTCCCTGATCACCGTCATTCGCAACATAAGGCCTGGTTGCCGAAATCCCCACAGTACCGTTCAGCTGTCCTAATTCGTAAGTATTTGTTATACCTGCGTTTGAATTGGCGGTATTTCGGTGGCTCGACCTAGGACTAATAGTTAAACCGTAGGAATGGCTCACAACATGTGGATCTATCAGGTGGGTCGTAGCAGGAGATGAAGTACTCCCCGCAACTTGGTAAGCTAGAAAGTTGGCCCTGTGTCGATGCGGCTCCTCGACATACTTTTTAAACAGAGGCCTCAGCGTAGGGATTGTCGCCGCAATTATTCCGATATTGCATTCGATTGCTGTCCAAATTATGACATTGGTGTTGACCCACATGAAATCGGCAGTTTTATCGCGATTGATGACTAGGTAGTACACCTTGACTACACCGGCAATGGCTGCTCTGTACAAGGGTTAGTCGGAAATTGAGGAGAAAGGAAGATGCCAACCTACAGGATCCCAAGGGACAGAATGGCCCAGAGTGAGAGCTTGGTGCGCATGTCGGTTTGTAATTTCCAGAACAGAGGAATCGGTAGAATGGCGAAGACGACATCAGTGGCGATGTTGAAGACTGTGTTATAGTTAGTGGCTGAAAATAGCCAATTTCCACCGCGATCCTTGCGACTGGAATGATGCCTAATAACTGACTAGTATTTAAGAGCGCAATGCCCGAGGCAAGCTTCTCCGGGTTACACATGGTATTGAATGCATCGTCAGGTTGCGCAAGGCCTGGCCTACATGCGACTAAGAGAGAAACTGTAGCGAGGTTAGTAAGTATTTTAAGAAAAAGTAGATATATTAGAATAGGAGCAGAGAAGAAGGCTCACCCGATGCAGCAATCGTGTAAAATGCCGTAATCTTTATGACGGTCCTGATGAACTTCATAAAGAGCGGGGAGTGAGTGAAGCGCAGTAAGAGGTATCCGACACTTGCTTTGATAAAGGCCATTGAGAAGCCATACACGATCTGACTTTCGAAAGCGAGCCGTAGCCCAGCTTTGAGGCCGGACCATCCTACATCTTCATAAGCATGGAACAGATGGCGACCCAGGCCGTAATGAATCTGATGCACAACAAATGTGCATCCAAGAATCGAAAACACCTATCTTAGTTAGTATGGTGTTAGATACAATAAATTGAGCTACTCGCCATTGCTACTCCGATCGAGTAGTCATCCCAGCCTCTGTCGGGTTCGCGATAGATCCGCACAAATCCTTTTGCGAGAACCGCGCAGAGTGCAAAAACGGTGAAGAAGACGGTCGAGGCTATAATTACTGTAGTATGATTATCATCTGGCAGATTATAGCCAGGAAGGGCTGTTGGGTCCATCTTGGGCGGCCTGTTGCGAAACGCGGTCTGTGATGGTATTTTCTTTGCTGAGGTTGTTGTAAAATCATACGCGCCGCCTGGCAAATACTTTTGTAAAGGTGAAGGTGAACGAAGCCGAGAGTAAACACGTGAGTAGCTCGCCTCCCCCTCCCCCCCTTTTCTCTAAAGAACCGTTTCTTATCCTCGACGAGCCCTAGGTGTACTGACCAAACCCCCGACTGCTCGCCACTACAGCTATTGCCCATTGCACATATATGCCAAGTAGGGCGATAAACACATACTGCCTCAGTTATGGTTCTTCCACCGCAATGGATCGACTCGACATCTCGATGGCCATGCTGGCCACGCATCCGGAAAGCGGTGACTGCCGCCGCAGTCACCGCGAGACCTCAAGATCCAACGATCAACAAGTCTTTGAGAACGAGAACGATGGCTCCCATCCATTGGGGCCTTTCTTCATCCAGAGATAGGAAAAAAGGCCGAGACTCAAGATCGATGGCTTGGTTCGACTTCTTCATATTCTCTGTCAATCCCGCACATTCAAGGCTCTAACGGCTCCAGGTCAAATGCGGCTCGCTCAATGAATGACACCTAGGAGTCATTGGGTTGCCAGACGTCCTCGGAAGGGGAGCGATTCCATTCTTCCAAGTTGCAGATTTTCGTCAATAGCTGGGTGGACCAACTTCAGGAATCGGGAACGGCAACTGGTACTATATACCTTTATCGCCCAGCACCTACATATATCATCTTGAAGAGGATAAGAGGACGAAGACTCTCTGGCTCATTTGATGCTGGATAAGGGGCCACAACATCGGTGGGAAGCGGTAAATCCCAATAACCCTAGGCGGTATGGCCAAAAAAAGATGTTAGTGCAACGCATAACATCAAGACTCCTATACCAAGTTAGTTGGCTTCAAGGGTAGTTATAGACGGGGGCAGCTGACACCTTAATATGCCTGAGCCGAGTTTATGTATTGTGGTATTAGAAATTTCAATTATAACTAGGCGGATTCCTAGGACATGGAGCATTGATATGTATGACGAGCAACATTCAACACTGTACATTCTCTAGAGACCTGGGGACGTTTTGCGGGCCACATTATGGCCCGACCATCCATTTAATTATAGACAGCCCAATAAGAGTTGTGTTCAAGGCAGGTTCAAGGCTTATCCTGGTATACCTCATCCTGAGTCCCAAGAAGGAGATCGCTCCTTTCGTCCTGGTGATTTCATCTCGGCGCTCGTATGAGTTGCAGGCAGCTGCTCGGACCTATCTTCTCAATAGCTGGATGGTAAAACATTTCTTATTTGAGCAAAAAATAGTGTATTTAGTATTTAGATAGTCATATGACTATAAACTTCGCAGAATGAAGGTTGTTTGCTAACAGATGACGTTGGAAGCAGGTCACGTGCAGTATATATTCCACGCTTCCAAGCGAAGTCGCGCCGTTCTCTCCCGTCTGCCCGCCCGCAAAATCTTCAGGCAAACAAACAAATCACCGTCTCTTCACAAACAAATACCACATTTCCATCCGCATCTTCACCTTTAATCGACGCTTGTTTCCCACGTCGTCGTGGGATACCGAACCGCAGCAAATTGCCCCGCTGACTCTCTGGATCTACTGACATGAATTAGAGGGAGAATAGTCACAGCACCGCTTCCCTGCTCTGCGCTGCCCCGCCGCAATGAGTGAAACCCCGGACCAAGAACCCTCGGCGGCCAGCCGGTCCATCCTGAGCTGGTATGATAGCACCAGGCCGATGATCATCGACCTCATTGGTGATTATGCGGGCAAAGAACTCTTTCTACTTGAAGGAGACTCGCTATTAAGAGAGTGTTTTGAGGACGATAGGATCGATTTCGATTGTGAGTTCCGGAATTTTGATGTTATGGTGCTAGCCTACTAGGGCTTGCAACCCAACCCAACCCAACCCAACCCGCAATTACCAATGGAGATATTCGCGCCTCGTAATAGATTATACAAGTCTATTCATGGACCTTATACATTCCCACTCCACTGGATCCATTGTGTTTATCCCGAATATTTCACTTGCGCCTGGTCGCAAGCCTGCCGCACGTCCTCGCTTCTCCCAGGGCTAGATTTGCTAACTATTCCAGCCGGCTTCCAGTTGCTTCATAGTGTGTACGTCGTCGAACGATTCCTGGAGAATCTAGTAAAGCGACATTGTTCGTTTCACATTGCATTTTTTGAAGGTGGGCCCACTCCCACTATCTTTCTTGACTTCCTCTAAGAAGTCCTCTAGAAAATGCTGCTCTATGTGTCCCCCCGGGGCTCCCTCCCACACACCGTGCTCGGTACCTATTGGCAAGAGCTGTGATCAAGCGACATTTTGCTCTTCGCCTTCCTTCTTCCCACCCAGATGTGGCGATCAATGTTTTTCCTTCACTCGAGAGCCAAGAATTCAAAGAGTATCTTGACGTCACTCCAATACATTTTGTGATGATGCACGATGGATCATCCCGCTCCAAGAAGATTAAACGGGACTCTTCAGACGATGATGAGAAGCTTGCAAAAATATTGCTACGGGGGATGATCTGGTGGTGGAACACTCACAGACTGAATGTCTCCCTTATTAATCGGATTGAATTTCGAGATTCAAAGGTCTTCACAATGATTGTTGAGAGTTTTACCCCCTCAAGTAAACAAGCGTTTCTTATCTCTAGCGCTGCAATCCAGGATGAAATCAAGCATGCCACAGAATCGATGAAGGAGCTCCAATCAGAACAAAGCTCAGGCGAGCAGGCTGCATCTGCTAATTTCCAGAGGTTGGTAAAGTGTCCCCCTGGTGACATAGACTCCGAAAGCTACTATCTCGCGGCATACGGAGTCTCCGCAATTCTCAAATGCCAAGACTGCGACATATTTATGGCATCAGCCTTCATTCTCCACACTATAATTTTGAAGCACGTCCCGATCTCACAACGGCGGCTTCCCCTGATCAGTTTCGATGAAGAATTTGAAGACCAAATTGAGGGGTTCATTGAGGATATATCCAATATATGCCGGCAAACAATAGACAGTGCCGAATGGACCGAACTCATGGCAGAGAGAATGGCCCAGAGCGATACTACGGATCTCGTGGATGGTCGCGTGTTCCGCGCAGTCATTCAAGCAATGTGTGACAAATCAATCGAGGATGATCTCCCATCAAGTGTCAAAAGTGACTGGAAACTTCTGCACCAACTTGTAAAGCAGTTGACCGGGGAAGAGTTATCATTGAAGGGGAGCACAGAGCCAGAATTCTCAGAATCCACGGCAACGGAAAGTGATTTGAAACCAACGCCTGAGGATCTTTCAGTTCTGCCGTTCTCTCACCCAGTGTTCGATAAGCACTTGGAGTGCATTCATGTTGCAACAGACACGTCGATCTCGACGAAAATGGAGGCTATGAAGCTGTATCGAGAAACTTCACATTGGCACAATCACCGGAAACCATTGAATCCTAAAGTTCCACAAGCTGTGAAGGTCTCAAAATGGCGGTACGTAACCAAACGACCTGATCCGAGTGATCCTCACTATAACTCCAGCTCCAAACTTAACAACCACTTACTAACACCAACAGTAATCCCTTGCGATTGAACCAATTTTATATGAGCGAAATGACCTCTTATGCGGCCAGTCTTACTGGAGCAAAAGGCAGGGCTCTCGATGCCGAAACGATCACCGTCGGGCCCAAGCGGCTTGTGAAGCCAGCCGAGAAAGCTGAGAAGGCCGAGAAGAGCTCTGCCATAGCAAAGCAACAGCAAGCTTTAGACAAAGGCGCGCAGGGGCAAAAGGCCGCCCCGAAGAAGGGTACAAAGAAAGCCGCCGCAGGGTTGTCCAAAAAGGACCAGATGATTGCTGATAACATGGAGCGGAAAGGGGGGTCAGAGGCTGACAAAGCGTTCAATGCTTGGGCCACGATAAGAAAAAACTTTGATGTGCTCTCCAACGACCAGGACCGCTACTTGAGGACCATCGATTATCTCAATGGCCTGGACTCGACCAAGACTACGTATCTTGAAGGCGAGGTTAACACATATGCCCTTCAATCACTTCTAGGCTGGTGGGCCGAATATTGCAAATCTGGAAACAAATCTGGTGGCTATCATGTAGTTGCGTTAATCTGGACAACAATCCGTACTATCTGCTCTATTACCTCACCAGTTAGTAAGGAGATCGTCCAGCATGTCACCAAGATTTGCACCCTTCTAGGAATTACAGATGCAGCAACACCGTTCGCCTCATCTACCACCGATCGCAAACTCTCCTTCACTTTCAAATATCCAGTTCAAGCACCATCGCTGCTTATCGATATGACACAGTCGGAATTTCAGCTAAATCACTGCGGACCGTACATGGATCGAATGTTAGACGCTAAGCCTGATCCTCGAGTCTCGAGCTTCGTTCCTGATGGCTGGCAGCGGGATGTCCTCGACCAACTTGATGCAAACAAAAGTGTATTCGTGGTCGCACCAACTTCGGCAGGAAAAACATTTATTAGTTTTTACGCAATGGAGCAGGTGTTGCGTGCCGATAACGATGGGGTTTTGATTTATGTTGCACCAACGAAAGCCCTTGTCAATCAAATTGCAGCTGAAGTGCAAGGTAAGTGATCCTCTCCATCCATACAATCAAATTTAATCTTGCTAATCAACTCAGGCCGCTTCTCGAAGAAGTATCCCCTCCCTGGAAAAGGTGTCTGGGCCATCCACACACGGGACTATCGTGTCAATAACCCTACGGGTTGTCAAATTCTGGTCACTGTCCCACATATTCTCCAGATTATGCTTCTTTCGCCTTCTAATGCAAAGAGTTGGGCTCCTAGAGTTCGTCGGATCATCTTCGACGAGATCCATTCCATCGGACAGGCAGAGGACGGTGTTGTGTGGGAACAACTTCTCCTACTAGCGCCTTGCCCGATCATTGCGCTGTCTGCCACTGTCGGCAACCCAGGACAATTCAATGATTGGTTAATAGAGACACAAAAGGCAACTGGAACAGAATTGAAGATGATTCAACATGCTACGAGATACTCAGATCTTCGAAAGTACATGTACGAGCCACCGAAATCTTTCCGGTTCACAGGACTAGGCAGGTCCCACGGGGTCGGTCTCGGTCTTGATGGCTTGACCGGGTTCGAGGAATTCCATCCTGTCGCCAGTCTAGTTGACAAGTCCCGCGGGATGCCGGACGATCTAGCCCTTGAACCCCGTGATTGTCTTTCACTGTGGAAGGCGATGTGCAAGTGCCAGACTGAAAATTATAAGGTGCCAGAGTCACTAAACCCCGCGAAGGCTCTCCCACCCTGCATTCGAAAAGCGGACATTTTTGCATGGGAAAAAGGTCTTAAAAAGGTTCTTTTACAGTGGATGCAAGATAGTGCATCTCCATTCGATAAAGTTATCTTGGAATTGAGCCCATCTGCTCCTAGAGAACAGCTCGAGGAGGCCCCATCATCCGCCTCTTCCGTTACCGAAGGCGAAGACCTGGATCCGCAGGACTTGGAGGCCACAACTTTGCCGCTCTTATATAAGCTGCATACGCGTCGGGCCCTTCCAGCTATCCTGTTCAACTATGACCGAGCCCAATGTGAGACTATCGCTTTTGCGGTCCTGCGACAACTTGTCGAAGCAGAAGATCGTTGGAAACAGGGGCCTCAATGGAAAAAGCTTATGGAGGGATACGAGAGATACAAGGAGCAAAAAGAGAAGAAGTCCCGGAAGCCAGCCAAACCCAGTAAAAAGAGCAAGGATGATGATGAGGGAGGATCTAAGTTAGATCGCATGCGCGATGAAGCATCTGACGGGTCCTCGATTTATGACCTCTTTGACCCCGATGCCCCACAAACCGACTTCAGTTTTGCCGATCCAAAGCGACTCCAGAAGGCTGAGCTCGATGAGTTCATCCGAGCCTTGCGCTGGAAGAACATAAAAGACGAGCTCATCGACCTACTCAGAAGGGGAATTGGCGTCCATCATGCTGGTATGAATCGCAAGTATCGACAATGCGTGGAAATGTTGTTCCGAAAAGGATTCCTTAGAGTTGTGATCGCTACGGGAACACTGAGCTTGGGTATCAATATGCCCTGTTCGACCGTTGTTTTCAGTGGAGACTCGGTGTACTTGACAGCATTGAACTTTCGACAAGCTGCTGGTCGTTCAGGTCGTCGTGGTTTTGATCTGCTAGGAAATGTAGTCTTCCAGGGCATCTCTAAGGAGCGAGCAAGCCGCCTGCTTAGCTCGAAACTTCCAGAGCTTACAGGGCATTTCCCTATTACGACGACTTTGGTCTTGCGACTATTTACGCTTCTAAATGGCTCTAACACATCCCCATATGCTGTCAAAGCCATTAACTCACTACTCTCACAGCCTCGACTCTACCTTGGTGGGGATAGTTTCAAGGAGCAGGTGTTGCACCATTTACGATTTTCCATCGAGTACCTTCGCAGAAACGAGCTTCTTAGCCCTCGTGGAGAGCCTGTCAACTTTACAAGCTGTGTATCGCATTTGTATTTCACGGAGAATTCGAGTTTCGCATTTCATGGTAAGTATAGGGAAACATCTCTTCCTACTTCTGAGCAGTTGCAATTTAACGAACGTGCATACTAACTTATTTTGAAGCCCTCCTTCGAGGAGGATATTTCCACCAACTCTGTGCCGATATCGACACGCAACCCGATACCATCCTCCAAAAGATGATCCTTGTACTAAGCCACCTTTTCGGTCGCCGCGTATGTAGGGAGATCGACGATCCCGAGGAGGCTGAGAAGATCAAGGCATCTCCATCAATTGTGTATCTCCCGCCGATGCCAGAAGAAGCTACCGAGATTCTACGAAGGCACAATAAAGACACACTCGACATCTTTACCACATACGCTAAGACATTTGCTGAGCAGCACGCAAAGGGCGAAGAGCAACGACTACCGCTGACACACACAGAGGTCGGCCCAGAGGAGCCATCAACTGCCAACTTCCTGCCGAGTCTCCCCACACCACATGCACGATCTGCTTTTGTTGCGCTTTCCGGCCTGGGAGATGACTTTGTGACGATCGAGGATCTCTGTTCTTCTACCCGTGACGGCGTCTTTCTCGAATCAGCCGTCGTTCCCCATTTGGAGATCCATCCAGATGAGACTCGAACCCCGCTCAACGCGTATCTGGTAGATTTCTATATGCATGGGGCTCTCGAGCCTTTGGAACGGGCCAATGGTATCCGCAAATCGGATGTAAGTATTATTATATAAACCATACATTGTGAGAAACCTGACTGATCATTATAATAGGTATGGTTCGTACTGAACGACTTCTCATTGGTTCTCGCAACCATCGCCACCTCACTCGCTCTTTATCTGGGTCTTGAGTCCGATGCAGACCCTGAGATGTTGGATGTGATGGGTAGCGGCGACATCGCAGAGAATGACGCCGACGAAGCAGTAGCTGAGCAGACTGTGCAGGACACCCAACCCAAAATCGGTACCCCAGTCCAAGCCCCTCCACCTGTCCGGAGAAAAAAGAAGGTTGCGGAAGACTGGGACGCAAGTGAGGACGCTATGGTCGCTGAGGAGAACTTCCTGAAGAGCGGGGGACTAAATGGCACAGGTGCGACAGATGATGAGGAGTATGATAAGTTGATGAATGTTTACAAAGCGTTCCGGAAGCTGAAGACGGACTTTGATGAGAAGTTCAGAGCTATCTGGGCTTAGATTGCCACTGCGGTAAAGACGAAAAGCGATGTCATGATGTTTATGATGATGATGAAGCATCAATGTTATGTTAGAGTGATGTTATTGGGAAACGACCCGGTTAACCATGATAGATTCTAGATTGCAATCTCAATTCGTTTCCACAAGAATAGACAGGTTCTTCTACACTATGCGCTACGCCTTCTAGAAAGTTTTATTATCTCTCAACTCTCTACTGCGTACTCTCTCTAGCTCTCTCCCTGCCCTAAAAGTACAATGTCGATCGAGAGGTTCTCGACTTAAACTATGTCGTAATTGGCGTTCATCATGGTAACCTAGCAGCAGAATCACAGACGCCGTTATTCCGGAAGACGAAGTACGAAGTCTACGATGACAAATCAACCCCGCTGCATCCATGATCACATCACCTACAAATACATCTACGGAGCAGCAGCATTCTATGTAACAGTAAAACCATATATATTTATCCCACAGAGCAAACCCTCGTAGGCTTCAATAAACAGACCAAGGCAACTCAAAATGGCCAAGTAAGCAACCATCCATCCATCCCCTTCTCGACCATCAGCATCTAACCACACCACGTCCCAGCCTCCAAGCCCTCACAACAACCCTCACCACCTCCGGCCCCCACAAAATCGAACCCACATCTCGCCGAGTCCGCGCATTATTTGACGGAGTATGGATTTTCGATACAACACATAGCCAATACGTATGGGAGCACAAATACTACCCCCAATTCTACATCCCGCTTAAAGATATCACCACCGGAGTCCTGCGCAAAGGCGACGCGTATGATTCAGGGGGGTCGGCATTCAAAGGTATAATGAGAGGGAGAGAGAGGGAGAATGATAGGGTAGTTATTTTTGAGAAGGGGGAGTTGGAGGGGTTGGTTAGGTTTGAGTTTACGGCTATGGGTATATATACTCACTCACTCGCTTTATTTACGAGAAAAGGCTGGGTGAATTTGCTGATATTTGGAACTAGATGCTTGGTTTGAGGAAGACCAGCAGATCCATGGTGATCACCCTAAAAGTCCATATACGCGCATTGACATCCTTCCTTCGTCGCGGAAGATCGTGGTGAAGATTGGAGGCGTGGAGGTTGCTTCATGCTCGAACCCGATGTTTCTTTTTGAGACTGGGTTGAGGACGAGGTTTTATCTCCCGAAGTCTTCTGTGAGTATCTCACTCACTTACCTTAGGCATATTTAAATGCATTGCTAACGAGCGGTATAGGTACAATGGCAGTATCTGTCTGAGAGCAAGACGTCTTCAAAATGCCCGTACAAGGGTATAGCTAAGTATTATGATGTTACGATTGACGGGAAGGTTTGGAAGGATGTGGTTTGGTGGTATGAGTTTCCGACTGTGGAATCTGGTGCGATTCAGGGGTTGGTGTGTTTTTATAATGAGAAGGTGGATGTTTATATCGATGGGGTGCTGGAAGCAAAGTAGATATTTGTAATGAGGCTGGGAATAGATAGTAATTAACAAACCGGAATCATTTTGTTCAAGTAATTTATATTCTAATGTTATTTTTCTATTTTATAGTTTTTTTTTTAAATGCTGCTAATATACTACAGAATAGCAGATATTTATCGACCCCTTTTTACGAAGGTCGGTATGTATGTCCGGGATATCCTCAAATATATCAAGATCATTCAAATAACTCCCCAACACCACGTCGACTATACCATCTAAAAGTATTTCAATGGGATAACCTACGTTTTGCAATGCACTATGCAAAGCTCAACCCGCTATTACCGCGAGTTCCTCAATTATACCACTCGTTTGTATCAAGTTGGCCTAAAAGAGTCAACATCAGCGCGAGATATCAGAAATTAAAGCAAACAATTCCTAAACTTGCTCATCGGCGCTCCTGTCAGTACGAGTCTCCTGTTTATTCAAAAGCGATCTCGTTGTTGGTGTAGAACCCATTCTGCCAATGTCAGCGACCTTCTCGTGGATCGAATTCCCATCTGCACTCCTTTCTGTGTTCCTCCGGCTCATTGACCCGATAGATGATGTCCTCGACTTGGCCATGGTGAAAAAGCCTTGTCGTAATCTCAACTTTCTCCGGTCGGTGTTTACATCCTCCTCGCCTTCCTCAAACAGATGATATGTCCGCTTGATGTATTTCCAGACTTCGATACCAAAGACGAATAGTATGACAGCTCCAAAGGCGAGCCCCCACTCCCAGGTGATACCAATGTGCTTGAAGACGACAGTGTTGAGACCTGGAATATAAACAGCGGGGAAAACCGATAGCGCGCCGATGACCACTGCCCAGAAAAGGAATTTATTTTCATAAACGTCTTTAAACAAGGGGAAACGGCTTTCAGAATTAGGATCCAGGCTAAACATGCTGCGCCGAATAGATTTGTACTCCCAAGCAGAGATCAAAATCAGCCATGTTAGCTCAGCGAAGACGGTTGCGCGGGCGCGGAATACAGGTTTGCAGTCATCGCTGTAGAAGCGGTTGCAATCATGACCGAGATTCCCGTCATTCACACCATAAATGATGATCACGAACGTGAGAAGGGTGATTGTTCCCATGATAACACCATACACCATCATGTCAACCATGATCTGTGGAGTAAACACTCCCCATTTGATATTGTGTGGTGGCCGCCTCATGATATCGAAACTTGCTTTCTCTTTGCCTAGTCCGAAAGCTGGAAATGAGGATGTAATCATGTTGATCCAGAGAATTTGTAGCGGACTCAATGGGAAGACAGAAAAGCCGGTGCCGTCTTGAAATCCCAGGCCGGCAATCAACAGAATGACTTCGCCAACGTTACTGGAAAGAAGATGAAGGATGAATTTTTGGATGTTGCTGAACATTCTCCGGCCTTCTCGGATTGCAGCCACGATACTATCGAACTTATCGTCTGTAAGGACGATTTTCGCGGCACCTTTCGCAACGTCCGATCCGGCCAGCCCCATTGCTATCCCGACATCTGCTGAACTCAAACTTGGCGCGTCGTTGACTCCGTCTCCAGTCATGGCCATGAATTTACCTCGACGGCGAAGTGCTTCAATCATTCTGGTTTTTGTGTCCGGAGCACAACGAGCAATTACCAAAGGAAGTTCCGGAAGTGCGTCGATTTCAGCCTCGGTCATTTTGTCGAAGTCTGTTGCTTTTTGCACGATTGCGTTTGCCACATCGGGGGAGAGTTGTCCCATGTTGCGTGGAATGATTCCAATCTCCTTCGCAATGGCAGTGGCCGTTGCTGGATGGTCTCCCTATTTTCATATGTAAGATTTTTATCATAGATAGATAATCAGCGGATGGAAAGACTTACTGTAAGCATGTGCACCTTGATACCTGCTTCAGAGCATTCACGAATCGATCCTTTAGTCTCATCACGAGGAGGATCATAGATCCCAACCAATCCAACAAAAGTCAGATCTTGCTCGACTTCAGCTCTCAACTCATCATCGCTACCCTTTCCTTTTTCAAGATGAAAGATACCGTCCCATACTTTTGCAGCTACGGCGAGGACTCGCTGTCCCTGTCCTGCAAGTACGTCCATTTGATCCATGATGTGCTTCTTTAACTCGTCGTTGATTGGTTCGTTGTTTGATCCCGTCCCAATCGTTGTGCAGAAATCGAGGATACGCTCAACGGCTCCTTTTGTGAATACCATGCTAGGCTTGCCTCCTGGTGGATGGTAGACGACGGACATACGTTTGATACTGCTGTCAAATGGGAACTCTGCGACTTGCTTCCAGCCCTGTGCTAGGAATTGTTTCTTGCCACGAGCAAACCGATGAGCGAATACTTGCAGAGCAATTTCTGTTGGTTCTCCAGTTGTTTGCCATTTCTTTTCGTCTCCTCCCTCAACGTGCTCAAGCTTCACGGTGGCTAAGTTGCACAAGGCGACTGCTTCCAGGAACGGTTCGAGGTTTGGTCCGAGTACCGCATCCTCCTCGGTGGAAGTTTGCGTTCCAGATTGTTGATCTTTTAGAGCCTTTTCGGCAGGGATATCGAATTTCAATGCTACTGCACTGCGTTGCTGGTCGTAGTCGATTGTTTCTTCTGTTTTGGCAGGCATAGGTGCTGAATCGCGAGCTTTACTGACAGTTCCCTGAGTGGGATCATTCGGGTCCATTGAATTGTTAACTGTGTAAATGCCCACTTTTGGCAGCCAGACCTTCTTAACGATCATGGCACCTTGAGTGAGGGTACCGGTTTTGTCTGAGCAGATGTTGGTCACGCCTCCAAGTGCCTCGAGCGCCGATAGATCTCGAACGACCACGTTAGCTTTTCGCATTACTGTCATTCCTACAACCATAGTAATAGTCAAGACACTAGAAGATAGTTAGCACTTGTAATTCAGAGATTTGAGGGGTGTTCTTACGCAATCAAGGATTCGGGGATAATCGCAATGCCAGTTGAGATCGCATAAATGGCTACCTCATCCTACGACCGGTTAGCTGAGGTTTTAACAATATCCGTAGCTACTTACAGTGACATGGAACTTGTTCACTCCAAATACAACGATGGCCAGCAAAATAGCACAACCCAACAAAATATAAGCAAGCTTGGAAAGTTTGCGCTGCAAGGGTGTGCCTTCGGTCAGGCCCAAGAATTTGCCGACAAAGTCGTAGATCCGTCGTGAAAGGCCTTTGATGGGCTGCGATTTCCCATACTTCTTGTAGTTCATCGAGCGGCCTGCTTTTCGTTGCTTACGAGTTGTCGATGCTGCAATCTTGCCAACCTCTGTTGCCATTCCAGTAGAACTGACAATTCCTCGACCACGACCCTTCGTAACGGTTGTTGTCGAGTACGCCATGTTGAATCTATCACCGATACCAACTTCCCCTTCTTCCGTGGCGAGTTTCTCTGTTCCTGGGATGATGATGTTGCTCTCGGTCGTCTTTTCGACGGGTTCGGCCTCTCCTGTTAATGACTTTTCGTCGCAGTAAAGGTTCATCGTTTCGAATAGTCGTAAGTCTGCCGGGACTGTATCACCAGTCTTTAAGATTACGATATCCCCGGGGACAACTTCTGCACTGTACAGAAACAGACCGTTAGCAATGTCCGATTAACCCTAGCGCACCCTAGAAATGACATACCTTGGGATTACATCGACTTTGCCGTCTCGCAAGACTGCCGCACTGGGTGATGAGAGAGCTCGAAGAGATTCCATCTTCTGCTCTGCTTGAAACTCTTGGTAGAACCCAATTGAGCAATTGAGGACAATAACAGCCGCCAGGACTCCACCCTCAACCATATCGCCAACTCCGAAACTTAGAGCCATGGCAAAAAAGAGGACCTTTATTGTATTAGCAAAGTGCTACCCAGAGTTCTATTGAAGGCTATATCCCGACTTACCAGAATCATGGCATTACTGATTTGTTTGATCAAAATCTTGTACCAGGCGATCCCCCCGCCGCCGACCAGCTCGTTTGGAGGGCATGTTTGTTGAAGTTCCGCTACCTTGCGGGCAGTGAGGCCCGTCTCTATGGAGACTCCCAATTGGTTTGCGACATCTTCAACCGATAGAAGAAACGGATGTCGGTCGGTCCGATGGTCCGGTTGCTTCGTGGGCGCCATCAAATCACTGGAGTCGGAAGGTAAGCAGATACTGGTCTGCTTATCATAGCCAGAAGAATTGTATTCCTACGCAAAGAGCAACAAGAGCGAGTGTGGGATTGAAATATGGCTGTTTCGGGTAAGATACTCGATTGAGTACGACTTGGTGATTTCTAGTAAAGTTTAAACTGACTCAAGTAAGGTACTTTAAAGAGAGGACTGAGAAAGCGGGCATGAAAGGGATCCCGCCGGTTATATAGCTACTGTACCTCCGTCGATAAACAGTCTTCCGAGGGTACGGCAGGCTCCCAAGAAACCAAGAGACCACGCCACCGTCCCCCTGACTGGCCAAGTGATTCCAACGTAGACAACAACATGTCTGCCAATGACGACGAGACTGCACGACAGGACAGAGCAGAACACTGACTGCCAAGTCTTGGCGGGCGGAGGTTGTCCCCGTCGCCAAGCGATTCCGCCCATTCTCCTCCACTCGGCGGCGACGTGCGGAAACGATTGTCGGGGAAACCGTGGGAAAGCTTAGGGGAGCTCCGAAGCAGGAACACGTGCACTAGTTGCCTCTGTCAGAGTGGCTTGTCATTGGCCGAAAGCGGCAGGAGGGGTGGGATGTATTCGAAACTCTCCCATATACTCCCGCCAGGAAGAGAAAATATACTGGCGATGTGCGTCATTTGGTCGTATCGCATATTCGCCATTTCGTCATACCGCTATCCTCCGCAGACCGGGGGCGCCGCAGCAGCCTCTTTCCGCGCCGAGCTTGGTGGGGGCTTGGCGTACAGGGATGTCGCGCGTCTCACGTGACGGGGCTGCAGTGGTTCTGATAAGCAACACCTTACGTAAGGCACCTACTTACCTGGGATATCTACAGGAAGGTACCTACCTGTAGCCTGTAGGTAAGGTATAGAGTAGAATGCCATTTAATAAATCCCTAAGGTACCTAGGTATTGAGCAGTTTGAAAATCCCTATCAAGAGCCTCGGCATTTAATGTAATCAAAGAGAATACTATGATTTGTAGGTATTACGTGCGTTCTACGTATAATGTGAGCAGCAGTGAGCTTATGACCGCCTCAGCTACTAGTCAGAGCGAGTACTCTCTTGATGCATTTTCCTCATTTCTCTATTTTCTTCCCTTCCATATCAAGGCCACTAGATAATTCAGGATTCTTTTAATTTAGGAAGATTTAGAGGCAATCTAACCGGGCTAGGAGCAAATAAAGTACGTGGGGTTAAAGCAAATTGAGGTAAGTACCTAGGTACTTAATTATCATTGCAGTACCGCCCGCACCATATAGCAACGAAGAAAGCCGTAAGAGCATGGTTGTAAACATACAAAACCCCATCAAGTAATGCATGCGGTACAGCATTCTGGATGTCTCTGGCTCCAGTTACAATAACAAAAGCAGCGTCGATGGCCGTACCTAACGCCGGCAATTACTTGATATCCGATCCATTGCGCTGGATTGCTTATTTCTTTCAAGGTGTATAAAAGTCCGCATCCAGCAATGAATATATCAGCTCCAAATCCACATAACCGGCAAATAAAATTCGAAAATAGTTATTAGCGCGCCGTCGTGAGAGTGAAGAGGGTGATGGGGATACCTTAAGCCAAAGTCTGGATACTCGATTGTATCGCGCTCGTGCCAGTAGATGATTACCTACCTACCTACTAGGTAGTAGCAGTGTGTTCTATCAAAAAAGGGGGTTATTTAGCGACCAAACACCCGCTACATATATATGGCCAAATAAGCAAATACCTCCTCACAAAGTACAAGGGCGTGGCACTTGGCTAAGTGTGTTCTGGTCAAATTGTACTTCCGTTATCGCCAGGGACGATAGGAAAAAAGGGAAAACAATAACAAAGCGACAACAACAAAAGCGACAAGAGATGTAGGCAATCGACACCGGGCCGAACTCTTTTGCCCTTTTCAGGGTTAATTCCTTTTTTAAAAAAAAGGAAATACGCGATATAGGATTAAATTGGATTTATTGGGATAACTTCCTTGTTTTGTTGTGGGGTTGGGTTTGGCGGGGATGGGTGGGGATGGGCAGATTGGTTGTCACCGCCTGGGAGGTGAAGGCGTGATGCGACGAATTGCCAAACGGTACCTTAACGACTTGGAAATAGAATGGGATATAATGGACATGAGCCATCATTGCCAACTGTAAGCAAAAGATGAAGACCCAACGAACAGCTACCGTTCGCTCTGAGATGGTTATTATAGGAATTATACCTCCATCGTATATTAGCAGCACGTTTGCTATAGAGAAAATCAAACCCACGAATCCATTTTGTGTGCTTGTAGAAATACAAAATTCCAAGGAGCACCCCAAAGGTGAGAAGGAGCACACTCTTCCATTAGACCATATATATTCAGTCCCGCCCCATTGCAAAGCGAACAATAGGCAAACGATAGTAGCCAACAAAAAAAGTGCCCTCGGGAGATCTAACTTCGATGTTTCCTCCCATGCTTACAGGTTTGCTTGAGCAGGCATATTATCTTTGAACACGAAGATGATTATCAGAACTGCCAGTGTTCCGAATACTAAATAAGTTGAACTGTCGGTTAACTTATAATTTAGAAAAAATGTTCAGAAATGGGAAGGCTTACGAAGATTGATCTAGAAACAAATGGCTAGCCTAATTTTGGGGTATCTGTAAATATTCCACCCAGCAACGGACCTCTTATTGATGCTATCTCATACATGCTAGATACAGCTGTAAGGTAGATTGGACGCTTCCTCAATGGAACGGACATTGCGATGGTAGTCAGGAATCCGCAAACCCGCCCCGCTGCGCTAACTCTTACCTTCAAATAAACCTGGCAACAAAAAAACAGAAACAATGGTGAAAATGGCAAAGGACCAAACCCCGTAGGGTTAGGAGAAACCAGGCGAACTGATTTTAATCGGTTTGGAATATTACAATGCTTCAACTGCATCCCCAGATGAACCATACCCGTGCTACCAACACTACTAAGATATTATATCTTCCTCTCGACAACGTCGCTACTTCTAAGGTAGCAACTTTAAAAAGTAAAGGGCTACTAGGCATTATAATCGTATATATAAAGCTTACTGAGCTTTTGGATGAGGTAGATACCAAGTTATCAAGACCCAATGCATTAACGTCCGTCCCTAGGTGATGAGAATCCGCTGTAACGAGAAATACTATCATTTGCTCGGCGAGTTAGCAGATATACCTAATAGAAAGCAGACAACTAATAAAGGCTTGACTTGTCACAACTTGTAATACTGCCCGAATTTGTGTGAAAAAGTTATTTGTAACGAGCTCGTTATGGCAGTCGCTATTCGCAACGATCCAAAGCCTGGTAATATTTGTTACAAGCTTTCTAAGCCATTCGTGAGGCACTTCTGATCGCTGCCTCTCGACTTTTAGTAACACTCTTCATCGCTGCTGCAGATTCCTTTATCCTCGCAGCAGCTTGCTTCGCATTCCGATCAGCATTTGTCATTCTATCTAATCCATCACGCAAGTATCTGAATATAACATATTCGAAAACACCCATAATAAGAATTTTGTCTCTACTGAGTGAGTTCCAGTCCTTTTGTCTCATGTCTGGATATACGTTCAGGATTGATTTTACCGCGGAATGTCGATCGGGATGTCGTTCGTTTTCAATCCTATAATACCTGTCGTAGTCTGCTAAAACTTTCTTGGCAGCTTTAAAGGTCACTGTGAGATTTTCGTTAGTAGTTGTAAGTATTTACCTCAAGAGGTGCTTTAAACCTACAATACCATCGACTCTCATGATTCTCCATACCTTTCGGTTGAAAAACAAGCCAAAGCCGATCGAGTGAACTTGATAAAACTATATTAAGCGTGCCGGTGCCTAAAGATTCTTTCCTCCTCATAAATCCTCCAATAAAGACTTGTGCATTTCCGCTGTAAACAGATTTCAGCGCGGAACTTGAAAACGACACAAGTGAACGTACTATGTATATAATTTGTTTTGAGGTAGTACATCTTGCAGTGTAAACCTGACAGACCTTGTATCTCCTGACTCATTACGATTGAGTAATAGCGGTGGCCTTTCCACGCCAACTTGAGAGACAGAATCTCCAGCAACTATAGTGCTGTCGTTATCAGAAATCATGCTCTCCGGTCGATCGACTAGTGCCTCGGAGAGTGCAAATGGATTCTCCAGAGGAGCAGATGACAGCGGGTAGCTTCCTACGGAAGAAATTATATCGTCAATTCCTTGAGCAGATTCTTGTGCTGTTTGTGCCGTGCCTCTATAATTTCACTTTTAGTTGAGGTGTATGATATCTATACCCTGATACTTACTGTAGAAAAGCATTCTGTATCATGCCAAGCATTTGCATATATCCTTGCAATTGTTGTTGAAGTATCAAAGCCTCTTCTCTCTCAAAAGGCCATTTAGACTTAGCCCAGAAGCTAAGCCGACGCCCTGAACTACCTGCTCTACCATCAAGCTTCGCATTCAACTGCTCCATAGTAACCTTAATATTACTAAGTACTGTTCGCGTCGAGCCATTCCATATGCTGAGAAACTCCTCCGATCGGTGCACTATCTGCAGGCTAGCTCTTAACGACGTCAAGGTGGCTTTCGTTGCATCGAGCTGGTTGGCAATCTGCTGTGCTTCGTGAGGCGCTTGTGTTATTCCACGGATCAAGACGCCCGCCGAGCCGATGACCTTAAGGACAGACCCAACACTCGCGACAATTCCGACTATCTCAGCCATTCTGGCCTCAGGCAGTTGTCCACAAGTTGAGTTGCATTATCAGTTATTAGTTGAGATATGTGTTGCAAGCCCATATTCAAGGAGGTAAACCTTTAAGCACAGAGAGCACAACAGCACCAGCCACGATAGATAAGGAGGGGTAGTCACGTGGCCAAATGTAATGACTGATCTATCAGAAATAAGGTGGTGCGGGTGTAACAATTTATATAATATATACTCTTGGCAAGGGCTGGGGGGGCAGCTGAAGCGGCTCTCGACGCTATGGACGGGACGATCGACAGTATAACAAGACTACGGTATTTTTCTTGTTAGAGACCAAATTCTTATAGAGAAATAGCTGAAGAACAATAACAAACTTACTACTGGTATAACTTTATATATTCGCTAGGGAGAAATTTGAGACCTTTAAACAATGAATAACTATTACACTAGCTTTTTATCCTATTTACTGGCAGCAACCGCAGCCGCAGCCTCCTTGTCAGCGGCCAACATCCTCTGTACGGCTGGCCGATTCACGCAGCGATCCCACCAAGCACTCACAGCTTCGCGACTGACGATGATATCTCCGTACCCGCATGCGAAAAGCCTTTGGATCAGCGGAATGTAGTAGATATCCACGAGAGTGAAGTCATTTCCAGCCATGTAGTCTTTGTGGTGTAAGAGACGTTCTGCAACATCGAAAAACATCTCGACCGACCGCAGTGCATCTGAGACAACGGCCTCATCAGGAGGCAGCCCCCTGAATCTTTTGACAAATTTCTCGAATCCGATTCTACCTGCAGGCTCTGCGAAGTAGATCGTTTCTACGCACTGCGCCTGGTCGAACAGCGCCGCAGCTTCGACGTCGGAGTCGGGGGGTAGAAGTGGAAAGGAGTACTTCGTTGCGAGGTATTTGCAGATTGGGCGACTCTCGTAGAGGGTGAACCCCTCGGCGGTAGTTATGACGGGTATTTTACCCCACGGGTGACGTTTCATGTGTTCTTCGGACTGGGTGCAACGGCGTTAGCTCCCACGAGAATCGAACGTTGCAGGCAGGGGAAGTAATTTCGAGGCTCGATACGATACTCTATACAAATATACAATTTGCTCACGCAAGGAGAAGCCGCATCGTCTTGCAAGAGAAACGGGTCACCCACCTTTTGCTCCCCTTTTTGAAGGTTGACAAGCACGTGTTCGTAATCCGTAAAGCCACCTTCGGCAAGAGTCAGGCGGACACGGTCGGTGTTAGTCGAACCGCGAGAGCCATACAGAGTAAAAGCTGGCATTTTCGAGCGGTACCGTAGTTTCGACGTGAATCCGGGGCTGTTTGTGAGCCTCGACAGTGTATGAGTACTCATTCTCATTTCGAGAGAGATCGGGCCAACCACTCGGTATATAAGCCAAAGACATCTCGCCGAGAGCAGGAGCTAGCGGTATCTACCGAGCCTGGAATCTGGATGCCTTCACTTCCATCGATGAACAATAAAGCCCTTCCAACAGCATGTACTCGTATGGTTGGTGGGTTCGCTTTCGCTGCCCAATCGAGCTAGCGCCGGCGCCTGCTCCTCGGGCCTCAACTATTTAAAGCGAGTTCAGCTTCCAACTCGCCTTCTTGATAGTCCCGGTGCTGACCTGGAATCATGCTGCATCATTTGATTCGTCTGCTCGGATTTCTTGCTTGCTACGATTCTTCTTCTCGTCTGAAGGGCGTTGCGTGACAAGCGTGAATGTCCGACCCCCGCCCAACGATGGCCGGAAGCGTTGTCGCCCGCAAACGGAACATTGAATGTAGGACCAAGGTGAAAACTGGTTGTACAACCTGCAGGTCAGTCATAGCGGACGGATCCCATCACCGGTCTACACCCCAGGACTGTGAGTTTAGACGAGAGGTCAGCTCTGCAGTAATTGTGCTCAATTAGCAATAGAATTAGGAAGGTCAAATGCGACGAGAATAAGCCGTTTTGTCAAAAATGTGTCAACACTGGCCGTACTTGCGACGGCTACGAGTCCCCCTTTAGAGTTTTTACTAGTCAACCCATCAACAGCGCTCATGCTGGCGGCATCAAGTCGGACGTTGGTTTACAACCCATCCGGCCCACCTTCATTAAGATCGCCCCTCAGGACATCGACCTTCTCAATCGCTACTTCTCAACCAAAACCTTGTTCGACGTGAAGCTGGGCTGTGACGAAGAAGCCAGGCAAGTCCTCCAAGCCAGCTTGACTGATCCGCCTATACGACACGCAGTCTTGTCTCTCAGAGCTCTTCGGGAAGATCTCGAGACGTCCGGAGACGGTCCAGCGTCTATCGCGCAGCAGACCCCGAGCTATCACTATGGCCTCCAGCAATACAGTATAGCTTTGGGGGGTCTTGCGTCTAACTTGTCATCTCCGGGCTCCAACGGGTTGAAGTCGGCATTACTTTGTTGTCAGATCTTCATCAGCATTGAGCAAGTGCAGAAGAATTACGCTACTATGGCCCAGCATATCATTCGAGGACTCAGGATCATGCACGAGTACCGGGCAAGGCCAGGTTTTGTCGCCGCGAACAAATTGGTGCCAGCACACCATGACCAACTACCCCTCCTGGATGTTTTCATCATTAAGCTATTTGCTGCACCATGTAAATTTGCGGATCCTCCAGCAACAGCCGACGTAAGCGGGACGACGTCGTCTATGTGTTTGATTTCGCCTCATCAACAGCCTGTTGAATCTCGCAATCTTCGCACGATTGCACCCGACATGCAGACAGAGCTTACAAGGATCGCTGCGTCGACGCTTGAATTCCTCGGCAAAGTGTCGCAAGTCGAATCGGTAGGAGTCGCTCTTCGACTACTATCCGAGAAAGCAGCTCTGCTGGACTCCTTAGAATCGTGGCTCCTTGATCTTGAACTCGTTCAGACGGAGATCGGATCTCCTGGCCCTGAGCCTATTTCAGTGTCTTTCTTACGCTTCTTCCATCTAATACTGAAAATCATTCTCTTGGGGGCACTAGACTCCTCACCAGGTCTTTATGCCGAGCTGCGGACTGAGAACGACCGATTGCAGGGCGTAGCCAACAACGTGGGTGAAAGAGTCAGGGCTTATAGAACATGCAGTGGGACTAGTAGTGGTCGAGGGGAGCGCTCCATAGTGCGCTGATATTTATGACAAAGTGGCGTAATCTTTCATAGCCACGTACCTGATTCTTGTCTTTTCACAATCCATGGAATCCGCAACTCCATTGCTAGTAAGTCGAGCGGGAGAAGGCCGGCGGTACCACCGAACGCAGCCCAGTGCAGTTCAAGATAGAAAGAGAAGAAAAACGAGTTGGTCAGCGTGCGTGCGTAAGGTTGTATACGACTTCCAATTGTAGTATACAGACCGAACAAACCAATTAGCGGGGACTCTGTCTCTGAACCGGCCCCCCTCATCGACTATGGTTGTCTGCTCTGGAGGACTGGTCAACTTCATAAATGGATCCGCAACCCCGTCGCCCTTTAGTAACGAAGCCTCTTCGTCTCCCCACAAGCTCAACCAGACGAGTACTCAACGGCACCTCTCATCGTCGAAGGCCATGCATTTCCTCCTCCTCGGCGCCAGTGGACGGACCGGCCAGCACGTGGTATCTGAATTACTCTCCCAGGGTCACACAGCGGTAGCCCTCGTGCGTACCTCTGGCAGCCTCACCCCTCGTCCTGGCCTCACCATCGTCACTGGCTCGCCACTATCGAAATCCGATATACGCAGCGCTCTCCTCGCGGCGCCTCCTCTATCACCTCCTGTAGCGATTGTCACATTGAACACAGTCCGCAAGTCCGACAGCCCTTTCGCGGCTCAGGTCTCACCTCCTCGCTTCCTGGCCGACTCGTGCGCCAATGTTTGCGAGGTTCTGGAGCATGCCGGCCTTTATCGCGTTGTAGTGATGTCGACAGCAGGTGTCGGGGATTCATGGGGTAACCTACCGTGGTTGAGCAAGGCGTTCTTGAGATGGACCAACGTCAAGCACGCGCTCGAGGATCACAGCCTCGTAGACAAGGAGATTCGGCTGTCGAAGATGGATTGGACTCTTGTGAGGGCTGTGAGGCTGCAATTCGACGATCAGAAGCCGACCGACACGAAGACGGACGTGAAAACGCTGGGCAGTAAGGGCGATGGAATGAGCTTGACCGACGGCGTGAGTGTTACTAGTGTGGCGAGCTTCCTAGTTAAGGTTGCGGTCGAAGGGCTCTTCGTCCAAAGCGCAGTAGTTGTGGCCAATTGACGCGGCCAAGGAAGTGGTGGACTTTGAGGAAGACTTCCTGAACGAATTTGTTTTAATTGTTCTATGTATTACTAGTTAATAGAATTAGTTCTAGACTAACTTTTCTGAGCTTAGATCAGTATATTTCGTAGCTGAGTGTCAAAATGAACGGCGATAGAAGGCCAGTGAGTCACTTTCCTCCTCCGTTGAGTGTTCCTCCGGGACGTCCTCGAGTTTCGAGCTCCAAGTCGTGCAGTGGATTCCACCAAAATGAGAGCAAGATTGTCTTGGCGGCTAGTTATAGCTATCTAGGTTTGTATACTCAGACCGTGAGAAGTAGATAGCGCGTAGAATCCCCGTTGTATATTGATATGATCCAGAGCCAGACTTGTCTAAACTATGCAGCCAAGACTCACCCTAGTGTACCCTACTCCTTGTGATTGAACAAAGGTATGAAGCGTCCCTGACTCCCCACGCAGGTACGCAGGTACGCATTTTGTCTCGAATATGTAACCAGCCCATACAGGTTCATGCCTTAGAAACCATACCACCCCGTCGTACCTACCCCTTTGGGGATGCTCTCTTCTATATGATGTCCGATCAATAGCCTTTTGATTTTGAAAGTGTCGATAATGACCTATTAAGGGCTGGGCTGGCAGAATGAGAGAAGGCGGTAAAGACATATGATTATCAGCTTTATATGGTCTACAAGTTTGAGTTGCCTATGCCACTCGTCGCATAAGCCTTCCCTTCGCTTCTCCTCTTCTAACTTCCAATCGCCTTAAACCATTCCTCATTTAGTCTAAAAAGAAATAACTCGACATGTATTATCTCATCTCCTCAACTCAGGAGGTGTGTCTATTTACAGCTCTAGCATCATATCCGCCTATTTCTGTACCTTCCTAAAGAACAGACGGGGCCTTTCACCTTTTCAAGTTGTAAGAACTGACTATTAAGAGCATCAATTTCCTCCTCGGCCTCCTGTAAGTCCCTCTCCAAAGTTCGAATCTGCGCATAGTTCCGATTAAATTTGGATTCCTCGAGGATCAACACAGCCTCGACGTGGCGCCATCTCACCGTTCCACCTGACAAATCCTCTCCCTCCTGCTGCATCCGTTCCTGCTCTTTCTTCAACCGCCCAACCTCAATCCAGGAGTCAGTTAGGGATTCCCTTAGTTCTTTGATTCGCGATTCACAGCATACCGTCTTGCCCACCAGCTCTTCCCACTTCTTTTGCATTGGTGCAAATCGGGGGTTTTGATCGTAACTACAAATGATTGCTGAAATTGGCTCCGGGTGCTGCGATTGTTGAGGATCCACTAAATGGAGTTTGCCTTTTCCATGTGTCGTACTGTGGATAATGGAGTACTCGATATCTTGTGCATTCTGCGCCTTGGAATCACTTAGTATGGCATTTGCCTCGCGGAGATTCACGTCGTCATAACTCCCGTGCAAGCGGCTATGGGAAGTACTGACGCTATGCAATCTCGTTGCTTCGTTAGGATTACTCTGATTTTCATCAGGGGGAAGGCTTGGTAGGGGTTTCGCATAGCTAGAAGCTCCTGGGTAATTGCCGTCAGTATTGCTCCGGCCTTTACTAGGAGGGGGGATTGGTAGGGGTGTAGTGTAGCTGGAAGCTCTTGGAGGGATTGGTAGGGGTTTCTTGCAGCTAGTAGCTCTTGGATACTTGTCGTTAGTATTACTCCGGCTTTTATTGGTTGGAGGGATTGGTAGGGGTTTCCTGTAGCTAGAAGCTCTTGGGTAATTGGCGTCAGTATTACTCCGGCTTTTATCAGGGGGAGGGATTGGTAGAGGTATCATGTAGCAAGAAGGCATTGGTAATCGCCGTTAGTGTTACACGTGGGTGCGATGATAAGTTAGGTCCGATAAACCTAGTTGATAGGGGAAAAGAAGAAATAAATGCGGAACCCATATTTTTATAACTTATGACGTTAAAGGTGTTTCTTGATCCTCTTTGACAGGCTCGGGCGTAAGAGTCAATGTGCCGCCACTAGAAGGGACAAAGGATAGCACAGAAACGCAAGGTGGAAACAAAGAAGTTTGGGACTCCAAAGCATTAGACGCTCATTGTAGATAAAAATTGTTCTTCCTGATACAACCAAAGAGCCACTCTTGTGCCCAAACCTTGGTCAGACATCGCATGTAAATTTCATCAATTCAACATAATGCATATTCTCTTTCATCGTTAAGACCAAAAGAAATCATATCCAATGCCGCTCATCTATGCTGCTTAAGGCTTTCACCACAAAGCTCAAACTGATCCCAGGAACTTCTCCACATTGGCAACATCCTTCTTCCCAGGCCCCTCGATTGCAATAACAGCACCAATCAAATCATGATTGATCTTCTCCCCAACCACGCTATCCCCCTTGTAGTCCTCATGGTTCTGCACAAAATTGCGGATCCATTTCGAAGCAGTCCATAAGGACCCATTAGCACGCTTCCGGATTAAGTCCAGATAAGAAGCCAGCTCGCACCGCGTTTCCACGTCTACGTTCATGCTGTCTAGATAGCTTTCAACCAGGGGTATCAAACCAGGGAAGTTGTTGCCTGAATCTCTTTTGCTGCCATTCATGATCTCGTCAATACCCATTAGAGCATACTCATCTTCCACAGGACCCGTGGGCGTCGGAGGTCTACTCAAAATATGAGGTGTATTGGTACCCGAGTTCGAGGCTCCATTGGCGGAATGCGGCCGAGGAGCTCTAATTGGGAAGGGGTTCTTCCTGAAGTAGAACTTCTCTTCTAATACTGCGTCGCGCCTGTGCGCCGTCTGCATATTCTCATCCGTTCTCGTGATCGGGATGTAGAAGTTCAAATCATAACTTAAAATAGCTCGAGTGATCAAGACCATGAAAACGGAGAAGGCAGCGTTCTCAAAATCGGTGACTTGAATCTCCATTGGTCGAAATTCTACCCGCCAGCCGATGTCATTGTTTGCTGGTGGGGGCTTGAAGCGGATATGTTGCCAATTAGTCGATTGAAGGTTTTCGAAGTGATCAGTCTTATTCAGATCTAATTCTTCCAAATCCTCGGCAAAAACAACAATCGGGTCGCGAATGAATAGATGCGCAAAGTGTGTTGCTAGAAGGGAATCCATCCCCCCGTTCATAAGCTGCTGCTTGACATCGGGATCTATAATGAGATTTGGATCCAAGTATTCCTTCCGTAATCGCGGGTCATCAGAGATGTAGGTTGAGTTTGGAGCATATCGCGACTTTGCGATTCGCCATCGATCATTTTTCAGCGGCTATTGAAATTAGCATTGTCACAAAGCAAACAAGGAGCTCATTTACCTTTTCTCCGAGCTCCTCAGGTGTCCGACAGTCTACAGCAGCACTAATCTGGTTCCATCGTACATCTGTGTCTGCGAGGAATCCTTTATATATGGGGGTGGCTGCGGTCAAAGCTAGAAGAATTGGTCCCAAAGGGCTCAATTGATCGTACATCGTCCGGCCTTCGGTAATATTCTTTGCCTGAAATGTAATTTGCAGACAACAGCTACCCATGCCAAACGCCATAGCATCCATATGGATGAAATTATCTGGTGCCGCCCCCTGACGGACATCGTCGTCCTCTGGCCACTTATGTAAGTCATAGTTTACTGTAGGATCCTTCCAAGGCGAAGGGGTATTTTTGTCTTTGTAAACTGGAACATTAACCTGGACCTTCCGGCCTCTCCGAGCTCGGATATTGGCCGCTAACGTTGGAAAACGGATATGCGGGTTTGCGATCTCATCTGGCACGAACTGAGAGCGGAGTTTCTCACCCGAGGCAGGATAATATGGCGAAGTAAACACACCGGGGCTCCCCAGACGTGGGTACGTGGTCAACGTGATTGGGAACTCTTCAGGGTGCATATGTTCTTTCGCAATCTTGCGCCTGACGATTGTTAGACAGTAATAATGGGGTATATAACGCGTGATCTAACCTTAGTTTCATGTTTGGCTCAACATCAAGGAGATCCCTAAAGCCAATTCCCCAAGGCTTTCCTGGTGTGGCTTCCAACATAAAACGGCCAAATTCCGGATGGAAGATTGGCAAGGCCGTCCCACTGTAACTACTTAGCATAGAATCATTCATCGGCATCGATCACGAGAAGTACATACCCAACATCTTGTAGCGCAGGGACACACCCTCCGTCATCACACAGCTTCTCATCGTGTGCTAGAGCATGCAATATATCGGCTTGCCGTAGCGACAGTGTGACATTCGGGTCGTCGTCTTTGTACGTAACAACAAGATATTCAATCTGCGAGGCTGTTAACAGCTGGCTCATATGCCAACAATGGACAACCAACCTCGTCACCCCACAGCAACGCGTCCTTCTCCTTGCCTTTGGCCTTGTTCCAAATAGCCAACAATTGCTATAAATGCTCCATTAACCCTAGTAATTTTCGGAAGTCCGTTCGCGACTGGAGATCGTACCTGTATTCCCCATTGGCGGACTTGGTCTGCCTTCTCTTTTGCTTCGGGCCAATCGAGCGGCGTTCCTAATGCTCTATGAATTGGCTACGGTCAGTACCTGTATCTAAGTATATCATCGATCTGGACAAGCCACTCACAACAGCCCCATATTGTGCGCAACCCGACGTTTCGCGCTTGTCCTTCCAATCCGCTATGCAGCTCCCCGTGGTTCCACAGGTGCAATAGGACCCGATTGGCAAACGCGCGTATGCTCGTCCGCGGGCGTTTCTAGCCAGGAACGATGCCGCAATCCAATGTTGGGGAACTTGAGATATGCTTCATACAAACAAGATCCTCTGTGGCCGGTCGATATCTGATACCGTTGCACGGCTCCAGCGAGTGGCGCAACCGGCCCCTAAGCAGATCCCTTCCTTCTCTCTACCCTTATTCTCTTTTCCTCCTTGTCTTCCTCTAGCAAATCCGTTCAGTCGGGGTAATAGAAACCAGACCCCCACGCGCACACGCCTTCAGGTCGCCATGTCTACAAGCACAGATAGCTCGTTATTGTCAAGCACGCAATATGCGCTGCTATTTGGTGAATGCCTTTGCTTGGTGGATAATGCAGCCCCAAAAAGTAATTATGAAGACTGTTTTCCGCGGTCAGAAGCCTCGGGGACTCCAGCGCAACACTCAGACACATTTAAGTAATCCGGCAGTGAGTGCTGTGGTGGGGTTCGTTTTTTTTCTCGAAACGGCTTACAAATTTACGTCGGCCGTTCTCGGGCTTAGGGCGGGGTCGCTTGGTAATGGGGGGTGAATCCCTGTTGGGAACATCAACACCACACCACGCCCTCGTCTCTTGTATCTGTTTCTACTTTCTACATCTATTTCTATAGGCACAGTATATATCTACATCTACATCTATATCTACATAATCCCATGTTTTTATCTGTTATGCCTAGCATTATATTCTCATGAGTTTGCACGTGCTAGTTGCAGTGCTAGATGGATGGCTTTGAGTATGAGGTTTTCACGTGTGATTTCCCCACTTCAAGTGAAAGATTGGGCAGCATAGTGAGTCGGGCCAAGGGACTCGGAATCTTATAGACAGTCTGTCTAAAGGCCACTCGTTCTCTTGCTAAAGCCGTTCGAAGTGGTGTCATTTTGCATACCCAGGCCATCGAGGCCAAATATCCCATGTTATTCCTTCAATGGATCCTAAATTCATTGCTAGGTTGGGACGTGGAGGTTTATACTTCAAGTGACACTGCAGTCTTCTTGTCCTGTCAATTGCGTCAGCATCAGACTATCGTCGTCACACGGGTAGCCACACCTGTCGCCCTACGCTGGGGAAATACAAGATAACCCCCTAACTGCGGCTGCTTACACGCGGCCGTTCCACCCAGATCCCCGAGATATCGTCAATCTATCTCCCACGCCACCGGACGATCGATCTACGATCCGATCATGCAAACCATGTTTGGCTCATGCTAGCTTCGGGTTTCTCGACATGATTATGCATGTACCCACGAACACATAACCCTCCGAATGATGATGCATGTACCCATATAACATACATACATTTGTCCTCCCTATTTCTTGCAAACTGATTCGACTTCCTCCCATTAGCGTGAAGAGCCCTGCATATGCGGAGAGGAGGCCCCCCCGGCAAGGCCGGTGACGGGGCGGTGCATTGCGAGATACCGGTACAACGTGCATGTGCCGGTAATTAGGGGGATGTGGCTATCCAGAGTTATAGCACTGGCATTGCTATCAAGATCTAAGGATCCGGAGTCCGGAGTTTCACGGGCATGTGCATACATGGCGAGATGCAGCTTCAACATGAGTAAAATCGACTTGGTTTTCTTTTGCCCAAAAGTGCAAAGAGCGTGATACCAAGAACGTTTGAAACATACGGAAGACCTTTCATTATAAGGTGTCTGACAACAGAATGATAGCATCCTTTCTGGTCCCCTCCTATGTTATAGTACTCAATATCGTACCTACCTACTAAGACAAAGTCCAGTTAACCCCTAGAAGGGTCCGGCCTAAGTCGAAGGCTAAGTCGAAATTCAAGTCTAGTTCGCCATCCACGCCAGAGCAAGGTCTACCCCCCAACAAGAGAAAGCCAAATTGCCTAGACATATCTTGCGCTCTACTTAAAACACTGAGCCCTGCGCTATCGGCATCGAAGATCTTCGCACCGCATGCCGGAAACCCTCCCGATCGCCTCCTTGCCAGGGTCTCCAAGCACAACGCCTCTGTTCGTCCAAGCCATCTCCCTACACACACAGCATACACAGCATCGTCGTACTTTGTACTTCCCAAGCCGCCACCTCGCACCCCCGGCACGTACTTGTCTTAAAACAACTTGACGATTCTACATATGCCGGTAGACGGTGTACATATATGCTTACTACCCCTCCCTCGCAGCTACACCTCATGCCACATCAACCCAAAAATCCAAAGGTATAGCACAACGCTATTCAGTCAACCGCCACAGGCATTTTTGCTGTCTGCATTTCCCGTTATGAAAGTATAAGACGTGGTTAAGGTGTATTGGAACCCCTGTTTATATTGCATTCGTGGGCTACATTAGATAATACACGAGGACACAAGGAGCCACGGGATTTTGCATAGAGAATAGGAGGACAGGTAGGTGAAACGTATATAGCTCTGCTGGCATGCAGGGCATGTAAGGCACGGAAAGCAACTAGAGGGGTATGGTGACCGAGTATGTGCCTTCATCGCGGAACCATCAGTGCCTGCACATACCGTGTATGACTCTAGAAGCACTACACATCAAACAACGATCAAGATGAGCTACTGCTCTCACATTGCAGATGAGTGGATGTCTTCAAGTTGTACCTCAAGCTACGCTTTGGAGAATGTTTCTTATTTTTCCCGCCTTGTCTTGGGATGTCAAATAGTAAGCAAGGTTACCCTGCAGTATAGCCAGCCCAAGCACCCAAGTCTATATGTTGACATATCTCAACCGTCTCCTCTCCTCATCCTAAACGGGTATCTATCCCCTGTGTCTTACAATAAGACAAAGCCATCCACAATAAGGTATAAGTCAGCTAATCAGCACGAGCAAAAGGCTGTCCCCTGCACTGGTAATACCAAAAGCCGAATGGAAAGAAAAAAAAACGCCGTGTCATGCATTATATGAGGGCCAGGAATTGCAATCCGGCAAACCTTCCCCAGTGCACCCGATCCCGAGCCCGAAAAGCTAGCCATAATCCCAAACGCCGAATTGCGAGCCTGTTCGCAATATGTTTTCTCACTCTCCCATCTGTCCAAGTTGAAGCCGGGTGGGTCGTTGGCGTTCACTGCTTCAGAGGCAAATAAAATGCCTTCCCACTTCCATGTATAACATGTCGCCCTTCTAAGCCACGGAATATCAACCGACCTTTAAGCCACCCGAGCCCATATATAATTCCCCTAAAATTCATGCAGCGAGGCAACTGGATTTGCTCCCATCCTGGTTAAGACATGAATAGTATACAAGAAGTGTTGTTCGTTTCCAGTCTCAACATCCGGTGATGTTATATCGGTCGTGGCGAGATGCCGTCCATAGACTTGGGCCGCACCGAGGATCCATTAGAGCTTTGTGATTGCTTCATGGTATTCTTGCGCGTTAACTTTGCGTAATGTAGCCCGCACGCGTTGCAGAGGGTCCGAGCCCCATCGGGGCCTCGTCTCCATTCAGGGGTCTCGGCTCTGTTGCAACTATGACATCGGCCAGGAGGAGCCGCTCTCTATCTATTCGTTAGACTTGTGCTGCTCTACGGAAACCATCATATTCACATACCCCGCGACGTTTCTTGCTTTCCGGGCCCCCATAACCTTGGTTCTTTAGATCATCGCCGTACATAGCCATCTCTTCGTCGTAGTACCCAGGAGCTTTCCCACCATGATCTCGCATGTGCTGGTCCATCATGGCAACGTGCTCGTGCTGTTGAGATATCATATCTCGCATCTTCTCCAAATAGAGATGGATCTTCTCCTGATGCTGAAGCATCTCGTTGCACGATTCTAATGTCGGCATTCGATCTGGCACACCATTGGGGTCACGAGGCTGTTGCTCCTGCGTTATTGTGTGGAAGTGTCCGGACCAGTTGAGGAGTGCACTGCTGGAAACGTTTATCTAGAAACTGAATGAGCTTTTCTGCCACATTAAGAGTAAGGATGTGCACCATACCGATGAGAGATAATTTTCGAAATCCCAGACCAGATATCTTCGTTTTAACCCCTGTTTGAAAGGGGTGACACGTGACCTGTCGTCCTCCGGGGCCCCTTTCCACAGTTCATCAACCCCTCGGCTATCTCGCAGGGGAAACCGGGCTTGAGTATAAGCAGGATCGTGAGGTCCAGGAGGATGTCCGGGACCTGCGCTATAGGAATATGTCCCCGGTTGTGAAGGGTGGGGATGATGGGGGTATCCATTTGCCAATCGCTCTGGAGCCCGGGGGTCTTGCTCGTACCGGGGAGGTTCATACCGTGGGCCAGGATGAGGGGGAGCGTGGATGGGTGAAGGTCGGGGAGCATCGCCATAAGTATTTGGGGGAGGTTCGACCCGAGTGAAAGGATTCGGTGGCGGGTGAACTGATTGTGGTGATGGCTGACTTGCTTGAGACGGGGCAACCTGTGTGGTGTAAGGCGCCTGGTCAGAGACAGGATACGATCTGGCGACAGAAGGAGGGGCTTGAGCCTGAGAATAAGGAGGTTGGCTATGTGTCGCTGGGAGAGGTGCTGATACTGGTGAGGCGTACGGCGTGGATTTGGGACCTAGAGCTTCATGTATAGAGGGGAGGGATTGACGATGTGGTTGGGTGGTGTGAATTGGGGGTGGAGGTTCGCTTTTATTATCTGATGTCCGCCGTGATCCAGGAGGAGAAATAAGCCCAGAGGCTGTAGAAACTGATGGCCAGCCTCCTGAGTATGGAGGAAGAGGTCCATTTGAATACATCGAAGCGGGGCTGACAACTGCAGTGGCCGCCATTGTATTTGTTGATGGGTATGGTCGATCAATATGGATTTTCTCGACACTGTCAGGATTAATTATAGAGAGTATTCCACTATTTCAAAGACGTTAGTCTTGCCCTGGTACGACAGATGGTGAGACTGACCTTTGCCTGCCGGGTACTCTCTGCACTACTTCCATGACAAGCTCCAAAGCAACAATCCTTCAGATTAGGGGCCCGGGACGCATGCGTAGGCGCAAGATAATATCGTGTGGTTCCGTTCCGATGTCTGTACCCGTCGTACCTGTTCACCAAACCATCTAGAACCGTTCCCTCAGCTCGTCGATGCTGTAACTCTTGTGCGAGGGGCGGAGGAGGGACTGGAATGCCCGTGGTAAGTTAAGGATGGGGGGACACTGGGCCCTCGGGGGTAGATGAAGGCCGCGCTGAGCAGAATTGACGAAGCTGTCGAGTCACCAACCAACGTAATTGGGGGGTTTAGAGCAAGCTAAAAATATGTGAATCTGTGGCGTAATGGCGGTTTCCCGGGTCTGACTCTGTTCCGCGCTTTGCCTTGGGTGGTGGAGATCTGATGCGATGTGACGATCGATTTCGCTAACAACAAGGGACCTCCCGCAGTCAACCCAGCACTTCCTGGGTGCTCGGTCTCTCTGCTTCTGGGCATCCAACAACCAGAACCAGCACTACGCTGCCACTAACCTCCACTACTCGCGGCGGTCGTCGACGTGGGAGACCCTCTCGAGTCCCTGCAGCAAAGGGCGGCGCGGAAATGGATACAGATGTCTTAGAACAGCGAGAGACGCGCCGTTCGGTTGGGCAGGGTCGCGTCCAGTGATTGGCTTCCTGCAGGGCGGAAACTGGTGTTTACTAGGCCCGGCCCTGAGGGCGAAGGGGGAGGGCGGAGGGAGGAGATTAGAGGGTGAGGATGGGCGTGGAGGAGTGAGACCCGTGGGACAGAGCTGGGGACGGAGAGTAAGACGTGGACGAGCTGCACACCAGAGGGAGCCGACGATTCTGCGGCACAAGGAGCCGAAGCGCGGACCACAGTTGAATGGTTTTTGTTTTTTGGTCTGATTTGGTCTCTCGTGCTAATCGCACGGTATGGCGGGTGGTGGAGCTGGGGGACGAAACGGACTGTCTGGGAGACTGGGACATCGACGGCGGCCGAGGAATGGGGCGAGTGAGCGAGTGAGTGAGCACTACTCAACGAGGCCCAAACCGCTAGAAGGCCCGCAAAAGGAGATGACGAAGACAATTCGAGGAGACTCTGCTGCTAGTGGCAAGGGAACGGAAAGAATGGAAGTTTAAGTCTCTCCTTTGCGTTTCTGGTTCTGTTTCTGCGTGGTCGTTGGTGCTAACCATAATGTGTCTGCAGGAGGGCCATGAGATGATATGAGCCCTGGCCCCTGAAGAGAGCTCGATGAGATGGGGCCCTTGGGCAGCCCATGGGGGTGGGCGAGGGCGAGGGCGTGGCCGTGGGCGGAGGATGGGTCAACTCCTCCCACGCTGGCACCGGAAGACGTTGCTAGTTGCAACGAGGGCACTACTCGGTACATAGTAGCTTATTAGTCGGTATTCTTCCCCTTCCGTGCTGGCTGGAGAAGCTGGGCTCAATGGGCTGAGATGGGATCGGGACGCCAAGGACCAGTGCACATCTTGACATGGTGCTTGTCGACATGGGGCCCAGGTCTTCAAAGCTCAAGCTTGTCCTACGAAGTACGTAGTACGTAGTACTACAGCTCGACGCCTGCCACTACTGGGAAACTACTGCTGGCTGCTGTCTCTGCTGCTCGAGTCCTCGAGTCTTCGAGTCCTCGGGTCCGCGTATCGAGTAGTACGGAGTGTGCTGCTGTACTTACCAAGTGCTGCATCTCCTACGACGATGTATCCGGAACATGCTGGCAGCCTGGCAGTGGTCTCCAAGAGACTTGGACATCTGGCAATGATCCCAGACAACGAGGGAGGAGCTTCGAGGAGCTGGACCCCACCGCCGGCCACGACCATCCCATGGCGCCCAGCCTGCGCTTGCGTTGATGATACAGACTACAGACTACAGACGACACACTAGAGTACGCCGGGATAGGCGCTGGCTGGGATGGTGGCTTCACAATCTCAGATGATGGGGCCAAAAGGCGCTAAATCGAGATACTGAATCGCTCATACGCCGTGCCGGTAATCAGAATCTGAGATGCGCCCGCCGGTGCTTGCGTTCGTGGGAACGCTCTCTGGCCCTGTACCATGCAGACACTCACGACTCCGTGCTCTGAGTCGATTAATACAGACAGCTCTACGCACTACTGCTCTGCTCTGCTTCTACTGCTGCACGGCGGGCCTCCGCAGGCGAGGCAACCAGGAGACAGGGAGCGATGGATGGGTCGGTGTGCCACATGTGGGTTTCCTCCAGAGCCCTACTTCGTATGGAGAACGGAGTGCGAAGTACTAAGCAAGTCTTCGAGAGAGTGATGTCTCGCCGGTGGGGACACTGCTAGGGGGGCACGATGTGGGCCTGGCGCCAGGGGGCTGATGGGCGAAGGCTTCGGATGGGAGGGGAGATCGGGACCCTGAGAGTCAGGGGACTGATAATAATGGCACTCAGACACTTCGTACTACGTACAATCACGTACATACAGAGTTTGGATGTGGTATGAAATAGAGGCGCTGGGCTGATATGCCATCCCTCATACTCGTACTCTGTCCAGTAGTAGACTGGACAGCCAGACTCCTCCAGCGAGTGTGACGTTGGGAACTTGGGGCAGCGCCGTGATGAATCTGATGATGGCCTGTCCGCACCCACATGGCATAGCAGCATTGGCAGGGCATTAGAGCAACGGGGCCATCTCTCGCGTGGCACCCAGGGCAAAACCCCGCCTGAGAGACCGTCGGACTTGGTACTTGGTACGTGTATAGAGCGCGGGTTCGAGGTACAAGACTAAGTACAAGTACGTCGTCTACGCCTTGGGAGATTTCCATCCCCATCTCAGAGATCTTCTTACATATCTCGAGACTGTACCTGCCTTGGGTAGGCCATGTTCAACTAGCATTGTAGCAGACAGCACCTGTGCAAACCGAACCCTTCACAGCAGAGCAGAGCAGGTAGGGTCAAATGTCTCTCCGCTCGGTTCTAGCGGTGAGCGCAACGCCTTCCAGACGATGATGTCCACTAATAGCGTGTCCCTCCGAACTCATAGGAGGGTAGGCACTGCCTAGCACCTACAATCTACAGCACTTTGGATCTAGAAAAGAAGTTTCGAAAGGGCGTTACTTCGTGTGGGGCCCTCTCCGCCACGGCGGCACAACACTCAACGTCCCTGTCGTCAATTCCCTGCAATAATACTGTAATAATGCTTCATTCCTACCACCATCAAGGCATCAACACCCAATTCCCAGATCGCCATCGGGAAATACATTGTCTAGTTGTCACTGCTCCAGTCAGTACTCCCGTATCCTGTCACGAGTCTCCATTTTCCAATCCGATCTGCCGTCTTAAGGATTGTTATGCCTGCACCCAAATCTCGATTTCATCTCACCTCGCCGGCATTCGTCGCCCCTATTATTTTATCAATATGCCATACTCTTCGGAGTAAATTTCAGAGGCTTGAGCTCAACGTGGCTAACGAACAAAGAAGACGCAGAGAAGAGGCCCGGTCCCGGGAAGAGATCCGGTCTGTGCTGCGCCTGGTAGTTGCTCGTGCTGGCCTTCCATTATTTGTCTATTTTGCTCTCCCCCGTAAGGCACAGCAGGATGGCGCCGCTCCACGAAGCATGGTCATCACGATGTCGGTCAGCATCTACGAAGTCCGGGGCTGATTTCCTACCGCACGGCACGACGGACGCAATTACTAGGCATGGGTTGGCGGGCATATTCTCAACCGCCACCCTGTCGTCAAACGCTATTATTTTACACTCCTCTAAGATTTTACGTACGGAGTACGAAATACTGATGCATCATCGGGGAAATTCCGCTCCAGCACTAGTATTTTGCTTCATGATCACAGATCGGAGAAGTCGCTATACCTTTCCTTACTTGATCCGCCTAGTCGCTTCCCATTGCCCTCCGCCAACGCCAACCCCCACCCTAGGACAACTCGACTCACTAACGATACCTCTCCGCTCAAGAATCCTATTCTAAGTACAACAGTCCATACAAGTACGTAGCGACAACTGTTCGCACTTCATGATCCACCAAGTATTTGTAGGGGTTTTTTACGCCATTCCTAAGTATATATTTTCCTCCAGGTCCTTATCTATACTTAGGAACGGCGTAGACCCCGTGCTGTCCAACGGTAGTGGTCAGCGGTTATTCCATGCCGAGGTACGTGACAACGGTGAGGAGTACCGGTAAACTCAACTGGACAGAGTCGTGTGTACTTCCTACCAATCAACCTACCTGTATCCCGTCCCATTATCACAGCTTCAGCTTATTCCCTGCACGCCAACGGGAATTTCGACATAATGTATTGATAAAAATGCCTTTTCAAGGCCCTCGGCAACCGAGTTCCAGTCAGTCAGTCTTATCGATCAGTTTGCCCCAACCACGAACAGAGGAGGGCTCCAGAGTCTTAAAGGGGATATGCCCAGTGGCCGGGATGATACAGTAACTCATATGCCGTTTAATCACAATTATCAAGGGCAGCGCTTCGTTTCTCGTGGGATGAACTTTCTACCATCATGTCGTCTCTGTATTCGGCCATTCAATGGCAAATGCAACAGGGGTCTGAAACTTAATGTAACAAAGCTGTCATTTAATCAGCGCCCTACCAGCTAACAGAAGGTATCACTGCAAGGAATACACGAAAAACAGTGGCGTGGGTTCATATCAGCTTCACACTCGAGAGAATGGCCTCAAAAGAGTCCTATTTTCCCTATATCTTATCCACAACATAGAGGGGCTTCTTTCTCAAGCATCCCGACTCTTTGCGTGGCGAACAACCTAGTACCAACGGCTCTATAATGCATAGCCACTCTCTCCCTCCTCTCCGTACTTCTTCCTCGCTCTATTGACACACAGTCCCAACAC